TGGGTTCGTGGGTTCATGGGTTCATGGGTTCATGGGTTCATGGGTTTGGGGTTTGTTTGTTTTTGTGTCGGAGGTTTTGGGTTTGGGTGTTGGAGGTTTTGGGTTTGGGTGTTGGAGGTTGAGGTTTCCGAAGGGATGTGTTTGCAAAGTTTTATTGCTCTTAATATTGATGTTATTCAACTAGATAAGATTATGAACTCCAACATAGCTAAGATGATGATGTACTTCTAAAGAAGATGATGTCTAAAGAAATATGAAGATCTACAATCCTTATTATTACTAGTAAGCAAAAGCAATACATAGAAGAAGGTTAGATAATATTGAGAGCGTCGAGAATTGTCAGGAGCACTCAGAGACACAAAAAGCTAGTCATTATCTTGAAACAACCGCGAATTCATATTTCTCATAAAGTAGAGAAGGCACACGAGGTGGTAGCTCAAGACTAGAAGTATTCGTTTCGTATTCGTAGTTCTTTACTCGATCGCGATGATCCATTGTACTAGAAGAAGCCTATGATCAACAATAGCTATAGATGATGAGAGTTACTGTTGTACTAGAGGAAGCATACTATCAGCAATTATAGAAGCTATAGATCATCATGCCTCGATCGATCCTTAGGAGATGGCGCATATCAGTCCCTGAGATTTCTCGATCCTGAGACAGAGCGACACTGTCTCCTCGGGTGGTCTAGTAAACGCAAATGAGCGAGGGGAAGGAGACCCTGATTTGACATTTGATTAGGCTTAGGCCTCCTTAGGCAATAAAGGTCATACTCCATAAATCATGAAAAATATGTGATGTTGTTGATACGTGGATCATTCAGAATATGTGTTTTTATTTTTCTGTGAGTGCTGAGGCTGACTCATATTTCCTTCTATCAAGTCGTGATCGGGATCCTCGTGCGCAGATCACGGCTGTCTCTCTTCTATTCCTCTCGTCTGTAATGCGCGTTACGTCTAAGGTAAGTAGTGCTACAACTATGACGGCCAATATTGTTACTTGCCAGGAGAGACGCACGACACCCGCACTCCGCCCTCTGATAGATAACAATTTACTAGGTACTTCACTGTTTGCGATCTATCATGATCATGATGGTGGCCATTTGTTGTGTCTGTTGCACGACAAAGCTACTTTCACTAGAGCTAATTTCATGATGTTAAGTCGTAACGAAAATATGACATCATCTACATGAAATGGCGTGGAACAGGGAGACTCGGAGCAATTGTTCCCGAACCAATCGTTTTCATTGAGATGACTGAAAGTTGACGCTCGTACAGATGCTCCTAACGGCGTCATGAGTTAGACGCTGTAGGAAGTATACTAGTATTTGTATTTTTACCAATTACTCGGTAGATCTGACTGAGATCCTAATATTGCCAATTAGCATGGTGGTCCATCGAGGGGATATTATTTGCAATTACCCGATTGCTAATAACCCTGATCGTCCAGCGAGAGATGAATAGACACGGCAGCTATGAGTACGTACTCGAAAAAGCACTACGAACTACTTGCGAAACACTTCTTGGGTGGATGTGTGTCTTCTCTTCTCTGTGAAAGAACGTGAACTCGAATAGATAGTCGTCCATCAACCATGCTTGATCCAACAAATAATCACATTGTTTTCACAATTATAGAATTCGTTGCATGAATAAAACCATACTTCCTAAACTGAATCTGATGATTCTTGCAATTATGTTGCAGTATGGCGTGTTCGCCAGCATGGCCTGAGTGTTCATCTGTGCCATCCAGTCCTTACCCTGATGTAGTATGCTTTTGTGTACTCGAAAACTGAAAATAACCGAGTAAGTGACTGAAATAAGGGAGGTAAGTAGGTTTGACGGGGCTACTCTTCCTTGTTCAGGTTTACCTGTGCTTATTTCAAGTAATTACTCGGTTATTTCAGTTTTTCGAATAGTTCTTCTGTTGGCTTCTCAGACTTGAGTTGGGCGACTATGTTGCTACAGGAGGAGAAGCGCATAAAAATGGAGCGAGGAGAGGCACTTGATTTAGTACTTTATATATATCGACTAGTGCTACTACTGGCACAGCGGGACTTGAGCTATTGCGGCCATTTTGCCACTGTTGTGGAGGTGGATCCGGGCATGAAATGTAAGACTTCTCTGCGCCCTCCCAGCTGGTGCGCTGGCCCTTTGGCCGAATACTTTGAAACTGAAATGAGTGCGAGATAGAATCCATCTCCATCACGTCAAGTCGGCCATAGTCAATCTACACAGTCATCTAAATCTTGCTCAGGACCATATATGTGTACTATGGGAAAAATTAGGAGCCCAATTCGAATCGACTAACAACAACAACAACAACAACATCATCATCACCAGCATCACCATCATCATCATCATCATCATCATCGCAGAAGAGACTCGGGGAAGTCGTAGTAGAATTCTAGAACGATCGGTCTACGTTCATCGTATTGATCGGTCTGTCTGAACGACCATCGAATTTTGAGGACGGTCATCGGTGGCACGTTATACTAAGACTAGGCATGCGCGCTGAAGTTTTACCTAAAATATTAGCCACAGAGAATGGCATTGGAATGCGCGCTGAAGTTTTACCCACAGAGAATGGCACTTCCGTGTTACTATCTTATCAACGCAGCTATGGCAGTGATGTTTCGGTCTTTTCCTTCAAATCTTATGGTAACTTTGTGAATTCGGCGTGAACAGTTTTGACTACTTTTTCGATGTAAAAAAATCAGTGATAGATGTTATTTCTTATGATGTTGAAAATGTTACTAGTTTACTATACTATAGATACATAGTGATGTGAAGATGCGGAGTCCACAGTCCACAATCACTGATGCCATGCCAAAATGTTGCCAACTTGACATTTAGAAACAAATGGGATACTTGTACAGTATCAGTCTTTCTTGAGCTTGCGTTTCCTTTCTGAAATCTGAAACGTTTCTGCAACTATCCCCTTTTTCCATAGTTTATCTGGCACGACTAGTCTCTCGTCTGTTCTTCAGACCTAAAGAGGTCTGAATTCAAATTCCATTTGCGACATCATCTTGGGTGTCACCATTTCTATTTGCTATAACATCTAAAATTTGGGTTTCAATTTCTCGATTAAATCCTCCATGGATGATAGCACAGGAGCACAGCAACTGTCCGTAGAGACGCGCTGATGAAAGCTGCTCCGCTATTCCATTTTTAAGACTAGCTGTAGATTCTGACTGATGAATTGTTACTAGCCCCCTGGCGTGGATCCCCAGGGTACGGATTCGATGGGAGCACGGGCCACTTGCTAGATATGCACTCCCTCGGATTTTTGGCACCTTTTGAAGCGTTTGAGGCTGCGCAGGAAGCTCGCGCGCGCCTTCTCTCACGAGAACGGCGAAGGGGCCCGGCCTGCTTTCATATTTCTGCGTGAGGACACGCGGACGCCAGGGACTACACAAGACCGCCTGCCCCCATATCCTCACGGGGGGAGGGATTGCAAACTTTGAACGCTTGCGCCTATTCGAATACTCAAAATAACCGAGTTACTGACTGAAATATGGGAGGTAGCTTACCGTCAAGGCTACTCTTCCTCCTCGTCAGTATCTCGGTTATTCTGATCAGTTACTTGCTTATTTCAGTTTTTCGAATAGGTGGTGGTGGGATATGTAGTGAATGCAACGTCCCTCGAACTGGAGTGGATAGCGGTGGGTAAAGTAAGAGCGGCAAAGCCAAATCAATTTCATGAGGGGGAAGGCCTGCGCGGGCTCCGTTGCCTGGGCTTGCCTGCTCCATTCGGCTCCGGCGGGGTGTCCGCGTGTCTGTGGTGTCACCAGGGAGCGGCGGGCCCTTGGTGTGCTGCCTATTACCTTGCCTTCCGCCTGAGGGCGAGGAGACGTGGACACCAGAGAGAGGCAGGCGCGCTTGCGCGCTTATCCTGAGCGGGGGGGAAGACATAGGCAGGCGCAGGGCCTTTGGTGCTGGTCTTCCTTGAGGTGGCAGAGGGCTGAGGCCATGAGGGCCCACGGGCCGACGGTGCTGGGCGTGGCTTGTTCGTGGTTCATGGCTTTTTTTCTTGGCCAGGGGGGGGCGAGAGCTTTGCGGAGCCCCGCCAAGCTGGCGAAACTGTGCCAAAGTATGCGGCCCGTCGATCGTGTGCGTAGCCCTAACCCCTAAGCCTACCCGAAACCCTAAGCCCGGTGAACAACTGTTGTGACGAGACAGAAGAGCAGAAGAAAGCAGGAAGCTGAGGCGAGTAGAGGGCGCGAACAACTACTCTGTGATACAAATGTCGTCCAGCGTGATCGCCCCTTCGTGTGAGTCGACGAGCCGTGAAGACCGTAGAGACATCGTAGAAAGATCGGAGAGACGTCGTAGAAAGATCGGAAAAAGATCATAGACGAGACATCATCGTAGAAAGATCATAGACGAGACATCATCGGAGAAAGATCGTAGAGACATCATCGTGGAAGACCTCGCATCTCGTAACACTCCCTCTACAACGAAGAGTCTTTAGATTTTCTCAACATAATTTCATCGTTTGCAACAAGTTGACTGTGGAAAAAATAATCCATCTTTATTTTTGAACTCAACTCTCTCTCTATCCATTGACACTATCCACTCACAACTCTCTGACTCCATCCACTCACTTATTCATTGATTTTATCACCCTGTTGAACTTACCTCCTCGGCCCCGCTCCCTCCTTCATGTGTGCATCTGGTTCCAATGAATCTCGTAGTCATTTACTAAAGTTTCTTATTTCAAGTTCTCGTGACTTGGTAATTAATCAAAGTAAGACTAAAAGCAACAACTGCGTAAGACTAAAAACAACAACAGCAGCAACCGACGTTAGATTACGAACACAACAATAGCAACAACATACGTAATGCGACACACAACATCGTAAGGCCATACAACTAAGAGTAGAACGTAGTTGAGACGAAAGACGACATTTACCGTAATTCCTGAGACGAAAGATTACAACAAGAACTCCAAGGTCGATATCTCTCGGAACGAAGCATCAACATAATTTCCAAAGAAATGTAGCACTGCGCAAAGAAATCAAACGCAATTCTTAAGGAAGTACTGCACTGCGCGACATCATAATATTAAGAAGTTATTATTCCCTCGTCCTCACACTCACAGACAAGTAATCAAATATATTACAGTTTTCCACTGGTGTAAAAGTAAAGAACCAAAAAATAGAGATACGCACAATCTCGATTCCTTTCTATCCTACAACGAAATAACGACCTCCGCCTCGTTTCCTATCCTATCTTAAGTAGAAGGAAGAAGATTTATCCTAAGCTAAGTAGAAGGAAGTGAATCTTCGGGAGAGGATCAAGATCAAACAAAATGGCGGTAAAACTTTCCATTCCGGGAGGACAGCACCTGCTGTTCCTCTATTTGGTCGTGGGCTTCTTCTTCGGCGGGACGCTCTTGTGCTATGTTATGGCTGGAGTCATTTGCATTTGTTGAATAAAAAAGAGGTGGAGTCGGTAAGTTTGACTCATGTAGCTCTTTTTACTTCTTGGATGGCTCTTCGGACGATGAGATTTGACCATAGATTATCACAAAGAAGAAGAGTGCCCATCTCTTTGGTCATCCAAAATGTTGGGCTGTTTTTCCGTAGAAAAATTCTCACCCTGCTACTGCTTCTACCAGAACAGATCACTTTAACAACATTCTAGTAGCCATCTTGTTATCTCCTACTTTCCCGGTATTAGCAAGTAGTATGTAGGTTAGTTACTTCACCCTCCGACAGTAGATCCTTTTATTTTTAAGGATCTTCTCTCCTGGTATTAGCTAGTGCAGGGTCACGAATGAAATCGTAGTTCACGCCGAAAGCTAGCAGCGTGGGTTGAGTAACTAGCCTAGAAGAAGCTGCAGCTCCAATAGTAAATGAAGGTAGTCCGCCTGTTTTTTTTACGTGGATTTACTCCTCTCGTATCTTTTCCCAGATAGTTTACAGTATTAGCCACCTGAAAATTAACTTATTGAAAATCAAGATGCAAGGTCATCTTCTGAGAGATATCCATACCAAGTTTTTGACAAGAGCTATCACTTCTGAGAGATTTTGTCCATCTTCCTTTTCCGTTTTTAGCTGGCTACAATGCGTCTGGTGTCTTTTTTTAGGCGGACCCACTTCGCCCGGTGTCGTATTAAGTTGACCTACTCTACCCTGTGTCTCTTTTAGGTGCATCCACTTCGCGTGTCTTATTTCGGTAGGCCCACTCTCTCCGCCGTGTGTATTTTTTAGGCGGAGGGGTTTGGTCGCTTGGTATCTTTCTTAGATGCATATGCCGCGCCTGGTGTCTTACGATAATTCCCCACAGTGCCGCGCAATGAGTGTGCGCGTGGCTGCGGCGGGGAGCCCCTGAACCTGAGTCTTTCTGTTTTAGGTGGATCCATTCCCCGCCTGGTGTCTTTTTTAGGTGCTTCCACTCCGCTTTTCTTTTCTAGGCTCATATTTCTAGGTGGGTCCACCCCGCTTGGTGTCTTTTTTAGGTGCATCCACTCACATTATTTTTCTTAGGCGGGTGCCCTTTTCGGTGGGTCCTTCGAATCGGTCCCCCGGGTGTCTTTTTTAGGTACATCCACTCCGCCTGGCCTTCTTAGGTGGATAATTTTAGGCGCATCCGCTCCGCCTGTCTTTCTTAGGTGGATATTTTCTGGCGGATACTTTTAGGCTGATGCTCTGTTTTAGATGGATATTTTTAGACGGATGCTTTATTTTAGATGGATACCTTTGGCGGTACATACAAGCCACCCTGTGGATGGCGGGTCAACACCTGACCTAGCCTACCTCTAGCTGGATACCTTTCGGTGAATGTTTTAGATGGATGGCGTTTTTAGGTGGATACTTTTCGGCGGATATTTCTAGCTGGGCCCACTCCGCTTGCCTTGTTTAGGCGGATCCCCCACTCCGCTTGTTTTTTTTTGCTGGGTATCCTGCGTGCCCTTCTGCGTCTTACGTATGGTTCTTCATCAGATCTTGTCTTTCATGTGTATCACTGTGCCCTTCGTCGAAAGTCCTCCTTAAATGGCCCTTCATGGGCCATGCATGACGAGGCTGAACGACCAGGACTCACCTCAAGTGGCCCCACGAGGTCGGGATAATAGATTCTTTTGATGGTGAGTCCCTTTCGAGTTCCACAACCCTGAGAACAGGCGAACACATAGCCCACTAAGCCTAGCCAGCTACGAAGCTGGCTAGGTGGGATGCATGGTAGGCGCCTCCCTGTTCACTGACAGACTTACCAAGCCCCCCAAGCGTGCACTTCCCGTTCAGGCTGGGCAAGGAGTTTCTATCTAGCTAGCTAAGTGTATCGCTGGGAGCCGACTCCACCTTTCCAGAGGACTAAATCCTTCCAGAGCACTGCGTGCTTTTCTCTAGTTGAAATATATTGAGCGATATTGAATGACTTTTACTTTGCCTAGCCATCTGGAGGAGCTAACTATCTACTCTGCGTGTCGTCTATTAATATCTGGAGCTAGCTAACTACGTAGGTATCCATGATTCAATCTATATCTAACTAATGATCCAGAACTATGCGTAAAGTTCAATCAAGATAACGGCAAAAAAGCTATTCGACTATCTCTAACGATTGGCGCATCGGACTGGGTATCTCTTTAGAGACGCAAAACGATTTTTTTTATGGTCGGCTTTTATTCATCTCGCCAAGAAAGCATCTTGACACCCTTTGCGTCCCTGTATTATTCCTATGATGAATTATTACAAGGGCACAACGAACAACAACAACAACATGCATCGCCGGCTTCGCGCTGTGTTGTCGTGGTTGTTGTTGGTACTAAAGACATCAAGATGGGACCCGGGCGACCGGGATGAATTCTAGCACACTCTAATATCCAATGGATGGCGGGCCGTTGGAGTCTTTCGTGGTCAGTCCTGGTCCTGGAGGTCCCTCTATCACTCCATGCGAAGCCGGATGCACCTTTTTGCAAGACTCCTCTTCGTGTGCATGTGATAAGAAAACCGAGGAGAGGTCGACGGCCACGACGACTGCGAAAACGACCGGCGCTGAGGCTGAGGCGAAGCACGGGGCCCGTGGTGGTGGTGCTTCTGGTGCTTCTACTGTTGCCGCTGCTGCTTCTGGTGCTTCTACTGCTGCTTCTGTTGCGGGTTCTGGTGGTGCTAGCGCTGCTGCGGCAGCTAAATCTGAAGCAAAGCCTGCGCCGTCATCTGTTGTAAGAATCTTGTTGTTTGCTACTGCATACTAGAAAGCCGTCGATATTAGACTCAGCAGCAGGGGTGGCTCTTCGCTTTTTTAGCTTCAATCTAGTCCACCCGCCGACTATTGTGGCTGAATATATCAGCTGCTGTTACTGTTCATCATGCATTTCTCATTAAGGGTAGGCCAGGTTAGTGCTTTTGGTGTCGCCGTTTGTTTTGACTCTCCTGAGGGAGAAAAGCACAACAAACGGGAAAGAAACAGAAACACCAAGGCCCAATGTCTGGCGTCAGGTTGGGCACCGTGCTCACCGTCTTGCTTTTTGTTGTCTTCGGAAAAAGTGGGAGCCCACTCAAGATCGATCCATGCCAGTCGCTCTGCCTTCATGTGCGACATTTTTGGGAAATATAGGACACCGAGTTTTGTTTTCTTTGGAAAGGCTTCCCACGGGAGGATATGGATTTTCCGTGGCACGCAGATCCCTTCCCATGGCACGGGAGTGGGGCCATCTAGAGGCGTGGCACTCCTTGACAAATAGAAGGTGGGGCACGTCGTGACATGACACGGCGCTGGACTCCCCTGCATGATCACCATGCCATGGCCCTTGTTTTTTTATTTAGGGTTGTTGCTTCGTTCTCTCTTCCTCTTGCGTTGTGTTTATTTTTTGTGCCTCTCAATTCATTGTAATAGCCTAGAGTAATAGTAACCTGTTCAGCGTTCGGCTGTTTGTTTCTAATTTGATTGCATAGGAACAAATCGCAGTCGTTTTTTGCTGGAATTTCCGAAGTTTTTCGCTGCCAATCATTGCCAATCATCTGAGGGTCGTGGGGGGTCTTGGTTGTCGTCGTGCTTCAGGTTTTTCCTTGTAGTTTTCGGGGACCGTGTATTTTCAGCATTTGCGTGGCCGTGGGTCTTCGCGTCCAATATTAATGGATGAAGTTTTCAGCATCCTTACCCTGATCTTGGGTCTACTCCCTTTTTTCCTTGGAACGAAGCCAATACGGTCAAGGGGGGGGGCTTAAATGGTCTGACAGATCTTTTTATCCATTATTTTTTGACGGGGCTGCTTTGATCACTGGGCCGAGCTGGTGTTAGGATCTTTGTTTTCGATGCCGTGCCCGTGAGTTTCCGTGACTGACGTAGGCTCTTCTGGCTGCCACCTTGTTTCAATATTGCAAGACTTGGCCTACGACTACTACTACGCACTGCCACTACACATCAGTAAAGCCATGCGTCTATCATCATCTTGGTCACCATAGTTAGTTAGTGTAGATGTCACATGTTGTGGCCCACTCTGAATTCGACCCGATCTTGTTCGAGGGGTTCGAGGCTTATACTTTCAAAGCAATTTGACGGCTCTCTTGAGCCTTCCGTGTTTGCACCATTACCGTTTTGTAGCTCTTTGAATCCATCTCCATGCAAGAAGTGCGGTTCGTTGAATCCATCCAAAGAATACCATGGAGAATCCATTTTAGAGGCTGGGGTAGTGTCGGCATAACTAACGTCGATACCTTACTCGAGCGTTTTCGAGGTCGCAACGTGCTGGCTCTGGCTTTTCGCTGCACTTTTTCGATAGTAACCTCGTCGTGAGCAGTCCACCCTCTCAGCTTGTTCATTACTGTTTTTTCAGAATTTTGCGTTGCCTGACCAGTGTGGAGGATAGTAAATAGCGGCTCCTTGGTTTTTTTAGTAGAGTGGTCCTATTCTTTTACTTCCGTTTTGTTGTTCAGATGAGTGCTTTTCCGTGGGGGGTATGCTTCTTTCATTTCCCCGTAAATGCGCGCTTCGGATCACGACGACGCCGCTCTCGGAGTGTGGTGTTTTGTTAGGCCTCAAGTCGGTGGGTGTTTGCCAGGGGGGCACAGCTAGGCGTGTAACATGGAGGCACATTAAAGAGTGCAGAACCCTGTAGAGGGTGCCCGCCGTGGTGGTCTTGGCGGGTGCCTTAGCACTGGCGCCCACGTGTGCCAGGGCTCCAGCTTGAATGATGTCACAGCCCCGTGGCCCATTTTCAAGCGGAAGCACCCTGGGGGACCGACTGGCGCATGTGGGCACACCGCACCGATCCCATTGCCGTTCTGGGCGGCGTTCCCTTGCGCCGCTAACTAAGGCACTCAGCCAAGCTGCCGCCGAATAGAGAACTTATAGGACCAAGCTGCCCCCTTGCTTCCTTACACAAAAACAGGAGGCGGAACCATTTTTCTCTTCTCGAAATGGTGTCCCGGGTCTGTCAGCGTGTGCCCTGGGCCCCACACTGACTGCTCGAGAGGCCGTTGGGGTTGGTCGCTTTTTGTTTCGCCGCGACCAAGCGTGCATCTTTACGGGGCTCGGGGGTTGTTTTCTGGTCATTCTGCAGGACGGGGAGGGCGCAGGGGCTCGTGGTATCGGGCATATGCTTGCTTCGAATTCCAGCAAGGTAGAAAAGGGCTGACTGTATTGCGAGCCAGGGTGGCGTAAGTACTTAAACTTTTTAGACAGCGGGGCAGGACTCGGGACTCCCCGGCGCCTCCTTGGCCAGGCGTGGCTAGCTTGCTGCAAGTGCGTGGGGAGTGTGTTGCGCGTCATGGTGGGCAGGCCGGGCGCGCAGCTGGTTTTACAACTAAGTGGCGGCGCGCGCTGCTGAGTGGGTGTTCTCTTCTGCGTGTCATCCGCTAGCGTGTTTGCTTGCTCTTTTTTTAGTCGTTTGCTGGCCTGTGTCAAGGCAGTGCCGTCGATGGCCCAGCGCGTCCCCCTTCGTTCTTTTGTTTGGATGGCTACACGCAGGTGGATTTCTTCTTTATCGGCTGCCCAGGCCAAGGAGATAATATTTATATTACGCATGACTCTCTTTGATTTAATATTATGCCTGACCCACTTTCTGTTTCTGCGGACTTTATCCAAGGAGCCCCCCATCATCGGAGTTGAGCTAGGAGGCTGGGGGAGCTCGATGCGAGGGGCCCCTCAGGTAACCTACCCTAGCTTTTCACCCCCGTCTCTTGTGTGGTTATATTATCTTTCCGATCAGGAGGCGGTGGCAGTTCGAAAATTTTCTGACTGCTTTTTCGGATCAGGTTCAGGCCCAGGCTAACGAGTTACGGAAGATGATTTTGGGGGGCAAGGACCCCGCCAAAACGACGATCGTTTTTCTTTCGGCTGGCAATGATCTCGACAATGAGCGAGAGGACGCGACGAATATGAAGACTAAAATCATGAACGCGCTGATTAAGAAGTCAGCAGAAATGGCGAAGACGGAAAAGTACAGGTTTGTCACTGGAGGCGCCAGTCATTGGCAGCATGTCTTTGCTACGGGTATGAGCGGGATGGGGCAGACAACGCACAACTTCCCCGACCTTGATCGCGATTTTATTTCTCCCAACGGTGTTCTTGTCCAAAGAAAGGCCAACGACGTGCCACCGCCTGCAGCATTCCCCCCGCCTCAGGGAGAGAACGAGCTTACCCACATGAAGGAACTCACACTTCTTATGGCAAGAAGACTATCACTCACACACATACCTCGAGACCTGTGCTATTGAAGATGTCACAACTTGGACTGAAGCTGCGAACTTTTTTGCAAGCACAAAGCTGCCCCTCGTTTTCAGTTTTCGGTCTTTACTAGTTAGTTTGTGAACGGCGCCGGCGTGTGACTTCGGGTATGGCTATGAGTAATGATCTGTCTATCATAGGCGAAGTCAAGGAGCAGCCGGACTACTACAAAGAGTTGTTTATCGAACTGGTCGCGGATGTATATTTGGTCTTCAAAGGTGGTCCGAAAGCTCCTGCCGAAGTCTTTGACGCGTATCGCCGTGGAGACTTGGTCGTACCGGTGCTTTTTTCTGGAGGTATGAGCAGCCCAAAGTCTACGTCACAGATTTCCGAGGGCGCCGGCCTGCTCCCTGAGCCTATATTCAACAGAGCAAAAGAGTGGCAGAAATACGACCTGTGCGCCCCTGACAAAGCGGAGCCGGAGGCGATTGCCGATGCCGTTTGGGGTCAAATTGAAGAGAGAAGGGTAAAGATTCTTTCCACTGATAGTTTTGCCGAGCCTTTTTGTCGGGGCGGGCTGCTGTGTTCCTTTATAGTTTAGCGGCTTTGCTTGTCTCAGGCCGTTTGCACAAAGAAAACAGGCAAAGGGGAAGAAAAGGCAAAGGGGAAGACAAGGCAAAGGGAAAGAAAAGGCAAAGGGAAAGAAAAGGCAAAGGGAAGGAAAAGGCAAAGGGAGAGAAAAGGCAAAGGGAAAGAAAAGGCAAAGGGGAAGAAAAGGCAAAGGGGAAGAGACGGCAAAGGGAAAGGAAAGGCAGAGGCAAAGAAAAGGCAAAGGGAAAGGGAGCACAGGGGGACAGGGACAGGCAAAGGGAGAGGAAAAGGCAAGAGGAAAGGAAAAGAGGAGGCAGGGGGGAAGGAAGAGGCAGAGAGTGAGGCAAAGGGAAAGGCAAAGGGAAGGGGAAGAGGCACAGGGGGAGGAAAAGGCAAAGGGAAAAGCAGAGGAGAAGGCAAGGGGGAAGGCAGGGGAGAAGGCGGAGGAAAGGGCAAAGGAAAAGGCAACGGAAGAGGCAGCGGGAAAGGCAGAGGAAAAGGCAAAGGGAAAGGGAAAGGCAGGGGAAAAGGCAGGAGAAGACGAGGCAAAGGGGAAGGGAAAGGCAGAGGAAAAGGCAAAGGGAAGGGCGAAGGAAGAGGCAGAGGAAAAGGCAAAGGGAAGGGCCACGGAAAAGGCCAGGGAAAAGGCAAAGGGAAAGGGGAGAGCGCAATAGGCTCCAGGTGGCTGGGACTGGCGTGCGTCGGGTTTCTATCTTGTAGCCCTCTGAGACGGTGTAGCACTTATCAGAATGTGCGCGCGCTGTGCATCTTCGCGCCTAGTATTGAAGTAAATGGATGAAGTTTCTTGCATCCTCACCCCGGTCGCCTTGGCTCGCCCTTCTTTCTTTGGAGGCCAATGCGGTGAAGGTGGAGAGGGGGGCCTAAATGGTCTGCCCGATCTTTTTACGCAAAGCAACTCTGAGGGGATTGCTTTGGCCACGGTGCTGAACTGGTTTCGGGATCTTTTTTCCATTTCGTGCGCGTAGGAGCTTTCTGTGCTGACGTAAGTTCGATCATTCCAACTGCCTCCCTGCTTCCGTAATTCATGACCGGGGCTTCGGCTATTGCCCCTTCTACTGCGCATCAGAAAAAGCATTCATCTTGAAGCGTCTTCGTTACCGCGTCCCTGGCTAGACGCGACACGCCGTGATGGACTGGCCTTGGTCTTGTTGGGGTGTGCTGCTCACGCTTCTGGCGCATTTCTAATGGCTTGGGCCTTCGGCTTTTCTATGATTCCAGCCGTTTCAGAATTAACAGGTAAAGACGATAGCTCGCCGAATCCGTGCAGCGGGTGGGGCACTCTGAATCCATTCAAACAGTGCCGCAGAGAGTCTGTTCTTCGACGGCTTCTACTGCAAGGGAGTCGCTGAGTTTGTACTTTTTGGCGCGCGCAGCTACTAGTACTAAGAGTCGGCTTGCCTTCGATTGATCCTCTAAAAGGCTGGGGCCGTGGAGGTATAAGAAACGCTGGCACAGCCTCGCTTCCTCGAGCGGTGTTCGGTAGTGTTTTCGAGGTCGCGGCCTCAGCATTCTGCGGTGTGCTGGTTGTGGCTCCCCACTGGGCCTTGTAGATAGTGTTCTCGCCGCGATCCATCCACAGTTTCAGCGTGTTCTCGCTCGTCTTTTCAGAATTTTTGGCTACCTTCCCGGTGTGGGGGGTCGTACGACGTGCATGGCGGCCGGCTGGTTTTAGTAGGCGGCCTTTTTCCTTTTTTCGTTTTGGTGTCCAGGTGCTTTTTCGTCGAGGAGGGTCCGTCGGTTTCTATCGTTTTCTGAGCAGCAAGTTAGTGCGCGCTTCGGATCACGGCGGCGCCGCTCTCGGGCCTCAAGTCGATGGACGTTTGTTAGGGGGAGGGGCAACTAGGCGTGTGACATGAAGGCACATTAAAGAGTGCGGAATCGTTGCAGAGGGTGTCCGCCGCGGTGGTCTTGGCGGGTGCCTTAGGTCTGGCGCTAACCGGTGCCGGGGCTCCCGCTCTAATGATATCACGGCCCCGCGGGGCCTCAAGTGCAAGCACCCTGGGCCCCAGGGTGCTTGCACTTGAACCTGGGAGGGATCGGCGGGCACATTTGGCCACACTGCGGCGACCCCTTTCCAGGCGGCGCTCTGTTAAGGAACATAGTCAATTTGCCGCCCAAAAGGGTACCCAAATCAAGGAGGTTGCCCCCTCGCTCCCTTACACGACAAATGCAGGGGGCGGGGCCCTCTTTTCCCTCCTCGAAAGGGTGCTCCGCGCTGACTGCTCGAGAGACCATTGGGGAGCCTGTGCTCGTGGTCGCTTCTTGTCGAGCCGTGGCCCAGCGTACATCTTGGCGGGCTCAGGGGGTGTTTTCTGGTGTGCATAGGGGTTCGCAGTATCGGGCTGAGGGCCTCCCTACTTCGAATTCCATCGAGGTAGAAAAGGGCTTGTGCAATTGCGAGCCAGGGTGGCGCAGGTAGTTCGTTGAACCTTTTAGACAGCAGGGCAGGGCCTGGGACTCTCCGGCGCCTCCTCGGCCAGGTGTGGATAGCTTGCTTGAAGTGTGTGGGGAGTGTGTTCGGCTCGCTGCGCGTCATCGTCGGCAGGGTGGGTGCGCAGCTCGTAAGTGAGGCGGCGAAGTGGCGGCGCGTGTTGCTCAGTGGGTGCTTCCGCGTGTCATCTGTTGGCGCGTGTGCTTGCTCTTTAGTCGTTTGCCTGCGAGCGTCCTGCAAGGCAGTGCCATCGAGACAGCAGCGCGTCCCCCTGTTCTCGTGTGTGCTTTTGCTTGACGGATTTCTTTTCTACTGGCTGCCCAGGTGAGGGAGATACTGTCATGCGTGACCTGCTTTCTGCCGACTTTATTCAGGGTGCTCACCATCCTCGGAGCTGAGTTAGGAGGCCGGGAGAGCTAGGTGCGAAGGATCCCAAACCGCGCCTGGCTTCTCCTTTCTGTCTCCCGTGTCGTGAGGTGATTATATTATCTTCGTTCCCGACGGGGAGGCGGTGGCAGTTGAGTTAGAAGGCTATTACGTATGGCCCCGGTAGTCTGCGGCCTTTGTTTTTCAGCTGAAATTCTGTTGTCGGTCGGCGCGAGCTACTAGAAGAGTAGTGAGAGGTAGCCGCGCAGGGGGTGCTTTTTTTATTTATTAGCCCTCCTTGGCCCCTTCGTGCCTCTGTGTTTGTTCTTGTTTCTTCTTGACTCCGAGCGCGCCTTTTCCTCCTTGTCTTTCGGATAGTAGATTGATAGGGTGTGATACGGTACACGTTTCTTGCCTCTTGGCGTAGCCTTTCTCAATTCAAGCACTGGCTTCTCCGCTTCAAAGCTTATTGGACTGCCCTTCCGGATCAGGTTGAGGCGAAAGAGGTGCGGAAGATCATTTTGGGCGACAAGCGTCCCGCCGAAGCAGCGATCGTTTTTCTTGTGGCAGGCAATAATCGCAACAATGAGGGAAAGGACGCGACGAACATTAAGACTAAAATGATGAATGCGTTGATTGAGAAGTCAGCAGAAATGGCGGGGACGGGAAAGTACATTTTTGTCACTGGAGGCGCCAGCCATTGGCAGCATGTTTTTGCTACGGGTATGAGCGGGAAGGGGCAGACAACGCACAACTTCGCCGACCACAACGGAGATTTTATTTCTTCGAAAGATGTCCTCGACGCTGACGGCGTGAAGAAATCGGATGCCGCATTTCCGCCTGCTAGGGCCGGGGCTGAGGGTACCCATATGCTGCCACTTAAAGTGATTATGGCAACGGGCTCCTCATTCATACCACAACGGAAAACTTTTGCGCCATTAAAAGCACTACTTTCGTTTAGATTGAATATTGAAAGTTGCAAGCCCACTTGACTAAGGACAAAGCCGTTCCTTGTTTGTGGTTTTCGGTCTTCGTTTCTGAGTGGCGCAAGCTTGTGACCTCGGGTATGAGTAATGACCCCTCTTTCATAGGGGAAGCTACGGGGACTGACAAGAACTTGCTTACCGGGCTGGTTGCGGATGTATATGTGGTCTTCCAAGGCGGCCAAGCAGCTCCAGCAGAAGTCGCTCCCGCGCATGAAAAAGGGGCATTGGTCGTGCCGGTGCTTTGCTCTGGGGGGACCAGTGCACCAGGAGGGGAAAATGGAGCGGCCCTTCCTGAGGATATATACAACAACGCAAAAACTTGGCAGCTGGAACAGGATGGCGATTTGTGCGCCCCTGGCGAAGAGGATCCGAAGGCGATTGCCGATGCTGTTTGGGGTCAAGTTGCAGGGAACATGGTATAGAATTCTCCCATCGATAGTTTTGCTGAGTTTTTTTGTTCGTGTTGTGTCCCTTTACAACTTACCGGCCCTTCGCCAGTCTTAGGCCATTCGCCGAAAGTGCTAGTTGAGCCCAGGCAGGTTGGTGCCCTCAGTTGTTCGCCCTGCTTTGCCTGTAAGGTGCTTGTTTGTAAGCGCCTATGTAGCTTTGCTGCAGTAGGATTCCCGTAGGTGGATGTAAATTTTCTCTGGGATTATCATACAGATCCGACGCCATTGGGCTTTGGCCATCTAGCCCGCGCCATTGGAATGGGGCCATCTAAGAGTGCTGCAGCCTTCGACAAATAGGGGGTGGAATGCGTGGCATCGCAGTGCGCTGGACTTCCCTGTATCAGCGTGCCGCGGTCCTGGTTGTTTTCTGGGTTGTTGTTTCGTTCCTTCGTTCTCTCTCCCCTTCTGCGTTGACCAAAAGAGTAGCCGAACAGGCTGCCCCCCTTTCTTTTCGAAAGGGCGCCCAGAGTCAGCGTGTGCCCAAACTGACTGCTCGAGGGACCAGTGGGGGGCCCTTGTTCGTGGTCGCTTCTTGTGTAACCCCGTCCCGGGTGGTTTCTCTTTCCTTACGGTGCTCGGCGGCTCGCCCTCGGACGGCAGCCCGCCCGGGCCACCCGGGGTGAATGGTGGACGGCGGACCAGGTCACCGGCCGTTTTTCGGGAAGTACGTACGTAAAGGGCGGGGGTTCGTGGGGCATATCGTTTGCCACGAATTCAATCAAGGTAGAAAGGAGCTGGCCCATTTGCAGAAAACCAGGGTGGGGCAAGTAGTTGGTAGCGTGGTCCGGGGTGGGTGCACGGGTTGTACCGTGTGGCGCCCTCTGCCTTGGGCGCTAGTGTTTGCCCTTTCGCTCGGCGGATGAGTTAGTATTAGCATGTTTGCCGCATGTAGTATGTGCGGCAGTTCCACAAGTCCACAGCTAGCCGGCGGACCGCCTGGGAGCCCGAGTCGGTTGACCTCTGCGTATTGTAGGTCATTGCAAATGCCACTTTCATTTGCGACTCCAATTTTCATTGGTTTAAAACAACGTATTTTTCAGGATCCTCTGTTGGTTTTTAGGTTGTTCGCATGCACCACTACTTCCTTGCAGAACCCACGTTTTTTTATGGAGTTGTATGTGCTAAGTGAAAGAAAGACAGAGGAGCCTGGTGTTGAATTATCCACCGGGGATTTGGCGAACCTTGACGATGCCTACTTTGTTGTATTGGTAAGTAAATGATTCTGGAATTTGGTGACCTGATTTTGGTCACAAGGGAAAGCAAGAAGAGAACCCTTGAGAGCAAAATCCTGCTACCGAATAGATACCAGAGCAGTACAGTTGGATGGGCAGCAAATCCCAAAGGATTAGCTTTGACGAAAGAGGCGGGTCCATGCTGCTGCGTCGTGTGGTGGTCGTCGTGTCTGCAAAGCTTGCTTTGCCTCGTCGTCCTCTAATGTGAGGCAGCGGGTGCGCTGTGGGGGCCCGCCTTTGCACTAAGTTTTTTTGTCCCTAGGCATACAGTGGCATTCTGCACTTCCAAGCACCGGCTTCGGGCCATTCGATAGTTTTATTTCTACTTTTTGCGGATTTTTGTTTGGCTCGTCTGTTGTATCCTTAATCTTGTTAGGCCCCTCCTCTGCCCGGCAATTTCTCCAAATATTTGTGTCGACTGTGTGAGAATATGTATGTCTATTCATGTATTGTAGCACGATCTATGTAGAGTGGGCAATAGCAACCTATCCTATCTTATCCTATCCTATTGTAGGAGGAGAAGGAGCTAGCATCGAAATTCATGAAGAAGCACAATACGGAGCGCCGCGTCGTTATCGCTGTTTTGGGAGGCGATTTCCCTGCAGCTGCTCACGACACAGAGGGTAAGGAAAGGAATTTTCTGGAGACAGTGGTTCCTGCTGTGGCAGAGAAGGTGGTCGGTCTAGTGGGAGACAAAGTTCTCTTCGTGACAGGTGGTGTATCCGACACGCAAAGGCTTTTCGGCCAGGGCGTCGCGAAGGCAAAATCAGAAGTGAGCCTCTACAATCTCAAAGGCGAACCTGTCACATGCCAAGCTGCTCCCTTGGAGGGAGACTGGAAAGGGAATGCATGGGGCGTTCCCTATCCTCACAATGACCCGAAAGATAGTCGGAAGGCCAAGCTCACGGGCCTGCTTGGTGACGTTGTTATTACCATTGGAGGCGGCGACGTGGTGATAGAGGAGGCGAAACTCGCCGTCAATGAAGCCAAGCAGGTCGTCCCATTGATAGCTACCGGTGTACCATTTCCAGAAGAGGCGCTGGAGAGGCCGGAATTCGTGGCCGAGGATCTCTGGAACGGTTTAGCCACGAAAATCGACGGTGCTGAGCAGAAGTATGCGGAAAACGCAGCAGAGGTCATCCGCGCTGCTGTAGATGAAGCCCGCGTCTAAGCGTCCGCTGCTGCTGATGCTTCTGGCGTCTAGGCTGCGTAAAGCCGCGTTTTTCTGTCAGTAGATTTGCTACATGTAGGTATTATCAGATGTATTAGCTTCCATATCCAAATTGATATTGATAATGATGCTTCCCCGTCCTGTGTGTGCACTTCCATCGCATGCGCTCTAGAATAGCTTCACTCTGCGAATGTGACTAGTTAGTATATCGATTAATGCTATTTGTAGCTACGTTGTATGATTTGGGAAACGGTTACGGCTCATGAAGTTGGAGCTGAAGCAAAGGCGTGCGTGTCTGCGTGTGTCTGCTTAAGTGACATCTGTCATTGTCCTGGGCTTGTTAATATTGTGAGAAGCGATGTTTTTTATCGCGCTTTTTTTTTTTGTTCATGTCGGTCCATCCAAGATTATGAAGTGTCCTCGTGTTCTTGTCGTCGATGTTGTAACATTTCCGCTCAGCACACACGTACTACTAAATTAGACCCGACTCGAGCTGCTAGTTTCTGTACTGCTTATGCACCTGATTTAGCTGTTCTCAAATAATGCTACCAACTGACGACCCCGAGTAGTCGTCCGTGTAACAAAGTGAAGGAAGGATAGTACTTAGCACGATGCACATTTTCGTCTGTGTAGTTTTCCGTGGAGGACATCTACAGAGTCTTTCCTCGCCCATTAGTTACAGTTTTTGTGTAACACTGAAGATTATATAGCATTAGTATGGAAATAGTTGAGGGAGGGTTTCTGATTTTTGTGGAGTGTTTCTCCAACTAGCGGTTTTTCGATTTTAGAGGTTTTTGGTTTTTGCGCTGTTGTTTTGGTTGGCGCGGATTGCGTCTTTTCGGGTAATTGCATAGAAGTGCTACAGAAGAAGTTCTTGGGCGGCTCTTTTAAGTATGAGAAGTGTCATAAAGTGCAGAACCCTCCTCAAAGACCTGAGTGATATGTCAGACTCAGGCCTTCTTGGTTCAAGAAACAAAGAAGCCCACTCTTGACTGACCGTTCTTGACTGGCCTTTCTTCTTGGCGTGGGGGCTCGAGCTGGGGCTGGGTACGTACTTGACCGTCGTCCGGTCCGTTGAGTGATCGGCTGCGCACGTGCCTGATATCGTTCAACTAAAAGACTATCCAGCACTTATAATTTTGCAAAGGAAGGTCTACGCCTATTTAGGTCTAGCTTTTTCGCTTTCGTATCCGTGTTATGTTGGAAGGGTATCGCTAGAAGTACTAGCAGCTTCGCATTCGTAGCTGTGGCACATGCGCACGATTTCTCAAGTGCCATTTTTTTGTAATTCTACTGTGGGGGGGGCTACTACAGAAACCGGCCTGTGCGTATGTTGCAACCTTATTGACCTTGTATTTTTACGAAGTTTGCTAGTAGTTGTATACTGCGTGCCAGTCTTGTTCTAGCCTGATGATGCCAGCTTCTACTGCTCCGGTGATGTCTGCGAGGCGCCAGCCGTTCACTTCTATTTGCTTTTGCCTTTTTCCTCGATAGCTCGTCTAGCCGCATGATTTTTCTTTTTTATCACGCGGCCGCTGCGGCAGTCTGCCCAGGTTTTTTGTGGGAGCAAATAGACTGTCTTTTGTATCTATTGTGTCCAGCGCCCTGCAGCAAGCTAATTTTTTGAATTTATTGATGCTTCTTATTGTTGATACTGGGAACATTTTGATAAAGCGCGCTAGATTTTGGAGAACAGAACCACCGCATAAAGAGTGGCTTTTTCCTAGATTTTGGAGATACGCAAGGACCTTGCGTAGGTCGCCAAGATGAGGCATCCCTGTTGCTGTTATTCCCGGGAAGCCCACCCCACGGGGCCTCCCAGCACGACGTCGAACCCCAAATAAGCGGTTTGTTTTCTTCTTTTAGATGAATTTTTCGGAGTAATAACTAATAAGAAGTTTCTGTCCGGGAGGCTCGCTCCAATTTCTGGCTACGGCAGCAACATTGAATGCCAGTATTTGCTTTTTTGTGGATAAGTAGTTATGACATAGAGCAGTGCTAGCGCTCAGCCAGTACCAGGCCATTCAGCTAGAGTTTTTGAATTTATATAGGATAAAGATTGATCATTTATGCGGAGGAAGAGGACCTTTCCGGTCAAAATCATTCTAGCGTCGTCCCCTCGGCGCAGTGGATTCGTCCTCTCGCAGCTGGTCTATTCGTCCGGAGTCGTGTTTATTAGTTTACAACAAGCCGAAGCCACTACTTGTAAGAATAGCAAACTTGTTTGACGGGCGAGCGCGCTGTCGGAGTTCTGGCACTGTGCTCTCGTTCGTCCAAGCTTGCATAAGACCGAGCACACAAGTACTCAGTAGAACATCGCATCACTGTGACAACGCCTCTCCTGTGTATCGAGTATTATTTGGAGAGGATGTTTGCTCGATAGCATTTTTGGAGTGACAGACGAATGTAATGGAGCAGAAGCAACTATAGGTACGTCCAGGAAGTGCTGCCAGGTGGTAGTAATCTCGGGAGAAGAATGCTACATAAGGTAGAGACTTTGGGAGGCTGGTAGGCGCAGAGGGCGCCTCAAAAGAACTATCCTGGACGTGCGTTGTGGCCGCCATTAAATTCTTACAGCAGTTACGCAATTCTGATCAGGAGGTCGTAAGTAATCAAACGTAGTCCTAACTGATGGGTGATCTACTGTAGATGAGGAATTTCTTCGAGGATAGCTGGTGCTGGTAAATTTAACGAGAGTTGCAGAAGAATTATTCTAACATGTCCGTCGACGCAGAAAAGAACGAAAAGAATTTTTGAATTGTTGATATGATGTAGTCAGTGAGTTGTACTTCTAAGGCCGTATGAAAAGAACAAGTTAGTAGAGACACACAAGAAAAAGAATTATGAAGTTCATAAATATAGTTTTGTCGCTATCCCTATGGTAGTCATGACGTTCTTGTTAATATTATGAAAAATCATTGATGGAGGCTCCTTGTCAGGCTTAATGTTATTATCTGAATAATATCGTTCGTTGCTTCGTTTCTAATTATATCTTCAAGGCATAATGATCAAGAACAAGCTCGTTGATGTTGCCGAAGGCATATACTCAGGAATGAGTCTCATAATCTAGAAGGTGCTGGTATGTTGGCTAGATGATGGGATTTGATCGCGTGAGATGACTGTTTGTCTCAGGTTGCGTGATGAAGTAAGAGTAGCAAGCACTTGATGCTTTACTTGTATAATGAGCAGGTGGGAATATATTCCTCTAGCAGGACAACTTACTTGTATGAGCAGGGTTTGGGGTAGTTGTATGAGCTTATCATATCATCCTCTACCTAGCCAATACGCTTCATAAAAATCCTCTAGGTAATCCATGTTACATCTGCCCATGATGCCCCGTCTGGTCGTCTCTTAGGGTGTATGAAGAGACTGGTTGTCTTAGCACGTGTGGGATCTTTTCGGTGCCATCCTTCCGCACTCGCAGCTTGTGACGTACTTGCAAAGGAGATCATGATGCTTTCTCTTTGTATGGCCAAAAGGGGATGGCACTTCCAAAGGGGATGGTGCTAGGTACTTCCAAAGCAGGGGATCATGGTGCAGATACTTCCAAAGCAGGGGATCACTCTGCTACGTAAGTACTTCCAAAGCAGGGGATGGCGCTAGGTAGTGCTAGGTACTTCCAAAGCAGGGGATTATGGTGCAGATGCTTCCAAAGCAGGGGATCATTCTGCTAGGTAAGTACTTCCAAAGCAGGGGATGGCGCTAGGTAGTGCTAGGTACTTCCAAAGCAGGGGATGGCGCTAGGTAGTGCTAGGTACTTCCAAAGCAGGGGATCATGGTGCAGATACTTCCAAAGCAGGGGATCATTCTGCTAGGTAAGTACTTCCAAAGCAGGGGATGGCGCTAGGTAGTGCTAGGTACTTCCAAAGCAGGGGATCATGGTGCAGATACTTCCAAAGCAGGGGATCATTCTGCTAGGTAAGTACCTCCAAAGCAGGGGATGGCGCTAGGTAGTGCTAGGTACTTCCAAAGCAGGGGATGGCGCTTTCTCTTCGACGCTCCTGACGCACTGAATTTTTTGTAGCAAGCAGGATGCCTCTTCCAATAAATGGCTCTTTGGTAACTTGTGACTTTGATCCCAGCAGGGGAAAGCAAGAAGCGACCCCTTTTGAGATCGAAAAAATATGGTGACCGAATACCAAAACAGTAGTACATGATGCGACAAAGGTCCACGAGATGAAGGCCGCCGACGCTGCCACCTGAGTCTGAGTCTGACAACATTGACGAACTTTGAACTTGTTTGCCCTAAGAACTTTGCAGGCCTCAAGGAAGTGGGCTCTTCCTCTTTCTGATTCTCCCATACAAAACGAAGGGGTTAATATAAACGTTTTTTCACAAACGAAGGAGTTAATATGGAAAGGGCGATGATCGCAGGGAATTTTATGCTATGTCGTATAATGGAAACTACGAGCTGGGCTAACTACTACAAAGAAAAAATAACTTTCCACCTATAATTTAGTAAAAGAAGTATTATTGTGTTTGTGTCTGCGAACTACGAAGTAGCAGTCCTGAAGTTCCAAGCTAACTTACTTAGAAATATGTTTCTCTAAGAAATGGGCCGACCCCGTTTCGGACTGTGCCCTACGATTAGGTTTACTACCTCTACTACCACTAGTACTACCAACAGCGCGAAGCCTATTCGGTCTTGTTGAATTGGCTCGTCTAGCAAGAAGCAGTGGGATAAGAAGTAGCGACCGACTCAATGGGTACTATGTCTGAGACAGAAGTTTTACTTAGGAGATGATAAAAGAACTACTATTGATGTTATTCAACTAGATCAGATTAAGAACTCCAACATAGCTAAGATGATGATGTACTTCTAAAGAAGATGATGTCTAAAGAAATATGAAGATCTACAATCCTTGTTATTACTAGTAAGCAAAAGCAATACATAGAAGAAGGTTAGATCATAATATTGAGAGCGTCGAGAATTGTCAGGAGCACTCAGAGACACAAAAAGCTAGTCATGATCTTGAAACAACCGCGAATTCATATTTCTCATAAAGTAGAGAAGGCACACGAGGTGGTAGCTCAAGACTAGAAGTATTCGTTTCGTATTCGTAGTTCTTTACTCGATCGCGATGATCCATTGTACTAGAAGAAGCCTATGATCAACAATAGCTATACATAGATGATGAGAGTTTCTGTTGTACTAGAAGAAGCATACTATCAGCAATTATAGAAGCTATAGATCATGCCTAGATCGATCCCCAGGAGATGGCGCATACCAGTCCCTGAGATTTCTCGATCCTGAGACAGAGCGACACTGTCTCCTCCAATTTTCCTCGGGTGGTCTAGTAAACGCAAATGAGCGAGGGAAAGGAGACCCTGATGATGACGACGATGCGCCACCGTTGACATTTGGTTAGGCTTAGGCCTCCTTAGGCAATAAAGGTCATACTACATAGATCATGAAAAATATGTGATGTTGTTGATACGTGGATCATGCAGAATATAGGTTTTTATTTTTCTGTGAGTGCTGAGGCTGACTCATATTTTCTTCTACCAAGTCGTGATCGGGATCCTCGTGTGCAGATCACGGCTGTCTCTCTTCTATTCATCTCGTCTGTAATGCGCGTTACGTCTAAGGTAAGTAGTGCTACAACTATGACGGCCAATATTGTTACTTGCCAGGAGAGACGCACGACGCCCGCACTCCGCCCTCTGATAGATAACAATTTACTAGGTACTTCACTGTTTGCGATCTATCATGATCATGATGGTGGCCATTTGTTGTGTCTGTTGCACGACAAAGCCACTTTCACTAGAGCTAGTTTCATGATGTCAAAAAGTCCTAACGAAAAAAGATAACATCATCTATATGATATGGTGTAAAACTACAGGGAGACTCGGACTTGATTGGTGTTAGTGTCTCAGAGTTGGTGATAGTGACAGTCTCAGAGTATCAGTTTTTGAGAACCGAGAAAATCCAATCGTTCCCAAACCAATCGTTTTCATTGAGATGACTGAAACTTGATGCTCATACAGTAGATGCTCCTAACGGCGCCATTACAGGTTGTGAGTAATTGGCTGCGGATGACGGCGAGTCGATTCCTATACTCTTCTATCTTAGTATTTGTATTCATTGTACCAATTACTCGGTAGATCTGACTGAGAATATGAATAGAAAAGGCAGCTATGATTATGTTCTCGACAAGGTACTACGAACTACTTGCGAAACACTTGATGTTCTTGGGTGGATGTGTGTCTTCACTTCTCTGTGAAAGAACTTGAACTCTCGAATAGATAGTCGTCCAACCATGCTTGATCTAACAAATAATTATACATTGTTTTCACAAACACAACACTTAGAATTCGTATTCGTTGCATGAGTAAAACCATACTTCCTAGACTGAACAATCTGATGATTCTTGCCTTTTACAGTATGGCGTATTATATGGCGTAAGCGTATGCGCCAGCTGCATGGCCTGAGTGTTCATCTGTGCCATCCAGTCCTTACCCTGATGTAGCATGCCTGAGTGTGAGTACTAGTTCTTCTGTTGGCTTTTATGCAGAGTTGAAAAGAGTCGAACGGATATGCTACAGGAGGAGAAGCGCATCAAAATGGAGCGAGGAGAGGCACTTCGTTTTTAGCACTTTATAGCGACTTCTAGGAGTACTACTGGTACTGGCACATGAGGACTTGGGCTACTGTTGCCGTTTTGCCAATGAAACAGACCTGCGGACAATGAATGTCGTGGAGGTGGACGAGTGCTACTAGATTATGGAATACATAGTACATTTTACATCTTCAAGGAAGAGTCGGCCATAGTCAATCTAGTAGACAGTCATCTAAATCTTGCGCAGGACCATATGATGAATACGGGCACTATGGTATAGATCAGGAGTCCAGCAATCCGAATCGACTAACATCATCATCATCATCATCAGCAGGAGAGCTCAGAGAAGACGCGCGAGAGTCGTATGAGCTTTCTAGGAAGATCGGTCTACGTCCGCATCGATCGGTCTGCCTGAACGAACACCGAATGTAGAGGACAGAGATCGGTCGCATGTTAAATACTAAGACTAAGTATGCAGAAGTTTTACCTAGTATTAGTTCTTGTAGCAGTCGCAGTAGAATAGGAGTACAACTAAACCCATTCGAGGGGTACAAAGTCCAAATGCAGTTAGTGGCATTCTTCGAGAAGTATCTTACCGAATATTGATATTTTTCAATCGAAGATACTAGGTCGACCACTATGATCGTCTACTCTGATCTGATAGATCATTGATAATCGATTATCCCTGTCTGACCATGTGTGAGTATCATGTTTTTGATATCGTAACGCTCGCCTATCTGTCGTTCATTCAAAAAACAAGATAGTACCGAGCGTGCACCTATGGCTGACACACCGATTCACTCATAGTTCAACTACCCCGTTCTTGAGTATCCGACAGAATTTTCTCATCCAAACTTCTGCCGAGTAAACAAGTACCTTTTTCGTCCTGGTAGTAAAGACTATAATTTAGGGATATGAAGATGCAACATGATCCTTCCACCTCATAATTGAGATTCTCCCAGCACTTCGTCATTGAGTATCTACGTATCAATTTCGATGCATGTCCTGGAATTCATCTTTTCTTGATCATTTGGAGCAACTCTGCTGCTCATCAATCATGCGTATGCTGCATGCTGCTTCTACTTCCGCCACTGCTTCTGCTGTGGCTACGCGCAGTACTACAACAACTATGCGTGCGAGCACTACTCTCGACTGTTTGAACGAGAATGCGACTGAAGCTTCAGGAAGATACGTCACCGCACGGGCACGCGACCAATAAGCCACGCATCGAACGTGCTTTCGCTTGCCACAATAATCGAATTCTGATTGTCAGCTACAATTACTGAGCAAACACCTTGCAACATGAACATCCATGGACTCCCAACTACAACTACAGCTGAAACGCTTCGCATGGTACTGAAACATCTGGCATCTACGGTGCTTTCTGAGTAGGTCACACTAAATGTCACGATGGCCAGATCCTGAGAGCAAGTAGTACTAGAGATATACGACCTGCTGGCATGAAGATGCACCATCACGAGGTCATGGGCGGCCCGAACGGATTCGGGCATCAGGACAAGGTTAAGATGAAATTCAAAAACGTCACTAGTACTAGTAGTAGTAGAGTTGAAAAGGGCACTTCTTGCACTGGTGTTCAAAACGCAACTAGCAGTAGTAGTAGAGTAAATACCTACTACATCATTCATCAGGATCAGGGCAGGAACATTCATCAAGGCTCCCATTCTAACAAGGCCTCGATGCTACAGTCTCTGTTTCAAAAAAACGTTGAACTAGCGAAGGAAGACGCTGAGGCGAAGGGCGCGAGCATACGGCAATTCTACGATAATCGACCCTACGAATGGTTATGATGGGATTAAGAAGTAGACATAAAAAAGGGCAAAAGAAATATGTTTGTTCTTGAGTAGAGACATTGTAGACATAGAGAGATATTACTGTGTGAATGAAGTTCCTGAAGACCGAAGGCGAATTCAAAAAAAAAGTGGACGAATGAAAAACTCAGAGATGATTTTTCCTGATTTTTAGGTACAATCACTTGAGACGAACGTATTTGTTGTAGGTGACTATGCAGCGTAGAAGAAGTTGCAGAGATGTTGGGCGATTCTCTATTAGTTGTAAACAGTCTAAAGCAAGGTCCCAAGCTTCCGCTTCCGGGTAGAGGTGACAACGAGGTTCCGATTCTGATCGGAAAAATACCAAGCCGCGACGATCATATTAATTTGCCACTGGTGAAGACGGTTAAGAACCCAAATAATTATACTGCAAGAAGAGGAGGAGGACCACAGAAAATGGACACGTTTCTTGGAGGTAGAGCAGACCAACAGACATGGCTCTTACATGACAAGAAATTATCCTGGGATCAGAGGCAAAAGCTTGCAGCAAACATTCTAGGAGAGCTCTCGCGGTCAGCCCACGATCTCGAAGAACCTCCTATATCGTTAACCGACTTAGAAAACGCGCAACGGATGAATGTAGAAAGTGAGAGGAGAAGAAACCCGAAGATCGTGTATCCGGGAATGGATGACTTCTTTGACTGATAAGATACTAGATGTGGTGTGCTGCTGCACTTCATGTTATTTCTGATATTTTCTCGTGGGTGACCACAGCAGGCTGAAAGATGGAAGATACTTACAAACAAACGTTTGCACACCCAAACTCATGGAGATGAAGTTTCTCATCTACGAGCTCATTTCGCAGCGAACGGAAAAAGCATTTTTTTTGCATGAAGAAAGACCTCCTTTCATAGAAGGGTTTCGTGCATAAGCATATAAACGGCAGCTCTCTATGTCTAAAAGTGAAAAAAGCTGTTGAACAAGTAGGTGGGTCGAAGGATTTCATTTGGATGAGAAGAAGACGGCATCTCTTAAAAAATGCAAAAAAATCAAAAATGAGAAACAAAGAGCTCCTTTAATGTGCTCTAGGAGCGACTATATTTATTATAGATCATACAACTATTCATCTTCATCAGAAGTAGTCTGGCATCAAGTCAAGAACAACATCTGGCTAGGTGGGCCTAGGGATTGTAACTCTGTCGAAGGAATCTTCATGTCGTTCTGGCAATTTACTTGTGCAACATCCACTACTACTACTCTGGAGCAGCAGTGGAATTTAATATAGTTGTAACGACGAAGTATCAACGCTGAACAAAAACAGCACGCTCTAACAAATTAGAAAGTACCTAATATTATTTCTGAATTTGTATGTGATTCTTCCAGGCTCGCTCAATACACAAAAAAACCATGTTGTTGGAACACGGCTTCAAACGGTTAGTGTCTTTTCCGGCTCAGCCGGAGGGCCGTGAGAAGATGGAACGGATTAAACGGCTGTGTGGTCAGCGGTTTATCGCAGAAGACGATGGAGTCATGATGATTGACCTACTTGAATTATGGCTATCCTCGGAAAGATGTAGACAATTATCCATCGGTAAATTTTGGTTTTACGCAACTTACACTGGCATTCTGGGGCGTTGTTGAGGAGAAAATTTTTCTTGATTAGTTACGAATCCATCTCGTCTATGTTGATTCAACGACCCTGGTAGTAACACTTTGTCATCGGAGTAGAGCGATTGCTCTTAGGGGTAGCGCCGCTAATTGATGGGCTAGCATTCGACTGCTGTTATGGGGGTGGACTTTTCCTGCTCGGCGAGCTATTTCGGACAGGCGACTTCGAACCTGGCGTGCCCGTGGATACGGACAAGGTTTTTTGCGTTAATAAATTCAAGTAGTAGAAGTAGAAGTAGATCCTGAATAAGATGCTGTATTTCTTCTAAGGTCGAGTATTGATAGATTTGGAAAAACTAAGAAGGAATACCCACAGACACCCAAACTGTTGTTGTTGCTTGGAGTTATTTTTTCTCTTGTGATTTGAACCTGTTTTACTTCTCCATACTCTGACGGGATCCATGAGCATGAACCTATATTCACTGTGGTAGTAGTTGCACAACGAACTATTTAATTCCGCATCAAGAACAATCCAGAGTCTGTTTTTACAACCACAACGTATGGCCCAACTACATAGGCACTTGGGTACTACGTCTTGACGCTGGCCCACCCCCATGTATGCAAGATTATCGACGAAAGCGGACTTATTGTTAAGGCTCGAGAAAGGCCATCGATCTTTCATCTCAGCATCTGACTTGGCCCTATTTATTTATTTGAAGATCCTGAACGAGATGGATTTAGGCAACAAGATCTAACATTGAGGTGGGGGGATTCCTTCTTGCCAATTACCAGTCAGTGCAATCGCGATATCCCAAAGAGGTCGCTGCGATTATCTTACGGATTCGGATCATACTCATAAGTAGATATTTCTTTATGATCTTGATCATCAAGATCAGGAGCATATCTATGTTCTTGTGCTGTGGAGTCCGAGGTACGTTTAGGGCCTAGTACGTGCTCAAGAAAAAGTTGACAGCACTAATTCTTTCGAAAAACGTTCTCTCTGGTGATGTCTTGCGGTACCTGCAGTACGCACTCGACATTAAGACTACGTACTAGAAAAACTTTACAACAAGGATAGAGGACAGGTGTGCGTTTAATAAGCAGTTCTTGTTTGAATAACCAGCACAGCGACGGGGGCGCTACCCGACAAAGAAACACACTTTTAGAATCTTCAGGGACAGGTCGTGGGGATCATACTTACATCATATTTAAGCACCCGCGTGAATATTGATGTTGGGTCGTACCTCGTAGCTCGTCGATCGCGTGCTTATCAAACATGATGATCTGGTGTGTGCTGGACCCTGAGAAGATAATGCTGTTGATCGGAATCTTATCATGGTGTTTTCATATGATAGACCTATTTTTATTTATAGCAATAGCGAACTTGTTGGTCAATGGTCATTACTGGCTCAAGATCCAATGGATGAACCTGATTTCAATGCCAAATGACTGCTCTCACTCGTCACCTTGATCATGATCAATACCGTTCCTTGTCCTGAACTCTTGTTAGTTCCTCGTATGATCATCATTTGAACTCAATGAATTCCAACATGAATTAGCAGCAAGATCTCCCAGATCTTTAACTGCACTATGACCCTTCATGATATCCCAATGACATTGAACCCATTTTGATACCATTTCAGGGCCTTAAACAGTCAGTGATCATTCGGCACGTCCGTTCTGATCGTCTTTCTGTTACATTGCAACAGTAGTCATTCCATTTGCTCTCTAGAGCCTCGTATTGCGCTTGGACGTGTTCGGGTGTTCCAACAGAACTTCTTATAGGAGATCATTCTACAAGACACATAATTTGTAGTTTTTCTAATGATAAGAGAGTTAATCAGGAACCTGCTGAGGACGGGGGGATGGCTTCGACGAGGTCCTCTTCTTCCGGAGGGGAAAACGAGGAGAGCGTCAGCACAGCTAAACAGAAGGCACCTGCTAGTTTTTAAGGGTATCTTGGTACTAGAAATTCCATACTCTTCTAAAAGTTACTTATAAAGTGGCGCACGTTCTTTTGGCTTTTTTGGTCCCGAGATGTCTGTAGTTAAAAGATCGCTTTCCTCCAAGCCCAAGGGCGGGTGGGATCTTCTACTACCTCTAAAAAGTGCATGGTGGTTTTCAAAAAGGATCGTTGGCACTGGATGATGGTAGTCGCGCGCGTGCAATCGAGATAAAGGAGCGGGCGAACGAGTTATATCGTCAGGGAATGCTTCCCGGAAATGCGAAAGGAAAAGGCTTGTTGCAGCAAGCAGCAAAGATGTACGAGGAGGCCTACGGTAATTTAGATATTTGGTACTTCTCTATGGACAGTGGCGGCTGCGTCTGTCGACTTTTTTCGTTTGTCTTTCTGTCTCTTAGTAGTCAATCTGTCTAGTTGTTAACCTATGCCCAGAAAGAAGGCAAATGCTACAGTCTCATGATTTGAGTTCGTTTCCTTGGTTAGCTGTCTCGTTCCAGTTGTTGTAGAGCAAGATGAAGATAGGACTTTTAGTAAGTAAACACAGGTATACACGCCGATTATGTTTACTTGTCGAATGCGGCGCAGGCATTGTGCACCAGTGAAGACTGGATAGGGGCAAAAAGCTATGCTGAGCGTGCACTGGAGCAGTGCTCTCGAGAGTTAGGGCTCAATAGATACAATTCATTTCTACACGCCCTTTCTCTCTAGGCTATTTCCTTCGTTCTTGGAATCGGGAGATAGGTAGGCAAGAAATGGATCTTCTTGAGCTCTAAGAGACGAGATGGACGCTGTGGCTGGTGGCTACAGCAGCACCGCTTCCGCCTCTTTGGAGGAGCGCACAAGAGTCGCCCTCCAGAAACGGAAGTTAGGGATCGATGCAGTCACTGATCACCTCTCTCTCATTTATCGAATAGACTATAATCTGCTGAGGACACTGTCAGAGTCACTGACTCAGCATGATCTCTATCTACTTATTCATGTACAAAGATGACTATGATGTTGGTTCTTATAAAGGTATCTCATGTACTGAATAGACTCGATTGTTCTTGAAGACTGGATTTCGATTTTCTCTCATGTATTTCAAGAGTGGGAATTTTTAAGAATAGAAGAAGCAAGAAGGCCAAGAGTCGATCCTGCACTCCACCTCCACTAATATATTAAGTTAGATATTAAGCCCACACTGCGAGTTCGAAATAAACAAGATATAAGTACTGACTGTTGGTCTCTCTGTTGATCACCGTCTACTAGTACTCTCATTAAATTATAAAGATTGCCTAGCTCTAAGGAAGATACTGCAACGGCTAGCGACAGCGCAGATTCACCTCCGGGAGTTCTCTGCGGCGGCCGCAAGTCTCAACTCAGCACTCGCAGTCTGCAAAAGATTCGTTCGGGAGAAGTCCTTATGTCACATCTCAACTTTGACAGGAACGTAATCGAACCTGTTGACTCCTCTAGACTTCTACACTCATCGATTACTTATAGTACAACCTCCCTTTTTAGTTTACTCCGTCAAAACTCAGAGGGAAGGGGATGAACCAACACTGCTTCTGCAGTTGTAAAAACCAGCAAGGGGAGCAGGAACTGCAGCTGTGACTGTGACGTCATTTCTACGTGCGTTAGCATATGATGAAAAACTTGCACCTCCAACATTTTCTGCATCCTCGGGGTCGATTAAGGCTGGGAGCAATATCTTAATGCTGGTATCGTATGGTGCAGTCACTGCGTAGCCCTGTCCGTATGTACTCCTGTTTCTGAAACACATTTGCTTTGTTACCGAAACATATACTACGAGGATTAAGGGTTTAGGAGGGGTAAGGGTTTAGGAGGGGTAAACCCTTAGGAGGGGTACCCGAAAACATATACGTTAATAACTGAGAACGTAGTTGTCCTCGTAGTTCATCGAGTTCATCTCCTTTCTTTATGATGTTTGTTGATGATGCTGGGACGTTTTCTCTGCTAAGACCGGCAGTAGTTCATCAGCAGGAGATGGGATTGGAGCAAGAGATGGGAGTGGAGCAAGCGAGCTCTTTGCGCTGTGTAAGCAGATTCCTGCAAGCGCGTTGCCTCCTGTTAAGACTCAGCTGCAGTCGTGAGTTTCTAGAATCAGGGCGTTGGTTAGACGACCACTTCTGGTCTATCTTCTAGTACCAATACCATCAGCAATCTGGAGCATAAAAACTGCTCTAATCACCACCACGAGTGGGTGCTGCAACATGCAAGTGTAGAAAAGCATTTCAACAAGTCAGATTACGTCCTGATGGAAAAAAGGATCTGCGGAAAATGGGCGTATGGTCCGCCGGACAATTAAGGCGAACTGCTGAAAACGGATTTTACACAAGGATCTATACTATTACTAGTAGTTCAAGAGTACTAGTATAAGTAAATCATGCTTCATCAGTTCCAGGGAGTGTAGTATGCCTCATCTTCTTAGACAAACGAACTAGGCTCTGGAGTCTCATGAGAGGAAGGGTTAGCGTTAGGGTTTAGGGAGATATAATACAAGTATGGCATACTGGTATCCTCGTTCGAAAACTAGTACCACAGATATTAATGTTGAGCAAAAATAAAAACTACCGTTACAACCTGCTACTTCTCTAATTTCAGCCCAACAATTTTGAGATCCGCTTGCTGCCACACGGCGCACTAGTCTACGTCGAGTTCGAGGTCTCAGTGGAGCTATTGCAAGATCGCCTGCTTTCGTGGCATGGCGATTTCTCTCTGGTTCCTGGCATGATGCTGGAGTTGAATTTCGAACCTAGTATGGATTCTATGACATGGAAAAACAAAAAGTGTCGTGCTTCTCATCATAGTTGTCAAGATCTAATTAGAATTACTTATACTTCAAGAGTATTTAATTGACTTCTGTTGGTGAGGTTTTTAATAACGATCGACTACTCCACTTTCATCCAACCTGTTGTATCTGCATTACTTACTTTTCTATCTTCCTCTGGTCTTTCTTTTTTCTAGTTAGGTCGGCTCCGCCACAATTACTTAGGCAGAAGTCGGGGCTAGGCCAGAAACTTAACCTAGGCGTAGGCACGTTCCATTATCCAGAAGTTACGTTCCGGGTATTGCTGAGGTACCTTCATACTGTTACCTCAAGCTGCTCAAGTTGAGCATGCAATGATTGAGAAGTTAAGTATACATAGATAGGAAGGTTTCACTTGAGTTGTACTATGAGATGAAAAAGTTTGAGGTGTACTATGAGCTGAATGAGTACACTTTTTTACTTAAGTTTATTTATTCCACTATCGGGCTCGGGGGCTGGTCTAAAACTCCATCATCTTCATCTTTATGGTCTTGTCTTCATAGATTCGCTGAGCGTGACATTCGTCCCACCTCCGCCAGAGGAGATGACGGATGAATTTCGGGAAAAATTTGGGAAGGGTCCCCAAAAATTCTCGGCCCGGCGTGTCTCCTTCAGTCCCGAGTACCTAGCGACTCTGGAAGAAAGGGAAACAGGGAAAGCGACTCTAGAAGAAAGGGATGGCGATTCTAGAAGAAAAGACGACTCGGCGAAACTAGACGACCACCAGAAGTCGAGTAAAAAAGCGACCACAATAGACAAGAGAGACGAACGAAGGACAACATCTTCGTCTTCTGAAAGAAGAATAGACGAGCAGCTGGGAAAGGTGGGACAGACACCTCAGCAGGAAAAAGCGGCCAGGCGGCCAGCAGGCGTAGAGTTAAGCTCTGTTGGAATATATTATTCCTGACCTCCTGTGTAACCACATGGTATCAGCAAAACTACTTACCTATGTACATTTGTTGTATCTACAAGGCGACTAAGTATTCAGAATAAGAGCAGTTAAGAGAGATCTATACTTGTCTCGTCTAATTAAGTATTAGAATGAGAGCAGTCTATACTTGTCTACTAATACCTAGCTTCGCTTTCATCACTGTCTTCACAGTGAATAACGATTTACCTAGAGAGGTGTCCGTCGGTCTCCCGTATAGCTGTACTAACCGACGTCTCCTGTGTAGTATTAAGTTGCTGATGAAGTCTAAGTCAATTGTGAGAGATATGAAAGGAAGTCGTAAGGCTTCTACTCAAGGAAAGAATTGATTACTATCTAATGAAAGCCAATTCAATCTAGACAATTCCATCATGTGTGCGTTTTTCTTTATGCTTACATTACACCCGCACCAGTTAGATAAGCTATTAGCTTATCTAACTGCGGGTGTCATTGAAGTTAAACGACCTACAACCTAGACAATTCCATCGTCCTTCTTACTACAATTACTACTACTTGCAGTTCTATTTCTAATGGAGCGTTTTTTTGTCACCGCGTGTGAGTCGCATTCCTGCCTAGTCGGGGAGTACAGGGTCATGGCTGATCCTGAAAATGGCAAGCCGTGCTATGTAAAGACAGTCGAGGACGAGGACGGCACCCGTCGTGTTAAGGTCCGATCATTCAAAGAAGAAGAGCAAAAAGATCATATTATACATCTGGGTTACAACTTTTAACTGATCACTCAAAGAAGTAGATTAAGATTTTTTACATTGCTTTTCTTGTTCTAGTTCTTAGGTCCGAACAATGGCATACATTTCCAACAACAAACTTAGAGGAGAGAATAATTAATGATCGTTCCCGTACTTCGTTCGACTCTTCACTTTTCATTGACTTGTTTGAATTTGACAGACTTCTCGTCTTATACTTTGCTTTTTTTGCACAATAGACAGTAGGTACAACTCTTCTCGTGAATCAGAACCATCTTTAGTACAAAGATTTACTGCATCATGCTAATCATGAACAGACGAAGACGAGTGCTACCTATTATTGCTGGTTTCGTGGTGGACAGTGGGTATTTACGACTCTCTTGGATGCCTCACCTTATCGGGCTCCATTCTTACTACGGTGTGCGAACGCAAACGGTCCTACGCCTCTGCAGTTGAGACCAAGGCCTTTTTGGTTTGCGAAGCAAGGAAAGGTTAGGACTCAAGATCCTTGGGAAAGTCCTGTTCAGGTAATCCATGATCTCCAAAAGCAGCTTGCTTGGAGCTTCTAAGTAAGCATTAATTCTCTCAAATTGATTCTGCTGCATTTTTACAGTAAAAATGAAAAGGTGGAAAACGAATTTTTATAGTCCTATTCACTTAAGAACTTCTACTTCACAAGAAAGCATCAAGATGAAGGATCTCAAGGTGTTGAAGGATCTCGTCAAGATGTGCTTCATCTACTATTTCGGAGGTGACCTCCTGCTCTAAGAAGGGACCCGAAGTGCGTGATCCGACTGTATCGCTGAATCAAGAAACGTCTTTGCCATCATCGTCCTCGTCGTCCGCCTCCTCCTCTTCATACCAGGTGGACGGTGGCACAGCTTCAGTAACAACGATTTCCACAGCAGGCGAGAGGAATGATAACGCTTCCTCTGACAAGACTCAGAACAATCACGAGAAGACGAAGAGTTCTCGTAAAGAACTATCATGTAGCTTCCCGTCTTCATCTTCTTCAGTGTGTGCGAGTCAGGGTGGATTTTCTGAAGAGGCGAGAATACCACAATGCGTTTTTTTAGACCATCTAGTAGTGCCCGTGCCGAACGACGGGGACAGCGGCGGGAGGTCTTCTCCCAGAACAAGGGTGTCTTCTACTTTGGCGAAAAGGAAGAGAGCGGGCAAAAAGGTTCCGTCGCGTATTTCCGGGTTTTATGTGAAGACTGCTGGCGTGCGTGGTGAGGAAGCGTCCAACATCGAGGGGTCGAACATCGAAGAGGGATCGCAGTTTGTGAGCACACACGACGAGGGACTATGCCTTCGTCTGCGGCTGGAGGAGGCACGCCTCCATTGGGTGGTTTGGGACGCCAATGAGAAGGTGGTAATAGCAAGATGGCGCGATGAACATCAACAAGATTGTGAAGTCGTCGATCGTAACGATTCGTCTATTCATTCGCCTAGAAGTCAGAACGCGACTTCTTCGGGTACAAGTAGCTGTATAGTGACAGGAGGAAAACGACGATTATTGCCCGCGGTGGCACCTTGGCTTTCCACAGATGCCTCAGCGGGAGTGAAGCAGGAAAATGCTGGGCAAAGCTGGGCTTGGGAAACTTATGGCTAATTGTATTTCAACGCTTTCACCTTTTACTCAAGGTCAAGTTGCACAATAATTAGATCCTATGCTTGTATCATTTTTTTCATTAATACAACTTTCTCTCTCTCCATTAATATCTATTCAATATCATCTCTGTCATGTTGGTACACTTGCGTCACTCATTTCCAGTGTTCGTAGGGGTAGAGACACACAGTCACGGGTCGTAAAAACAGCCAAGAGATTCCGCACAACATTCTCATGTAGTTGATAAACAAGTCTAGAACTTCTAAGGCTACAAGGAGTAACCAAGCCTAGACTTCGTAGTACGAAAACATTCTGCTGAGGCTAGGAGTAATGAACTACTAGCCTAGAACTTCTACTAGAGGAAGTATTCCGCACAACATTGTCAGGCTACAGAAAGAAATAAAGAAAAACAAGCCTTAATCTTCTCGGTGAAGTGGTACTAAAACTAGTAAAGTACAAGTACGATTTCTTGCCGATCTGTTCCACGATTTCTTCTCTCTAGACTACGTTCTAAGAAAACGTGGAGCAGATCGGCAAGAAATACACATGGACGCAATCGCGGACGTTCAGCCGGGATCGCATGCTTCGGTGTCTGCCAGTGCCAGAATTTCTCACCGGAGGGCTACTCACATCCGCGAGACTGGAGTTGTGGGGTCGGGCCACCTTACCCGCTCGCCCAGCACAACTTGATGGAAGTGATCATCAACATAAACAACATGAACAACATAAACAAGAACACGGAAGTGATCATCAACATAGACAACATGTAGAACAACAACAACAACTAGATGCTGTTTATTTAAGGCTCAACTTTCATTGCTTTCATTGAGGTTGGTCACTGAGATCGAAGAGGGGCCCCCTTGAGAGAACAGGGGAAAACTGAGGGAAAACAAGGAGAGAGATGCGGGGGGCCTCCTATTCAGAGTCAGTGAGCAATGAATGCTGGCCTGCTTTAATGTATCTACTGAAACACTGTGACGTTGCAACCGCTACTACTTGTTGTAGTGGTCTTCGTGAGCAAGGCACAACTACGGACGAGGCAGTCATCAGGGTCAATTGTGACAGAGCTGGCGCCACTATTAAGGCCAGTCAATCTTCACTATCTGGTGTCGTGGACTATGTATGCTGAGTGAGTTCTCCCTGCGAACAAGTCCTGACTCAGGGGGAATTCAATGTAGTAACTTGTAATTACAAGGTACAAGGAAAAAAGGGACGAATCTACTGCGAATCCAGCCACGACGGATAGTGATTGGCTGGCGTTAACGCTAGCAGCTTCGAGATCCGAAATCCGTTCACGTCTGGCGGAGATGATCTGGATCTGATGTTTCAGAAAAAGCAGAATCATCTGATCATTACACCTAGACTTTAAGGGGGTCGTGTTGAGTAGAATCATCTGGGTGATGAGATGAAATGATTTAATTATTGAGGATGACTTACACTCAGTTAGAATCATCTGGGTGATGAGAAATGATTTAAGCGGGTGATCATGAGGATGACTTTTCACACCAAGAGCTTACTTACTCGGGTGGATATATCATCTTTTCAGGAGGTAGTATTAGTGCGACGTGATGGTGAACAAGGTTCGATTGTACTTACTAGCACAAGAAAGCGAGACGATACTAAGATTGTTCTTGTACCTGCAAGAGCAGCACGTCTAGCACTACATCCTGGAGCAGAAAAACAAGCACTGATGTCAGAAAAGATAGCAATTCTTCTAAGTAGCACTTCTAAGTGCTCATGCAGAAAAACAAGCACTGTCACCTGTGAATAGAAGCGGATCGAACTCAATCTATTTGTCGCCTGAGCATTTTTGATGCCGATCACTAGTCAGGAGGGAGCATTTTCCTCCTAATCCCAATACTGCTCTCGACGCTGATGCGGCGACTTCAATGCTGCAAGTAACGCCTTGTAACGGAGATGTTGTTCTTCTAGGACGAAGAAGATGAGTACTAATAAACGCTAGAGCAAAGCATTTCGTGAGAAGACGAGGGAGTAAAAAAACATCTGTGTGTGTGAAAAGCTCTGTCAGCATTGAGAGTTGAGATTTCGTAGATTTTGTCTACTTCCTGGTTGTGTTGTGCTTAATATTGCAACGTCGATGCGTGTTGATGAGAAACAGCTGTGAGAAAGACAGATTGACCGTCGGACTTCAAGAACACTGGCTTTTTAATAAGATATGCCCACCTCCACGTCCACCTCCAATCTTTTCCCGCCCTGTCTCCTATCATCTGATCTTAGACTCATTATCGTCTCTTCATCATTAACGTGCTAGTTGTCAGTTTCGTGTGGTGATTCAGATGCAAGAAGTAGTTCACTTGATGCTAGTATCATGAAAGAGAATATACAACCGTGAACATCTCGTATGATCGTCCCTCTTCAATGACACGATATCCTTACAATTTGTACATCAATCCAACATCAGCGATGCATCTGCGTCGTTTTTGTTGCCCATTTCCTACTCCCAACTTTTGTCTTTTTCCCACATAGGTTTTGAAGGTTCTGGCTTTGTATCTACAACTTACGAATAGAGACATGGATATGAATCTTAATAGTCTGACTGAGGAAAGAAGCAAGTCTATTTTTAGTGCTACATTTACTGCTACAATCTCGGAACAGACGAGTCTTTTACTGCGACAAACACTTGTTCGAACTGAAGCAACTGCTCACCAGGAGTTGGTTATGTTTTCTTGATAATTAAGGCTTCCCCTAATTAATTCATCTTCGGGAGCATCCCCAAGAGGCTTTCAATTGGAAACGGCGCCTATGATGCATCCCGGGATGGATTAGGGTGAGCCCTGATTATTATACACTCATTTACCGAACATCACTCGTGGGTCGTGCGTCAGAATTTACAACACACATCTTCAATTCGAAGTATAAAAAGATACTTGCAGTGCTGAAGTGATTTTTCTTTTTCTCGCATTCTTCTTACTTCCACAACTCAAGCAAGAAGAGGCTGAACAACTCAATCAGACAAGATGGCGACAACTTCAGAACATTCGGGACAGCATTTGATGTTCTTCCTCGTCCTCGGCTTATTTTGGGGCGCGCACCTCACGTGTTATGTTACGGCTACAGAAAAATAGATCATGATAAGAAGGAGATGCAGAGCTAGAAAGTGCATTAGAATGTCCTCAACGGCGGTGCAACGTTGATCCACACATTGTTCTACTGTGCTTTGTAGTCTCCTAATATGGTGCTGGGGAGGGTCGACTTATCCATTTATTTCGTAAGCGAGAGCACTCTTACTATTGGGTACTTCCCCCAAAGAGACCCTAAGGGCAGAAGCGGACGCTTCCCTTTGTGTAAGTAATTCAGTATGTGAAAGACATTAAAACTGAGAGAGAACTCACTTCTCCTTCTAGGTAAAATCTTTTCCAAAAATGATCTTAGGATGACGATCATTCCCGCACTCCCCATGTGCGTCAACTGATCTACATGAACGGCCCCATTTTCCTTACCATCCTAGTGTTGTACTTCTTCAGTCGAGGTTGCTTCTCTCTTGAGATGATCGAGGTGAAGGCGTCCGCAGGGAAGTTATATGTATCGTTACCTCAAGTAGAGCATGCTGCTTTTATCTCGTGGTTGATATTTACTTATACATAGTAAAACATCGGCTGGGGCAAGCATTTAGACGGGGTCATCCTGAGTACAAGTAGAGGCTGCAGTTATTGTTTCATTCTTAAGAAAGCGGCTTTTACTTTTAGTATCTATTTCAAGAACAGGATGAATAGTAATTGCTGAAGTGGTTTTTAAGTATAACATTTACTTCAAGAACAGGGTAGACCACGAACCTCGCTAATGAGAGGCGGGTGGGACTGGGTACCTCGTTGGAGGAACAGGAACGCTACTTGGCGACAGGAGAGCCATTGAAATCCTTCGTCCCTGACTCTGAACAAGCAAAGGACGGCATAGCAGCGTCTGAGCCGCCCTGCAGCTTTCTGGAAAAGGGCTCTTCCTCTTCGTGCGGGGGGAGGACTGACAGGAGCGCTTCCACTGGTGATACAACGAGCTTGGAGGCGCCCGATGATGATAGGTCTACTAGTGCCGACGGAATAGCTGCGCATCTCGAGAAGGAAGCGCCCGACGCTGTTCCTCGCGCTGCCCCTGCTGGTGCTGATTCGTCGCAAGCGCGAGACGGAGATGCTACTGCTGCTCCTGCCGCTGATCATGGCGCTGAGCCTGGTGCCGCTGCTGGTGTTGGCGCTCCTGCTCCTGCCGCTGATGATGGCGCTCAGCCTGGTGCCGCTGCTGGTGTTGGCGCTCCTGCTCCTGCCGCTGATGATGGCGCTCAGCCTGGTGCCGCTGCTGGTGTTGGCGCTCCTGCTCCTGCCGCTGATGATGGCGCCCAGCCTGGTGCCGCTGCTGGTGTTGGCGCTACTGCTGCTGCTACTGCTGCTGCCACTGCTGCTGCCACCTCTGCCGGCGCTGTCCAAAAAACTGTTGCTTCATCAGAAAGTAGAGCCGTCAAGCAGCAGGTACATTTTTTTTCTTTGCGACCACAGCCAGGTACTAAGAAACTTATGTTTCTAGGACCTTGTTAAATAATGGAATACTCGCCATAGTAGTTAGAGTAGACTGAACTCCTCAGAATCCCATAAAGATAAACATTGTACTAAGTACTCGTGTACTTAACTCACGTTGGCGGACCCAGCGTTGACTTCATGTGGCCGTGAATGTAATGATCGAAAGCAATCTCACGCTACAAAAGCAGGTTGACTCTTCGGTCGTAGGTGGTGGTACGCGGAAGGAGAAGAAAGAGGCGAAAGCCAAGTTAAAGTTAAGGCTACCGCTAAAGCGTCTTCAGCACCCAGCCTGGCTCCTTTTCTTCTTGAAAAAGAAGCCAAGGATGGTATCAAGGATGTTGCGAACGCGGTAGCGCTAATGATGAAAGCAGAAGATAAATTCAAGAAGGCCGAGAAAGAATATCGAGATGCGTACTGGTACGCCACGCAGTCGCAGAATGAGATTGAGAAGCAGAAGAACGCCAAGAAGTCCTCGTGGACAACGCAGGGAGCAGCAGCACTCGCAAAGGCACAAGAATTATGGCTCATAAATGATTGTAGAATAGATCTAGATGTTAAGAATTCAACATCGATCTTCGTCACAGATGAGTGAGTGTGAGTACACTAATTTCGTGTCTGTTTACTTCTTAGTTTCCATTGATTGATTTCCAAAAGAAAGCACGATCTACATCTGCTTCGAAAAGGATCTTCGCTAACAAATGCGTACAAGAAGAAGCTGGGATTATGTCAAGATGCGTACACGGCGAAACAACAGGCAGAGGTGGGTGCGCGCACTGTGGGTGTCCAAGTTGAATATGGATGTTGTTTGTTCCACTTCCATCGATCTTTCAGACCATCTAGGCTGGCCCTTTTGTTCCTTTAGCTTTATAAAAGTGTATAGTTTACAAGAGAGCCTAGATGATCTGGCTAGATGGGAATAACAACATCCACGACGGAGATGGAAACAAGACCGAGGATCCTGCGGCAGGAGGAGGTGCAAAGCAAGGATGCCAAGATCCACCTGAACTGAGAAAGCCGACGAAAAATGGATCCGGCGGCATCTTCCAGGAGATCGCAAGCTTAGTAGGGCAGGGCATAGTAGCCGTCCTTACCTGACAGCTCCGACCTTTTTCAACATAAGGTAGAGGCTTAGGTCCAACGACGTTCAAAGCACTAAGAAAATAACCGGCTACTTTTTTCTTTGTTGTTCAATTTGAACTAGAAAGCGCTCAATATTACTTACTTAATTAGAAAGTGTTCAATTTTTACTTAGATCCTACAAGATTTCGCAGATATGACCACAAATATGCGCATGTGTATGCTTTTCCGTGTCTCTGCAACTTACAACTGGCCTCCCTCTACTGAGGAGGCAAGAAGCCTGTGGACATAGGAGCAGCATGCGGCTTGTCATATCATCACTTCGCGCAGCATCGGTTTTTCCTACTTCGTCTTTGTCTTCTACGTCGTCGAGAGATCGTGAATTAGCTCGTCAAGCTTCAAAAGAAGCAGGAGGTGGAAGAGAAAAATAAAAGAGAAGATGAGGAAAAAGGAAAAGATAGAAAATTGATGTCGATTGTAAAAAAGGTACGCCCTACAATCAATAAAAAGCATTTTTGAAATTTTGTTCAACGAAAAAATGTTACATCTGCAGATTGATTCTTGCAGGAGCATCTTGGGATCGATTAGGAGAATAATCACTTCTCAATGTCAGGAGCCCATACTTGTTTGTAACGTGAGCCTCTCTCTCATGATCATGCTACGAACATGTTGATGTTGAACTACAAGTTGAAATAAGTGAGGTCTTACTCTGTCCTCTGCTCTCCACTTGTTCCCTTAGCTGATGTTGAAGATCCCATGTCTTGTCCAGAAATCTTTGCTAGTTCCGCATGGAGTCCGTTTCCGAGTTTTAAGGAATGAACTGACACCAGTTGTAAGAGATGGATTGAACCTTTTTTTCTCTGCTAGTCAGACAGTGCTGGTTTGTCTGTATGAAGAATGTATCTGTATGCAGCTGCAACCAAGAAATCGTGAGAAAATTCACTTGGTGAGTGCAGCTAGGAAAAGGTCGAGGCATCGCCCTCAAAAATCTAAGAAGTAAAAGAGCTAGGAATAGAAGGAGAACTCATGAGTGGTGTGAACAAGACTGAGAGACAACGAGTCTATTCTACCGACCCGCTAGAAGTGACCCACTACACCCACTTCCTCTCACGCTTTTGCTCATTCAACCAAAACTTGCTCACTCTCTGCAAAAACAAAGCAGGTCATGATAAGTCTACTTACAAAGAAAGTTGCAAGAAGACGCACAGATTTTTATACCGAGATGAAAGACGAAGCTCCACCGATCAGCATCAACTACTAGTACATCGCTAGCTCCACTCCTCAATACTATTACTACTTCTAGTAGGACCTTGTTTAATACCACTTCACTGCGAGGGAGACTTCGGCACAACTTCGTCAAGGACATCAGTTTGACTTTGAAAGAAGAAAAAAAGAGGACCTTTACAACTTCCCCACTTTGACCTTACATCAAATTTAATACAGACCCATTACCACTTCACTACGGACTTCCCACCATCATGTCGTCGTCTACGCAAGCGCCGCTTCCGCGAGGCAGACATGACTTGAAGAGCCGAAACACGACGACGACGTCGTCTAGCCGAAAAATGACTATCTACGTTTTCGATGAGACCACTGGCGGAAGCCGGAACTTCACGTGCAGACAGGACGTCCTACTACAGCACATGAAGTACTCCCTTCTACAATTAATTATGGGTTGTTGAAACATCTCATGTTTCCACGCTTTTCTCCCTGACCATTACGGGTTGTTGTTGAAACATGTCACTTCATCTTTTACTAACACGCTTTTCTCCCTGACCATTATGGGTTGTTGTTGAAACATGTCACTTCATCTTTTACTAACACGCTTTTCTCCCTGACCATTGCTCTCTAAAAATGAAATGCTTCATACAGATACAGCACATGAAGTACTTACTGCATCTGATGAAAGTGGAGAAGCACTTCTTGAAACTTGAGTACTAGGGTTGATCGATCAACTCTCAACTTTCAAGCGGCTGCTCTAGTAGCTCTACGTCTACTTCTCCACGTGATCTTTTACGTATGGTCTTTTCGACCAGAACTCCTATTTTTGTAGAGAGTCGTCGCCTATGATATGATCTTCCAGGACCACGTGCATATGACTTTTTCAAGAGAGGAAAAAGCCATAGAAGATAATGTCCGAGAGAGATAGGTGAACATCTTCTGCAAGCGCCTGTTCTTGACTATAATCATGTTAAAGTTGTACAACAAGTGTCTTCTATCTTGATTACGTACAACAAATCGTTACTGTCTGGATCGAGTTTAGCGAGTAGCAAAACTGGTGCGAACACATTGTCTAGGTATTTCCGGTCGTATTTGTCGGAGTCCTCAGCGTCCGACGATGTGGAGATCAGCGTGCACTGCGATGTCGGAGTCTTCGCGTGGCTGGTGCGCTATATGGACAATTTATGAGTAGTTCTAAGTTAGCAGCTCCCTTTGGCCACTTTACTCCGTTATTTCAGTTTTTCGAATAGTAATGTAGAAGTAGTAATTCTAGAAGTAGCTCCCCATAAATTTTAGGAAAATTAGTAGAAGTAGTAATTCTAGAAGTAGCTCCCCATTCAAATGGTTCGTCATTCTTCATTATGCTATGCAACTTGTTGCACATGGAGCCCTTTGTTTCATCATGCACACTCACATTGTTCTTTTGTAGCAAGTAGTAGAGTTCTAAAGAAACCAGCATACATATCGAAATTGAGTGCGAGCACGGTGGTCTCCATCTTGATCAGTGCGCAGTTCCTCCAGATGGACGCATTGGTGGAAAAATGCATGGATTTTCTGCAGACAGAGGGCCTCGATAAAGTTTTGGCACTGCCCATCGATCTCAGCTGTCTTACAGTTAAGGGTTAACCAATTACATCCCCCACAACCATTCCTCCCTCTTTTTCCAGTAGGAAAGAGGTGAGGGATGTTCTGAAGAATGTAATTCTGCAACCTCTAATACAGACGGTCTCTTAGAGCGATTGGCAGACCGTGTGGGACCTGAATCGCTGGAAGGGATACACGATCCAGAGGATAAGCTCATCTCCAAGTTATACGATCGCCATTTGACTTTATGAAGAAGAGAATTCGACTTTCAATGAATCACTACCCGTGGTCGAGTGAGAAATTTAATGTGAAAGGACAAGAACAAGATAGAACCGTACTTGAATGGTTCTGGTATTTTTGGTATAGCCTGATTGAATTTGATCCTAAGGGTTCTCTTCTTGTTTTCCCTTATGATCAAATTCAGGCTATACCAAAAATACCGGAACCATTCAAATTCGACTCATGATAATGTGAAAGGACAAGAAGATAGAACCGTACTGTTAAAAAAAATTTTTGTAAGTCATCTAGTAGATCTGCGCTACTCTATCCTTTACCTACAGTCATTTCCTTTATACTTTTGTTTCCTTAGTAATGATATTGTATGTCATCTAGTAGAAGTGGAAGGGCTGGATTAGGATCTTAGTATTGTACGTCTAGGAGGTTCTTGTGGAAGTGCTGGATCATTGAGGGTCTATTCTACCAACCGTAGGAACGACGTATTCCAAGAATTACAACCGTAGTTCTTGTATGAAAGTAGCAGTATGGAAATGGACTTTAACTCCTGTACTACTTACTAGAGTTGTCACCAACAAGCACCATCATGCTAATCCAGAACCTTTCAACTGAAAGACAGCACTATAATTCTTGGCTTCCATTTAGATCGTCGTATTTCTTTCATTGCTCCGTCTTTTGGCGAACTCCGAAGAGCTGCATCGGTGTGTCTTCTGCCGTGCCTTGTTTTTTCCGAGTTGCCTTCAGACCTCCGGAAACAATTCGCGTAGTAGTACTTATGGTTTTTAGAAGGTATTTGATCATGTGGCTGAACTTGTTTGTTTATCAATCTGAAGAAATCAAAGGAGGATCCTGCTACTTTATTTACGTGGGCTTGTTCATCTTCATGCGTTCAAGGAGATAAACAAGATGAAATAGATAAACTAGAAGAATTAGTTCAAGATGCTGAAAATTATCATGAGGTTTTTTGAAAACAACTACAAGGGTTGAAGCAAGATAGGTTGAATTTTAAAGTACAGCTCTTGCACCCCTGCTTAGGTCTAAAGTACAGTTGCAGCCACGAAAAAAAGGTCAAACCAAGTGAAAAAAGGAGCAGATGCGAAAGCTAGTCGAGCTCTATCATCCACGCGAGTCGTGAGGAAGTCACAGACCACGTTATGGGAGGATTTTCTTTAGCAATCTATACATAGAATAGTAGTCCAGTACTAGAAAAACGATTAGATGTGAATGCGATTGCTAAAATGGACCACGGGTGTCGCTCGGCTCATAACTAGCACAAGAGACAAAGAAGTCTCTGATCGAGGTACAACAGGACAGGAAAACTTACCAGGTCCAGTATGAGAAATGGTGGTGCTAACGCTATTAAGCTGCCATAATTAGAAAAACAACAAGTTGAAGTTTATGGACAGAATTCAGTCATATTCTAGTGTGGGCGTCTACAATTTTTAGACTCTCTATTCGCAGGGCAGTCGTGACAGGAATACAACCTACAATCTAGTCCATTCATCATCGTACTTATATCATCCTTCCTCCTGCTCTCTTTTTCATTTCCACAGCACGACTGCTATCGTTGTCCAAAGGCGGAGCTTTTTATCGATTTCAATGGGCGCGTTATCGCACAGCACGTCACGGATCGCGATTTTGACATCCATGAGCAGTTACATCTCCAGAAGCAACGCATTGCACAGATTCGACGTGCTTTTATGTACTAAACATGATCTGAATCCACATTTTTCAAAGCGTGCTTCGAAATGAGAAGGTATTCAAAAGTATTCTAATTCTCCCTCGTCGTTGTAGAACAAGTGCTTTCCGCCACGGATGCTAACAACCTGTACTAGTTGTAGGCCGGCTTGCACAACAAGCTAGACTTACAATAGTAGTACAAGATGTGCTTTCTTCGGGATGGGGATACAAGATTCCTCTTGTGAGGATGAATGACAGAAGTATAGTGGATATGAACAAGACGACAATATTCTGTTGACTCAACCTCCAATCCTTGCAATGCTGCAAAGAACGAACAACAGTCCTCAAATATGACCAGTGGCACTGACGGAGCAACTGTCGACGTGGTCACCTCAGCGATTATACCACCAGGGTTTACCATGTCCGATCTCTATTACGGCGTCATTATGGCTAGCCTCATGTTGTCGCGATACAAAAGTGTACTAATTGTGGTCTTTGGTTTTCTCTTAGGAGTACCTTAATTAAGATTTTAGGCATAAGAACTAAGAGCAATAAGGTAACCTCAGGCATAACAACAGGCGCAAGAAAGAGGGGCCTAAAAAGAAAACTTGGCATTATTATATAAATATTTTTGTCTAAAGAAGCTAAAGGATCTTGGTCTTCTTCGGTTCAAAACATATTTATATAAATATAATCACATCGGCGCTCAAAGCACTAAGTAAGACAGCCGGTTAGTTTTCACCTCGACTAAATTAGGTTTATCCCGAGCAACATTATATATAATCACATCAGGACTTTTATGACAAATTGCGTACCACGTACATAAGTTTTCGAAGAAGATAAGCTTCATACATAAAGAAAGAAGAAGTAGCAGTTCACCTTTCTAATTTTTTTGGCAGTTATGGGGACGTGTGAACATGTTGCATTGCTCCGTATGCGACCAAGTTTTTCCACTTGCGGACTATCATCGGTGCCTCTATCATCCCGAGGAACCTATCTTCCCGGATGCAGCGGGGAAGGTGCCGATTTTGTACAGCCTACTTAGGAAATGTTCGAGTGTATAATTAGATTAGTGTTCATCTTAGTTAAGGAGCTAATAAAGATTAACTAATTCACTATCGTCTAGAACAACTTCTACATTAAGTAAGTAAGTAAGTAAGTAAGTAAGTACGTGTTGTAAACTATCGCGCCACGCAATTGCGAAGCAATGCAAAAATAGTACATTTTCTATCCATGTGAGTTTAAATTGTTTACAATTCCAAGTAAAAGCGTCTGAAAGAATGCAAGAATAGTCTCATAAGCGATCAACATGCTGTATCCCTAGTATCCCCCTTTTCCTTTTATTGATGCTCTTTGTTTTCTATTAGTTGTTCCTTGTTTGTTGGAAGTGTAACTACACTATGCTTGCTCTCGCTACCTTGCTTGTTCTGCGAGCCATAATATCAGTATTATCATACCCCACGATTGGGTACTACACTACTACTACTACTAAACGCAACCAGGCTGGACGCTACCCTTGTTGTGATATGGCTGTCCTGCGCTTCGATTCGACAGAACAAAGGCGTGGGTGCTGCGAACGAAAGCATCAGATCCTGAAGGCTCTAGTCTGCGAACATGATGCCGAAGACCTCTGCCGGTTACTCTACAAATTCGAGGACAAAATCTGTCGAAAGATATGATGAGTGATCTCAGACTTAGGATATTGAATTTGAAAGATGTTTTTAGTGTTTGTACTTGTAGTACTAGTTTTTCCAGAACAAGTAATATTAGACCTTCTCCTGATTGTTATTTGATCGTAGTTTCGCGGTTGTTCGTTTCCGTATAAGTGCGCAAATCTTTGTCTACGTCTATCCACACGGCGGCACATCATCAAGGAAGAACACCATCATCAAGGATTCTTCGATATGGATTGATCTACGTACTTACGCCTCTCTCGCTGTTTCATATTGGACGGAGCTGTTTCAAAAGGACGTCTTCGAGCTAGCGGATGAGGTGCAAACCGCAGACAAGAAACGTCGAGGGTCGAATAACAAGCTGCAAGACTATGATGACGATGGGCAAAAACGAATTAGTTCTATTAACGCATGTTGATATTGATACTTGATTCCGGTACGTAGAGTATGAGTAATACCTAGTGATTCTGGAGGTAGACCAGCACCTAACTAGGTCGTGGCCTAATACAGAGCTACTTTAAACGTCGCTATGATGATTTTTATTCTAAACAATAGTTGTTTCTGCATGTTGTATGCTTAATAGTGTCCCTTTCAGTCTTTTTTCATGTTGCTGTCGCTGCGGATGAAATCGTCAAGCAGGGAGGAGACTATCACGAAAACGCTACGTCGCAATCGAGCGAGTCTGACGACGCTGACAGCGCATTATGACGCTCAATTCCAACTTTCTGCTGTTACTCAAAGTTGTAAAGTAGTTTCTGTTGTACTACAGTTGTAGTTGTACCAACTTCTAGAATCAATAATACATGATGTAACATCAAAAGTTCTTGTTCAAGAAGGAGACATGATCAAATTCAAAAGTGACTCCTGAGATAAGCGGTTCTTTACACGTGTTCGGTGCTCCCACTTTTTAGAGAGTAGTACAGGTGGGTACACTCACATTCTAACTCCAGACGACAGTACGCATGTTAGTGGAGGCGATGGCGAGGAGGAGTACGATACTGACGATTCGGCACCTCGGATCACGCGGAGCCGGCTTCCGCCAGCTGGTGCTTCTGACTCTGACCGACCGGCGCCACAGTATGCACGCACGTTGGGCGATCGCAAGGAAGGGGAACACTGTACTACTATTGATCATTTTTTACTAGTATTATAGTCTACGTGTACGTTGTAATACGTACTCCAACTCCTACTCTACAGTCAAGAAAAGACTTTTAGTTTTACTAGAACATGAACAATCAACATCTTTCTATTGAAATAATCAATCGACACTACATCAGTTTATGATCCGCGATGCTCTGCTGATAAAGCCTACATTTTTGAGGCGGTACCGGAATATGCCCACGTCGGACAGCACAAGGGTGCACGGTCCAAGCGAAATCGGGGAAACAACTAAGGCTAAACTAATCAATCAGAATCGTTTTTGCGGAACGGATTTCCCTTCGAAATCTTCAAGTGAATAATATAGGGCAAGGAAGGGAATCTACTCCACCGTCAGGGATGATGATTGGCTGGCGCTAAAACAAGCGTGGATCGATTGCAGCGCGACCCCGTGCGCCCTCGGGCGGCATGGCAGGTCTACAGCTTTCCCCGGGTGTGGGTACTGCTACTGAACATGTGATTCATCACCAGTCTAACTAGACCCAGCACACTGATCTAAGTAGAATAACAACGTGATCGGAGGTACTGTAACTACTGCTTGGATAGATTTGGAAGCTCTCCACGAAATTCGCTTACCACTAGTACTTCCACTTCCTCTACTTCCTCTTCCCTCACTCACGACAATGTCGGAAATTCTTGAGTCTCGATCTCTAAGAATCACTTCTTCTCTCCACTCTAAACTTCCTCTACTTCCTCTTGATCAACACATCCACTAGACGCCGTATCCTTTTTCGATTTGCGGTTTCCTGGCAATACCCGACGACAGAGGGACCAGAGGCTTGATATGCTTCGCGAGGACGACAAGAGGCGAACACGAGTGCTCCTAATGCGGCAACGCAAGAAGGCGAATCGCTTCGCAAAGGAGAACCCTGAGCAGGAGTCAGCAGAAGGCAATGAGCGCACTTCCAACGTTAAGGCTAAATACAACTAGGCAAAAATAACCACTATTTCATGTCGTGCAACATGTGGACCACTTTGCTTAGAAGACGTCAAGGGAATGAGTTGTGCAAGTGAATTCCCTTGATGGAGGGAGTCAAGGGAATGAGTGAAAGTGAATTCCCTTGAGCGAAGAAGTCAAGGGTAATATAGTCCGAGTTTACAGGTACTCGAGCAGGGTCCTTGATAGCGATTCTTGCATACTAGCTTTAAAAACCGTAGTGGAATGCAGCTGCCCGCACCCCTTCGCGATGGACACTCTTCGTTATTAGCTAATAACTTACTAGGGAAAAGCCTCTATGGTACGCCAGGAGGAGCCGGTGGTGTCACAAATAGCCTTTTTTTAAGGCTTCGTCCCCTAGCCTAAATCATCTACTTCACAGATTCACTTGTTTCAGAAGCATCTTCTTGAAGCGGTTCCTCCCATGTGGAGAAAGAAAGCATCTTGAAGCTGTCCCCCCTCCATAGGGAGAAACATATGGAGAAATAAGAAAGAAGTATCCTCACAATCACATATCGAGAAAGAAAGAAGCATCTTCAGGAAGATGAGTCGTAAGATGGATAAGCATAAGGATGATTGAGCGCTAACTCTTGCCGGGGGAGGTGGGAGCAGTCTGGTTGGTGGCGCACCAGGTGCAACTGGTACTACTAGTGGAGGCAGTAGTACAAAGTCGATGACGAAAAACTCTGATAGAAAACGACGCATGGTGATGGGCATGGGAGAGATCAAACCAAAACCAGCAAGACCAAGCAGTGCCGCGGGTAGCAACGCGGGTACTAATTCGAATCTTACTGGAGGAAAACGGCTGCTTCGATAGCTGCTCTACTTTTCTCCGGTGTCCGCAAGTTCTTCGGCGAGGGTTCTGTTTTGATTTCTTCTAGAAGACTGAGGAGATGAAGATAGAAGTGCAAAAGAAGGAGAAGGAAAGATCGAAATATGGCGACTACTTGATAAAATCTGATGAGCCATTGACATTGTGACGTGGTACGGAGCTGCCATGAATGCATATAGAAATTCAACCTAGTAATTCAACCTAGTCAAAAATCGTATCCCCTCATATGGACAGCATGAAGTTCTTACTAATTTCGTGATATTGGACGAAGACGAGACAAAGACTCGCGCCACCGCTACAAATTTTTTTCAGTAGTTTCATTCGTGACGAGAGCACTTCTGATGTAGATTCAGGTGGCCAGCGCCAGTAGAATGAGCATGGGAGACTGGAGGATGCGACATTCATACGTGAACCTCGAAAAGATGATGATGCAGTCATGCAGCCAACATTTCTCATCTGGTACAAATAGTGTCTCCACGCAGCAGCACCAAGATGAAAGATCGCGAAAAAGTGGAAAAAATTAGCTGAAATGATCATCATCTAAGATGTAGGTAGCAGTAGCAAGCATATCCATATTTTTAAAAAGAGGAAACGAACAGATCGTCGTGATGAGGGTGAACTATGATAAGTACATAGATCATGATTAGGACTATTCATCTTACGGAGGTAGCAAGCATATTGAAACACCACATGGTGCTGAGTTGACGCTGACTACTCCTGTCCCTACGACCATCAACATGGAGGAAAAAGTTATGTTAGCTACGACTACTCCTGTCACGACACATTCATTCGTAGAATCCGTTTAACGCGAGCATCAACATGGACTTAGGTGGAGGACACGCGTCGGCTGCGGATGGTGCGAAGACAGCCGCCCAGAAACGGCGCGCTTCGGGACAGTCATACGGACGTGGCCGGTCGGCTAGTATCGTCGACGACTTTGGTGCTGGATCCCAGAGTCTCGGCGCACAGCGCCTACAAGGCGCAACTTTCGGTAGTTCTCCGAGCAAGAATATTGGCAACGTTTAAGACGAGTGAGTTGAAACTCGATCTCTTCGTTTTCTACACCCCAATTTATAAGAGTTGAAATATCTCATCTACTTCATTTTTTTTCTATAACCTATACATAGTTGTACCTAAGTACTTGCATTCTAGAACCTTAAGCTATTTTTAGATGATCTGACAGAGCGTTGAAATATATTGTCATCTCTGCAACCTACTTGTAGATTTAAGTATTGAAGCTACTATATATATAATATGTGGGTGATCATGAAAATGAAAAGAGCAGGTACAACTAGAGGTCTACTGCTCAACAACCGAACCTTTTTTAAGTTTCACCGAACACGACGGTCAACGTCACCGCTCCGACATCCGCCTCCGGAGCGTCAGGGGTACTTCATCCAGGGACATCAGGATCGGGATCCGGGACAGCAGGAAGTGGCTCTCCACCTGGTCCTCCCGCGCATCCTTAAGGCTAATAAATATGGATACTGCAGTACTGAGAACCCTTTCAAATCGAACGCGCAATTATGAATCGAAGAGACACGACACAAATCGCCAATTTTTGCGACATTTCAAATCGAAACATGATCTGACGTTTCCAGGAAAGAGTCTTACTCTTATTTCCAACAGATGTTGCCAGGAAAGAGTCTGAGTAGATGTGCATGCAAGTCTACTTACTCTTAGTACTAGATGTGCATAATGCAACTCACTCTCACATCGTTTTACAACTCTTAGTAGATGCGCATGCAACTCACATACAACATTTGTCCAGCACCCTACTAATGTCCGAATCGTAGCCGTTTCGGCCGAGCTCTGTCCACAGCCTCTTTCTCGCGATCGCCGTCCAGAGGTCATATTCTGGAGGAGGATGACCACGGACGCAGCGGCAGCTTCCTTGGGACAGGAGGACCCAGCGCAGGTGGAGGAGACCGGAGCGGTGCTGTAAGCTTCAATTATGCTAATAAAGATTAACTAATCCACTATCATCTAGAAAAACTGCATTATGCTGATGAAAGGTGGAAGCTTTGGGCGAGAGTCTAGCAGGTGCCGAGTCCTTTTTGCGTTTTTGGTGCACAAAGAGTTGAAAAATATGATTTGCTTAAGAATAAGATCTTTTCACACAATGAAGAAATGCACGTGATTGAAGTAGTAAATTCGAAGACGAAAAGGAGCAAGAACAAGTAAGAGTAAGTATGTAGTAATGTTTATCAGGAGAGGAAGCACAATATATCGTAGTGAGTAGTTGTTTTTAATCGGAGATGGTGATGAAGCCTAGCATATGTAGTCGATTATCTTTCTTATCATCGATCATTATTTATATCATATTTCTAACATGGTCGCGGGGGTCCTCGAGGGAGGACGATAAGCAGGGCACAAACAGCGGCTTTCGGCGGTGATGGCGCCGCCCGTTCGGGCTCGTTCCTTCAGTTGCCAGACGGGCCGGGCAGTGGCGCAAGTTCGAGGTTGGGCCCTTTGTTAAGGCTAGCTTATCGTATCCCATTCCCAGGTCAGCGGCTGAGTGAGTGGGGTCTACCTTCTTGATCAGGGACTAACTTGGACTACTGCTAAACCTTCATTTTAAAGGGCAAACACAAACTATAATACTAAAAGGGACATCAACTACGACACAGGGCATCTCTCCTCACTTAACAACCTTCACTCAACCCCGTAGATAAGGAAAAACTTAACTAGCTTTAACCTTGGGAGCACCTGGGGGATCAGGCGGTAGTTTTTCGGGACCGGCAGGAGGGCGAGATCATGTGTCTGGAGCAGGTGGCTTGTTAGCTTTACCAGGAGCCGCGTCGTCAGGAGGGCCATCTCTATGATCGAAGATTTGTTCGTTAATAAACTTGCAGTACTTAGTTCAAGAAGCTTTATTTAATATCATTAACTTTATGGACAACTATCTAGGACAACTCAAACTCATACATTATATATAATTTAAGTATGTACTTACAACTTGTTACTTACAGCATGGCCTTGTTGTTTTGAGTCAGTTGAAGTATCGTCATGACCTCTACCTCAAGATGTGTCCGATAAGTACTCGACAACTATTAATTGAAAGCACCTACAATCTAAACAATTTCATCATCCTTCTTTGTTCTATTAATTGACAAGTGACTTTCACTACTACTACAACTTACTTACTCATGAATGGGTACACTACTACTACTACTACTACTACTACTACTACTACTACTACTACTACTACAGCATGGCCTTGTCTTGAGGCAGTTGAAGTATCGTCACTTTTCATTTTCAAGTGGCGGAGAGGATAATAGCAGGCGGAAGTCATTTTTGGCCCCGATGAGTGGCGGACTGCCAGGATTGGAAGGGCATGGGCAACTAGAGGCTCTGTTACTGCAAACTGGCCACGGACACCTTCTGCAGCAGGCAGCCGGCAGCGGCGGCGGTGGTGACGGTATGGCAGGAGGGCCACGAGTGTCCTACTTTCCGACCCTGGGAAACAACACGCATCATGCTGGATCTGTTATGACGACTGAGACTGACTTAAACTTACCACGCCATCTTCTCTCCTCCTCGTTTTCTCTTTTTCGCACAAAATAACATTAAGATCTTCAAGCACTACCTGCTGGGAGTACTAATCTTCAAACCGTACATCTTGAAACTACCTACACCGCCCCCCATTCATCAATTGTAATACATAGAATAGTGAAAATAGTCTCCTGCTGCAGCTCATATATCTGCATCACTTTCTCCTTCTCCCCATTCAATCCTGGTCCTGCGCGAGATGGGGAGCGGGATTCGGACGTCTCCAATTCTCAGACCATGCCAGGCGTCGATACTGGTCAAAACGGAGATCAAATGGTTGCCCTTGATGATAGTTAAGGCTAGTTTATCACTATCGGGTAGTATGGGAGTTGTATGCTGAGCGGAGTGAGCAGTCCGCCTTAATTTCATCAAGGGGGGTAAAAAACGAAGGGGCGGAACGCAGAGCATCTCACTCAACCAAGGTGGATAGTGAAAAACTAGCGGTAAGACAGTGCGATGGATGTCGTCGTGGCGTCCTCAAAATGGACGAAATACAAGCTTTACCTCTGGCTTTTCCTCGAAGAACCTTTCGTGTCGCCAGCAGCAAGCTTCGTATTCAAATACTAGGACATCACCATCCTTGATCTTGATTGTTTCACACGCCATATTTCATGATCACCACGACAACATTTAGCTTATGCTTACCTCGTCTAGCCTAAGTTCCTTCTCCATTTCTCCCACAGTTGTCGCTTATGGTTGTAACGTTGATAGCGATTTCACTGGGAATGGCGGCGACAGAACAGAGCTACACCTATTTCTCATATGCGGAAAACAACTTGTACCCGAAATACGCTGTATTTGACGACGACGACGATTCTAGTGGAAGCGTTTCATCTAGTGGATCATCGTATGAAAGGAAACGGTAACGTATGAAAGTACTTAAATGCGATTTTTATTCAACTCAGTGACTAAAGAAAAGGAAAACACACAAGGACAAAGCTTAACTTTCCTGAGTCTGCTAAAGTCCACTAAGTTACCTCAAGTAGATCAAAACAGTTATTGCTGTCTTCGATCTGGAAGAAGCGAGATCTAGTGGTAGACATCAGCTCACATCTTCGCTGCAATTTTATATATACGTCGTTGTTGACCTTGACGCTCAAGTTGAATGGTTCCGGTATTTGGTAACCTGAATTTGATCATAAGGGAAAACAAGAAGAGAACCCTTCGGATCAAACTCAGGTTACCAAATACCAGAACCACACACAAGTTAAAATGTTGATTTTCCAATCATCTGCTACTAGTAAAAGCCTTGTTCCCCCGCAGATTTCAAATACTAGTTATGGGTGTACTAGGGAATTCATCCCCCAAATCATCAAGAAAAGAAGAAGAAAAAGCGAGCCAGATGATTCCTGAGATGAACTTCCTATAACTCTTCTAGACTTGAATAGTTGACTAACCTCTAGACTTTGAAAACGCACTAACTAAAACGTCTTCATCTAACACGTTTCATCACACTCGCGTCGAAGCGGAACAGGCAGAGATGGGTCGTTGGGGACGCTTGGATTGCGATTTTCCGTAGTGGTTTTTTTCACCTTGGAGGGTCTCCTGCGTTTCGTCATTGCACCCCGTCGATCGCAATTCTTCACGCAACCGAACAATGTGGCGGATATTTTAGCTGTGCTGCCGTTCTGGTGTAACAACGTCTTTCATTACGATGTTTTTACCGCAAGAAGAGCAAAGATGTAGTTTATTTTACTTAGTGCTTCTTCTAGTTCGCTGCTACTTACTTATACTTACAACTACAACAACGTTCTTGTCATTCAAAATTAGTTTCGTGTTAGAAAGATATTCACTTTGTCATCGTGGTCACTTCATTCACGTATAGTACAACTAGAGTGTTGAGGGTTTGGTTTTCGAAACAAACTAGTTCAAGGTCGACGACTTCGCTAATCCAAATTCTCTAATCCAAACTCCACAAACGCGTGTCCGTGTACTTCAATGTGCTGAGCATCTTTTCCTCGTTTTTTTGGGTGCTGAAGTTGACGCGCTATTTCAATGGTTGGTTCCTACTGTCCCGAGCGTTGCGGGACGCAGCGCGCGCGCTCCTAGTCCCCGTCTTTTTCCTCATGATCGTAGTGATCTCGGGTTCGAGTCTCTTGCTCCTCTTCGAAAAAGGTCATGCGGGTGGACCAAGCGGACCCGTACTGTCCTAATCTATAACTACTTATAACTACTAAAACATTTTTGACAAGTAGGAATGACATTTTTTCCACCTCTAAAGGAACAATCTTCTAGTCAACACTCGTACATCAAGGGGAACAACTTATAACTACTAAAACATTTTTGAGAAGGAGAAGGAAAAAAATCTTCAGCTTCAACTTCATCAAGTAGGAATGATATTTTTTAAACAAAATCGTGTCACGACACCTTCAAGTTCAACTTTTTTCTAGAACGAAATAGAACTAGTCTAGATGAACGATTTGTCCACCGTCTTTCTTAATCTTCTTTTTCACACCACGGTTGAATCTTCATCAGGCTTGCCGTGCCTTGGATCTCCTGACTGAAGCCACAGAGTTAAATCTTCCGAACATTAGCGACTTTGAGACTCAGCATGTTGCCTGCGACACGGATGCTTTTACCGCTGTAAAATGCGTCAATTGCGTTACTATCACTACGCTCTTCGAAGCCATCCACTACATTATGAGTCTTTTGTCTTCCCACCCAGGGTCGCAGAACAAGTCGTGTTGGAATTATACGTAGTATGTAGTGTGTTGTACTTGTAGAATCACGAAGAGGACAAGCAATGCTTCATGGGACTGTGGCTTGTATGTGTAGTTGACCTGGGCCTCCAGCGACATTTAGAGGCTCTCTTTAAAAACTTACCTCATCTTCTTCGCTGAAGTATCATCGCGTTTCGACGCCGTCCTCTAATTCCCTTATCGTATGCGTGGTTTCGATTCAGATTACTGAGGTCTATGGAAAGGACGTTGCGAGCGATCCGGGAAGGGTTTGGTCCGTGATCATGATGTTTCTCGGTGTCATTTTTCTCTCCATGCCCATTGCGATTGTGGGCACCAGCTTCAGCCAGACCTGGTTTGAGCAGGATATCATCATTCTAGTGGAGAAAGTGCGCTCCCGCATGCGCCAACAGGGATATACCACGGATGACTTGAGGGAGGTATTTAACGAGCTCGACGAAGACGGATCTGGGAGCATAGAGTTTCATGAATTCAAACGCATGCTCGAAGCCTTTCATTTTTTCGGCTCGCTTGCCACGTGCCGCAAGCTCTTCAATCATTTCGACTGCAATGGGACTGGGAGTTAAGAAGAAGTGGAAGATCGAGAAGTAACTCAGGATTTTGATTTTTATTGAAAATAGGTGTTAGATCATTTAGATTTCGCTTTGCTGCTGCTGCATTTACAGTGTAGTTGCAGTTGCAATCGTAGCGGAGGTTTTTTGTCATAAGCGAATTGAGTAATGGAAACACTTTTTTTGGCCTGAGTCGATACCACCTCATTCGTAGTGGAGCGTAGTCCAGTGCTTTCTCGCGGTTTTGCTCTAACGCAGCATTTCGTACCAGGAGTTTGTTTGTGGAATTTTTCCGGAGATCATCGACGTGGACGACCTTGGTGACGAGGACGAGTACAACTACCACAACAATGCCTTGATGGGCGGTGAACAAGAGGGCTCGGAGGAGGAAGGAACGGAGGGATCATCTAGTGACCACGCCGATACTAGTAGCTCCTCCTCCGAAGTAGAGCATCTGAGAACAATGGATAGTACAACTAGTTCTGCTCCCAGTGGGCCAGGGCCGTTAGGTATGATCTAGAGGTATCTAATGTCCAGCTCCTCTGTCTTACTCCAGGAGCAACGTCCTGCTTTGCCTTTGCGTCTTTATTTCAAGTACCTCTTAAGTAGAATAAAAGAAGTGAGGGTGGATGATATAAGTATCTACTAGAGTGCAAATAACATGTTAAGTATCTAAAATGGCGCTGAATTAACCTCTATCTAAGACGAGCACTAGCGCTGTCCAGAAGACGCTATCGCAAGAATCATCCAGTGCTGTTGGAAGTCTTTTAGGCAACACTAGCATGACCAAGGTCGCCAGCAATGCAGCTGCACGTGTGTTGCGCTTTCAACGCAGTTCCACATCGGGAAACCTTGATGCAGTTCGCGACCTTTCCACGAAAATGAAAGGGTCACCGTCTTCTGCTCAACCCTCCCGTTTAGGAGGGGGATCGCCTGTTATGATCTAGTTTTTGAAGTACATACTTCTGGTACTTTTCGTTCTACTCTTCCAATTTATTATGAAAGAGAACAAAACAGCACCAACATTTTCTTTATGCAAGGAAACTACATCAGGAGCACGTAGACTTAGCGAACCGTAGTTATAATTGTACACCACCTTGTACTTGTTCATAATATTCGGAGGTTCAGCAGCACAAGGAGGTGCAGCAGAAGATGCGGGCGTTCCAGCGAATCCTCCATTTCATGGGATGAGCTATGGGTTTGGAGGAAGTGGGCCAGCTGGACCTCCTGGTGGAGGAAATTTCGGACTTGGAGCTGCGTTTGCGGGTGGTGTGGGTGCCGGGAATCTCTCTGGGGCAGCGTCAAAACTGGCCGCGAAAGTTCAGGCACTCGAGAATAAATGTCGCTCTATCGATGAGGATGCGCGAAAACTGCTCAAGGGTTTAACGGAGATGAAGAGAGCTAACTTAGTGCCTGCGGGAGCACATGGTGGAGGTGCGACAAGTGCGAGCTCACCAAATTTAAGGCTACCCTAAAAGTGTCGGAGACAGCTCGAAGTGGCTTGAAGGTGTGCCACTTCCCGACTTGGCGGCTTAATGTGAGTCAATCGGTGCACTTGATCAATTGAACAACGAGCCAAAGAGCTCGAAAGCCTTAGCATCTTGATGGTTCGCCGCATTTACCTCACGGCTACACTAAAAGAAAAGCCATCAGCCCAATACATAGACATCTTGGGAGATTGATTCGTCTCAATAAAAAATCGAAATCGCGATGCTCTACTATGCAATAGCCGTATCTTATTTCTAACAAACACAGCATCTCCGAGTGGAGGCGTGCCACCTGTATTGGTCATACCTGCTACTGGAAACAACATTGACGGTCGTAGTGGAAGCCCGACCTCTGACCACGTGAACAGGCCGCCATCACCTAACGGGTCTGGTGCGAGCAATGTGGGAGCCATAAAGATCGGCAATCAACACTATCAGGCAGTTTCTTGAAGTTGTAGTAGGCAATAATCATGTGATTTTTACATTTACAATTTTTACAACTCACGAGCAGATGTGGCAGATGACTGCAAGTAGTTGTCGCTTCTAGTAGTTGTATTTTTGTCTTTGTTAGCGAGGAAACTCAAATAAGGCGCGAAAAATAGAGATTAAGATTAACATTGCGCAGAGTGTCAGTAACTAGAACTTCCGATTTATCATTTGAAGATGAACAACTTTGAAATAGGGCTTCTTCATCCTCAGAAGTTGCTTTCTTCCCTTTCTAACCTTAGATAACATTCAAAGATCATGATGCTTCTCACGACGATATCTTGCAAGAAATAGACTTAAAAATAGACTTGTGGTGAATCCTGATGAACTGGGCTTTTTCCAGCAATTGTGAACCTTTTTTGACAGAGTTTCATTCAGCACTCAGCACTGGAAGCAGTTAGCTTGCATTGATTTTGATTTTCGTTAGCATGTAAGAGCTTTGCTGGTGCAAGTTGTAGTTTATTCTGTCCTGGTCCTCCTGCTGCCAGTAGTTTGCCTTTGTGGTATAATATTACGGAGCCTGTAGTTGTTGCATTTTGTGAATAAGTACTTAGTGTAGAAGTACTAGTAGTTGCTAGAAGCGCTAGCAGTAGTGCATTTTTGTGATAGCGCAAGACAAGTGTACGTAGGAGTGTGATCTGCACTCCGAAAACATGCATTGATTTTGCTTTTGATTTTTGCAAGCATTGCAACTTACTACAAAGACTAAGTAGATTTCTGCTCAGACAAGATGAAGAAGAACTACGTCGCTAAACAAGCAAGTACAGAAACGGATGACCATTGCTAAGAGGATGGCTTCAACAAAAAACGGAGTCGTAGGTGAGCAGATGAGTGAAGCGAAAGTTCGTGAAGCAAGAGCTTGCAATCATGGACATGGTAGGTAGCTGAACGTCTTTGTTGTACTACAAAGGAATGGTGAGTAGAGACTTCTGAGTCTCCTAGTAATGATACTAGTAGAGTCGCAAAACGGAGACAGAGAGCGTTTAGTGTACGTTCTTTAGTAAGTTGCACAAAATGTCGTGGTCATCGACACAGGTAAGAAAGAAAGTCACGTTGATGATGATCTCGTCAACATTTTCCAGTGCTAGTTAAGTTGTAGAACTAAACTTTAAGAAAACAAGCACAAAAACTTAACAAGAACAAAGACAATGCCAGACGCATGTGATTCGACGGTGTTGCGTCGAACGCGGCATGCTGAGCGACGCTTGGAGCGTTTGCTGAATGCGCCGCTTGGCAAACGTCGGAATTCGGAAGATCCTCTTGAAGAGCTTCTAGAGGAGGAAGTTTTTTCCCCATGCCGCAACAACAGAAATCGCAAGCGAACCAGACGATGTGAAGATGAAGAAGAGTTTACTCCCAGTAAGCCGAAGATCAGGGATCATGAGGAGGACATCAAAAGTGTACTAAGTGCTGTTTCGAGTAAGAAGTGTAATACAACTTCTAGTCGAACAACTACAAGCTTGGACTTGGTAGGAGGTGTAGTAGATCAACAACAGATGATGAGAGGGCTTCTTGTCTCGAAGGAAGACACAACACCAAAGCAACAATTAGAAGGTGACGAACAGGAGGCGAGCTCGGTTCAGGAACAGGATCTTTCAGATGAAAGGGGTAACAGCAGCCTGTTTCATAATAAATATAGAAGCTTGCACCTCGCTGGCGCCGAGGAGCAGGATGATTGTCCGAGGCAGCACAAAAAAAGCAAAATCCAAACTACTAGAAGTGCTGCTAGTAGTTTAGATGATGCGCCAGGAGCAGGAGCAGCCGCTTCCTCGTGTACAACAACAACTTCAAGGTCGTCTGGCTACAACCGTGAACAACATCGTCGTGTGCCTCCACCTCTTAGTTGTGCAGCACCGCAAACACCTGAACCGCAGCTGAAAAATGTACCTGTAAATGACGACCTTCAACCGGTTGAGTTGGATTTTTCAGCCAAAGCGTTAGAAAGCAAAAAACTGAGGTAGTACATCATCTTATCTTTAAATCTGTATCTTGTTCTTGTTCGGAGGAAAAAGGAATAAGAGGAGGATCAAGAAGTAGAAGTACTTATAATGTCCTCATCAAGGAGTAGGAGATTATTTCTTAGCCATCGGATGCGGAGATGTTATTGCTAGGTACTATGCTTTTTAGTAACTTTCATCATGTTGATGTTCGCAAGAGCACAAATTTCTCCAGGTTCGCAAGCGATTCTGAGGAGAGCCCTAAGAATCGACGATTTGGAGACGGCGTTTTCACACCCTCGCCGTCGCCCTTGGATGCCCCTACGCCAATGTCCTTGCCGAAGACAAAAGGCCGCGAGAATGTCGCCACCGGGCCATTCCATAATAAGAAAAAAAAGCTGGTACAACTACATCACAAATAATTTGCTTCGAGGTAGTAGATAATCTGAAGAGTAGGGTTCGAGGGAGTAGATCATTGAGTAGATGTAGTAGTGTCTAGTTGTGACACTGAGAATTTTTGATCCGAATTTCTATGAAAATTTTTGATTTCTCTTTCGTAGAAATTGGAATTTGGACGATCTCCAGCATCTCTTTTTCAGATCATGGGCGGCGCAGAGGCGGAAGACCATGTCCGAAAAGGCAGCAGCGACAAGAGTGCTGCTCGTTCCTCTAGAAAGGAGCGACGCCGTCAGCAGTTCGGAGACGCTCGCAAACGCCTGGACACGACTGAGGGCATGTGATGCAGAAAGAAGAAGGACATCATGTGGATATGGGAATCATAGCATGGATGTTTTAAGCACCACGAAGAGCAAGATTATAAGATGGGATAAGATGAGGTGATCAACAGAAGGGCGTCGATATCATCATATTAATAGGTACGTTGAATGTGAATCTATCATTTGAAAACGCCTAGCAGCTACTCTACTGAACAAAAATGAATGTAACGCCAGAAACATTAAGGAAGATAAGGCTGCAGAACAACTTTATACTCGGCATAATAATGAACCAAGGAGTGGTAGTACAACTACAAGTACCTCCAGTCAGACCACGTCCACGACAGAATACGAACAAAGAGACTACTAAGGTTCGAGATTATAGATGAATTATAGTCTTTCATTAACATCCACAATTCATCAGAAAGGCATGAAACGAAGATTTGCACAGCGAACTTCAGTTTTTCTATCCTGTTTGAAAATCGAGTCCACGAAGTAGTTGTAGTACTGGTTTATGTCACGACATTTCTCTCTTGTTTTTATCAACATGGCAATCCCACTCATACATCATCGCGATCGCGGTAGCACCAATCAAGTATACGAATACCAACTTCTTAGTATCCGTGTCATGTGCGTCCCCCGGGTCGTCCTTCTGTACAGAAGTAAACCTTCGCAGTCGACAGTATTTCACCATTGCAGTATTTTTACGAAACTCCTGGAATGTACTTATCGGATTTTTTGATGAGCTTTCCATTGCAAGAACAAGTTGTTCCCAATGATGATGATGATGATGATCGCCAGATGGTAGCGTGGATTTTTTCACATCGTTCGACGCACCAAATGTAAGAAAGTATTTACTGCTAGAAGATGAAGATTCCTGATTCCAGCGGGGACATCTGACACAGTCAAAATATCGTGTACAATTCGAAATCGGTCGAGCGTAGAGCTTTTTCGAGGTCCAGTCTTTCATGCAGGTCCTGTCGTTTTGATGCACCAGACATGAAATCGCGAATCGGTGATAATTCGAGTCTTCGATTGTCGAGCACATATGTATGCGGATTGTCGTGCTGGCACTCTGTTGAGCCTTGTTCTAGGAATCCGCGAGAGAAGCATGAAGCTAGTATCAGGGAAATCAATGTGTCATTATGCTACAACTGCTCGAGGTCCATCAGACATGGTTACAACGAAAAGGCGCTACGAAAAGCTTCCGAGAAAATCGTTAGTAAAATACCATCTTCGCATCACAAAAACGTAGGTAGAGCAGTACAACTAAACCAACGAAGATCGGTTTTGCAAAAAGTAAGTAAAAAGACTCAATAGTAGACGTAGAGTGAAGACAAGTTCAAGTAAACAAAATAAAAACAACAGTAGAAACAACATACTACAACTTTCCTACAGCGAGAACGATCAAAATTTCAGAGCAGTTGTTTGACTACTGAGTTCTCCAGCACCAGAACAAGATAAGAACAAAGAAGATGCCGTCTCCGTTTAAGAATCCGGCCCTCGTCAAGGATGAGACCAATCCGAACTCCACGTCAATGAAGGATGCGTTTCGTCCAGGCCAGAAGAACCCAACGCATGATCTTGAGTTATGGTGCGACCTCAAAAATAAGTGTATATAAGTACTTGGATTTGCTGCAAAAGCGAGGATAGTTCTTGAGATGGGTTTTCTGACACGACAACTTGCTGTTTTAGTATTCTTATCTGCTGGGGTTGAACAGTGCGTACATGTATGGTTCTGGTATTTGGTATAGCCTGAATTTGATCCTAAGGGTTCTCTTCTTGTTTTCCCTTAGGATCCAACTCAGGTTACCAAATACCAGAACCATTCAGTACAACTAGTTTCCCATTTTCCAAGAATCTAGTCCATAATTATAATTCGTAATATACAAGAACAAGCAGTCAAAATCAAAAAATTTTCTTTCTGCTAAGGATCGAGTTCATGGAAAAGCATGGTGGCCCGAACGCATTCGACAACTACGAATCGGTCACCGTACGCAACCAGACGAGCTATGACCACTACTTCAACGATCCTGAGTGGAAGGCGCTACTAAAGATGCAAAATGCACCACTCGAAGAGGAACAGAAGGAAGAGGTAAGTAGTGTTTTTGGCTTTGTGTGGTTCGTTTCAGTTTGGTGGAGATTGGTCTCAGTTTGATTGTGTAGTGGAAATACATAGAACTAGAGTACTTAAATAATTTGTTGTACAACTACTTTTTGTATCATTGAAGACTTCATCTAGTTGTACTCGAACCTACGTTGTCCTAGCAGGTGCGGCCTGGCCGCGAAGCGGTAAACCCTCAACCTTAACCTTAACCTCTACTTGTAATTGTATCATGATTTATGAAAGTAATTCATCATCCTACAACAACTACCCGCCTACTTAGGTAGAAGTAGCTGTGATCAAGATCATTGAAGATGACTTCATCATAATATACCAGGCTAGTGACTCCCCACCGAAAGTAGACACGTTTGAGCGATGTTTGGGGCATCGCGTCTACGACCTAGAGGAACCATGGAGCAAGGAGACGGGTCGTTTCTGGCGTGAAGGGAATAATTATGGAAGCAGGTTGATGAAGATAGATGTCCTGATGAAGATACATGTCCTAAACAGAAAACATACAAGGACATAACTCAACTTTCCTGAGTCAGTTAAAGTTTACTAAGTTGCCTCAAGTAGTACAAAATTGTTATTTTTCTTTTGAAGATGTTTGTCCCCACGAGAGAATTCAGTCTGGTTTTGCTTCATCTTTTCGTTTGTACTTTGTTCCCGTTCAATATTTTACGTTTACAACTTTACAATCCTCGATGTTGAACCTCCAGCAGAACTTCTTTCCACTTTATGTGATAAGTAGAACTAGAACGTAATAAAGCCGTAAATTCATAAGTTACCTCTTATTGCTGTGCCATCTTCTACTTACACCTTGATGTTGTAGCTCTTGCTCTGCTTCTAATGTTCGGATCTGAATGCAGCCAAAGACTACCGATCCAAAGGTCCGCGTCAGATGTTGCACGAAGTCGCTGCAGCCGGTCACGCAGGCACTTATCTGGAGGAGGTAGAGGAAATCGAGAGCAAGCGGTGCGTCTTTGAAAGACCAGAACCAACAATGAAGGAAGCAATGCTCAGGACAGGTAATACTGTAGAATAATGAAAGAGGCCACGCGTAGGACTACAGGTACAACTACTAGAACTAGAATAATGATGAAGGAAGCAATGCTCAGGACAGGCACTTACAACGCCAACGGGAAGGTCACCTAGAAGAAGTTTTGAAACAAAAAAAAGCAAAATATGGCTACAACCCAAACACTTCCCCTTCCACCCCTTGTGCAAACTTCAGACGTACCCCTGGACTGGGTTTCCTCCCACTAGTACTACTACTGCTTGTTGCTGCTCGGTAGCCTTCCACTTGCAGCTACTTTTGGTGCTTCCGGTTTTGATGTTTGGTTACTTGTTCCTTTTATTGTTCTCTGGAGGTGGACTCCAAAAACATCATATTCAACAACTATACAGGACTTCCCGTATCCGATGGCAGCCCCTCGAAGGGAAGAAAGAGTGCAGATAAGAAAGCGACGCAGCCAGTGACAAATTTGCGCACACAGACAGCATATACGAAGGACGCACCAATCACCTTCTATAGCGAGCAACTGAAGAGCGATGCACGTACATTTAGCCAATTTGATTGCAATTCTATTTCTACTAGTACTAGAGTTGTACTAGGAGTTGGACGAGTGGCAGGGCGTTCTATCACATTCTTTTTCCCATAATATCCTTGACCATGTTGTTGTTGATGTTGTCTAGCATTTGACAACGATGAATAATTGCAAACTTCATCGGGAAACAATCCTCCTGTAGTTTAATTACAACCTTTTTACCTCCTAAGCCTCATCCTAAAGAACCTTAAATGAGTCGAATTCAAATCTGCACCAGCTTTCGTCCGATCTACGGTTTACACGTCTGCTATTACGGGACATCAAGTTTTTGGGAAAAACAGCAAGTTTTCAGCGCCGACGCAGTTGAGTGTAACGAGTATCCCACATAAGACTGAGGCTGACAACACCATGTTCCACGAAAGTGAGGACCGACGACGAGCTGGGGACCCACGCCCTTCTGCCAGTAGCGCGTCTAGCAGCACCTTGAGCGGAAACTTGTCATTGCCTTAAGGCTATCCGATAATTCTGTATAATGATTTTTATTTTGACGAAAAAATTGAAGTACTCAGTAGTACGTAGAAGTATGTTCCCTTCCTTGTACGAGAAGGGAAGAACAAGGATAAAGGGTATGCTCAAAAATATATGATTACCAGACAGAGTTCTGTGCAGGTTCTAATTCCCGCATCTGAAAATCACGTTAGTTGCTGGATTACGAGAACGTGGTGGACCCCTCTGCCTAGCGAAGTTGAGGAAAGGACTCGCTAGTGTTGCAGATGCAGGCGGCTTCGTCCAGACATTTAAGGGAAGTAGATGGAAGATCATCATCATCATTGCTTCTGGAGAAAAATACTAATTTTTCACATTAGCAGAAGAATAGTTATAACACGAAATTTCAAGAAGACAAGAAGATATTGGACATTCTAAGAACAAAGCACGTAGTCTCTAATGAAGCGGATGCAGCACAGATGCTGACGGTATCAGGTGTGGACCAAAAATGTATCGGTTACCTCCTAGAGCGGATGGAGATTGATACTGCAGTCGCAATTGACCGGGTAATGCAAGCACTGAGGCCTCCGATCCGCGAGAAGGGCGATCGGGATCTCTTCATTAAAGGTAGTACTTACGCACTCTGAAGATGATGTGTCTTTTCCACCTCTTCGTCTTCCACCTTTTGAAAACAATCAGATGAACAATGGTGTAGTTCTACTGCTGATCCCGAACCCTCCTGAGAGTGAGACGACCTTCGTAATCATTAGCTCAAGAATGAATTTCCCCCAAAAACATCAAACCAGATATCCTGTCGTCATCAGAAGGATGGGAGGCAGTGTGCAGCAAGTATGCGGACAAGTTCGGTGTAAAATCGAAGGATCAGGCGCGCATATTTTTGACAGATCTAGGCGCCGTTTGTGCCGATGCAGCAGAAATGCAAGCAGTTCTTGCGGACGATGAGAGCTAATCCCATTAGTCCTGCTTACGTACACTGACCCCCATCGTCGAATTGTTCCACCTGCCCGGAACGGACAACATCCCCTTTTGTTCTTTGATATCATCTCTAGATCGACTCAAAAATTTTGTCTTGTCATCGCTGGAAAGCAAAGTCAATACTATCAAGACGTGTCATATTCGAAGCATAGTAAGTTGTAGTACAACATCAAGCAGCTCATATTCATGAGTCTTACAACAAGTATGCTCAAGTAAGTAGTAGCGGCACCCTTATTCATCATTGCTGCAGTAGCACAACATCATCTTCTTTATCGACTAGTAGCACAAGAAAAGTAACAAAGATCATGCTTCGTAGAAAATGTCATATTTTCGTCCACCCACATTACACAAATGAACCTCGTCGTCAAATATTTCACGATAATGTTTTCATGTTCATGTTGCATTAGAGAATGATTCTTCATCAACATCTTAAGTAGTAGTAAGTAGCCTCTCAAGGTAACAAGTACAACATTCCATTTCATCCAGTTAGTAACCAAAAAGTAACATGCCAGATCATCGTCAGTACGATGGTCGACCCTAGTAGAAGTACAACGTCAACAAGAAGTACCTCATGGCTTATTCACATTCAACACTCAACAACATCATTATCATTTTCGACATTGCACCGTTTGCATCCTCGTCATTTATCTGATTTCCAAGAATACCAACAATCATGAATACCAATAAGGGATAGGAAAGTCTCTAGTATCAGTATCTAGCACGTAAGGAACTACCCACCTGTGATTTGTCATATCTTCATCAACGTCATCAACATTCTCTTCTCCATCCACGTAAGAATAGCATTTTTGTCAACATACCAGCGACGCTCAGAGCACATACAGGAAATCAACCTCGTTGCTTAGTATCCCTAAGTAACCCTATTAAGTATCCCTAAGTACTTAACCCTTCTAACCTGCCCGCTCCCAAAATCTCCCACGACGCTATCGGCACAGCCTGCACATTTGTTACTTTTCATTCTTGCTCCATTCATTCTCGTGGGTGTTCCTCTCGGGCGGCGTCAGCATCCGTTGGTGGATGAATTTGTCTTCCTCGTCCGCGTGTTCTAGTATACAACTACCGGATCTTGGCCTTGGGTACTTCTACTGACGTAGGCACAACTTGTGCGGTTCGGTTGCGTCGTCGACGTGCATCTGCGGTTACGGTGAGTGAGAGGAATTCCCTTTGACTGTTCTGATCTATGAAGCTGCTGTCGACAGAGGTGGATCATGCGAGCGCTCAAAAGCTCTTATTATAGAATGAATACAAATATAGTAGTACTTTTTCTCTAACGTATTTCTACTCAATAAAGCAAAGCGCGCCGAAGCCGAACTCAACAACTGGATAAGATAAGACCAGAAGTACAATAACTTCACACGTCATCTTCAACGTCGCATTTTCACTTTCTCAACAACGAGAGGAAAAAGATGGTTCCGCATGTAGTAGACATGGCTGCGGACGAGCGCATTGATTGGCGCCACAAGTCCTTTCGTCTGACTGGTTGCTACTTGGTGTTTTACACCATCCTGACGGGTATTGCGGGTGTCATTGTGCTATTGCAGGATGTTTCTCCGCTACAGTCTCTGTGGGAGACCTCGATTCTGCAATGCAGCGCTCCTCTTCCGGGTCCTGTGCCTTCTACGTCAAGTTGGAGGAGCTTGAGTACGACTATGCTGAGCACGGATGTCGTTCAGGAACCAGAGACTTCGAAGAATGTTCAGGAAAGAGAAAAAGAAAAGCAGGAGGACAAAAGCCAGTCCGATATCATCAAAGACACGAAGACGGAGAAGAACAAAGGGAACAACAAGCAGGAAAACGAGGCAGCACCTGAGAATGCTAAAGGTGACGCAGAGGCTGTGGGGATTACAGATGCCAGCCCCCCTTCTAACGAGGATGGCGAACCTGTAGGAACAGATAACCAGTCTTCTGGTGAACCGACGCCCGTTGACGGACCTGCTTCGGATGAAAAGTTGCCTTTTTCAGGATCGGAGAAAAAGCCTCCTGAAGAAGACAATAGTACAAGTGGTCCGATTCCGATTCCCGCATCGACGCGCTGTCACTTGTGGGCACGCTTGGGAGCGTTTTTGACAATGGTCGCCCACATAGTCTTCTTTGCCTCGATTGCGAATTTGACACTCAAACTTGCGAAACCAGGAAATTTTGGAACACGTACTACCTGTGATTCTGATTTGAATAAAAGCAGTCCTTATCTTACTATGCAGCGGATGTGTTACCACGCTGTACGGACCTGGATGATGAAGTACGTAGCATGAGCGATTCATTGATTGTTTTGAGTGCAACCGCATAGAAAAAACCCTAGTACTGCTGTCGTTGTAAGTAGGTCAAGCACTAGCACTACAATGTGTACCTCCTCTTGAGTTGTAGATGTTCGAAGTGATACCACGAGAGTATCGTTTTGTTTTCAGTTCTAAAAATCTTGACCTTCTATCATTTTCACCTGAGGATCACGATCTTCACTTAGAACCACACATGATAAGCATTTTAGCCAACGTCCCTCTACTTCATCTGGAGACATCAACATCTTCATCCGAAACAAGCTATGCAGGTAATTGCCAGCGCTGTGGTTTGTTTTTCTTGACACAGCTGGATTTTGCTCGCTACCTCGCCTGTGTCGTCTTCCTCCGGAGCCTGCCGTTGACTCTATGCGTCTACGGAGAAGACGCGGTGTTTTCGCAACACCATAGTACGACTCAGATCGGTTGGGGACCCCGCGCCTCTACTTCGTCTGGTGCTGCGACTGGATCCTCGTCTATGTCTGGAGGGTCTACGTCTGCCTCTGGCGTAGGATTCGGTGGAATCGGCATTGAAGACTATTCAGGAGGTACAGTTAGGGTCCAGGCAACGACCTTTGGTCAATTTTGGGTACTAGCAACCACGGCGTGGGAAGTTTTCTACGGCGTGTTGCTTTTGTGGCGACTGATCGCGTCAGCCGCATCGTTGTGTCCCAGTACGATGGAGAGCGGACCGGTTTTGGAAGCACAGGAAGACAAGAATACGGAAATGGATGACTATCCTCAAGAAGGAGGAAGACATCTGGGCTATCATCCGCGAGCGGTACCACATGCTGGGGTTCCAGTTTGAGCGGCATGAGCATAGCTATGATATGGCATATGACCTGCAGCCAGAGTGTAGAAAGATGATCACCAGAAGCACATTGTATTTAATTGTAAAAAACTGAAAGGGCGCGACGACACGATTCTTTTTTCCTCGAGGTGGACATAACGATAACTAGAAAAATGTATTTTCATTACACGATCACGACATTTTCATTATTTTCAATTTCTATTAGATCATTATACTGTAAACATTTAAAATGTTATTAGTTCAGCAACAAGATGTAGATTGATGGACAATATCGAGGAGGTCATCGACTGAGATAGATTCTAATTAACAATTCTTTTGGTATAAGAAACACGTCCGAGGACCACTACATCTACGAGAATCATTCATAGAATTGGAGAAGAGAAATGGTTGGTTTTCTTGAAGCTTACTAAGATCATATGTTTTAGGAGGTTGTGGTTGAGAGGGCATGATTTGGATCATAACCGCGCAACGCCCACGCGTTGTCACACGACCTGGTGATGGAAAAAAACGAGAGAAGAATACCTCTAAAGAACCGAGACTTCTGCAGAACAATATCAGATATTTGAAGATCATATCATCGCATTTGCTTGCCGAAGATGTACAGCTGGTGCCTCAGTTTGCCGAGGTCTAACATATCAAAATGCGGAGTACATATCATGCCTTCAGACGCGTCGTTGGGATGCATTTCTTCACGCGTACTACTCATACAAGATGCTCGTTTTTATAGAGCAGGAAGGGTTTTTTATGACTTGGCTCAGGCTCTTGCGTGCAATAATCTGAGTTATGCGGCGTAGGATCTGTTGCACGATGGGCTTTTGCAGGTACGCGGCAACCGAAAGTCTTCACGACCATAGTACTTCTATATCTGAGCAGTTCTAGTACGTTCTAGACGTTCATCTGGCACTAAGGTCGAGAATACCAGGACGACGTTGACAGAAGCTACTATCATCCAACGAGATATAGAAGATAACAAGCGCGTTCGCGTAACTACATCATAGCCATAGCTTACATTGTACTTGAACACATCATTGACCGCATAATTGACAACTACCACGACCTCTGCACAATATCCATAAAAATCATATTCACATTTGTAGTCGGCTGATTTACCTTGACGACCAAAACGAGAAAATACATAAGATGAGAAGTGACCAGTATGATGCTGGAGATAGTGATCAGTCTTCCGTGATGACTCTACAAGGACAAGAAAGAACGGTGCGTCGTGGCTGGCGGCATCTCAGCTTCGGTTAAGGCTCACAATTCGCTGGAACAGCTTTCTTGTAATCTCGAGCATGCTTTTTTTAGTCAGAATGAACACGTAAGCAAGTAGTAGGTGCGGATCTCTTTTCGTGACTCTATATTCTAGATAAAGCACACCTCCTCATCTTCCTATTTTCTATTTCTCTTACTCCTTCTAAGGAATCTTCTTGTCGTTGTGGCTTCGTCTGTACAGTCGGATCTATACGACTTTCTGGGCCTACGAAACCTTCGTCATTCTCGCGGGCTTGATTCTAGTCCCCAGCAGCAAGTACGTTCCGATCAGTGGGCCTCGAAGAGGTGGAGGTGACGTTGATGAACACGCAGGCACCACATTTTATGGTCAGATTTTGTCTATCTTTCTCGGCATCTCGGTACCCGCTTCCACCTCCCTTGTATTTCATGGAAAAGGGGTCCTCGAGATGAGGGGACCGAGATGAATTAAAACTGACTCTAAACATTGGCCGGGACACCAGTAACCACACCGGGACCGACATCAAGGCACCCAGGCCTGACATTTCCAACCGAATGGGCAGCTTGGGTCTTCTTCGCAATCTTCGTGTTTACGCTTTCGCTCACTAAAAACCTCGTCAAGCGAGCGGCGAAGCCAAGAAAGTTCAAGGAGAGTACTACGACAAGAACAATTCTGATTTTTGTTTTCTAGTCCTCTAACGATCGTTCGTACGACTTTCATCAGATGATTGAGATGTTCGTTGTACAACAATAACAAACAGATGTAGTTGACCGTTCTTTCCATTTTTGCCATCGCTCTTTTATTTCGCGCCATATTACGAATCATTTTTCAATTTCAATATCGTCAATAAATACCTCAACCTCATCAGTGAAATGCCGGTTGATCCTGTTGTGCTTTTTGTGCATTGGACATTTGATCTACGACGCGTATTATTGGACGGGTCGCTTTGTTCTGCAGAGTTCAGTGCCCGCTCGCCAAGTACCTGTGGGTCCTCATGGCGAGAGGACCTCCACAAGCCAAATTGATCGAGACTGGAGCGACTATTACTTGCAAAAGATTCTCAGCCGTTCGCCTCTGCAGCCGATGGAACGTCGCCAAAGTTTGAGCGATATTTTGCCTTTGCCTGCTAACTTTCGTGTGTACGAAGAGCAACTTCGAGAAGTCGCAGGCAACGCGGTGGGCCTTGCTGGCAACGCTGTTCTGCAATTGCGTGGTTTCCTAGCAGGTACTCCAGGGGGCGCTCCTACTATTAAGGCTCAGCTTTCAATGGAAGAAGAACGATTTTGTACAAACTCTAGAAGAAAGAGAAACCCACGGTCAGGACGCTTAACTTGACTTTCTCAGCATATTTCGTTTCAGCGGGTCACTGAGATCCCTCTTGAGGAAAGATGGGGGGGAAAATGAAGGAAAAGCAAAGGGAGAGGCATGGGGCCCATTTCTTTCAGAGTCATGATGACCATTGAGTGCTGAGCTTTAATACTAGTACTGCTTCTGCAGGAGGAGGAGGAGGAGGAGGAGGAGGAGGAGGACCACCACGAGCTTCTTCAGGCATGGGTGCTGGCGGTCTACTTGAATCAGGACTTGCACCACCTGGAGGGGGCCGTGGACAAGCTGTAGGTGGTGCTGACCTCCCAGAACAAACAAGTGAAGTTTCGTGGTTCGCCGTGCATGAGAAGTTTCTCTTTCCCTTTCACGCTCAGATCCTGGTGGCGCCAGTGACACAAGCCTACCACTTTTTGAGCAACGGGGAAAATCTTCACACGCCCAACTCGATCACGGAATTAGTTAGTGCAGCCGGGTTCTTCTGGCACCTGCTGTTTGTCAGTAGCGCTGTGAGCACTTCAGTCACGTTGTTAGTGCTCCTTTTGGCTTGCTGCGCTCTTTGCGGCGACGATGTGCGTTCACAAGCAGGGACTCCTGGGACGAACAGTTTATGGCCGCATATAACGAAATGATGAAATAGATTTAGATAACTCAGCTTTATTGTTCTAGTGGTTTTTTCTGAGGAAAGCATCTCCATATCGGAGATATGCATGGTTTGAGACAGGATGTTGGTTCTGAGCAAGATTTAAAGCGCAGGAGCATACGGAGTGTCTAATCTACGCCAGTGGCGCCAGAGCAGGCAATCATCGGGCATCGGCTTACAACAACTACGGTCGGTCAACACAGGGGAACAGACCAGGCGTCCTCAGCCGTGCTCCCAGCATCCATCGCAGTGGACAGACCGAACAGCTCCTAGCGCAGCAACCCTTGTCGGAGTATCCAAAGGTTTAAATGGCTGATTCTTCAGGATATGAAATGTTGTGGAGGATCAACACGAGAAAGAAGACTTCTTCAAGAAGTTCCTCAAAGTAGAAGAAGAAAAGAAGTTCCTCACAAAGGCAAATCTGTACCTCCTCCATCACATTTGATTTCAAGAAAAAGAGACTCTCAGTTTTGATGCCGAATACTAGAATAGAAAACTACGACATGCACATGAATTAGAGACGAGGAAACAAACAAGCGCAGGGGCGCGGGCAAAATGACTCCATAAGAATGAATGTCTAACAATTCTATTTCTACACGAAGATAAGGATACGCGTCGAAAGACAACATAGACTAGTAGTACTACATCGTAGAAGAAGTTGATATGATAGATAAGGTATATCATGTATTAAAAAGTACTATTTTCACTTCGCAGTATAATTCTTGTTCGCATCTTCACGTCATCTTGGGTGCAACTAGGCAGGTGGCAAAAATCCTGCTGGCTTGCTTGCGCTCAACATAGATAATAAAATCGCATACTAAATTTAACACTTCTAAGAGGCTTATGTTGATCTTCTTTTGAAGAAAGCTATTCTTGAGTCACGCCTCATTTTTCATGAAGAACGAGTTCGTTTCGCTTCGTTTTGACTACTTGATATGTACTACATGACATGAACAAATAGATAGAAAGATACACTAATGACATGAAGATACGTAAGTCGCTTTGTTTGAATGTGCAACATGGATTGTTTGCAATTCTAAAACAAGTCGGACGAGTGAAGATATATGTAGTTGTTAAAATATCTTTCGAAACCGAAGATTGGATGAAAGAGGAATCATGTCTTGATGTTGGGAGGTTTATTGGGCCCACTCGTTGTAACGGACAAGGAGGTGAAATTTGTTGTGAAGGACATCGTTATCGTTTCGATTGCGAACGTTGATTTCACGAAGTAGAAATAGGGAGAAGGTGACGACGATTGGACCATCTGGCTACAACTTTGTCGTTCGACTTTTGGAGCGATTTTTCCTGCTCAGTTCATGCGTTGCGCGGTCGTTGGAATGTTGTTACCTATTTTTCACTCGATGCAATGCCACTGTAACAAGATCTTCATGAAGAAGAGTTGGACATTCATTACTCAAAATTTGGCTCTGGCTGAAAGAAATAAAAGAAGGTCATCTATTCTACAAATTATGAAAGTAGGGACTATGGTGGAAATTGAAATGTGAAGAACAGTTCGAATCGATGATAGGTTCCGGATTCAAATGGTCTCTGTGAAGAGACTCCCAGACGCGACGGATCGACCAAACTCATTAACGCGACTCATCGAATCTCTACAATCATGATGACTCCTGGCGATATGGCGATGTTGAACAGCGAAAGCGAAAAGCATGCCTCTACTACTTCGAGTTTGAATGAGGAAGCGGTTGTGCTCGATGTCCTCGAGGACGCAGTGGAGGACGAAAAAGATGTTTCGCTGTCTTTTTCTGGGGCCTCGTCATTGTGTCTCGAAAACTCAATCGAATACTCGGACGCTGAGAGTCGCAAGCGGCGCATCAATGCGGGTTCCTCTACTTCGAGAGACCTGCCTCATGCGGACGACGTGGCGGGCAAGGCAGGTGGCTGCATGGAAGATGGTAATGGAGGAATTGGTGCTGCCGGTCGTGAGGGAAGAAAAGCAAAATCTTCGAAGGTCGAAATATGTCTAAATCAGAGCCAGAGGACGAGCAATACACAGGACCTCCGCACCAGTCGCAGAGAACGGCGACGAGAGGGAAACGAACGTGCTCTAGCTGCCGACCATGCTACCGTGAAGGTTGCCGATCACTCGACAAGAAACCGAGAAAATGCATCACGCCGAAATGCAGCACGTCGAGTGCCCGACGAACGAGGCAAGGACGTAGAAAGGGCAGATCATCAGAGGAAGAAGGTGAAAATAAGAGGTGGCAAGAAAGGAGCTGACGCCAGACCTGTGTTGTCTAGCTCCTCAACGTCAGGAGACTCTGACGCTGCTATCAGTCGCTCTATTTCCGAGAAAAAGCGGAGAAGAGCGACGTCAGAAGATGCAAACCAGCGCGAAGATAGCACCAGGAGGCGAAATGCGGGACAACGTGGGAAAAAGACGCGTGTTGGTGGTAGGGATAAGAAAAATATGCTTCGAGATGGCTCTGAAGAAGAAGGCGAAAAACAAGTTCGAAGCCGACGACAGGTGCGACTGTTCGGCGATAGGAGCCGAAGAAGCAATCAGGATTTGTCGTGCTCAGAAGACGAAGAAGTAGAATGTAGCTCCTCTGCCTCGTCTGACTCACCGCTGGGAATAGAGCCTCCTTCTGTAGGCACCAGAACTTCCACCAAAATAGAGCAGAGAACGAGAAGCAAGAACTGCAACACTTCGACTCGAGTAGACGACCGGAAAAATGGGGCCGCTTCTTCCAGAGCTGCCACGACCTCGTCTAGGACGCTACGACCATCACGTGATGATCGTGTAAAGAGTTACGTCGACAATCACAATCTTCGTCGTCGCGAGCGCGATCACAACCACCACGACCAGGAAGATCATGATCATCTACATCAACACCGACGATCAGCCTCCGCGCGCGCCCCTGCGCCTCTTGGTCGTGGAGCAACGCGGCGATCGCACTCGGAAACAAGACCTAGACCCTGTGGTCCGCACTCTTTTGATGGCGACGACTTCCAGATCGCGATGCGATACGTACTGAGAACGCCGCTTCGCGTGCTTCAGTACTTCTATCCTGACATTGAGTTGTCTCTAAAGAATGGAGATCACTATGGTGGAATCGGGAATGGTAGTACCTTTTTTGGCGGTTCTGGGGGTAACATTACGGTTGCGAGACGAGGACCACCGTCGCGTAGGGCGCCACCGCGGAGAGCAGCGAGTCGTTTTCAAGAAGACGACCTTGATGCGAGTCACTGTGATGCGAGTAGCTGTGTTGATGGTACGACTGATATCAATAATGTTGGTTCTACGAGCAACATCAATGACAACTCTTACAATGCTGGTGCTCGGTCGTTGTCTCGCGACGTTTGTAAGAATCCTGAGGAGGCACACCCTTTACGAGATCATCAGAGACGAGGAAGATCACCGATAGCATCGTCCGCGACGTCAAGAGCAGGCGTGGTGCTGGATGATAATCAGCACGGTGCAGCTGATGATAGAACTAGTAGAAGTGCAACTAGTACAAGTTGTACAACTCGCCCAAGCCCAGTACCCCTTCTCGATTGGTCACTGATCGGGGAAGACGTGGATCCGCGATTGCTGGAGACGATTCAAAGACGAGTAAGCTTTTGGGATGTTGAGGATGCTCACGTTGCAGGACCACAACTTATGCGCGCACTGCGAGAGGCAGCGGAATCCGGATGGAGTATGGACGAGACAAGACGTATGTCGTGGGCAGCGAGACTTGCGCAGATGCCAAGACGAAGTCCTGGATCATCAAAAACTACTAGAAGTACACCAGTTCCTTCGGCTTCCGGTAGTGGCAGCGCCAGAGGACCCTCACAACCTACCACTTCGACAACACAAACTAGTCTTATAGGTTTGGTAGCGTTTTTGTTACATGTCTGGTTCGAATATCGACCTGGGATCTTTACTGGTACATCCAGCTACGTCACTGGCTTCGGTACGTCGACAGTTTCTTTTCGGAAATTTTGCAACACTCTGCGATTTGCGCTTAGAGGCATTCTTGCAGGTGGTGGCTTTTCTTCAACGTCTTCTCACGATCCTCGTCCAACGAGCTGTTTTCCCTATAACCACCAGAGTACTAGAACTGGATCGGGGTCTTCTTCGGTGCTTGTGGCAGCAAGTGATGTGCTCTTCAGCTTCGTGCCATACGACCCGTGGGGAATCTTCGGTGCAAGAGATGAAGTCCGGCTCTGCACAAGAATGAGCGTGTACTTTTTGCGTGTTGTCCTTGTCGCTTGATGTACTACTAAGTCGATAAAAAGCAACATGTAACGACCTGCTGTTTCTAAGTATATTAATCGAGTCTACCGTAGCAGCGGTGGCACGACTACTGTTGTCGACAATGAATGAAATTGCTTTTCTTGAGCTGTTACAGCTGTAGCACTGGTGAAGACACTTAGTGTAACTGGGCTTTTAATATCTCGATCAACATGTTTTTTCGAAAGTTTCACAAACATCATACAGCGCGGCTGAGATCAACGCAATTTTGCTGACGCCTCCTGTCGTTGCGAACCTTGAGGCAGGGCATCCGGCTGTTCATGACAACTATAGACTACGACGAGCGCCTGCTGGTGTCGGTGTTCACGAACATCAACAACAAGGACCTCCACTAGCGCAACATGGTGGAGGACCTCGCCTTCCAGCTGCGTCTTTTACTAGAGTTGGAGATGTTGGCATAGTTGTGGAGGATGGCGTAGAAGTGGAGGTCCCACCACACAACTATTCGTCGACTAGTGCGGTAGGCACCCCGCGTGCGCCTACTTCTCGTCAAAATCAATCTCAACATAGTCACATCCACATGATGAATAGTGGCCACCAAGATCTGCTATTTGGATCGTCAGCGAGTGTGGCCTGTTTGACACCGATCGCGCCAGAACCGGGATCTCATTTTGTGATGCCAGGGACGCGACTGCAATCTCCAAGCTTTCTGCAGGAAGACGAGGATCCTCGAGATCTTCTTGCGAGCACAACAACATCGACGCTCATCAATGGCGTTCTTGGTGGTCAGGAGGAGCACCATAATCCTTTTGTTCAAGAAGATGTCCATAGTTCTTGTACTAGTAGTTGTAGAAGAGGTGCTTCCAGTATAGCAGGTGCACCAGGAGGTGGACGATTACACGATGACTCCAGGCCTGAAGAGGACGATCATCGACACGATAGAAGAAACACAAACTACAAGAACTACAACACGCACACTCAACATTACGGAGGAAGCGACCACATGAATAGATCTCCTCTGCAAGAGCATGGTCATGTTGTTGGCCCACGACTAGGTGGTCAACATGCGAAAAATATGGAGCGGCCTGAAGAGTCTTCACCTCCACCTGTTGTGGTTTCTAGTGGGCCTGGTGTCAGTTTTTTTCGCGAGAATTGGAGTGCTGCGACAGCTGCTCCGGCACCATCATCTTCCAGGTCAAATAGAGCTCCTTTTCCTAGTATTAAGGCTCAGAGAAATTCATCTTAAGAGGCATCTTTGACCGCTTTCCTAAGGAGGAAGTGCGTTAAAGATGCTCTTCAAGATGAATAAAAGTAAGGTCTAATTATAGTAGTAGTAGTAGTCAAAAGAGATACGGAGGAGGACATCATGATGGAGCTGGTGGTGGAGACGACACAATGTCGACTCAAATTTCAGATGTTCGCGGCTGGATGCCTCGTGAGCTCGTCGACGCAATGGATGCCTCATCCTCTAGCGAAGGCACGGAGTCGGATCAATAGATACAACTCGATGCCTCATCCTCTAGCGTCGGATCGATGATTGTTGATGCTTGAAAGTATATCTTCGAAGAAGTTGGAAATTTTGCATTTACTTGTTAGGTACTTACCATTTTTACCAAGTTACCTGACAAAGACAATGCAAGAATTATCGGTTCGATAGTTCTTGTGTACTCCTCCTGATTCCTTCTATATTCATTGTTCTTGTTCTTACTCAGTACTAGAAGTTCTGCTTAAAATTGCTTTTCAGATCCAGTACAGATTTTGCACAGATGCTGAAGAGAACAGAGTTCTTGAACTTTAATAATGAACATCATGCCCGCTATCATGTCTGAACTGAAGACGAATCTGTGCTGTATCATGTGGTGGATGTGTTGATTTCGGAGAGTGTTCGACGTGATATGCCTCTTGACTGTCTACCTTTACCCAGCTGACTAAAAAAATCGTAGTAGAAAAGACTTTCCTCGTAGAGACGATTTCTGTGTGAGAGCTGAGCGTTGAAGGGAGTGTCTTCGGTCTAATGATGAGAGCCTTGCTAGTGTACGTATCTACGTACTGGATGCTATGCAATAAAAGTTTGGCGATCTTCATGTAGTTGTTCTGATTCTGAACGAGACTCAAATGAGTCATTCTGTGATAGAAGAGATGTTTACAAAGATTCTGCAAACAGAGTTGAATTGAGAGCAGCCCGTTCCTGGTGGTGGTCGAACGCACATCAGTAGGCACAGAGCAAAATCGAGTGGAGTTGATATCGCCTTTTGTAGTCAGATGGTCATCGCATCATGGCTTCATGGTTTTCCCACCTTCTTCTCGCTTTCCTAAAATTCGACAAAACAGGCCCCCATGCCTATGAAAAAAATTCGATAAACATACGCCCATGCCTATGAAAAAGAATACCCCCCTAGGTTTTCTCTCGCAAGGACTTGTTAGCGATCCTCTATATTTCCCGGAAGGCGAAGCGCACATCCAAATTTAGTATTTTGTTTTTCAACATAAGAACTGAGGCTGAGCTTTTTTCCTTTAGTTACGATACAGAGAGATGATAGAGTAATATAAAAATCGGCTTTACCACCTCCACCTTATAGCCTTCCTATTTCTTACTCTACGAAGATGTTTAGTCGTTTGTTCAAAAGAGGCTCGTCGAGTGCTAGTGGCACTTCTATTGCTGATGTTCCAAACAACGAAAATGAAGTTGTTGCCACCTCTGAGGGTACTGGACACGTTCCCGCTAACGCTGAAGCAGGAACGAAAAAGGGAGCGTCGTCTTCCAAAAAGAGAAGCGGTAAGAAAAAGGAGGCAGCTTCTCCAGAAAGAGGTGGAGATGTGGAGAAGAAAGAGAAGAGAGACGAGAACGGCGAGAAAGATGCTCCTGCGCCGGATCTTCAAGATGAAGAGAATTCCTCTCCAGGTAGTGAAGAATCCAGAGATGACCACGATGAATTTGACGAAAATGCGGAACTTGCTGTCCTAGACCCAGAGGAACTGGCTAGACGACAGATTGAGGCTAAAATTCGAGAGGCAACGCCAGAGGAGCCTACAAGATCGACCAGGTTGCAGAACAAGATTTTCGACGACTCGAATCGGTTCGTAGAGTTCGAAGTTGGAGATAAAATCCGCTTTTTCAAAGCTTTCAAGCATAACGAGAAAACGCAAGCCCGCGAAGACTTGCCTAAATTTCACCGATTGCAGTCGAAGGTGGCGATGGGCAAATACATTGGCGGAGAGGTCGTGGACGTTGATGAACTCACGGTGCGCATTAGTCTGGGTGATGGTGGAAATGAGCGATGGATTCCGCGAAATTCAGTTCTTCTTTTGCCCAAAGCGGTGAAAATCCCGGATATCATGGCTTCAGCCTATCGGGGGCAAGCGCACCAAGGAGAAGAAGAATTTGTTCCTCCGCCACCTCCAGTGGAGATGACCCCTCCAGAGGAAAAGAAGTTGCCTGCTGCAAAGGGTCCTCGTCTCGGCATTTTGACCGGTGATATGGCGCTGCATGATAGTTACAAGGGCAGTATGAACCAAAAGATGTTGCCAGGAGATGAAGAGTCAGAAATCACGGAGCCCAACATGAGGATGAGCTTGAGCATTACGGTACCCGTTTACCCGACTGTAGATGGCAATATGGACGAAACCTTACGCCAAGTCCAGGCCGCGAGGCGAAAAACAAGGCAGATCTTGGAAGAGGAGGAGCGCATCCGAAATTCGCGTTGGTTGAAGGCAAAACGACGTGCTAAATACCTCAAAAACTTCATTTTGCCAGAAAAGCCTCCGCCACTCCCGCCTCCGCCAAAAGTGGTATTTTTGGAAGATTTGGCCAAAGAGGAGAAGCACAAGTGCTGGATCAAAGTGGCCACTCACTGGTACAGAGATCCTGAAGAAATCGCGGCAGCACAACGCCTGAAAGAGTCACTGGAACAGCGGGCCAGAGAACGCACCGGAGATGAAGTGCCAGCCGCGATAGAAGATCATCGGGCCAGAGGTGGAACAGGAGAAGTGCCAGCCGCGATAGAAGATGGTCCTGCTCCAGAACGAGCAGGTCCTGCAGGAGGCGAAGGAGGAGTAGGCGAGGCAAATAGAGGCATTCCGAGAGGCGATGACGTTGCAGAAGCGATGCAAAAAGTAGAGGATGAACAGGGTCCTCAGGGAGCAGAAGGACAAGCACAACCGACCACAGAAGAGACTGGAGATGAGGCGGTGAAACAAGAAGATGCTGCTGAAAAGAGTCAAACTGGTGATGTTCCAGATGCAGAGAAGGGTGACAAAACAGCTAACGATGCAGAGGATCATAGGTCTCCAAAAGACGAAGCGGAAGGGAAGGGAGACGAGGGTTCCGCAGGAACACAAGACGAAGGAGTAGCACCACCAAAGCCGCAGCCGCCGCATCAAGCGGAAGTAGATGGAGCTGCGCCTCACCAGGATGGCGAGGGCGGTGAAAACCAGCCAGATGGGGAAAACAAGGCTTCTGGGGAAGCAGGAGACGGAACAGGTCCTCAAGCAGAAGAAGGAGAAGGACAAAATGCTGAAACAAAGGATCCTCATCTTGTTCAAGAGAACCCACAGGAAGGTGAGGGTGAGGGCGACCAAGATGATTTACTCCCTGAGGACGATGAAGAAGAGGAGGAAGCAGAAGAAGATTTCGATGATGATATTGCCAGAAAAGTGAAGGAAAAAGCTGCCGAGCTAGCGCGGAAAGAAGCTGCCGAAGCTGCAGCAAAAGCGGCAGTTGAGGAAGAAAAACGTCAAGAGGCTCGCAAGAACGAGGAACAGGGTGTCTACTACTTTAATCTCGTTACGGGCGAATCCACATTCAGTCGTCCACCGAAGATCAGCGACGTGCGGATTATGGCATGGACCCGCGAATATATGGATGTCGTTTCCCAAGGACCGCAGGTACTTAGTACAGATCATGGACTTTTTACAATAACTCTGACACACATGACACACATGACATGGTGCTCATACTTCATAGGGACGTGTAGACAGATAAATAAACGGAAACAATGAATAAATCCACAACATGACCTTGAATGATCAATAAGTGTGGCCCCAAGAACTTGAACTAGCTTGCCTCGATGAATCATGTTCAACAATTCAAAAACCATCAGGAGAGCGGCATCATTTACCGCTGCCGGCGCACTCTTCGAGAAAGAGCCATGCCTTTAGACATCATGAGCGCTGAAGTGTTGCAGGGGCTCCAAACGTTGTACAAGGGAGACAACCCGAACTACATCGCTCCAGGGGGAAAATCAACGGTGGTCCGCGACCCTGCTGAGGCTCAGAAGCTGTTCGCGATGCCGCTCACAGACTTGCTGAGCCAAAACATGAAAACGATAAAGAAGTACGTCCCTCCCAAGTCCTCCTTGGATCCCGCTGACTGGGCTTTGGCTGGCTTACAGGGGGTGGCGGGAGTGAACAGCGGTAGCATATCAACCACAGGAGTACGGCGAGGTCCACGAGGAACGACATTCGGCTTTTCAGGTTCGATGATGAGTGGTACGTCAGGAGGGGGTCACCGCTACAGTGTAGTAGCTCCGTCAGCCATGGCCGCCGCATCTATGCTGGCAGATGTGACTGCGACAACAACAAACGATTACGAAGCTGGTACGACCAGAACCGATGTGGACGAGGAGCTGCCCTCTCCAATTTCTAGGCTGGACGCAGTCGCAGCAGAGACAACCTATCAATCAAATGACGGGGAGGGGGTAGTAGAGGGTGAGGTTGCACAGAGAGGGGACGATTTGGTGGACGAGGGTGTTCTTGATGAACGGGAGGAACAAGAACGGGGCTTAGCAGTGGTCCCCCCATCTCCTACGATCTATCGTTCTTTTGGTGGCCTTTCTTCGTCGCTCGACTACGATGCAGTCCGAAGTATGAAGCGGGTGCCGTTTGAGAGCACAAGAAGCCTGGAGAGCACCTACGGCCCTGACTTTACGCGGTTATCCAAGAGGGACGGCACCTTGCGTGGCCCGAATGGCGAGCTGGATCCCTTAGCCAATCCTTCACGGCTCTATGGCGCCAATCTGGCGAAATTGAATCGGTCCCAGGTTGTGAAGAAGAAGCAGAAAGCGCGGCTTCAGCATCGGCATTTGGCGCTGGCGCCAAAACGTAATCAGGAAAGCTATTTCGACGAGAACGGTCAACCAATCAAGGATCAGGAAGATGCGCTCTTCACGCAAGATGGGCCCACTGCGACTGAAGCTTCGCTACTACTAGAACAACAAATGGTCCGGTTTGGAGCAGGTGGCGGATCTAGTGACGCGGCGAGCTCAGGCTACGACTGCTCGCCACGCGGCATGTCGCCTGGTGCCTCGATGTATTCGACAAGAGACAACTTCAACTTGTGGAGCAAAAGTTCGTATGGTGCCTACGGCAGTTCCAACACCACTAGTGTGGTAAAGCTGCCCAACGCAGCAGCGGCCAGTGCAGTCGGTGTGATCTCTTATGGACGCGGGCGACGTCATAACCCCGATTACCGGTACGTGGGAGGCGACAAGCGCTACGATTTCAGGTCGGATGAGGGGACTTATACAGCGTACGAGACCCGTGAGGACGGCGTCATCCAAAAGAAGCCGCCAGGCGAGACCCCCTTGCACGCCTTTTTGAGAACGCAGTCCACTTTGTTGAAAGAGTCGCAAGAAATGTCAGCAGGCTTTCCGATCCGTGATATGCGCGCTTCGCGTGCTGCGTCGCTCTACACCGGCTCCGGCTCGCGGCAGGCCTCGCCGCTGGACGGAATGACCGCGCGCAAGCTAGGCCGACCCAGTGGCGTCCTCGGCAGCAGCACCGACCGGCCTCTGTCCAAGAGCGAAAAGCGCAAGCTTTTTCCTTCCCCACCAGGCACCGCAGACCACGTACCGCAGAGTCTGCAGGACCGACTCGAGAAGCCCGTTGTTGCCAAAGGCCAGAAGCACGAGATCGTCGGTGACATGGGTCATGGTGGTGGTGTGTTACGAGCCCGCGCCGACGCTGTGAAGAAGATGGAACGCAAACTGTCGCAGCAGGAACGACTCAGCGTCTCACGAGAGACGTTCATTTCGTCTATGGGTGTCACAGATGATGCGATGGACGAAATGCAAAAGGTAAGGATGGGAGGCTCAACATCCGATAATTTTCCACCACGTGGTCCTGGACGAGGCATGCATCTTCCTGCTGGAACAGGTCTTCAGAACAGCTCCTACATGTCAGGAATGGACTCCCTCTACGGTGACCTTTATAACGACTACGGACATCATGAGAAGATGAACAACAACCTTCATAACGCGAATCAAGCGATTCTGGTCGCGCGTGGTCGCCGCATCGGCATTCAAGGATCGGATCTGGACTTCTACGACTTGTCGGATCCAGCAGTCTTCGGTCGTGGAGGCCCTGGACGGCACGTTTCCCTAGGAAAGTTCGGCACCATCGACCTCGCACGACCTGTCGAAGATACGCTTGTGAACGCTATGGGGTGCACACAGGATTCCCTCTACATGCATCCGAGCGACGTTCGGCCAGAGGGCGAAACCTCGCAGACGGACTTCAAGTACAAACGTGTAGTGCGCGAGTGGGGGAGGCCTCAGGCCGGAAGTGCCTCTAGTCCGGGTACGAAGCTTTTTGCAGGAGACTTCGCTTCGTCTTCCCCAACAGGGCAGAAAGGTGGCAGGAGTATCTACACTCACAATCACAACTACGGGTACCAGCGGGTAGGACGCAGTGTGGAGGGCAAACAAATTGAGCGAGCGGTAGGGGTCAATGTAGCCGGCGAACCGCCTCGACCAAGAAAACTCACGTCAAGCTTCTTCGCGGCCATGCTTGGATATGGATGAAGAGTTCCATTTTGTGTCCATTTTGGACATTGCAGATTCCGTAATCTATCATGTTCCATCCAACACGCACTTTTTTTCTTCTTACAGTGTAAAAATACAAATAACTACATGTTGAAATGATGAGACGAAGCACCATCGCTGCAGCAGGTTGTTGTCTTTGAAATTCAGCAGCACTCATGGTGCTCTTATTCGAAAACATCCGCTGCCGATTGCGATGCGGCTAGTGGAGCTTCAAGTTCGCATCTTTAAAACCTTGCTCCCGCGACGATGCTGTGTTCTTTTAGCCTCCTGCCTCGAAGGAAAGAAAAGCAAAGTGACGCACGCAGGGTGAATTGAATGATTGACTCGAGATCGACACGTCGAGCGACGTGAACAAGATGGTAGTAATGTGGCAATGAGTGATCGAACAAGAGCGCAAAACGATCAGAATCGAATGATAACCGAAATGTAGTTTTCAATGGAAATTGCGTAAAGATCGTCTTTTCATCAAAGCAACGTACTCGTCAGTCAATGTAGTCTGAAATTCTGCAGGGTTCGGTCTAGAAAAGTTTCATCTTTTATGGCTCTTTAATCGCCTCGAACACTCACACCTGTATAGGTGAGCCACCTCCTATCCTATCCTAGTAGAGGGCTGTGGTCGTTGTTCTTATTCCACATATAATAAATTTATCAAGTAGGAGTCTCCTTGTTGGCTACTTCTACACCGAAGATTGTCTTCAGCTTTTTATTTCTAGTTGGTTTATTGTCATGGAGGTCATTAAACAACCTACAAGAACAATCTAGTCCCTTCATGGTGATCATCATTTTTTAGAGTTTCTTCGGCAAAGCATAAACAAGGAAAATAATGGGACCAGTGGCCTCTTCTTCCTCTACTTCTGAGTTTCCAGCGGCTCCTGCTGGCAACAATAAGGGAAGAGGGGAATGCTGTGGCTCGTACGGCGCTACGGATTCGACGGAGGCGTTAAAGATGTCCAGTCAACAGTTGGTAACCACGACAGGAGCAACAGCGACAACATTGTGCAGAAGTGAAGAAGATGTGCGAGCGAGTGCCGCCTTGGCCGCGGCAAATGGTGATCGCCAAGATGGACGATACCGTCACTCGTCAACAGGGTGGAAGAGTCTCCTCTGCTGTAATGCCGTCCGCTACTGCACGACCGAAGAAGAACAAGAAGATGTCGCGACAGAAAACGGCGGCGCCATGATCGCGATAGATATGCGAAATAAGCTCAGCGGGGAAGTGTTAACAGTAGAGATTCCGAGTGAGAAAATGGAGAGGGTCAGAGTTGTTCATTCAACGTCGATCAAACAGCAGAATAAACAGTGTCAAAATCAAACTTCGCAACATCATTCCGAAGTCATGTTGTCGATATCGATGAAGGAGCTTAAGCGTGCGATTGCGCAACAGCATAGCGAGGAGCGTAGATCGTTTCGCTATGTCGCTCTCTATAATGACCCGGACGATGATGATACCAAAACCAACATGGAAAGCACGACCCGCCTGCTCAGCAGTTTCGGGAACAACTCTACTACTTCAGAAGATGTCAAGATGAACTCCTTTTTTTCCAGAGAAGAACTCGATGATCAAGCACCACATGGACATGGTACTAACTATAATGCTGACGAAGAGATCGACGAGGAGATAGACACACCAGTACGTTTTCTATTCCGAAAGATTACGTGCTTCGACGACGAACAAGAGCAAAACACAGACTCCGACAAGATGAGCAACACGTCTACTACTGGCAGAACTGGCGCACTCGTTTCTGCGACTACGGGAGCTGACCAAGGAGCTCAAGGTAGTGCTGAACAGATCGAGCACATTCTTTTTGGGAATACCAACTCCTCGCCTAGTCCACTTTCACTTGCGTTTCTTATTCGAGGTTATCCTAGTCGCGAAAAATTGGAGTTGGAACTGAGCCAAGACCCTGCCTGGGTCTCTATTAAAAGAGGCAATGAGGAAGAGGAATCAAGAAATCAACAGCATCCTTTCGTAAAGTTTCTGTTGGCGCTAGACATGCGAAGGTACGGACTTCATCCAGATGAGGAAAGAAAAGAACTGGTTGCTTTCATTTCTGATTTGCACATTGAATTCTGGGCCCCACCGGAAAAGGTGCAGCTGGAGGAGGTCCATGATGATTATGATAGCTACTATCCTAGTCCTTTGTCCGACGAAAACGAGAAAAGGGACTGTTTGGAGCTCGCGGAAGACGTTGCTTCAGTGCTCAGCGGAAGCGAGGTCGGGCGAGTCTTGTCGTTGTACAAGACAACGTCAAGAGTTATGAAGACCACGACTTTGCAGCCTCTATCTTTCAACTTGCCTTAGCATCTGCAAGCATCACAAAAGGAAATAAAAGTAGTAAATCATGATGAAGCCCAAGCCTTGCGCTTGTGCTTTAGATGATTTTTTTCATATTTTTTTGTTTCCTAGATAGGCGTACTCCACCGATTTTATAATAATTTGCCATTCGTTTTCGTTCCTCTATAAAAATTCTTGCACTCTCCTGCCTTACTGGCTTTTTAAATTTGTTCTCTTTCTTCATAATTTTGGGTTGGTCGCCGAAAGACGGGCTCTCGGACTATCGAAGAGACGGACGGCAAAGTGGTATCTCGCCTCACCTGTGGTCCGAGACTGTCTGGCGCGAGCTTCTATTAAGGCTCAACTTTCAGTGGTCATTGGGGTTGGTCACTGAGATCGAAGAGACGACCCCTTGAGGAAAGATGGGGGGAAAACGAAGGGAAAGGGGAGAGCCTTGGAGGAATCTCTTCCGTTCAGAGTCAGTGACCAATGAATGTTGAGCTTTAATTCTATGTTGTGATAAGGTTGGTTTTTCCTGGCTTAATAACGAAAACGGGGAGCGAGAACCACCCGTAGCTGCCGTGGAGGAGCCGATTTTCTACACATTTGTCTATGCGCCTACGTGCATTTGCATGGAGCTGCTGGGCGTGCTGCAGGACGAAATGCACCACGATGGTTATGGACGAGGGCGGAATCTTCCTGCCATCAGCAGAGAAAAAGAAGGGGATCATGAAGGGGGAACAAAAATAAGTACACTGCCAGCCGCTGGTGCAGCATCTTCATCTTCTTCACCAGTCGTGCGTGGTAGGAATCACCCGACAAAATCACGCCTTCGTGCACTTCCAGAGACTCTCGTCAGTCATGGCCTTATTCTCTACGCACTGGCATTTCGAAGCCGTAAGTTTGTGGAAGCAGATGGATTCGACTCTACGGCTGCTTTGTTTCGTGCGTTGTTTCGCCATCCAAAGTGGACTAGCGCAGCCCTTGTCTCAACGGTCACCCGCCTGGACCGCAGAGATCGGACCACCAGGAAGAAAACTCCAGTAATATGGGCTATGATACGCAGCACGTCGATTACCGCGGAGGTAGTGCTCGAAGCTCTGAGAGAGGAACACGGGCCCTTGCCCACGCGATCTCTGAAGAGGATCTGCAGAACTGAAGACGAAAATGGTGACTTCGGTCGAGAAGTAGAGTTACGGTCAGCTTTTCTCCATCTTTCTGCTCGGCCGCATCTCGGTGCCCGTTTCCCTTGTATTTATTCATGGGAAAGGGGTGGAGATGAGGAGGGGACCGAGACGGATTCAAGCTGACTCTAATAGAGTATGACTGTCTCTCCGCGGCGATCGACGCGCTCAGAAACTTGTACACAAAAGAAATATGCATGAGCATCATGAGGAAAGATAATATGTCGAGACAGAGAGAGAAAGAGGTCCGAAAAGGTTTGGTCGCAATATGTTTGGAAATTTTAAAAAGGGAGGACTTCACCCTTTACGACGCGGCGATGACTGAAGAGGAAGCATTGCGGGCAGTTGGGCGTACACCTCCGCAAGCAGTATCATATTTATGGGTTTAGGGAATTCATCTCCAAACAAGTCTTCACCTGGAAGAGAAAGACAAGAGGAAAAAGGGGCCCAGAAGATGATCCCTGAGATGAATTCCCAATACCTCTAACACATATTCAATTGGCCTCTGATGTTGATATTGAGGAAGATTACATCGCAGATTACAAAACGATCCTCTCAGCGCTTTTTCAACAGATAAGATTACGGGCGAAGGTGAAGAACTTCACTGTTGTAGGTTCTGCTGGTTTTTTTTGGGTCTGCTGGGTCTTTTGATAGATTGTAAAAAGATGTCCATAAAGCTGCAATTGTAGCTCTCCTCTGGAGGTACTATGAAATATTACTCTTACTGTGTGGCCTCAAAAGTAAGTAGACAATAATAGCCACAATAAAAGAGGCACCATGACATGACATGACAGCTGCAGCATGATTGGTTTTGAGTACTTCTTCAGTCTGTGATGTCAATGTCATTAGTTTTAGAAGTCGTGGTCTAATGAAACATCAACCGAGAGCGCTGAGTGAGCTGGAAGCTTTTTTCGAACAATGGGACGTCGACATTGCAAGACACAAGCGGATATTTGACCCTCGGTTCGGAGACCAGGTTTCAGGTTTCAGAATGGAGGAAGGTTCCTTCGATGGCTACTTCGCGTTTCAATCTTTGCCTGGTGGATCTGCAATTGAGCGGCTTGAGCACGTCCTGCGTGAAGAAGCGACACGAGACGTAAGCGGAGGAACAACTAGTGATAGAAATATGAAGATTGTAGATTTCTCTACTAATTTTGCGGCCTCCCCGCTCGTCTATCTTGACCGTGTGTGGCCGTGAACTTTTTTTTCATAAGGAAAAATGTGAGGCACGAGCAGATTGCCATACGCTGTAGATTACTATATCTATAAATATTCTGCACGACTTCTCACTTATTTTCAAATTGAGAACAAATTCGAAGACATTCTTCTCCTCCGACTACCACCACCTTAGGGAACACAAACATAAAATGACCCCTCGACCGTCTCAGCGTTTAAGTGAAGTTAAACGACCTACAATCTAATCCAATCATCATCAGTATTTTTTTGTTTAAAAAGATGTAACGACTTGGTCTTCTTCGGTTCAAAATCATCAACATTCACATTCTTCTCCTCCGATCTCGATTGGTAGCACGTCGCATCTTTTTTAGAACGGCTTGAAAAGCCTCATAAGGAGACACGAAGAGCTATAGAAGAGGTTCGTCCTTCATGGCGATGACATGGCATGGTGCTGCGTTCATGTACCCTCTTGTGTTGCTTTCTTGTGATTTTGACGCAGTCGAAGATGTTGATACATCAGAAAAGTTTCTTCTCGTGTGTCCTCGTAGAAAGGGTTGGGATAAAAAAATCAAATCGCAGCACAACCTTGAGCTAAAAAGATATCATAACTACAAAATCAGAGAGAGAGACAGACACAGACTGACGACACCAGCTGCGCATCGTGGGAAATGTTCAGAGAATGTTGTCCAGATGAACCTTAGGAAATTGCAGCAAATCTTGATAGACAAGTCCTGGAAGTTTGAGATCGTTGTAATCGAAGAAGAAAAGACCTTGCTGCTTCTTTCTTACAACCAGGAGTATCATCGCGTCGTTTTTGTTGTCTCTGAAGATTTTTTGTCACCACATCAATGAGCCTTTAAAGATGGTCCCCAGAGGTACCCTATCAAGTCCTGTGGCATCACTACAACAATCACTACTAGCTCCTTCGGCGTTACAACTTGCAGGGCCGCCCTCGTACGAGGGAGGATCGTGGTTTCCGACAATGAGTGACATCCAACGGTCAATCGAGACTGCTGGAGTCGCCGCAATGCGAGCGCTTAGCGGAGGGAAGGCTTCCTCTGGCGCACAAGCGACTTCTCTGAGCGAAAGCAAGCAAGTCTACCCAGAACCGATCGGACGCACTACTTATGTTGACTAGCATACTTGATGAAGATGAAGATGTTTTCAAGACCGTGTATGCGTATCTCTGATCTTTTATCATTCTATCAGCACTGTCGTCTTTTTCAAGACCGTGTATGCGTATCTCTGATCTTTTATCATTTTCTCCGTTCTATCGTCTCACAGATTATTGTTGACAACTCCAGCACGACTTCCATTTTGATTTTCGAGTTCCTCCAACAGCCATGATATCCTCTTTCATGCATCGCAGAAAGGCGGAGATGCGAACCATGACTTTTGGGTCCCCTTACTGTTTTCGCTTGTCGCCGGTATGTCTACCTCTTTCGGCGCCCTTCTGTTAAGGCTTGCCGTAATTCATCTTAAGAGGCATCTTTGGGCACGATTTCAAGGGGAATTCACTTCAAAGATGCACTTTAAGATGAATATGGATAAGGTCTAATTCTGGTTGTGATGAAGGGAAGGATGACGTCGAACACCATGGCCTTCTCTCTTGCGCTGGCGGCTGGAGTGATGGCAGCTGTTTCTTGTATTTCGCTCATAGAAGTCTTCAGGGATGAAGAAGAATCCCCTAAAGGCAGCAAAAACACTAACACAAGCTCTTCAGTGTTTTTTCACATCGGCTGCTTTCTGTATGGCGGCTATTGTAAGTTTCGATGCCGACCATTAACATATAATCGACGACGTCTTCTTGTCTGAAGATGAGTAAATTAATAGTAGAGCCAGCAGTATGAAGAATCTTCATCTTCTTTCAGTATCTTCTAATATTATATTAATCAACAAATACAGAAGCAGATTTGAAATTAGAATAGAGTACCTCGACCCCAAAACTACCTCCCCAAAGCTACCTCCTACTCCTCCTCCTCCTCCGCCTCTTGTCAGGCATATGAATCAATCAATCGTGAATCAATCAATCAATCTAACGGCCTCCTCCTCCTCTTCCTCTAACGGAAAGTCGGCAGTGGATTCTATTTCTTGTTATCGAAGTACGTACTTCCCGATTTACCGGATACGACGGATTTCGCACAAAAGCATCCAGGAGATGGCTTTGGTATAGATAGCGGACCAGAAGACCAAGGCGCATCAGTAGCCGCCACCCTCGGCTCGGTCACCACTGGATCGGGGGCATCGGCATTAGGCAGAAGTAGACTCAGTCCGCAAGTAATGGAGTTAAGAATTTGAAAAAATCGTGACATGTTCGAAGGTGTAGTTGTTGACCACTTCTCTCCAGTTCATATAGACCGAGTTCTAATCGGCGCAAGTCCAGGTGTAGCATCGATTGGCAGCGACGAAGAACAGAGACGTCGGCTGACAGGAGACGTAGACGAACCGCCAATGAACAATGTAGTTGCATCAAGCAAAGGAGGTGGAAATAGCGGAGTTTATGGCCAAGAAATGCTCTCATCCTACCATCGTCATAATTCTTGATGTTGTAGTTTATTTTGTGATGGAGTTTATTTTGTAATATAAGGGAAAAGAAGAAGTTCTTATTATTTCGATGGAAGGTGTCCATTTCTCTAGTTAGCACTTCTAAGTTATAGAGGTCGTGTTACACCGCGATCATGACCTCCTAGACTCTTTAGGCGGCGTTTCCAAGTCCTCAAGTTCGACACGAGCGGTCGCCGCTGCAAATGGTCCTAGCAATGATGCTGAGAGGCCTCAATCCCCACCTTCAACCTCTTCCTTATCTTTCCTTCAGCCTGAGCCAGGTGTACCACAGACAGCGCACCAAAAACGAAGCTGGCGAATCACGATTCTCCTTTTTTTGTCGTTGTTGTTATGACCACGTAGTAGCGGTAAAAAACTCGATTAGAAGAAAAAGCCTCTGAGCCTATCATCGAATCCCAATCCATCGTAATTCAAAACAAACTGAATCAGTAACACTACTGGAAAGTTATTACTACAGAACAAGCCTCCACCCCTTCCGTCGACCTACTACAACTCAACTACAGCTGAAACAACACCTCGTTCATCTTCCCTGCACAATTTTCCAGAGGGGCTTGCTGTTGCCATATCGACCTTGGACAACATGCAGTTAGGGGTGACGATAACTTTCGGAATTTTGATACACAACATACCGGAAGGACTCGCAATTGCAGTACCATGTCTCACTTAAGGCCACCATCTTCCTCAATCCTTGGATCATTGTTCTCTTTCTACTACAACTTGAAAAAGGTTCCTCGTCCATGGACGAAGACTTGACTTGTGGCCATCTTCATTAACTTGAAAAAGGTTCCTCGTCCATGGACGATGAAGATGCTCATGCTCCGCAGGAGCAGGACGCGATGATTTCTCCATGGACGAAGATGCTCATGAGGTGGAACACGACATCATGAAGCACGAAGATCTAATTCACAGCACGACCGAATGAACCTTGGCTTGCCTTCGGACTAGCCACGCTCAGCGGCGTAGCAGAGCCTATCGGCGCTGCCTTGGGACTCCTCATAGTGAAAGGAGGCACCACTGGAGCAGATGGCAAGACGACGCTTTTACCAGTGAAGTCGTGCCTAGCATTCGTCTCCGGGATCATGTTTATGGAGGATATTCTAGTAATATAAGTACTATTTAGACTATAACCGCTTTTTACTTTTCCTAGTTAGATTGGCTCCACGACCCATACTATAACTGCTTCGTTTTTCCTCTTCTTGCATTAAACTAGGTTTATCCCTACTTCATGCACTATAGATAATAGGAACGTCATGTTGTAAGTGTTAGTTGATGTTGAAGATTTTGCTCCTCTTCATCCTCAAGCGCTAGTCCTCTATGGAACGCGGATTTTCCACCTTGCGCTGTTCCACCCTTGGTTTTTTTATTTTTTTTTGAAAGTATCATGTATCTATATACTTAACTAAGAAGGTGAACTACCTCCTCGTGTGAAAATCCATCCCCTCCACCTCCTTCATAAGCTTAATGGTCGTCGTCTACGAGCTGATACCGGAAAGCCTCATATGGGACAAAACGCCGAGACGATACTGGGTCAAAGCTGGCATGGCTGCTGGGGTTCTGGTGATGCTTTTGACAGAAGCAATACTGAGCAATGTAGTACCGAAAATGGTTTTGTAGAAATCATCCTCGAAGGAACATCTGGGAGTAGTACTGCTTTAATACAGGTCGTGCATCGATTTTTAAAGGATGAAGAAAATCGAGACGCGAGCTGTGCTTGTAGTTGATCTGGTTGTGTACGCGTAGTCCTCAACGCCGTTACAGCAATTTTATCGTGAGAATCATAGTCACTTCCTAGTGCTCCAGATGGAGAAGCTCGATGACATTCATCGTGTCATGAGCCGCATGTGCATGATTGAGATCATGCTGGTGTACAACTATCAAGTACTATAAGGCGATTCGAACAAGAACTACTCACTGTCGTGTCATCAAAATGAATGGAAAATACAGAAAGAGATACGGTTACGGTTGTATGTACTTCCTATCTCCGCTAGAGCACGGTGCACAATGTCATCATGAAAAATGAGTGCACGATTTGTAGGCGAGGATGACTATGACAAGCCAAGCTATGGACGGGGACTGGTCAACTCTCACCACCAATTATTATACAGGGAGAGCTCTAGCTCTATTGCCGATGAGAGCTCTAGCTCTACTGCCCTCGAGTTGTGTTCCTCTCATGGTGAGCGTTTAGCACAGAGTCGTTGTGTTTTTGAGATGGAGTGTTGAGGTGGGAGAGTACTAGAATTATGTGGAAGATGAAGATGATGTAGTTTTAGGTGAAAAGTTTCAATTTCTTTTGCTTTTCCACGAGACTTAAAATGTGACACTAACCTCTTCCTTCTACACAGAAGTGTATGTGACAGAAAGACAGACGTTTTTTACAATAAACGCACCTGCTCGCCGTTTGGTGATCTTTTATCAAAACTTTTTGCATTTGTATCAGGATCAGCTGCATGTTCTTGGACGTGCCATTATCACTGTGAATGCATTGAAAATATCTCTGTCTTGTATACTAGCATTAAAAATTAGAAATTCTAAGAAAGATTAAAATCATTGATGTGTCGTGATTCAATTTTCTTTTCTGGTGAAAGTGAATTCCAGCTACCACATATAAGTAGTATATGACTCAGCAATCGACTTCCACCTAGGTGGAGAAACATCCAAAAATATCTTCTTCTAGCAGTTTTTAAATTCTCCAGAAAAAGCAAAGAAACAAAATGCCTTCCATAGAGCTTGCCGAGGCAACAAAAGTGAGTTTGCGTATCTATAGTATACTAAAAAAATTCATCGTGTTCGTATGATTATATTCCGAGGATACAGGAGGTCAAACTGTGGACGGCGAGCCAACTCTTATCCTATCCTATATTCCGAACAACAGCGAGCAGGATCTTCCAGCGTGCTGCATTGAAGTAGCGACCTCATTGTTAGACGTTTTAGATGCAACTGCGGTGGAGGACAAAGTTGTCTATTGCTGAGCCTGTTGCCGGTTGAATTTTTGAAACAAATTTTTACAAGCCCTATGAATAACAATGGGAACAATTGAGAGATGAGGTAGATGAATGCAACATTTCTCGATGAGAGAAAGCAAAGGAGGCTCAAGAACATGCTGAGGGTAACGTCAGAAAAGAGCGCGAAGATATATTATAAGTAAACAGCCTGCACGCCTACTCAGTTATGTTGTAGTAGTACTAGAGAAATTGTTGCTTCTGGCGGTTGTCAGTGGCAGCGTGAATAAATGAATACTACTAGTGCTGGTAGTACAACATGCGGCACCATCAAGAAATGAATTATGTTGATGTTCATTCATCGTCCACCTCCCTGTCATTTGCGTTTTCCACCTAGAAGTCGTGGCAAGAATTATACATAGATAACAATACGGCCGTCATGCGTTTTCTCTGATTTCATTGCTCTGCACGAGTACATTTCAGCGTTCTCACAGTTGATGACGTTATAATAACCTTTTAAAGATATTAGAGTGAGCCTCGTCTCCATCATTTTCAAATATGCCGTCTACAACGAGCGACGGAGCTCGGGCTATCCAAAAGCCTATGAAGAAGGCGGCGGGATCAAAGAAGTCCTCCACTGCAAAGAAGTCCTCTACTTCGTCGAGCTCTTGTTCTTCGTCGTCCTCAACAAGCAGCTCTACTTCTTCAGCATCGTCTTTGTCGAAGCAATCACTGGACAAACTCTGGTCGCAATGGACACCCGCTGAGCAAAAGATCCTTGCGTCGTTGGATTCACCGGGTAAAATTCAACAATTCCTAGACGCAATGGACTATGACCCAGAAGATGGCTGTCGCTCAATTATGGCTGTCGCTCGGGAAAATATAAATAGAAATCCACCATTTCTCTATTAATCTGTTTCCAAACATCTAGTCGCACTAGTTCTAGTACTCATTCATCCCGTTTTGAAGGAAATAAAACTGCTAAGAACCAGAGGAATATGATGCTGCCTGAGGTGGAAGATTACGATTTCGTCAAGGTCTAACTCAATACGTCAAACACTCCAAAGTCGGCAAGCGCATTGTCTTGGAGGGTGTCTGCTGGCTTACTACTGCATGAAAAGGTTGGGATACAATTATGGCCCTAAACTCTCAATCTCCATAATGATCTTCAGTCTGTCACATCTAGTTCAAGATCAAGTTGTAGACTCTTCTGGGCCCTATTTAACCCTAATCGAAACCCTATGAATCGAAACATCATCATCACCGGATCAGGGAGATGCAGGAGGGCCTCAGACACGAATTACTTACTTCAGAGTAGTTTATAGCACGCGTGGCGCATGGAGTGCATGGAGCGCATATCTCTAAGGGACGCAAGCGGGCAAACCTTATAAATTAGTCTGTTACAACTAAGTAACTTATCTACATTTTATCAGATTGTAGTACTAGCTACAACTTACTAATAGCCGTTTGCTTTTCCTTTTCTTCGTTCCTCTAACTCAGAGACGTTTTTTGCATCGGACTCGATGCGGTAAATGACGACTCACATGCCCTCTGCGTGTACTCTGTCAAAGTAGCTGGGAGCAAAGGTCGTGCAGCACAAACAAAGTTTTATTTAAGGCCGCTAGCTATTGGTATTGATGAAGCATCGTCCTCAGCAACATGATCGTCCCTGGCTCTTTTTCTACTTGAACGTGAAAGTACTACTCATCATCACTACTGAACGTAAAAGTACTACTCACTACCGCTACTTGTACTACTACATTTTTTTTCGTAAAAGAACCTCCCAGGAGGGATCACGCTCCTCTAAGGGAGGATGCAAGAACCGCGAAGATACCTCTACTAATTTAGGGGGCTCTATCGAAATCGAATTTCTCGACGTTGCGGTCGCGTGACTGCGTTTACCGCAGTGTGCGAGAACTCGTAATGTCCTATTGGGACTTCTACTTCAACATGCGGGGAGAGAAAGCCCTCACGACCTACTCTTCCAAATTCGACCCACTAGAAAGTTTTGCAGGTGTTGTGGGAAAGGAAGGCAGGTAAGACTGTAATGTTTGTTTCTATCTTCCTCTCGTCTTTCCTTTTTCTAGTTAGGTCGGCTCCGCCACAGTTAATACTAGAGCGTTGGTCTACTTGATGTTACAATTAGAATTACATCAAGGGGAACAACTTATAACTACAATTAAAATTACCTCTACTAGGTTCTTTATCAGCAAGTTCAAGTTACTGATGATGCTGGTGCTGAAGCTGATGGTACACGATCTGTGATTCTTCGTGCACTTACTGCCTAAATACTTGTTCCACCTAGCTGCCTACCTCATAAGAACCCTATAGCAAACATCAACTGATACAACAACAAGGTACCAATGGTTATTCGGGACGAATGATGCTCCAGAACTAGAAGCAGCGTTTGAGGAGAGCGAAACTAACCTCTTTATCCCGGAAGGCTACGATACAAGGCGTGAGGGGAGAAGGCCAGAAAAGAAGAGCCAATTTGGACAGACGGTGTTTGTTTTATGGCTCTTGATCGAAGAAGATCAACTTGTTTGGTTTTATATTAGTTCCCTATTTTTGTCAGTGTTTTCCTCTTTGAATTCAGGAGAAAAATAGGACCACATTAGTTTCTCCACCTTTAGAGATGAAATCTTGCGAGCGCTGCCTCTAATTTACGCGCCTAAAGTTCTATTGGATGGCAGTACGATGGATTCCAATCCTGATGGGCTGTATCAACCGACCTAAAGACACAGAGACCAGGACCGAATATGTAGTAGTCGCCTCAAAGGCGTTATTCGAACTCGTTGAAGTTTTGCTGGCGCTTGCGCAAGGTCAAGAATTCTTGTCGTGATGAAAAGAAAACCTTGACAACACTCCTCCAAGAAGTTATATAAAAAAATTTTCCACTACAACTGATGTACAACTCTTTTTACAATAACAATATCATGGTCGTGTAGTTGTACTTTCGAACTTTCTTTCTTTCAACAACAGAACGACAACAGAACGACAAACGAAGGAAGTACAACTTTCTTACGTAGTTGGCTGGTGGGTAAGTAGTGTTTTTTCATTCATCAAGGTTCTCTTAGTGACGAAAAGCTAGCCACAGCTTGGTCTTCTTCTTACAACTAGACTCAACATTTCACGACTTTCAAAGCTCAGCCTTCGTCTACTTACAATCAAGCACAGGGATAGTAGTTGTTGCACCTTGGAGGTCAAAAACATCGTGCTGCACACATGATCTTTATGCGAGGTGGTCGATTGCGTTGTGTTGTAACAACGACTAACATTAAATTATACACATTTACAACATAACTGTGCATCTATCTTCCATGATTGAAAATGTTCTACTTGAACATTTTTACAGAACTCCTGTTGTACAGATTTATTACGATTTTCGATCACTCCTCCTGAAGAAGAAGAAGGAGAACCCCTGCGTTTAGTATTCTTAGTGTAAGGGACTTCGTTCTATGGAGCGCTTTTTCTATATACAGTGTAAGAATGTGGCTCTCGCTCCACCACCTCCAGCAACCTCCATGGAAGATGATGACCAGCGTAGCTTCTAAGCGCCACTGAATTGCAGAAATTTGGCTCCGTTCAATACATGATGATAACTGATACTAAAAAGCTGGAGTCGTGGAGTGAAGAACTTGGAGAGCACAAAGGATCGAAAGCGAAGAGCTATCCTAAGAGCAGTCGTGACGCTCTCGCCATCTAGTATGGTGATAACACTTAGACTTGTCGACGGTAGTTTGGAAGATCTTCAGTTGGTTAAGATGAAGTAACTACTTACATTTGAGTAAGAAGCTGTTACAGTAAGTTGTAACATTTTTCTTTGAGTTTCTTGTTCAGCTTCAGAACAAGTAGAAGTTGCAACATCTATACCCAGTGAGAGCCTCCTGACTGTCCTATTGTCCTGCCTCATTCTTCCAAGAAAACGAGGATGCTGGAGACCATTTTGCGTCGATGGTTATCCCGCCGCTGGCACCTGTGGATGCTTGTGGTCCTCCCAGTGTGTGATGCTGCCAATAGCGACATCAACAAGGACGATGCGTCGTCGAAGCGGCTCAGAGCTCTAAAAAGTATCCTGGGGATAAAAGCAGTGAGGCAACGAGGACTTGCAAAAGATGCAATCGCTTCTAAAAATGCTGTCGAAGAAGAGGAAGTGCTTGAAGGGGAACAGCAGGAATACATCAAGAAGCAGGTGGGCAGGGAAAGCGAAAGTTGTAGGCGAACGACGAGAGGACCCAGCGTGGAAGGGACTCGGACCTGCTCTGATGAAGATGATAATGATACTGGAGATCGTACTGCTGGTCGTGCAGCTCGAAGTGTGATTTCATCTGATGTTCCTGAAGGCCAAAGAAGTTCTTGGAGCACGACTACAACTAGTGGCGACGTATCAGTATCTACAACTTCTACATCTAGTACAACTGAGGAGTGCGCCGCGTATGGAGGTAAAAATATGGATGATGTTGACGATGAGCAGCAGGAGAACGCGGCTGAAGATGGACTTCTAAGAGCAGAAGATGAAGGACAACTGGCAGAATCAGAAGGACAAGTGTCGGCTTGTTCGTCTAGCACCACCACGACAACTCCAGGTCTACGAGATACGCCTCCTTCTGAGATTCCGAAGTTTGATCCAGAGGAGGGTATTTACACGCGAAGCCACAGCGGCGCTTCAAGAACCTCATCAAATACTCCTAGTAGAAGCATCACAGCACATGATCATGATCATGGTATTGATACACAGAGAACAGCAAGAAGTTCTCCTCGAGCACGACCAGAAGACCACCCCGAAGAGCATGATCAAGCAGGTAAAATCTACCGCAACAGCCCTCACTTGAGTGACATTGAAGTCGCAACGTTTCGCCTGTATGACAAGATTGGCGTGGCTGGTCTGGCTCTGGTCAATCTTGTGGAGGTGGAGGAATTGACCGAGCCGTTACCCTCTCACCTTGTTAAGGCTAAGTAATACAAGAACAAGTCTCCTGAAAGGAGAGGAAAGATCCGATTGGACGTCGGTCATTTGGCAACGACTTTACTCCGGTCACCTGCCTCTGTGCTCGTTGACTTTAAACACAGGTTTTTGCCCATCATCCTCGGAGGCGAGCAGCAGGTGCCGGTGGGGCTCGTTGTGCAGGATCCATAACCTAACCTAACCTCCTGTTTCTTAAGAATAGATACCCCCTGTCGTGCCTACTTGTGGGTAAAAAGAGCAAGGCGATCGTTTGCGTTTGGCTTAATATGTTGCTTCTAGACAAATTGTGAAAGCTCTTCTAACCTCCAGGATCCCAACGGGAACTACGCACGTCGCACACGAGCCTTCTTCGAAACAACATCAGAAATGCACACGCGCATGCTCGTTAGAGAAGGGGTATTTGCACACGAAGACGAGGTGCAGAACTTCTACAACCCGGATGAAGCGGATCTTCTACCCGCTAGCAGAAATAAAAATAATTATGTTGGCGGTGGAGGAACTTCCAGAAGTATTCGCGCCGGTCGTGGTGGTGGAACATCAGTCCTTGAGCAGCTTGTTGGCAAATTGAGGGGGTTTTCTCCTCCATCTCCTTCTGCGGCCGACCACGTCAATGTTGACAAGGACGGAAACTACATGAAGTTTATGAACACCAGTATTTCGAATTCGAAAAATACACCGCCACCGACGTCGACCATCGGCGAGGACGCAGCTGGTAGTTCTCCGATAAGGAGTAATGCTAGCCGCGGAGGATTAGCTTTAGTTGTAGAGGCATCTTCGGCGCCTGTAACATCAACTTCTGGAGGTGATACTAGACGTGGGCGCGTATGGAGTGATCTCGCGCGGATTATGGGTAGAGTGCGAGCGAGTGGAGCTAAGGGTTTAAGGCGTCGACAGACGGTCGAGCACCGGTTGCTCGTCGTGGAGGCACATGAGAAGCAAAGACAACGCAGTGCAGACCTCGCAGCCCGTTACGCGGAAGAAGCGGTCCGAAAGGCGAAAGAAGAGGCTTTGGAAAAGGAGTTGGCAACGTGGGACGATGAAGATGATGATACTGACGAGGAGGAGGACAATGAAGATCTGACAAGGGAAGTAGAAAGTCTCGTTCTCGACTCTGGAAGTAAATGTGCTGAACAAGATGGTACAACTGGTAGCGCCTCCAGTGGAGGAGGTACTCGTACTTCTGGCACTTCTGTCGTTGATGACTATGTTGATCATGTTGGTGTGGGTGGACGAGATAGTTGTAGCGGAGGTAGTAGTAGCAGGATCGAGCAAGAGCAAAGCAGCGCAAGAGGCAGTGGTGACCGGCATCGGAATCAGAAGGAAGCAGTAGAACAGCAAGCTGTGGATGACCTAAAACTACAGAAAACAGTAACCTCCGAGATCATACGAGCAGACGACAGCACTTGTAGTGAAGATCCTCATCTTAGAGGTACAACTACAAACTTTGCAGCGACCACTGCAGTAGTAACATCCGCCACTTCCAAGACCACGACACCAGGCATGAAGACTGGCACTGTCGGGGATTTTTTCAATACTTTGGTAAGGCAAATGCACAAGTTTCCTGCTAAAGTTGATGGAGGAGATATGGGATCATTTACGCACGTCTCAGAGGAGCTCGACGACATGTTTTCCCACGCGACAGGTTTGCATCCGGTCTTTCTGCGCAGCGCTATGGGAGGTGTGAGAAATAGATCCCCACCTGGAAGTTCTGCGAAGCAACCGCCTTCAAGAGGAGTAGTTTTTCTCAAACTCTCAACAAAAGATCTGCTCTCTCAACTAACTTCTACCCAGAAGGCATCCGCAGGAGCTAGAAGCTTAAAGCTTTTAGAACAAGATGAAACAAAAATACTAGGGGATGAAATAAAGGCTCAGGACGTCGACCACGACTCCAGTGATGTGGAGAAACTAGAGTGGAAGGATGATGAAGATGGGGAGTTAGATTCTGTTGTAGATGAAGACGATCAAGAGGTGCTAGAGGCCGATACTAGCTCTTTTGCTGTTCATGACCACGCTGACGAGGAAGTGTGCGAGGATCATCTGGAGGAGCAAAATGGCTTTACTGCTGCAGGAAGCAGTCCTAGAAGTCGTCAGTTCGAAGTAGATAAGGAGCAATCGTGCGACGATGGTCGTGATCATGACACCGTGGTCGATCAAGAAACAGGTCTGACATCTGGCACGACCAGTACAGTACTTCTAGAGCAGCACGACGTCGAAACTGGCGTCGACGGCGATCTTGCCTCCATAATGAAACATCTTAGCGAGCAGGTCTTCGCAGGGTCCACCTCGGATGCAAACACTAAAGAGGTTAGAAGTGGAAAACCTCAAGAACAGAAGAGGATTTTTCAGTTCAATCTGAAATTCGATCTTGACGCTGTTACGAAGCGCATAAAAAGTGTCCCGCCCACTCCTTTTCAGGAAGGAGGTAGTGGCGTTTTATGGGAACAACAGGATGGTTTTGAAACAGTATTTCAGAAAAACTCTGAAGACGCAGCAAGCGGCGACATTGATCTCAACAGTATTTTCAACACAGGGATTATTGAGCTGCAGGCACCAGCGGCTTCTTCAGCAACGCAAAACAAGCTGTTAAAAATTGGAGGTGCCTCCCCTATATCTCTCAATCAGCACATCCTGTTGCAAAACCAACGTCGCGAAATGGGACTTTTTGACTTTAGTACGAAGATTTTCGACCTTCTTGGTCCAGCCGATGGATCTAAAACCTCTAGTTCTCATCTGATTGGCGGCGCCGGCGCCTCTGACTCAGAAGTAGATTTAAGGCCTCACCTAAAAATCCATCTTTGACGAGTGCATCTGTGACCTGCTTTCAAGTCCTAGAAAAACAAGGGACACAGATGAGGGAAAAGGTGGACTGTAGTGAGATCTAATAGATTTGGTGGAGCAGGACTCTCCTACTAGATCAACTCCTCCTCGTCGTGCAACAACAAGCACGATGAGCTTTGAAAAAGTGCTAGAGCAGTTGGCGGGTGCTGGAGGCACGGGTCGTGGAAAAATCGATAAGAGGACCACAGACTTTCTCGACAATATCCTCAAGGGCAGCATTGGTCATGTGAGAACGCTGACGAAGGAAACGAAGGAACATCAAGAAGCGCGCCGCGGACTAAGTAGTAAGACTAGGACGTCGGAAGAATCTTCAAGGCTCCCACTTCTAGGAGATCCTGTTGCGGATGCGTCCGATGTTGTGCCTGCGAAGCCTCTGAAGGTGAAGAAACGCTCCTCCCAGCAAGAGTCCCCTGTTCTGGCGATGATGCCCTACGATGTACTGCCTCGTTTAGAGCATGCTCTGTTCGCATTAGCCACTACTTCTCAGAGGAGCACAACATCTTCACAAGACGAACAGCAGAAGACGAGGACTTCATCTTCATCCCAGAACAAGAGCAGTAAGGCTAGTCAGTTACTACCCAGTGTGAGAGTGAGATATCCATATGTTGGTCCTGACTGGAATCGATCCTCGTGTGAGATATCCTGGTGAGTGGAATCGATCCTCTTGAATCATGATTTATCCTCTTGAATCATGATCATGATTTCAAAAGGACTGAACCAAGGATGAATGGTTCTGGTATTTGGTAACCTGAATTTGATCCTAAGGGAAAACAAGAAGAGAACCCTTAGGATCGAACTCAGGTTACCAAATACCAGAACCATACAAAGGGGCAGACTTGTGAAGGAATTCTCACTCGGGACCACGGTTAGTGATTGACTCTAGCGTTAAGAAAGTAAACGGGGAAAGGAGTGCAGTAACTTGGTTTCTCCACAGTTTTCCCGTATTGATGGAGCCTGTATCTACGCAGCAGTACCGTTCTCAGAGACAAAGCGTCTTAGTCGCTAACAGTTGGAGCGACGTCCTGAAGGCGAAAGAAGCAGCGGTCCTCGCTAAAAATACGATGAAGACGCAACAAGAACACATGGAGCGCAAGAACATGGAGAAGAAAATACAGAAGGACAACGAGGAGGAGAAAGAGAACAAGATGGGCTCATCTACATGCACTGCCTCAAGGTCATCTTCGAGTACTACACCTTCATCTTCGAAGACGTCGCCCGCTAATCGTGATGAGAGTCCACCTACTTGTACTTCAACATCAACGAAAACTACAAGCTCGTCAGTCGTCGAAAGCGATAGCGATAGTGCGGTATCTTCAGGAGAAATCCTCGTCAGTCATGCAGCAGAGGATGAAGAGCCACCTGCTCCTCCACCTGCGCCCCTAATGTGGTCAATTACTGGTGTCGACGCAGAAGGGAACCTAGCAAATTCAAACTGCGAAGATATAGAACTTGGCGTGTGGTGGTATCCAGAGAGCGTAATATCCAGAAAGACCGCATCATCTTCCCTAGGAGGTTTGGATTATGGTATAAATGGTATTGGAGATGAGAGCAGGTTAAAAAATACATCAAGAATTTCACAGGTAGAACATCAACCAGCACCAGAACCAACACCAGTGACATTCGTAAAAGAGCCATGGATGCAAGAGTGGCAAGGAGAGAACGAGCAAGGTGAGCAGGATGAAGATGAAGATCTAGCTGATGAAGATCTAGCTAATCTAGATGATGAAGATGAAGACTATAGTACAGGTGGACGAGAGGACTTCTCATACTCAACCTCTACTAGCTCTACTAGGTCACGGGTAATCATGACCGAGAATACGTTTTGGCGGATGCAAACCAAGGGCTGTCATCGCCTCTTGGCACTAGAGATCCAGGGCGCACCACTGGAACATCCTCTGAGACTCTCGTTTCAGGTGAGTAGAAGAAGGCCGAAAGTTATGGAAGAGGAGATGGGTCGCCAGGGTCAAGAAGAAGGTCTTCTACTAGTTGATGATGGAACTTCAGCAGACCTTGATGGTGGCGAAGATGACACTCGTTCGGATCGAGCAGGAGAGCGAAAAGCAGATGACACAGACGGAGATGGTGCTTTATCGATGTTTGATAAATTTTTTGGTCCTGCAGTGAAGGCCCTTCCGACAGTAGTGGCTTCTTCTACTGAAAAAGAGGTCGAAATGTCCGACGAGCCAGATTTTTCTACCACTTCTGGACAAGCACCAGAGGAGGAGAAAAGTAGAGCAGAGCCTTCAGAGCCTTCTGTACCAACATCAGCAGCGTCAACAGCACCTGATCAAACGCCAAGGGTATCTTCGAACGACGAGACCCGCGCTTCTTCTGAGCACGGTATTGAGAAGGACCACGACCACGACACAACTTCGAATACAACTACTAGTTGTAATCCAGCTCAAAACGAGGACCACGACGAGGTGCTGCCCGCCTCAACATCGAAGCCGCTTCTATCGGATCGCGGGTTGTCCACCGACGCTTTTTGGTTTTACCTGCATAACGAGTTTGATCACACTGACAAGTCGTTCTACATTTTGGTTCGGGCGTTGTGGTTACGTCACAACCCTTTTCGACCTCAGCGTCTTCAGTCCTCACACCCTTTGCTTGACGGCGCGAAAATCCATTGGTCCACCAAATTTCCAGACCGAGGAGTCGTTCGGTACAAGGTTGCCGAATTTACTAGAAGGGCTGTGAAAATGGAAAAGCCGCGTAGTACGAACACGGCCACGACTAAAATTATGGTCAGCTTTTCTCCATCATTCTCGGCATCTTGGTCCCCGTCCCCTTTTCACTTGTATTCTCGTGAAATACAACAGGGTAAAAGGAATCAAGATGAGGGGGCTGAGATGCAACCTAGCCGACTCTAATGAAAATGCTGAAGGTGTTGAAATAGAAGACGAGAAGATGTTTTCGATTCCCTTTGTCCTTCCTGGTGATTACGCAACTACAACCTCTGGTACTGGTTCATCATCAACATCTCCTTCATTCAATGTCGATGCTGTAGTGGAGGACCTTTTGGCAAGTGGAACCGTACTCATGCGAGGACCACACGGACGTGAACCTGAACAAGAAAAAAGTCAAATGACTACTGGTGGACGTGGACGAGGGAAGCAGAAAAGTAGCAAGCATGCCTATGACCCGCAGAAAACTCCATTTTTGCACAGGTACTGGCAGAGACTGGCTGCTATCATGAAGATAAAGATGTTAGAGAAACGCAAACGGTCGTTAGTACGGGAAGAACAAGAACGTCGAAGAAATCAAATTCATTGCATTTTTAAGGACGGAAAACGGCTACCATGTGGCACTAAGGTGGACCAGGACGACGACTACAACGGTGGTAGAAGAAGGCTACTCATGGAAGATGGAAACATAGGGGCGGGTGCAAAGACGAACACATCAGCGACCACGCTTTCAGTCGCGTCCTCAACGAGGCGAACAGTTCTAGCAACAATAACGAACAACTCGAACTCAACAGATCATGAACAAGTATACCAGGGTAACCAAGTAGAGGCCTCAAGTTCTTCGGCACCAAAGGTTCCGTACTATCCTTCCACGACGGACGGTCCGTCTTCAAGCACAAGTCATGAGCCTACTTCTAGAGGAGTCGGTAAGAGTGCCCGTCCAATCGGTGGCTTACAGGATGCTTTGCATACCGGTCTCTCTTTGCTTGGATTGACGGATGAGAGTATCTCAACAAAGATCGAAATTCTTCCTGGGGTCATGGCTAATCCTGCTGCATCGAAGCCCTCTGCTGCACCCGTTGGCCGTGTTGAAGAAGGAGATAGTAATATGCAGCACGATGGCAATGGCATGGTGGAAGATAGCTCTATAGAAGAACGCCTCCAAGCGATGAATAAGAAGAGCGAAGAGGAGGTGGCCCAAGAGATTCGCCGCACTGCAGCTTATGAAACGTACAATAAGCTGTACGGCCGTCGACCGGAGGACGACTTCAATTTGGACGAAGAACCATTGGAAGTGCATGTAGGAGGCGGAAACTCGGAAGAAGATCAGAGGATGAACCACATGAAGCAAACGAATGAGATGAAAGTTGGTGCTGGTGGTGGTGGTGCTGAGGACGGGAGCAGGGTGCATCAACATATCAACCAGGATGAACAGCGAAACCCCAAAAATGTTGATCTATCTTCCCACGACGAGAAAGTGAAAGACGCACACGACGCAGGTGCAGTAGCGCCACAGACGAGCGGAGCACCTCCTCCAGAGCTTCCTGCTAGTGCAACAAGAGCCTTGCCAGTGGATCCGCATGTTGGAGAAGTAGAGCCTATTAATGATCTCTTCGAAGGGGGCGAGATTCGAGGAGTGGCGGAACACCTTGCTGTGGTAGAGCTTTTTCTCGAACAACTCGCACGCATTGAGGAAGTGGCGTCTCAATTATGTCTAAATAAACTATTGTTCACGTTAAAAGTAATTCGAAAAACTGAAATAACCGAGTAACTACTGAAAATATGGAAGATACTGAAAGAAGAGGAATGTAGTCGAGACTCTCTTACTTGTTCAGTCGGTAGCTCGCTTATTTTGAGTTTTCGAATACTTACTTAGACTTAGTAGGGCGGTCACAGCTACACTCATTAGTACAACTACGTGAATAAAATAGAACTAGAACAAGTAAGTACTTCATGTGATAAGAGTGCAACAAGCGCTAAGAATCATAGAAGAGTCTGCTTGGGAGCTCCGCGACGCGGTTAGTGAACGCATCGCGCACACACTCGAGCTTCTAGATTAAGGCTGCTCACGACAATTCGTCTTCACAGCTTATTTTCTCGTCCGTTGCTTAAGAAGTAGTACAAGAACTACAATCTTCGTGTGAGAAAATGAGCTTAGGACGATATAAAGAAGAAGAACTAGAGCTTAGGAAGATATAAAGAAGGACTACTAGTATGTCGAGCAGCTCTAACTCGAGCGAACGTATCACGACAACCGTGAGCTTTTAACGCAGAAGATTGCACCTTTGCACGACCGCTTCATGGTACTTCTGAAGAGCGCCGCACGCAAAATGACAAAAGCAGAACGGCTAGAGCACGATTTGGACTTCCTAGATGATAACGACTTTGACACAATGAGTCCAGATGTATGGCGCCACTCATTGAGAAGAAAGATAGGGGAGCGTCGTTCCTAAGTTAGAAGGGAAACGAGGAACGATATTCCCAGTATATCGAAATCGACATTCCCAAGAAGTGGCACCATTCACTAGAGCTAGACGGAGTGGAAGTACAAGATGGTATATTAACTATAAGAATAAACAGCGACACTTCTAGTGGTGGTCAGGAGCAAGAACATGTTCATCAAATAGTTGTCATAAATGGAGCTGGAGCAGGAGCTAGTCCTCCTAGTGCAGCTATTCTTGCTGGCACTCCTACTACTAGTAATGTTATGGCTCACCCTTATCCATATTCGGAAGCATCTCAGAGACGTTTTCAAGGGGAGAAACGCTCTCAGGATGAGCTTCGAGATGGATTAGGCTTAGGGTGGGCTCTAATAATGAAGTAAGCGGTCAACAAGGGGAGCCACCCTCTTCAGATGGACCAGGGTCGTTAGCTGTTGAATCGCCTTCCAACTACAGCACCAACTCAGAGGTGGACGTGGACGACAATGAGAAGGACTTGTTCCAAGTCGTTCCTCAAGATTCTGGAACGACAGGTTCAACGCGTACACCGAACACAAATGTTGACGAACAATCTACTCGCCCAGCGTTGGACCACGAGGAAGTTGTCGTGGAACAATCTACTCCAGCGTTGGACCACGAGTCGGAGGCAGGAGCAAGAAGCGGCCGGAGAGCTGATGGGATACCACCTCCAATAAATGATCCCACAGAAGTGAGGATGGCAGACACACGTCAACCAGAGCAACCGACAAGAACTTCCGCCACGCCCACAAGAACTTCGATTCAAAAGATCACTAGCAAGGCTAGTACAGATCTTCTCATGGTAGCGCTAAGACCGAACGCAGAACGGGTCCGAGTGTGGGTCGCACAAGCGAAGGACAAAGCAATTGAAGTTTCCACGTCGCGCGCTCAATTCTGGGATGATGTGGCTGAAGACGTGAAAAAACATTTCGTTGAAACCTATCGTGCCTACAGTGCCCACGCGTATGGTTCAGACGAGTGGTGTCCGCTTTCGAGTATGGGCAGCAACGAAACCTTCGGAGGAATCGGGATGCAGATTCTTGTTATGGCGTAATACTGGGCAGAGGATTTGTTTGCATGTTGGACTACGGTTTTTTTACTCACGACGTCCTCGTCCTCCCTGCATATAGTCTTGTGCGTGTCGTGAGACTAATTACCTAACAAGGCTAAAAACAGCTTGTAAAGTAAGTTTTTGTGACAAGAACGATACGACTCCACCGACTCCCGCGGCGAGTACTTGAACTTGTGTATTTGAAGAAACAAAAATCTTCTAATTTCTACGTCATATCGGCTTTCGTTTTGATGGATCTACCGGAGGAATTGCAGGAAGCGGAGAGATTCGTCCGAAACTTAGACTTCACAAGGGCTTCGACAAAAGTGGAGGTGTCAGTGTTCGAGCTGATGTTAAGGCCGCAGGCGCAGGCTTACCGTCGTCCTTCAGCTTGAGACGAAGCTGCATCTACTTTGGCCCTCTTTTCTGCTTGAAAAAGAAGGACCCAATCCCATTCCCAAGAGGGATAGGAATGATCTGATGCACAACTCATAGGAGTCGAATGTAAAAACGCGGTAGCTCTAATGATCATCCGGGCAGTTGGCGGACTCGAATCCGCACACGCACTAACAGGAAGGAAGGTGTATCTGCGAAAAGCAGAAGAACTGGTGCAACAGATAGCTCGCGTCTTTTAAGGCTTCCTCTAGTCCATCTTAAGTAGATGCATCCTGCTGGACTAGCAGGAGCTTTATTTTCAAATCCAAATTTACTTGTGACAAGGTATTCTTTGTCACTATCATGTGCTTGGTCTTGAGTTGTTGTTCTCAAAGTTACCGCAAGTAGAGCATAGTAGTACTGTTACTTTCAAGGGACGAAAAGAGCAGGTCCAGGATCATGATTGATGAATCGCATCATGGATAAGGGCAGGCGAGGAGCTCTAAGTCTTTGACACGCCGAGCGGACTGCCCTTCTCGCGAGTGAGGCTGGGCAGCGGGCTGCCTGTGCTTGACGACAACCCGACTATTCTGTCCGAGATAGGGACTTTGCAGTTGGAAATGCGATATTTGAGTGACGCTACAGGTAACGCGACATATCGGGACTGGGCTGACAGTATTTAAGGGTAGGTTAAAGGTGCTTTTCTTGCCGCTTTTTATGCCTCTCCTAAGGGAGAAAGGCATAAAAAGCGGGGTAAGCGAGCACCAAAAACCTACCTCTAAAGTATACTGCATCAGTTGCACTTCGATTACTTGGAAGATTTCCGTGGCGTGTTGCTCCAGAATTGGCGTGTGGCACATCAGTTGAAGATACTTGGAATCGACACCAGTCAACACAGTGGTCTACAGTCTCAAGGTCAAGGGGTCGATTCTACTGACGCCAGCAGCAGTATCGTTGAGGAACAGATGAAACTTGTTGTTGTAGACGAAAAAGATGAAGAAAAAGTAGTACCAGTTCTAGAAAATGATTATCAGAGAAGCAAACAAGACATCAAGTCGGCGTGCGGATCACCTTCAACAGGGAAGAACGAGGACGAGAAGTGTATTGTTTCTGTCGAAGAGACTACTTCTCAGGACGAGGTTACTGCTACTACAAGAACTGAGCCAGCACCTGCTTCATCATCTTCATCAAGTCTATCTTCAGCTGTAGTTACATCTTCTTGTTCAAGAACGAGGAGTAGTACAAGCACAAGCACTTCTAGTACCACAACTACAACAAGCAGCACTACAACGACCTCCATGACAGGAGAGAGACCGGTGAAAGACCTGATGCCCTCTCAGTTCACCAACCCTCGCATTTTCCCAATGCGTGTAATGATGAATAGTCGCTTCAGTTTAGGCGGGCAGGGGGATAGCTACTACGAGTACTTACTCAAACAGTACCTGCAGGACGGGTCCGATCTGCTAGCAAAGTATATCTGGGAAACGATGCTCGACGGAATCCAAGAGTTCCTAGTGACACCGCGAAAAAAGTACCTCATCGAGCGCACGATGACAGGGCAGAATGTTGGGCAGATGGCCCATTTAGCTTGCTTTTTTCCCGGCTTGCTCCGTCTGCATGAACGACACCTGGGAAGTCGAGGTATCAAAATCAAAAAAGCGAAAGGCAGCAAGAACAAGCCGCAGACTAGTAATGACGGGGATCATAGACATGTTGGAGATGGAAGTGCAGAACAGGAACATCTTAGCGCATTAGAGGACTTGATCGAAAGAACGATGCATCATTGTTTTGACTTCTATAGCAATTCGCCAACAGGACTGGCACCAGAAGCAATCTTCGTAGACGATGATGAGGACGAGGGTGACAGCCACAGCACCGCAGCAAATGATAGAGTTGAAGTTGAAGATTCGTCATACCATAGTGGTGGTAGTAGTAGTAGTTCGATTACTCCATCTACTTCTTCAACAACAACAACTGTAGAAGATCATGTTACAAGTACCACAAAAATTCCTTCTGCTTCAGAGGATGGTCGCGAAACAAGTCATCCACGTGGTCCGCGAACGCTATACGTCCCACATGGCCTTGCGTATAGCTTGCTACGTCCGGAAACCGTGGAGTCGCTCTACTACCTGGACCACTACTTGCAGATGAAGAAGAGCAACAAGGACCACCAGGACCAGGTTCCATCAACATCATCCTCAGATTTAGAGATCACAACGGCACCAGGTTCAGACGAGAACAATGTCGCGTCGCGCGACAGGTGGCGACAACAAGCTTACTTCATTTGGACGAGCTTAAAGACGCATGCTTTTCTTATGGGCTTGTTGGGGTTTCGATTGCAGTTTCCTAAATTTTGGAAGATTTTTGCTCTTTCTTCGCAGACCACGGAGCTCGTTAATTTATTGTAGAAAGGAAGAGCAAGAACAACTACATTGTGCTGTCGCTCCACGTCCACCTCCTCTAAGCCCCTTCCCTTCCATGGATTTTGTACGGTGCCAGATGTGAGCGTGACGCAACCCCACGTCGGCCGTTCCTGTCCGATGCACACGTTTGTTTTATCGGAGACATTGCTATATCTCTATCTGACGTTCAAAGATCCAGCAAAATTATGGCTTTCTTGATCAGAGACCACTAACTTGGACTACTTGATGTAAACCTTCATTCCAAGGGAAAATATAGACGTCCTCCTAGTCAGGGAGTCATCAGCAAAGTAAGTAGATGCCTTTCAACTTCTTATTTAGGATCATGTTGCGTTTATGAAGATTAGCTTATCTAAAAACTGCGAGGTAACTGAAGTTAAACAAGCTAGAATCTACTTAGAATCCAATCAGGATTATTCAGGATGTTCTTGAATATTATCGCGTTAACTTAACAAGACCGGCGTTCTTAGAGAGTCTCTCTAACTAAGGTGATGATCTCAAACTCGTCGATTATTGGAGAAAATATACCCTTCTCCCTGGACGACTGGGTTTTCAACACAGAGGCTCATCCATTGCCACGAACGAATTGGGGAGGACGCGGCAGGGCGATATTTGAACCACGAGGACGAGGAGGGGGACGAGCAAGGAGATAAGTAAAAAATACCCGGTAATTTTTAAACAGGAAGTAGTCAGGATCAGGGGTACTACTTGTGGCTGTGGCAACATCAACACTATGACTATCTACAGACACAAACTAGTACTTCTACTTCTGCAGGAGCACTTTAATGATAGATAAGCTGCATAAGCATATTTAATGCATATGCACGGTCATGTCCGCTAGGTTCGGGCTACCGCGCATCGCCTCTTGATTGATTGATTGATTGATTGAGGGATAGAATTTTTGACATGACAACATGACAGTTACTTAGCTGCAGGTGCAGCACGACAGTCACAGTCGTGGATGTACTTAGTCTTCCAGTTCGATAGTAGAGAAGTAGATCTTGGTAATGGTTTCTTCGTATCTAGGTAAAAATAATGTGTATAGAAGTAGTCTTTCATCTCCTTACGTTCGTGGCGTGACTAGTTAATATACCAGCACCTCGTCCACCAGGACGAGTGTGTTCTGTTTTTTGCGTTCTCTGTTGTCTGTTAACCGAAAAAAACAATAGTTGTCATTGTCGAGCAGGATCTCCTGGTCCTTCTAGCCGCGACGTGAGGTCAAAAGTACAGCAGGTGCATCAAGATGTACTAACGTCGTTCTGTATCAGCTTAAGGTCGTTTGTGAACAGTACTACACGAGGTGTCGTGGAATGATGTGGAAATACTCGGTCTTCAGGAAAGAACAGCACGTGAAGAGAGGCCAATCTAGTCATGCTTTGCTCCGAGTCGTGTAGTTGTGTTCCCTTAAAAAAAATGTTGATGCTAAAATCGAGAGATGATGTTAACAATTGAGTTGAGGTCGTGACGAAGGGATGAGGAATGATTTTTCATCTTACGAGTCTACTTACTCTGTTCATGATGACTGCACGAACAAGATCTGTTCATGAGGACGAGCGTCTACTTACTCTGTCTGCTCAATTAGTTAGAGCTTGATGATGCATGTTTTCATCCTGAAGATCATATGGATGATAGTTAGTTTATGCATTCATCATAGATGAATTATGAAACTAAATTATCTCCATTGATTTTTCAACAAAAATGTGACCACAGCTTTCTCGTACACGGATACAATTGGTCTGTAAATCTTGTAGAGAAGGTTAATCCGTGTCGCCCTCACGAGATCCCCAGCATCTTCCCTGCTTTTATTTCATAACTACGACCTAGTTTTACTTGAGGTTGAGTAGCTTCCCCCGCACCCTTTTGGTGTTTTTGGATCTTTTTCCACCTGGCTGCACCTCCAACAACTATTACAAGCTAGTTTTTGTGTATCTTTTTGTCTGCATGTATATTAGAATTAGTATTTTTACTAGATGATGAAGAACATCATGTTGTTCAAAATCAAATATAAAAGTATATTATCCGGTCGTGATATTGATTTGTTGTAGTTCGAAGTCGCAAACGAACTGCTTCCAGACAGTTGCTCTCTAAATACTTTAACCTCTTGGTCTTGTTATTTTGTAGTTGATGAAGGTTTATCTCTATATTTTTCCTTTGTTCTATTCCTTTAAGAAATAGTAGAAGTACCTTCCACCCAGTTCCAACTTTCTTTATTCCACTTGTGCTGTGAAATCATTGCGGGCCTTGTGTGATGTCTAGTCTTGGTGTAGAAAAATAGAATGAGTATGCGCTTGATAATCTACTTACAACATATGAATGATGAAGAGGATGAACATGGACATGCGCGCAGATTTTAAGCTCTGATTTCCTTTCAACATGCCACGAGGGTTATCAAACGCACCAAAGCGCATACCCTCATACAACAACAGTAACAACATGTTGTTAAGGCTTCCCCTAATCCATCTCTGTAGGCATCCCCCAAGCGTATGCGCCCTAATACAAGGGACACACTGACGCATATGCTTGAGGCGGAATTCCCACAGGGATGAATAAGGGAGAGGTCTAATATTGACGGCTCCTAACGGCTCGGGTCCTGGCTCGGGGCTGGGGCGGGGCATAGTGCCGTCGTCGCCGGCGGTGCTGCATCACCACAAGGAGGAAGCGAAGGCAGATCACGCGAAAAGCAAGATCACGATGCGGGCCGCGGATCCCTCCAAGCAAACCCGAATTCGATTGCCCAAGCATCAATCGCGACTAAAAGAAATTCTCCCATGTTAAGAATTTTTATATTTCTCAACAACCTTGTTGCATCCTGCTTCACAAGAACTCCCATAATCTTCCTTGACAACTGAAGAATATTTTCCAATGGGAAATAAGGGGTCAAGAAGGATCCTCAGGATGATCTGAAGAATCTTGTCCGCAATGGCGGAACCACCTCTAATGATGGATCCACCCGAAAAAGAAGAAGATTTCCTTGGCGGTCTTTCGCCGTCTCTTTTCGATCCTGAACACGAGATACGGCAGTACCGAGACCCGTGGTGAGATCCCGACGTTGCACTTCGTGCGCGCGATGCAGCGTCTCTCGATCATCATCGGCGACAAGAAAATCGCGCAGTCTTTGAAATCCTACGACCAAGATGGCAGCGGAACCGTGGGATGGTGGGAGTTCGTCGCTGCGTGGAACGGCAACAGCTACGAGATCGAGCACACACTCACGGAAAGAACTTATTTGACGCTAGATGATCAAACAAGCAGCACAGGTACTACATCAGGACTTTTAATACTAGTATCAATCTACTAGAAGTACCACGTACTATCTTCAATCTAGAGGTTGTACCACCACGAGTAGTGACAATATTGATTTCCCTCATGTAGTACTTCTATCAGAGCAATTTATAAGGTTTCACAGCTCGCATGGCATGAAGTGCATGGATCCCATGGAGTAGCATGGAGCTAAAGGGGGAGCCTCTTGCGCCCCTTAAAGCTCTGCGCTCCATGCTACTCCGTGCGCCATGCGTGCTATAAGCTACTCCGTTCTATCTCTATGTCTATCCTTCTCGGTGGAGGTCTTCAGCCCCGCCATCGTCCCGAGGAGTGATAGCCGCGTTATTCTTACTTGCAAAGTGAAGCTTTACTATCATCCCTGTTTTTGAAGTGTCCACCAGCACAATTTAAAACTTCACTACATCAACAACAGTTGGTTTCTACGTCTCCACGATTTCATTGGGTATGATTATTTTATCTTCTGCCTCCTTCGTACTGGCGACGCTCCCCAGTATGATGACTCAGCGAGAGGGCTGCGGCATGGACAGGTGCATGGCCAGCGGTGCGGGCTCCTACACATCCAATTCTATGATCGACTACTGCAAGGAAGAGTGCGTGCCGCGACAACCGGAAATATTTGGCGCTTTAGAGGTTGTGTGCGTCATCGTCTTCTCTATGGAGTATTTCGGACGCCTACTCACCTGCTGGGCAGTGCGACAAGAATTCCAAAACGATGAAATACTGGTACTAATACACTTATATATAATATCATCTATTTTTAATGGCTCAAGGGTATTTTTTGTTACTACAAGCTTTGTTTTGAGTTATATTGTTAACTAAGTTTTTACCTCCAATAGAGCAAACTGCTACTTTTAATGGAGGTGATGTTGATGATGTGAAGATCATTTCTCCACTTTCTTACTTGGTGCTTGTGCGGCTTCTTGGCTGTGTCCACCAGGTGAGTTCGTTTCTCCTGTGCTCGTCTCGACATGACGACCCCGACCGAAAAGAGACCAAAAATCATACTGGGTTTTTGGGTTTTTTTCGGCCGTCCAAAACAGAAGAGCGTACAACTAAATCTTAAAGTCTCAAGCTCCACCCTTAGGGGTGGAGGCTTCAATTTTGAGCTCCTCTCTGATGTCGAGAGGCCTGCCTTCCAACCTCAACTTCCACACTGCGATTAAGTACACGACAATCGATGGACGACATGGATAGTATCTTCCTGATAAATTTTCATAGAATAGAAGATTGGTATATAATCTTACGCTATCCTCGTCTAAAAACAAAAACAACAACAATATTACTTAAATAGTATTAACCTCCACGATATCAGATCGACATGATTTTGGGCGACCAAAGTCTGCGTAGCAGAGTGAAGCGGGAGAGAGTAACGGACTTTTTGCTCCAGCCACCTAACGTAGTGGATTTCTTGGCCATCCTCCCGTTTTACATCGAGTCCGTGGCCGGGCAGAATTCTCTGGAGGGCAGCGTGGTTCTTCGCGTCATCCGCCTAGTCCGTTTGGTGCGCTTGATGAAGACGGTAAAGTATTTTGAGCAATTGAGGATCATGGGCCGCGTTATCCATATGGCTCTCCCCGGTTTGACCATGCTCTTTTTTTATCTGTGCCTGCTCATCGTGTTCGCGGGCTCGCTGGTGTACCACGCGGAAGTCGGAGAATGGAATCCGGAAACGAACGTGTGGGAAAGGTGGAACTGGCAAAAGAGTGAGTACGAAAGCACGCCCTTTACCAGTATTCCGCAATCTTTTTGGTGGACAGTGGTCACTCTGACGACCGTAGGATACGGCGACATGGTGCCGACCTCCCTCGCAGGACAACTAGTCGGAACCATCACCATCTTCTGTGGAGTTCTGGTACTAAAATTTAACGATTTATATTATAATTATATTGTTATGCAGCATAATGCTCATGAGTCCCTTGTATCACTATAAGTACGTAGTGTAAACAAGATCATAAAAAAGTTGTAGTGAGCTTTCATCGCTGTAGTTAAGTATAATTCTGTCCTTCTAAGTGGTAAATGATGTTGTATTTGGATGAGGTAGTATCACCATCTTCATCATCTTCTGCGGAGTTCCATTTATGATGATTCAGCATGGATACAACATGTACTTTCTTCAGAGTTGTTCACTTTCTCTTCCAAGAATCACTTCTATTTCATCACTTCTGCCACCAGGTGTTGGCGATGCCTATCAGTGTCCTGAGTTCCAGTTTTGGTGAGACGTGGCGCGAGTGGCACGAGGAGCGTCGACTTTCTGCTGCACACGAGGCCGAGGAAAGGGAGGCAATCGAGGCTGCACTATCCTTCCGCGACCCAATCGCGCAATTCCACAAAGTAGCCATAGACATCTTCGATGAGGACGACCACGGCGACCACGACTTTCTCGGAGAGTGCGACATACATTGGGAGGATATAGGGACCGGACCATGGGAAATTGGGAAACATGGAGCGGGGAGAAGCTATTTGTATCGGGACCTCAACCTCGCTCTAGTCTCAAACGACTACAAGATCGTGGGGACCAAAAGAAAACTCATTACCGGCACCATAGACGTGCGGGTGTGGTGGGAGCCGAAGAAGCCTGAAAACGCAGAGAGTGGAGAGGTAAAATTTAAATGTAGTAGAACTTCTTCTAAGTAAGTAGTAGAGCTACAACGATTAATACTAATATTTATTACTAGACTTAGTAGCCTCCTCCTAACACGACATACTACTTTTAAGTAAATTTAATAGACCAGAAGTTGTAGTTTAGTTCTTTCGTACTAGAAGAATTTGGATTCTCATTTTTGATGCTTTAGTTTGGTCTGTAGTGGTCATTAGCGAGCTGCGGATTGATTTTGATGTATAATCTGACTCCGCGTCGGAGACGAAGGTTTTCATTCTTTCGCTCGCATTATTTTTATTACGAAAAATTTAGATGAAGAAGATGAAGTACTTTTACCAGCGCAAAAGGAATAGCACTTCTCCTACTGCATGAGCTTCTTCTACCAACGCCTATCATCTACATGATTTTTATCCACAACGACTTCAAGTACTTCTAGTGGTCTTCCAACAACACCTCGTGAAACGACTACTTGCACAAATCAATTTACGATCATTCCCATTCCCCTACTTTCATCTCCCCATCGCGACCGCAATCGTCTAGAAAACCATCATTACAGGAAGCGAAAGCAATAGTTCCTTATCACTACATGGGGCATGACTTACATCCCGGGACGTTGCACGTGAAGCTGGTGCGTGGACGAGGTCTAAGAAACGCCGACGATACCTGGTGGGACTGGGTTATTACAAGGCTAGGCATTGAAAAACCCGGCAGATCGGATCCATATGCACGGCTTACGTATTGGCCATTCTTACCGAGTACACAGGGAATCATCGAGGATATGACCGCTAGAACCAAGACCATATCAAACACCTTAGACCCCGTATGGGATCAAGGTACTGCTTGTTTCCTTTTGCTTGTAGTTTCAGTTTCACATAAGTACTACTACATCATGATCCGTTTATTTTTGATCTCTTCTGATAAGTGTTGAAGAACAGGCCACCGCCTAAACCACTAAGCCAACTGCGCAGTTGGCTTAGTGGTTTAGGCGTTGGCCTGTTCACTTATCATCTTCCTTTATTTTTGCTCCTACTTGTGCTGCTTGTCCTTCTAAACCTCAAGCAGAAAAGCAAAAACCATCTTGATCTTACTTGTATCGAAGACCAGTCAGGGAGTAGTACTGTTCCAACATTAGAAGATACGTCATTGATGGTACATTTATTAGACTTAATTTTACTAGAAGAAGAAGTTGAGTTTCAATTTCTTGTGCATCTTCCATGAAAAATCATAAACCTCCATAGCTTAGTGGTTAGGTTAGGTTATGGATCCTGCACAACGAGCCCCACCGGCACCTGATAGTCAAATAATCGAAAACTGAAAATAACTGAGTTACCGACCGAAATAAGGGACGTAGTTTCGAAAGGCTACTCTTCCTTCTTCAGTATCTTGGTTATTCTCGTCTGTTGCTCGGTTATTTCAGTTTTTCGAGTAAGAATAACGACCCGATCGCCTCGCACGTGAATAACGCTAACTGCTCTTAAATAACAGAATTTGCGTTGGTTTATTCCTGGAACCCGGATGACCTTGCGCATCTGGAAGCCGCTGCGTTGGAGGATGCGGACCAGGCCAGCCAGGTGAGTGGTCCTCAGATGGCTTCCACGCGCGTGAGTGGGCAAACCGCGGACCCCACGGGGTATGGGGGAGTGCCGCGAGCGGGCGGCTTCGGGGCAGCAGGAGGAGGTGGCGCCTCGCAAGTGGATTTAGTTTTTCAGGCAGACATGATCTCGTTTCGGAACGACTTTTACCTGTACAGAGAAAAAGCACTGGCAATGCAACAGGAGCACTTAGAGGAGCTCTTTTTAGTGAAAAAGCAGCTCAGTGAATTGAGGGACGGGATCGAACATCTGAATTTGAAGGCGCTCACCGGCTCGACCAATTTCTCGTCTCCAGCGGCGCTAAGCCACACCTACCACGGAGGCGGCGGGGGGGGGAGTACGGGCGCGGCGCTGGACCACCCTACTTCCATGATAATGCCTGCGCCCTCGACAAGAGGCGGCAGCAAGTCAGACCACTACGAGCAGCAAAATTATAACCTCGCTTCATCCAACGGAGGCGTCGGGGAAACCTCGAATCATCACGTAGTGCGCACCAGCTCGAGCACTAGCAACGGCGCGAGCCAAATAGACAACGATGGTACTATGGTACTGAACACCAGTTATAGCAATAACAGTATGATCAACGGAGGAGCAGGTGCTGCACCAGTAGGTCCAGGAGGAATGGGTAACCAGGGGCACCAGGGCATGCAGATGCACAATCTTCCCGGTGCGGTCAACGTAACAGGAGTTCCGACTAGAGTCATCGGACAGGATTTGGGAGGTACTGGGGGGAACCTGAGAGAACGGCAAATCCAACAATACCAGCAGTACGCAAATAACCAGCCATCAGAAGATACTGGCGGGCAGCCCTATTGGAATGGACTCGGACTTTGAGAAGAAAAAGTAGGAGTTTGTTGAGTCCTCGATCTCTCTGCATGCTCTGCCTCTTTCGTCCACTAGATTAGGCAGCACTTCTCAATCTCAAGATATTAGGGTCGTTTATGTACTACTTGTTCACTTTGCAGCTTTTGGTCGTGTTGCAACATCTTTGTTAGAAGTACTAACGACGTACACTATTACTAGAAGATCGCTTCTAAGAGTATCTTTATGTTGTGCAACTTCTAGCAGGAAAATGCACAAGAACATGGACTGGGTGCCTTCCACCTATCAAAATTTTCTTTGTAAATGGCATCGGCTATCGATGTTGTTGATCCCATAAAGAACGTCGCTGCTGAAGTAGTAGGTAGAGGTACTCTGCAGCTTTAATATTTATTTTTGGTAATTTTTTTACCTGCTCTGCTAGTTCTACTGCTCTTTCCCTTGTTTTTATTATTAGATGGTGGTGGACTCCTCTAATTGATTAGCTTCATGTTGAATAACGTCGAGTGATCTAGTTGTTGTAGTTGAAGAACTGAGGGTGTGCGAGAGTATCGTCTACTAAGTAGTTACAACCTCGGACGAGTCATCACGTAGTTGTTAGCAATGGGTATGGGACCACGTGGAGCAATATTTTTTATAAGCAATACTAGGTAAAAATAAATATGAACATGAACATCAATGTGTATGTGTCAGTCTGTGTGTGACAGACAACATATAGTTCTACGGCATCACCCACAACTACCACAACCAGATATGTGTATGGAGTGTGTAAGTGACTCCTTCTTATGTATACAACAAGTGTTAGTGTAGTAAAGAAACGGCCATATTATAAATCTATTGCAACGGATCTTCAATCCCAGACTGTCCTTTACCTTTTAAGTAATATGTTTTTAGGAGTAGTAAGCTGTACTTGTAACAAGAACGTTGTAACAAGATTGATGTTGTGTAGAAGAACTACACCGTGTTAGTTCGAACCCTTTTTAGTTGTGCTTGTAACTAACATACTGAATCAGGTGTGACAAAGAAGAATTATCATGTCATGATGTCATCACCTAGTACTACTATCAAAATTCAACGAACTACGAACTGTCTTCATTGTATAGTACGTACTAGAACTAGATGAACAAGCTCAAGAACTTCTCCCGACTGGTGTGTTGTATCTTTATAAATATATAGGATACGACAGCATATCTTCAGGGTCGTTCTTACTTAGAAGTCTTACTAGTTCGGAGCGAGAATCTCGGAAATAGTAGGTACGACTACGAAGCTTTGTGTTAAAATGATGCAGCAAGTAACGAGATCATCGTCACGACTTGTTCTACTCACCACGACATTTACACGAGACCAATATAATCATACCAAGAAGAACACTTTATGAATTCTTGTTCTTGTAACGAGACCACCAAGATTTGACTCACGACACGACATGATAGCAGAGGACTCATATTAGACATGCTCAATCTTCGAAGACTTTCGAATTATTATACTTACATACTTACACACACGAACAACAATTCAAATGATCATGATGCCAACGAATCCAATCTGTATCTGTGGTCTTCTTCAAAGAAGATGACGACAGCTTGAACTTTGACAATTACACCACAGATTCAGATAAGGACAAGGTTTTATTTGCCACAAAAAGTCGTTGTGTTCTTCATCATCATCATCATCTTCAGGCCTGCTCGTCAACAACTTCTTCGACAACGACTTCTTCTACGTCTTTCGTCAAGTCACGCGCGGTGCGGTGAGTATGGCAGAGGCGCGCCTGCGAGGAGAGGGAGGACTACCACCACGAAAAGAGTTAAGGGAAACTAATAACTATCTATCATTTCTACAATTCTCTGGCCCACCAGCTAGTGCGGGGGCCAAGGTGCGAGGGCGGAGGGTGTAGTCTTGTCGCTAATCCGACGACAATCAAACACCTGGGCGCAGCGAAGTCAGCGAGTTATTCATTATAGTATAAGTATTTATTTCAAGCTCAACCTCAAAGACTGACCACAAACTACACAAAGTTTGAGTGTCGTGACCGTGAGTGTGAAAATGAACAAAATTTACCAAGTTGTGGCCAGGCTTAAACACATTGTACTTAGCCGGGTGTTGGTCCTGGTCTCTTACCTTTTCTAGGGGAGAAGGTCATGATTAAGTAAACGCGGACGCGCCACCTCACTTTGTCTTGTTTCTACGAGAGAGTGAGGGTTTCACTCTTTCTTGCTGGAAGTCGGCTGTCATGATCGCTCTACTAGTTCCTCCAGTCTGCTCCAAGAAACTGTGCCGCTCAACAGCCGACAGAGTACTTAGTCGTCCGGTGCCTGTTTCTTTCATGGTGATGATGATCATGATGATGATGGTGATCTTGTACCGAGCAAGGGGCAGAATTTGTACCCAGCAAAGGAACTGTCCCGCTGTTTCGTCCCCACAAGGACGCTTGAGGCTTCATCTGTGCCGTTTCACTCGCTGACTCGCCTCACGCAAGAGTCCTCGTTCACTCTCCTGCGTACTCCATGATCACCCTAGTAGAGTCGTACCGACGAGGAGCGTGGGATAGCAGTACCGAGTAGAAGTTGATTTCCTAGGTAGTTCCTTTATTTAGGGGAATACAACTTCATTTCTCGAGGACAATGAAAGACAATAAATCTTCTCGCGTCACAACATGACTCCTTGTAGCGTAGTAATAGGTTGCAGAACAAATGGTCTTTTTCGAAGGAACACATTAGCCGATACTATTCCTTTTTTGACAGACGTCGCGATCGCGAATGTACCATTCTCCAGATCCGTGGAGGCATGTGCAGCTTGCGGACAGAGTAGATTTAGATTTAGAAAGGCACCCGCCTCAGCGTCAGCCCTGCGCATTGAGCACCGAGTCCTGGTACTAATGACAGAAAGTAGAAGCACAGTGAAGCCGATTTTCGAAGCCAACTGCCCTGCTTCAGCTTCACGTAGTTTGCGTCAGTATTGTGAATTCATCGACATCACTGACAGTGTAATATATTTTTAGCAGTTGTTCTTGGAAAAGTTGTTCGTAGAAAAATGTTTTTTTGAATTTTTAATTATGATTACTGAAGATGGCCTTGGCCCATGTTAAATATTAGTTTTAGTATTAAGTACCCTGCTTATTTATTTGCAAGAAGAAGGCAGATTTACATTTACTGCTCATATAAATTTATATAGTTCTAGTCCTTGATTTGAGTAGGGGTTGTAATACAACGAAGTTTATTCAAGCTTTTCCTTTCAGTGACTCCCTGCTTCGAAGAAATTGGAAATTATCAAAATTTCAGTTGCGGTGAATACATTCGATAGCCATACACATAGTTAATTCTTTGGAAAACGAAACCGCGGACGAAAACAATGCTTTACAGTTACGTAGTCGGTTTGTGGTGATGAAAAAATGGAAGAAGTTCCTTCTTCGGGTTTCCTGGAAGTGCTGGACGACGACGAGGACGACCAAAGCAATGTAAGGACATATTTTTTACTTACATGATCATTGAAAATAACGAACAGATTCCAGGTCCATGTTAATAATAAGCTTCGGAGCGAAGATGAATAACGTGGTGCTTGTTGGTCCATGCTAATAATCAAAAAATCGGAAGCCTAAGCAGGACGAGGACGTCGAACTTGATGCATTACAACTAGAAAGAGTGGATGAAGTATTACTTTTAATTTCATGCTGAAGTTCTTGGTCTACTTTAGTTTCATTAGTGCGAAGTACGCATGATCGTGGTTTTTTGAGAATATTTTTCTCCATCAGTGATGCTTATCCTTATGGGTAAACAAATGAGTGTGTTCCTTCACTGATTCAGTCAGGAAAAAAGCATTGACGTACTGTAGCAGGCATGCAATTCGTGCTTCAAGAGAACAACCTCGCTCAAAAAGGTCGAAGCTAATTCCTGACACTATAAGTAATCAATGTCGTCCAAGTAATCCACCGCAGGCGTAGTTGTTATAGAAGATGTAGTCGCTATAACAACCTCCGCTCCTGTTGTAGAGGTTGGTGTTGGTCATGGAGCATCCTCCCGCTTAATTATATATAAATATTTCTATAGGCCCTCCTTTCTGACCTACTTTTTCTTCTTGACTTGCGAAGCCGTTTCCGCTGCTGATTTCGATGGAAGAGTGGGTGCCGTTTCCGCTGCTGATTTCGATGGAAGAGTGGGTGCATCTGCATCATCTGGCGGTGGTACAGCCTCAACTTCGACCAAAACTGAAGATTCTTCTATTCCAGATGGAGACATGTTGTTTTTGGTGACGCTAGCTGTAGTTGTGCTCTTAGATGGTTCCGGAGTACTAGCATCGTCACCATCTTTTTTCTTTCCCTTTCTTGCTTTTTCAACTTCCCCGGCGTTTCGCCTTTCACGGCCAGCTTTTCGTTTCTCTTTTTCCGCTTTTTTTATTGATTTAATAATATCAGAAGTAGGTCGTCGTGAAGGAGTTGTAGAGGGAGACGCATCAGCAGCACCTGCAGCAGCATCAGTGTCTATTTCACCGGGAGCATTGGCAATTCGCTGAGCCCCATCCTGCTCAGGGATCAAGGTAATCGAAGTAATACTGGGTCTATTATCCTCGTCCTCGCGGACTAGTAAAACATCAATAGTCTGCTCGTCTATGATATTAGCTCTTGTTGTTGTCGTCTCATGAAGGTCTTCTCCCATGATCATAGACTTCTTGCCTCCTGCAGCAGCCGCGTCAGGAAGCGTCCTCGCTGTAGCTGCTTTGACCGGCGTTGATCGAGAAGAGCGGTGACTTCGTCGTGATGATTTCTTCGAGTAGTTGGGACGAGTTTCTACTGCTTCAACATCTTCTACTCCTTCTTGTTCTACAACTCTATTTGGAGTTACACTCATCATCTTGATCTTGCTGCGCACGCTTTTGCTTTTCACTTGTTTCCGTTTCGCTATATAATTCGCTATATCTTCCTCTTCTTCATCGGGTTCTTGCTTCCGGTGGTGATTAGATGAAGACAACAACAAAAATCCTCTTAAGAAAAATTCTTCGCTAAAGATAGTATCTTCATGCTTCGCGTCCGCTAAGTCTAATATCTTCGCCACGATTTGGCAAGAACTGCTTCTTCTCTCATCATATAATCTAGTATGAGTGGTCGTGGAGCAGACATAACTAGATAAAAAACCAAAACCGAATATCAATATTGTAGATTTTAGCCGTACTATCATGACCACTATCTTCTTGTTCTTGCGCTAGTACAGGTGAAGACGTGGGCTCCGGATCATTCCACTTGTCCTCCGCTTGTTCATCGAACGCTCTTGTTAGACTTTAGCCGTACATCAATGGACACAGCAGCTACAGGTTCGTTCGTTGTACTACGTTGTACACGGAAGATTTATACATCTCACTCACACTCTACGTCCACATCAGGAGATAGAATATAAATTTACTAGTACATCTTCATCAGAAGAGTTTTCTAAGTAACGAGCAGTAGAAATTAGTACACCAAGTACTCTAAAAAGTACCTGATCAAGAACAGGAATTCTACTTCTACTTGTACTTCTATCAAAGAAGAATGAGAATCCGAGATAAAGATGGAACAGTATATAAGCCTCGAGTTTGTCGTGTCGTGGGGCCTTGCCATGGTTGACGAGTCGGCCCTTGACCAGCTGGCGGGTAGTTGTCCTCTGCTCTACTAGGATCGCCTAAACCCTGGTCTGCATCTACTGAGCCCATTATCCTCGCGGTCCTCGGGTTGTACACCGGTTTTGAGTCGTCTTCATCTAGACCCATAGGAGAGTAAGGCTCAGACTTCAAGAGAGACGTGTTGCGGATCCTCACTCCAGCGTCCCTCGTGACGGGACTGTCCTCGCCCATCTTTCTTAGACCTCCAAGACTGTACTTGTAGTAAATTAATACAGAACAAGTTGTTATTCGAAACTAGTACTGAACTGCGACTAGAAGGGCTCGCCGATTTTTACTTCAAGTGTAGGTACTACTTACCTAATTTGATGGTAAGAGCATACAGGCACTGAGAAGCGCACATCATGTCTTCTTGCTTTCCAATGAATATGATCAAAATCAGGTTTTTACCAAATACCGGAACCATTCAACATGTACAGAGCATACTACAGGTACACAAGAGCCTAGTACACGTACAGCACAAAAGAGCAGCAAACACGTACATAGGTAAGACTACAAACGACCGCCATAAAGGGGGAGCTGAAAGCCCAACAGAGCTTCTATTGGACCACATAGAGACTGAACGATCAGTCTTTAGGGATCCAACGCTAAAACGCCGTTCTCCAGCGTCAGATAGACATGAGTCAAACCGGGATTAGAGCTAGTAGTACCGCGTGTGCACCTTCGTCTTCCTTGAGCGTCAACAGGTCTTTAAATCCTTGGAGGCTTGGCTTCTCGTCTTTTTCGAGTAGAAAAAGAACCATTTATTTTCAAGGACCACATGGACAGGAGTTTTATGGACAACATGCACATGCTTTAGCGGAAGGAGCCTTAACGTGACGAGTCAAACCGTGACGTGTCAAGGCGGCCGCCATGATCTAAGCTGGATCTCGTCACATTCGACACCTCCCTGGGTGGTCCCGCACTCGGTAGCGATCGCGGCGCGCGATAAAGCAATACGGCACGGATTAGAACAAGAGTAAAGACGAGATTATTTTCATCGTCTCACGACCTTCATCTCGGAACTATGGGAGAATGATCCATCTTTTTGAAAATTATGATCCACATTCTGGGTCCTCTTGGTCTACTGTGGAAGTTTCTGTTTCATCTCCACCCTCACACTTATAAGTAGAGAGTGAGACTGAGACAAGAAGAAGGCCACATCAAGTACTTCTATGTACGCTTCTTGATGTTCTTCTGAAGATAGATTTCCGGTTTCGATTTAATACTCCACAGGAGGCCATAATAAGCCACTCGCGATCAATGCCAGACCTATCAGCGCGCCCACGATAACTATAAACATGGGATCACTGTACATATCGGCGCTCTCTGAGCCAGTGGCGTCACTAATACCCGGCGCACATATATGAAACCGAAATCCATTATCATTATCTTCACTCTAGTCACTACTTGAGTAGATTGAGAAGCTTGAGAATGATAACAGACTTTGGGCTCATAACTACCGCCGCTGACCGCCGTTGTCGTGGTAGTCACACTAGGTACAACCTCCATATTTGCACTGAGCAATGCCGACTTAGAATAAAGGGAGTGAATACTCTACTAGGTCTCGGTCCTGAGTGAATACTACTACCCGGAGTGAATACTACTACCCGAAGGGAATACAACTACTACCCGGAGTGAAAAATACTACTACCCGGAGTGAATACTACCACTTCTCTGTCCATGATCTCCCCTGGTCATCATCTCGGCATGTATCTTTTTTGTATTTTCTTATGTGAAAAAAGTAGAGCATAATTGTCGCGGGTATTTTTGTCTCTAGGTCCACCGCGACGACCTCACGTCCTGCAGGCATGTATGACGCGCTTCGAGCTAAAAACTCTGCCGAGTTGGCAGCCTTTGCCAACACAAGCGGAACCTCCCTGGCTTTGCTCACAATTTCATAGGAAATCCCCAGAGGCGTAGTCGATCCACCTGATAAGAGGGTGGTTTGTTCTTTAAGAGGGTTGTCCACCTGGTGATGATCAATCGCCAGCGTTGTGTTGGCTAATCATCATGAGAGTCGTGCTGGTGCTCATCTAGAAATAGTAAGTAATTAGGCGGCTGAGACTCAGTCTACGTGGTCTACCTGTACTAGAAATTGAGACTCAGTTGTCTCCTTCTTAGTGCAGAAAACCAGAAATACACATACACTGTCGTTGGTTTTGGTACTTACTCCACTGGGCGGCGCCGTTGCTAGGAGTTTCCTTGATGCAGGCAAAAGGTTGTTCTCAAGCCTCGCGGACGCGACTATTTTAACCATTTCCGCTGCAAGTTCCAGTATGCTTGCCATCGTAGCCTCCACTCCTGCTTTTTCCGCCGCACAGTTTGCATCTTCTATGAGGCTTAGAGGTCCCCTCTGGATGAGCCTTACGGCATTACGACCTATGGCGGCACTGATTGAGAACGAGGAGAGGGAATGCCGTCTCCGAGAGGGAATCACTACATGAGGAGACGACATACCACTGTCGACGCTCTTAATCAGTGTGAGTCTTAAAAGTGCGTTTGCGTCGGTGCCCAGGTCACAGGTAGAGTTGGACGACACAGACAGCTCAATCTTCATGCTTACGACCACGGTCGCATTCTGACTCGCATAGGGTGACGGCGGCTCACATGCTGATAAATTAGTTGGACTGGGAGTATTCGGCGGCAAGAACGTCGTGGCAGGAGCTGCGACCGTCGTTGATGCTGTGGTCGTCGTTGATGTTGTGGTCGTCGTAGCAGCAGACGCAATGCGCAGCTGAGTACCGGTTGAGCTTTCTACAAGGACAAGACTACCTGTTGCATCGCACGCTAGCGTAACGGCAGCTGCACTGTCAATTGTCACTTCCGAAGCCGTTCCAAATGTAGATGACTTCACTAAGCGGTAACCCTGGGACTTCGCTGTATTGCTGAGTGCGCCGTCCTCGCTACACGCGTACGTAGTTAGAAGGGCGGGAAGACCATGACGATTACCAAGAAAATTCTGTACCTGTAGTTATATCGACTCAATTGTTCCAATTTTGTCTTGACGAAACATATGCTCTTTGAAGAGCTGTTTTTCAACTTGTAAATAAATATTTAAAAATAGGTATTCAGATGCAATTGCAAACCCCCTCTCTGCTACGTCCTCTAAGAAATCATGGTGCTATTGTCCCCTCCAGGACAGCACACAAGCCTTAACATACTCCCTGTCGCGATCGCAACCGCCGGGTGCGGTAGTGTTTTACAGACAGTGGAAATGACGAGCCACCCCGCGTCGAAGACACTTTGGAGCTCTGTCCCCATGCTGCATGTGGGTGCTACCAGAAGCGGACTCGTACCCGCTGAGCCAATGTATGGAGTCGGGCCATCTGCAGTGCACTCGTACCGTATTGCGGTTCGGTCTGTGTGCAGAGCGATTGCCACCAGTGCTGACGCCCTCGCAGAAAGAGCAGCCGAAGTGATGCCACCAAAAAAATAGAGCATATTGGATTAAAAGTTGATGAAGCAGCTCATTTCCCCGATCCAATGCCGAGGAGGACGTCGTCACAACTAAGTTTTGGAAAACGGCTTGTACTACTAGAAATGAAAATATGCTTCAGCAGCTGTCTTAACTCGAGTCTTCCGCTGCAAAGGTTGGCGCAGTTGTGCACCGCTCTCCAGTGCTACCTCCTGGCACCGGATATATAAGAGCCTCAGCGCACTTGCTTGCGGGTCCGTAGACTGCGAAGTCCAAGCTGGAGTGACAGGTTCGCACTACACGTGGATTCGAGTACACTCTTTCCCTGTATTAGAGCGACTCCAATGTTGATGGAGTTCTTCATTCCAAACGGGTCAGCTATTAAATGTTGATGTACTAGTTCTTCATTCCAAATGAGAGCAAGTGAAGATGATCGATGTTCTTCTGGCTTCATTTCACTTAACGAGGTCCCTGTCGTTGGTGCTCTTCTCAATAGAATAAACTTAAACAACGTGTTGAGTCGCAGCTCATCTACCTCTATCAAACTTGGAGCCATAGCTGTACGTATAGGCAGGCCTAGCGGTCAAAAACGCGATACCGGTTTGACGGTCGCACATGACTCGCACATCGCCAACGCCAACCGTTGCTCCATCTACGTCTTTCAAAGAAAAAGAGCTATCACGAGTCCCAAGCCATTGCAGTTTACATTAGATGCTGGTGGTTTTACTCATAAATAACTTCATGTTTCATCGACATCGTCGTAATTAATGTCTATGAATGTGTATGTAGGTAGAAGATCTCCGACCTAGACCGTGGAACCGGAAGATAAAACTCTCTACCCTTAATTATCGGCTGCAGCAACTGGCGACACCCATTCGCACAGAAAGAAAAGGCTCCTACCTTTTGGCCGTGGCATGTGTTCGCATTCCTTCAAGTTTAGGAGTCCACGATTAGAGCAGAAGATACAACTAGTAGTACAATTTTTGCTGGAGAAAGATATTGAATTATCTTTATAACAGAGTAGTTTATAGCACGCCTGGCGCATGGAGTGCATGGAGTAGCATGGAGTGCATGGAGCGCATAGCTTTAAGGGGCGCAAGAAGCTCCCCCTTTAGCTCCATGCTACTCCATGCGATCCATGCACTCCATGCCATGCGAGCCGTGAAACCTTATAAATTGCTCTGTTATAACATGAACAAGACTAAGATGTCTAAGACGATATCCAAATCTCTAAAATTGCCTTCTTCTACAACTCATCATGTCCTCGTAACACGAAATTCGTTCCACAAGGGTCGCATGTCGCACATCTCGTTTACGAAGACTGGATACAACGACGCGCTATCTGCGGCTGGCAGCAAAGGCCTCAGGTAACCTTAGAAGCAGCGGCCAGACTAGAAAGATCCAGTTCCATTTTGATTAGGAAACTCGAAATAATGCATCGACGTCAACAACTTCTAGGAGTCATGTCATCGCTAGTTTGCTAGCACACCTACACTTCTCTTCTTGTTGAGTTCTCTGGCGACTTCGTCTCAGCCGACGAGCAGTCTGTATTTGGAGACCACGCCCTCCACCTCCATCATGTGGCGTTTCTATTCCTCATGAAAAACTGCCTTTCCCCTCTCCCATATACTTATGTGTGGATCTTCCCTGATGACACTGTTAGGAGTACCCGCCGTAGAGATTAGTCCTGCTAGGGTCCAGACAAAGGTCCAGACGATAACAGCACAGGTCGAACCATGACGGCTAGTAGAAGCAGATCCTTTATTCCATAATAATGCGTCATCCCGCTCTCTGTCTTCTCGCAGCGGTACCGCAGTTGGCTAGTGTCAGCGATGGGGACAACGAAGGATCTCCCAGAATCCCGAAATACATCCAGCGTATGTCGAGAAACATCAAAACGATAGTTTTGCCCAAATTATGAAGAGAGGCTAGGAGGTGGGCATGGACAAAACAAGTTCTTGCATTGGCGGCGGGATAAAAATAAGTGAAGATCATGGAGTAAGCCTAGTTGTACTTATATATAATTATAGGAGTAGAGATGACGCCGCGCGGCAGTCTGCACTGATAACTGTGCGAGATTAATTGTATTGATATTGTATTGTATGAAGTCGCCTTGTTTCGGCGGTGAAGTCTCCTTCTGGCGGTCGAGTAGAGTGGTCTCGATGAAGATCTACTACGACCACTGCTTCTCCTAGGTGCACGTGAGAACTAATTCCGTGGAAGATGTCATCATAACATAGTGAAAAACACGGCTTGGGATTCCAGCGGCTTGCTATAATTCGGTGCCGTCATGAGTGGCGCTACGGTGCACATGCATCTATTAGAAGAAGCGCTCCTTTAGATGTTGAAACCATCCTCCTCACCTGAGGCTAAGTGGTTTGCTTAAGTAGAATCATTCAAATCTGAAGACTCAAATAATGGTTGCTTTATCATCTTCCCGCAGGCTACTAGAAGGATAATTTCTATTATTCTTTAATATACTTTCTACTTCTACAGCCTGAGGACTGTGCCTTAATGCCAGATGCAAGCGTAGTGGTTCCCGGGCAGGCGTCCTTGACAGTGTCCGAATACTTGCCGCGCTCTTGGTACAGACCATACTCCGTCAGCGTGCATCCGGTTGACCCCGCTTCCAAGAAGTCGTCGAGGTCCGCAGCAGCTGGATTCTCTGCCACTGCCTGTTCTAGTTTTGTCGAGTTCTACGTATTAGAAGACTGCGCTAATTCCCTCCAAGCAAGAATATATATATTATACATACTGCTATTCTTGGCGAATAAAAGCACCTCCTGTATTTGTTCGTAATTAATATGCTCTAGTACTGAAACTGAAAGATGAATAAAAGCTGAGGAGCATAAGTTGCGTTGTCATTTCGACATATACGCTAAGCTCCCTTGGCTTCGCTCCCGTAGTGAGCTTGGCCTTCCCGTCTAAGCCGCAGACGAGCCTGACGTCCCGAGGCTTCACTGACATCAACGTTTCGCTACCTAGTAGTAGTGGTACGTATGCTTCATGTTGTGTGGTCTATACAACTACGAAGGATTGTGTCTATACCACGAAGGAATGTTCACAACGTCGAAGGAAAAATGTTGATTGCCTCTCAGTTTTCTACACCCGCTTGCGGTACATACACCCGCTTGCACAAGAATACGAAAAAAACTACGAGTTATACAAGGGAGTAAGAGGATGAATCTGTTAGAAGTAAAGACGCAGGTTCAAAATACAGAGAGAATGCATAAGCATAAAGAAGGAGGTAGTAGAATGACCTATTGGCGTTGGAGTTTGTGGCAGCTGCACCTCGCTGCGGGTAACCAAGCGATACGTCACGTTTTCACCACTGGTTAGTGTAGCAGCATACTGAACCGACTGCCCGTCGCCATCGGCCCATGCTAGATTAGACAGGAGGAGGATCATACAATACAAGTTGTAAGCTTCTAGAACAAGATCTAGCTTCTGCTCAAGAACACCTTCGTTGAAAATCATGATCTACATCTACTTAGAAAAAGAAAGACGTAAAAACAAAATCTTAACCAAGTCCCCTTGGCACGTGAACTCCGTTTTCCTCTGGCGCATTTCGTTCGGGTGACCAACGACGCCTAACGGACTCGGCAAAACACGACACTGCTCGGGCACGTACAAAATATTCAATCCCCGAAACGCATTACATATGAAGGAGATCGATCGTCGTGGGGAAAAACTACGGAAATAGAAATTGAAAGTAATAGAGGAAACATAGGAGCATAAAGGCATACGCCAACGTTGTTGAGTAAAAAAACTACTAGTAATCGACTCTTCCTCGAAGGAAACAAAAATACGGAAAATTCTACTGCTCCTGCACGACTCCTGATCCTTCGAGTCTAAGATGAAAAGAATCTGAGCAACAGGCACTGATATCTAGATCTATTTGTAACTTAAATATTTAGTCGACCTTTTCAAACAGTTAGACAGACTCATTCTAAGTCGCATCTGAATGTCCCACTACTAGCCTTAAAAAAGCTAACTGGTGTGGAGGCTGCAGCATTGTCACCCGTTGTCGGTGCTTGGACCAGTGCTGTGCTCATATCGCAGGGTGAGGACAGGCCAAGGGGCACCCCCTGATACGGATCAAAACTATCCCAGTTCCCATAGTCGTACACGTAGGGCAAGAGTTATGAAGAGAGGAAAAAGTGTAGTACTCTGTAGTCATCCTTAATGAGACACTAGGTACCAAACTGCTGCTTTATAGGTTTAGACTGAGAGGGGATTCCACCGCAGCCTTGTTGTAGTAGTCGCGCCGGATTGGCAGAAGTTACAATCGGATCTCAATTTCTTGAGCAGTATGTATGACTATGAGCACACTAACAAGGCTAAGGTCAAGATTAAGGGTCCACCACACCGCGGCCAGGCCGCACCGGCTGGGAGGAATCGGGTTCGAGTACTTAGAACTACTTACTAATGAGTACACAACTAACACTTTTTTCCATGTTCATCATAAGAGTTGTTGTGCCAGCGTGGCTCCTGTGTTCTTTCGAAAATCTAGTAGGCCGTTGCCTACATCCCACAGATCTGCGACATCATATTGATTTGAACAACTATAGCGAACATTCGCGCGCGGCACTGTGTATATTAAAGGTCAGCAGTCAGTGGTCACTGATGCTGAAGGGGCAAGACCTCCTACACAACTGGCGCGTCCATCTCTTCCCCTGTTCTCTTAGGGGGTCTCCTCTTCGGTGTCAGTTGTGACCACCAATTTCCATTCACCACCAACTTCCATTCATTCGCGCCTCAAGTAGTCATCCTAGACTACTGGCAAGACGAAACAGATCCGATCAGATGAAGTTCCAGCCTTAAGTATACAGCATAGATCCCGTTCACTTTGTACCTCTCAACTCGTTCGCAACTTGGAGCAATTCCGGAGAGAAGATAGTTTTCTCGGTAGCCTCCGCAGAAGTCTTGTAGCACATTGAACTCGTCCTCGAAACAACAGCCCAGGTGATACGCCTCTCTGCGGTCGTACATAAGGTCGTATGGAAAGGCCAAAGGCTCATACCAGCGAAAGAATACTCCTCTTAGAGGAAGTAGAGGGGGCTACCGTTCTCCCCGTAGGTACTAGAGGAAATATCAACGGAGGACGACGAATCATTTCTCTGTAAGGAAGTAGGTGTTGACTCATTCAACTCAAGATCACGACCCGCAGTGTAGAATGAAGATAAGTAATTCTTTGAGAACCATGATGTTGATCTTGCTGTTACAACATATGCAACTTAGTTGAAAAAGGGGCTCTTGACCATGATGGTAGTTCTCTTTCGCATGATCATGCTAGTGCTACTTGAATCCTACTCAGAAAAGGGCACAAAGATGCGTTGAGTGCATACAAGTTGCGGTCCTGCTGGATAGCCCGTCCCGGGGGAGCCATCGGAAGTCATGGATACTGTGGGCGCCGCCTTGCATCGATTCAGCCTGAGAGACGCTGACGTGGATCCGTCAGCGACCGTGCCACCTTGAGAATCTTAGATAGAAAGAAGATGAAGTTGAAGATGTTCTACATCAAGAGGAGGTACTTACTAGCGTGAGCCTTATGGTCGTTAATATTACTTCTACGAAAAGCACTCAAGGGGTCAAAAGCATTACAATCTACATCTTCATCAGGATCAACACTGCGTGAGCCTGAGCGTTAGCGTATCAAAATGATTCTAAAAGTAAACTAGTAGTACAGGAGCTACAGTCTAGTACTTCTACCTTCTGCAGTTATGAACACGAGGACCACGAGTAAGCATGTAGATGTACTTTTGGGGCAACACTTCTGACTTATCTAATTAATATTGATATTCATATTTGCTATTGGAGAGTGTTAATGTTTTTCTTGTTTGCTGATGATCAAGATCATGCTGATGCTGCCTCCATAATATACTCCGTTAGGACATCGACTGGTCACGAGAGAAGCGTGAGGGTCAGAGTTGCATCCAGGTCCGGCGAGGACACCAAATCCAGCAAATCCAGTTATTCGTCTATTTTGTTCCTCGTCATTGCGATAGCCGACATTTGTTAGCGCTTGCCTTAATTCATCTGGGAGAGCATATTTGGCGTGCTGTATTCCCCTTAGCAAAAGCAAAAGGCTGCAGGACCAGAATGCTTCTCAAGATGAATTAGAGGAAGCCTTAAATTTGAGAGGCTCGGCCATCTCCACAGCCAGTTGTTGATGCTGAACAGGCAAAGAAATTGGCGGAGGACCAACATTTTTTTGATGTTTTACTTCTATAAAGGGCAGCCTTGCTTATGCTTCTATCATCTACATCGATCATCTAGTACAGAAGTAGAAGATAGTTGTCCTCATGCTCATAGTTCTTGGTGTACTAGCGCCGTCGTCATCGTAGCTCTTGTACTAGCGCTAGTCGTGCTGAAGATGCTGTGCCTACCGTGTCCGTTGTGGTTGTGCTATGCATTCTTGTCCTATGCCGATTCTTCGAGTCAATGTCAAGCAGGGCAGCAACAAGAAAGTACTAGATGCTCAGGTTGGTGGTATGATGGTACAACAACGAAGGCTTATCGTGGAAGTCGAATGCACTGCCGGTTGCCATGTCATGTCATGTAAACCCGAGATGCCAGCAGCATGAGTAGAGCGTGCTCTCTCATGAAGATGTCGCAATCCATGCACTTCATCAACCCCTACAAAAACGGGTCGAATTACAGACGATCGCGACGACTAGTACTGCGTTTGTTATATTTGGCAAGCAAGTCGACGTCAAGGACCACAACACAACGCTGAGAACCTGTCCTGCTGTGACGGCAGTCGCAATATCCTTATCATCGTACTAGTAGTTCCCCCGACTCTACGGCTGTTTCTAAAATCGCAAGTGAGAATGGGCGTGGACTACTTACACTTCCTGCATACTTTTTTCACCCGTTTTTTCCATCATAGTACATTGTATGAAAGTCGGTCTCAAAAATATCAAGAGAGTTAACCCAGTATGTGGAAGTAGAACAAAAAATTAAGTACTACAACATCGTGTAGCTCTATCGGCTCAACAGAACTGTTCGCGGCCAACAACCGTCAATATGGACGGCCACGCTTTCGGCTAGCAAAAAAAAATTGACACTGTGCAACGAGAAAAACCCTGGTCTAATCATTCACCGTCTCTCTGCATCTAATGCGCAATGATTGTCGTGTGCGTGCCCCCGTTCTTATTGTCATGTGCGTGCCCCCGTTCTTATTGTCATGTGCGTGCCCCCGTTCTTATTGTCATGTGCGTGCCCCCGTTCTTATTGTCATGTGCGTGCCCCCGTTCTTATTGTCATGTGCGTGCCCCCGTTCTTATTGTCATGTGCGTGCCCCCGTTCTTATTGGCACGTGCGTGCCCCCGTTCTTATTGTCACGTGCGTGCCCCCGTTCTTATTGTCATGCGCGTGCCCCCGTTCTTGTTGTCACGTGCGTACCCCATTTCTCATTGTCATGCGCGTGTCCCTGATCGCATTGTGATGTGCTTGCCTCTGTTGCAGTCATTTCTCATTCCATGATCATTACAGTCGAAGTCAATCAAATCGTTCATTTAGTCTTAGTCTTTTTAGTCACCCTGGTCAGCTTCGTGGCAAGGATATGTATCCATCCAGTCCAGTAAGTAGCTAGCAAGTCCCCAATCCGGTTTATGGATCGCAATGGGAGGTCCATTTTCATCCTGGCAATGGAAATTCGAGTCTTCGGAATGAACCATGTAGCCCCAACGACACATGGATAAACTCCGAATCTCCAACGATTGATGGTCGTGTTGACCTTCTACTTCTTCTGCTTGATCTTCTCCATCCTCCTCGAAAGCTCTTCTTGAGACGTTTCTTGGACTTCTTCTATTGTCCATCCATTCCACAAATAGCTCTTTCCGACGTGACCAGTTCGCGAGCACGTGGGCAAGTATATAGCCGCTGAGTCCTTGTGCTAGTCCGGTGAACGGGGCGAAAATTAGAAGAAGAGTTATTATTTCTGGCTAGTACTGAACCAGGTATTGTTCTCGCAAACATCAACGACCCTTGTTCTTACACCTCCTGTTCGTTTAAATTCTCTATGAAACAAACTCTTCCACTATCGGACTCTTCTCTATCAACTAATTACACCTCCTTCGTTTTATTCTCTACGCTTTACTTCTATCGCTATCCAACATGCTCTTCTAAAATGAAGCCGAGGCTTGAATAAGATCATGCAGGAAGCACTTATCAAATATTAAATCAGAATTATACCTATAATAATTCACGAAATTTATAAAGTGAACAAGAATCGAAAAGAAAAAGCTGGTATTCGCATTCCTAAGTAAACGTTGACCCCGGCTGGTATTCGCAAGGAGTGAGATTCGGGGACGTCATGTGGTGTATGGCCGAATCGCAGGTATGCGTCCACGTGTTTTTTCCGTGCCTGATGTTCTCGTGGCGCTAGAGCAGAGCCGGTATGCTCTTGTTGTAGTGCTCTGGTGTCTAGCGAGGACGCGGATAAACCAGAACTACCAACAGCAGCTTGTTCTTGAAGAAGTCTGACCTGCGTCAAAAATGCTGCAGGATTAAAGTCTTTGTATTCTTGGAACTGGATGTCCTCCAATACAGCCAGACGAGCACTTTCTTGATCGTCATCAAGCTTTCGCCGCTGCAGTTCTGCATGCGAGTCTCGATGAGCCCTAGCAAACCGTTCCTTAAAATCTCCCAAAAAAGCAGCACTCGCTGAGTCCTCTACTAAAGTAGGTCTTGGAGCAGGACCTGTAGTACCTCCTGTTGCTTCTCCTCCTCCGAGTCCGAACATGAAAAGTTGTTGATGTAATTGTCGTTCGATTTCCCCTGTATGCATGTGATAGTTGTTCCGGTCATCGTCCAAGTATAACGCGCTATCTTCCTGATACCAGGGAGAAGACGAAGAGTCGGAGCATATGGCGCGCAACGGTGTCTTTCCTTGTTCTCTACTGTCGTCCACAGTTGGAAAAACTACTTTACACGACTCGCCCTCGTCTCGAACTTCTACGTCCGCCTGCGCTTTTTCTTCTTGTTCTTCATCCTTCGAAGTTGAAGATTCAACACCTGGCAGCACACGACCTAGACCTAGAGAAGCACCATTTGTCTGCTCAACCGTAGCTGGTTGTGGTTCCCTTTTCGCTATGTCTACTTTAAAAATATCCGGTTGTTCATCCCTTCTTCTTGGCACAATCATCCGAAATGAGCGTGAACTACCAAAGATATTGTGGGAGAAATAGTCCCGTCCACGGAACCAGCTTCTCGGATCTACTAATACAGGAGGAGCTCCTTGTTTCCGTAGTTCTTCTATCGCCTTGGGCGACCACGCCCGTTCGTGAACGAAACGAGACGTAATGTTTCGTATCCTGTTCAAGAGGGCAACCTCGCTAGCTTTTGCTTGTTTCCTTCCACCCTCCAATTTATTTCGACTTTGATGACCAGCACTGCCATGTGGTGGAGGACCCCCTTGTTGTACCTGCAGATACACAGACTCAAGCATCTTTGCCGGCAAAAATTCCAAAAGGTACCTTGGTGGAAATAGCTCTTGGCCGCTGATGGCGTCGAATACACGCGCTACGATTTTGCGCCAACTTTCTTTCAGGGCTGAGACAACATCCCACGAGATGAAGCTTGCGACGACGAACGAAAAATGCAACGGTGGACCGGGAAACGTTAACGCTAGTCAATCGCTATCCTTGTCGCTGGTTCGTTGAATGAGTTGCCTCGAATTGCAGCTTCCTTTTTACTTTCCCCTTCCCTTCTTCTATTAAGGAGGGCGGGAACCCACTCCCACTCAGCAGCCAACGCATTATACATAGTAAGTCCATGATACGGTTACGGAACAACAAGTAATAGTGATTGACTATCTACTATCCTTAAAAACAAGGCGAGGAAATTCTGCTGGCTGGCCGTAAGCGTGATCAGCTGCAACAGCTTCCATGGTTGCAGCAGATGGTACTCGGAATCGAGAGCCAGTACACCACCTGGGTATTCCCCGCTACTGGCCAAGCTCAGAAGTGTAACGTTAGAGCTTAACGGTAAGGAGGTTAAGGTAAAGGTAAGGCTATAAGGTAAAGGTAAGGCTATAAGGTAAAGGTAAGGTAAAGGTAAGGTTAAGGTAAAGGTACCCACATAAAAGTGAGCTCCTCTAAGAGGTTAGACTCTAGTACAACGTTATAGACTCATAGAGCTCACTTTTATCCATCCTGAGGAGGAGGACCATCCTAAAAAATACGTTTTCCCCTCGAATGGAACCCTAGATCATGGCTTAGAGAAGTCAGCCTTAACAAGGATACGAAATGGGAAGAGAAAATTGATGTTGTAGGCTTGCCGTTTGGTGATGAAGTTTGCAAAGAAGTGGCTATCGTGGTAATTGTCCAAAATGTCACGTCTCAGGTTCCAGTCTCGCTTGATCGTCACACCTAGGTCGTCAACTAATTCACGCTCCGCTTTTTCAGAGAGCGGGAAATTTGCCTCCTCGTTCGTGGGAACAGCCAAGACTCTGGCCACGCCAAGAAAGTTGCTTGTGTTTTCACGCTTTGTTCTGCTGCCGCTGCCGCTGCTCGATTCTTCAGTTGATGTACCTCGCTGCTCCTCGGAGGCTCCATGATCTTCATCGTTCGAAGCAGCATAGTCCGAAGCAGCATAGTCCGAGTCCTCACGTGGGATACGAAGCAACCGCTTTACTGAGTTATCGAGCCAATTCAGAATGAATTTGTTCACGCGCCAAAAATTCATGTCTGAGAATTCGTAAGATGCTTTGGATGCCCAAATATCCAAGGAACGATTCTTCGTCCAGGTATGGTCGTAAGGAAACGCAGACAAGTCATGGGTTTGCAGCACGGCGAAAAGGGCTTTGGGCGTTTTCATCTTCGACGGGACTTTCTGATCGTGGTTCTGACTCTGATTGATGGTCTTGCTCGTGTGGTCCTTGTGCTCGTCAGATGTCTTGTTACTCAAGGAAAGAACATCAACCCTCTCAGCAATCTTCTGACTCAAAAACGGGAGCAGTGGCACTCCAAACGGATCTTCATCATGCGTAGCTGCACTACTTTTTTTCAGTCGTGTAATCACTTGAGGGTTTTCCCAGAATTCATTGGCCAAGTCATTCTCTTCGCGCAAGCAATTGTAGCCTACCGCATGATAAAAGCCACTACAATGTGCGGGACTGCCATGCCACCAGTGCGTCGCGTTCCGTATCTCCAGCAAACGCTGCTGTGCTTCCCTTGGGCTTGCTGTTGTTCCAGGTGAAGTCTTTGATGATGAAAACGCTTGTTTCCCAAAAACTAAAGAAAAATTATCCTCCTGTGCAGTAGAAGCAGGAGGAGTAGACTCTACTGAATCCTTTTTTCTCCTGCGTGTAATTGTCCATCGAGACAACGCATGATCTTCGCTGTGGCTCTTACTGCCGCCCAAAGAGAAAAAACCTCTAGCATCCGCACGGGTGTTGTCATTGCCTCTTTCTCTGTGAAAGCTCCTGAAAAAGTGAGGCTGAGGAGCTTCATCTAGCGTCTTTGGAGGTTCACGATCAGCTTGTGAATTTGAATTGGGCATAAAACGCCTGTCCCACACAACGCCCCGGTCTCGCTCACTGCAATAGCGATTGTTCACATTCCTACGTAAATGATCGTCGTGGCTCATGACTATGAAATTCGGCTTCTTCTGTCGTCCACTCTCCTTGTAGTTGTGCATGCCTTCTTGTTGACGAGTTCTGTGTGATGTCACTTCTCCTTTATCTACTTCACGTTCACCTCCAGTATCCCCGTCACGCTCAACATTCTCAACATCCTCCCCTTCACTCTCACCAAAATTACCATCTCCGACGTCCACGCTTACGGTTATGAGCGCCTCTGCTCGACTGACATACCAGTCCCGCTTCAGTTCTTCAAATAATGCACCGTGCTCTCGACTTCGTGCGCTGCCTAGTACCTTGATGGCCAAGTAGAACTCTCTGTCTTGTAGTTTTTGTCGGGTCAGGAGTGATATGAATTCTTCAGAACAATGCTTTACTGTGGGACGACAAAACGTAGTAATATGGCTTGTTTTGTCTTCTACAACCCTTCTACTTTCCGCATCAACACTCGTTGTTGTAGTGCTCGACAGAGGACCACCACTAGCGCTAGTACCTGCGGCCGCATCAGCTACGCCGTATACGTCTGCACGGACCCCAAAGCGATCTCGATGGTATTGGAGTCTTGCACGATGGTGCTTACTCGTGAGGTAGCGTAGTTGTAAGCCAAGTTGCAGAGCGAAGAGCCCAGCGGCACCACGCATCGTAATGTCCGAACAAAAGGCTGGAACGCAGACTAGAAATTTCGAGTCGGAACTTGAAGAGTCTCTGGTTGCAGTCTTACTCTGAATGGTTCTGGTATTTGGTAACCTGAGTTCGATCCTAAGGGAAAACAAGAAGAGAACCCTTAGGATCAAATTCAGGTTACCAAATACCAGAACCATACATACTTTCATCTTCTCTACCTCCAACTTCCAGTGTCGCAGGAAACTTGAGAAGCCGACTCCATTCGTGGTCCTTCCGTTGCAATTCCCACGTTGAGCGTCTTCTAATCTGCATCGCGAACATACGACCTGTTGCCCGTTGACATTTTTCCACGTGGAAAGCTAAAGTATCGGAAACGTCTTGTTCTTGTTGCGCTTGACTCGGAGTGTCATCTTGAGCTTGACGAGCTTGAGTAGTTTGATCGTCGACATCGTTCTTTCCTAGTACATCGTGCTTTCCTTCATCGTTCTTTCCTAGTACATCGTTCTTTCCTACAACATCGTTCGTTCCTTCATCGTTCTTTCCTAGTACATCGTTCGTTCCTACAACATCGTTCGTTCCTACATGTAACTCTGTCCGTGTTGACTCTGCATCTGCTGCCAGATGCGTCTTCCCCATGCTGGTGTCAAAGTTGATGGCTCTCTGGGTTTCTCCTGTTGAACTCGAATCTGCCACATCATGCGAAGTCATCCACCTCATGTTCTTGATGGCTCTCACTTCCTCCATCAAGTCTTCTGGTGTTACCACACTAGGCAAATTTGGTTCCTCCACAAAATACCAATTCCAAATCTTCGCTGAGCATCGAGCTGTAGGCAAATAATCAGTCAGCTTTGGAATGATCGGAACGACTTGTTCTTGCTCTGCAACTGTCTCCTTGAAGATCTTGTCAAGACCTTCTTTATCTTTACAAGTTGCGCGTCCTTCTTCGCTTGTGAGGACTTTCGAGTTGCCTTTCCCTACGTCTTTCCCCTTCGGCGCTGAGTTTGCATTCACATTTTCGGACACGACGGAATCCACCACCTCCCGCTGAGCCTCCCAGACCCACGCTGTGCGGCGACGCCATATCGCAGAAAAATCGTCCTCGAATGGTGGCGGATCGACGGGCATTGCTGCTTGGAGGTAGTCGTAGAAAGAAGTTGCATATTCGTAGTTGCGACTGCTAAAGAGGTCCTCGCGTGATTCTCCTTCTTCGTCATCTTGCTCTAGCGAAGACGACAGGGAGGCGGATGTGCGGGTGGACGCGGCAGGTGCGGTGGAACTTGAGGCTGCACGGCCTCCACTCGTAGCAGCCACGCCATTTTGATCATCCTCAGCGTCTGACAAAACGTGCCCTAGAACTGTCAAACAACAGCTCGCAGCAAGCAACAATGATGAGCGAATCATCCAGGGCTTGAGACATGACTATTCTGTATTAGTTAGCAGTGAGTTAGCAATGCATTAAGATTAACTTGACAGCTTTTCAGCCTACTTGTTTCCAACGTCAATCAGGAATTGTGAACGTCAATCAGGAATGGATCACTCACGCTCATTCTTGTTCAATCGACAAAGTCAAAGTACGTCAGTTCTTAAAACCTTTTTACTCGTGATCGTTGATGTTGTTCACTTCTAGTTATTATTTCCCCTAAAGATGTTTCTTGCTTCCTCCCCCTTTTCTCCCACTCTTTTCTCTCTCTCTCAATCACTCTCCTGCTAGATGCTACTTCCTTGTCTGTAAACGGGTCACATGGAGGCAAGGATGTACTGCTAGAAATAGACTTCGATCTCTCGTCGTCAGTGTTCCTCTTCCTACAAGAACCCGTGTGAACAGCCAAACAAGCGATGTTGAAGCCTTGGTAGTTCTTGCACCTTGTTTGTCTTATTATGGGTGGAGCCAATCTAACTAGGAAAAGTAAAACAAATGAATGTAGGGAAAGGATAGAGGAGCGCAGATATTATTTTTGATCTCCAACAGGTCATCAGAGGGTCAGAGACACCGAAAATACTGTGTGACGGTGGCTGTCGCTCTTGACTTGTTAAGAGTCCAACCAGACGTTAGCGGGGATCAATTTTGTATTATTTATGTTTGAGAAAGGTGCATCAAGAATTCAACCTTCTTTTCCACTACCATCATCATCTTCCCCACTTGACGAGGACGAAACAACGCCATTAATACCCTGTTCGTCCCCTACTTCCTTAGCACCGCTGACGGCTCCAACACTGTTGTTCAGGACAAGTAGCTTTTCAGCTTTGACACCTCTGACGTCGTCGACACCCAGGTGGGGAAAATGCTGTTCCAAGTCCGCGCATGCTCGATCGAACGTTTGCCCTTCCCAGTAAACTTTCTTACACTCACCGCAACGATAGAAAATTTCTTGGTTCTCGTACACGTGTGGCATCACGTCGTCCCGCACCTCGCTTTTATCAGTGACCAACTGCCAATCTGAGGCATTGCAATCGACGCAACGGTTGCAGAAGTCTTCTGGCGACACGTGAATCTCAAAAAAATTCACCACCTCCAAGACCATCTCGATGATCTTCGGCCCGCTCTGAATCGTGTAAACATTAGGCAGAAACATCACTCCGTTCACCTTTCCTGTGGGGACTTTTCCTGGAGGTCGTTGGGCCATGCTTCCACGACCGGCACCCTCACTCGATGAGATAGCTGATGACGCGTTGACACTGCTCGAAGACGACAACGATCTCTCTTGTCCATCTAGATGTACAACTCCAACTTCATCTAGATGGACAACTTCTTGCACCATCTCTACATCTTGATCTTGGCTTGGTGTGGGAGTACTTGGACATACTTTCGTCATCATCTTGTCCTGTAGTACATCCACCGCCTGCTCTTTAGCAGCCCTATTTTCATCGTCTTTCGCCATCTTATGTCGCCGACCCATGTTCGGATCGCGCAGGAGCAACACGCGACCTGGTAGGGGACGCAGCCTGTCTGATCGGCCCTCCACTGGCAGAATGTCGATGCCAAGACCCCGAAACTTGCGAATCAGCTTACATTCCTGAGCAGAAGCGCAAAATTTGGCCCCAGACACTTCACCAGTCTCGTAGTTCTTGAAAGGATTCACAGGAAAGTCGTTAATCTTCTTGTCTACCAAAAGCGACTCAGGATCGTCCTGTCCTCTCGGAGAGGGCTTTGACGCTGTTCCTTGAAGCAATTCCGCCTGCAAGGGAGAGACGCCCTTGGGCATAGAAGGCGTAACACAGGGACCAGAGGATGATGATGATGTCGAGCTAGAAGATGTTGCACTAGTTTGATGGTGCAACATCAGGGGGCCTCCATTATTCATCTGTTGAGCATTAGTAGCTGAGGCTGAAGCTGAGCCTGCAACTGTAGATTGTAGTTTGTCGTAGAGGTCAAACAAAACTGACGCATCTCTTGCAGCATAGTGCACTTGCCTTGGAAGAAGCGGGCGACGGTCCCAGTTGGACTCGCGGACGGTTTTGTCTAGCTCTTCTCCCAAAAACTCACGTGCAAGACGCTCTAAGGAGGGCCGCTTGTTCGGAAAGAAATGGCTCTGAAGGTCTAGCCAATTAGAAGGTGCTGGCGCCTGCAAATCTCTTACTCTTGTTCTTGTTGTAATTTGATGAGTGGGTTGATGTCCTGTCCCATCGTCATGGTCGCTCTTTCCATGTTTGGCCTGGCGTTGTCTTGAGGTGGAGCGACTTCGTTTATTCTTTGACTTGTTTTTACCCTTGCCCTTACCTTTCTTTCCTGCTGCAGCCTTAGCAGCAAACCCAGGCGCTACCTCACAGGATGGTATCATTCCTGTTCGAGCATTCAAGGCTTTGAAAAGTCGCACCTCTGCTGGCTGATCAACATCTCCTTTCTTTTTAGCACCCTGTTTTCCATGCTTTCCCTGACCACACTTTTGCGTAGAGCAGCTGGTGCCATTCGCTTCAGTGCCATCAGCATTGAGCGTAAATGCTTCGATACTACCAGGCCTAATTTTTGGAGTACTCCTGGCGAGCAGACTCGCATTATTGCTTGTGTCAACATCTTCTCCTCGTTCTGCATCAATCTCCTCCTCTTCAAGGTGGATCATATCATCTGCTATCTCATGCTCTAGGTGTTGAGCAGAAGTTGTCTCCGCGGCGTGATCTTCATTTTTATCCTCATACAAGAACTCAATTTCGTCCATCAGGCCACAAATTCTTAGTCGACGCAGATCCTGGCTCGGACTGAACGCGTATACCTTGCTTGCTCTCGTTAAAGCGGCACACAGCCATCGGCGCACACGATTTCTGACGGAGGATGTTGCAGAAGATTTGGGCACACTAGTTGTACCATCTGATGTACTAGCCACACTACTGCAAGCTGCTTGCACCAGCTCTTCATTAACAGAAGTAGACGTGGCGCCACTCTTTCCATCTTCAAGGTACACCATGTCAAAGAGGAATACTTCTATAGGCTTTTGAAGAACTACAAGGTCCTCTACTTCTACCGTAGTTATTTCTCCATTTAGTACTGCCGATGGCGTTGTTGATGCAACCTGCTCTTCTGCGCGATTTCTCCTTCGTACTCCCAATTGGACAAGAGACAGGGGTCGCGGGCACCACCACTCACAATCCAGTGCCACCTCTAAGTCCGACCATGAGGCGCCACTCAGTACAGCCTCAAGCCGGTCAGGATCTTCGTGAGCCCAGAAGACTCCAGTTTCCAAAGGTTGTTGTAGTACAGGAGCTTTTGCATTTGCTATTGCTTCTGGTCGACGTCCTGCAACTCCTACTTCATCTGCTGCTTTGTCCAACATAATTTTTGAGGATAGGCCTAGTGCCGTCTTTACCTCATTACTTTCTGTTTCAGCAAAGTCACGCATTAGAATCGTCCAAACATCATCATCTCTCCACAAACCCCAGTCATGCGCGATTCTGAGCGTAGGTAGTGCGAAAAAAGCGGCGCGCTGCCACATGTGAGCGCAGTCATCTAAGAGTGATAGACCTGGAAAATTTGATATCTTGTTCTGCAGCAGCACGTCAGGATTAGGATTCTCGGCAGCTGCTAATGCAACTTCTCTGCCGAGAAGAGTCCGAAACCAACGGAGACAATCTGACTCGATGAAATCCAAAGCAGATTTTGCCTCCGAGTCTTTACCAGTACCCAAGAATCGGAACGAAGATCGCGCAGCTGTGCATGTGCTGCTCTGTGTTGATTTAGAATTTAAAAACATCTCTCCTGCTCCTCTGGAGGGACTTGTGCTAGACCTAGAAGAAGAGGACGCAGCACCTTTTCCTGTCACCACTGCTTCTGATTCTGGTACACTCCCACTCCTCGTCTCGCCAGAAAAAGCAGCTTGGACAAGTCGCAGAAAGTCGTTAATCCGACTCTCCTCTGCATATCGATCGAGAAATGCGCGTCGCGGCTTCCATCCCACCGAAACAAAAAAGAGAAGTACACTTGCCGGGGGAAGCTCAGGAGGAGGGTTTCTTGAGGCACCAGAAGCGTGAGCGTCGTCAGCACCTTCCACTAGTACTTCTGCATCTTCTTTGACCACAGCATCAAAACTGGCTGCATTCAGCGTTTTTTCAGCGAAATTGCATACTGCTGCTAGCGTTGTCGCTTTGTCTGTCGCTTTGGTCGTCTCTAGAACGCTCTGCATGACCTGAAGTAAGATTTTCACAGCTTGTTGCTGGATCGATGGGGCTTGACGACGACCGCCACTTGAATTTTTCGCAGCCCTAGCAATAGCTCCATTTGCATTGATCTTGTCGTGGTTTTTCCTTCGCTTGTTCGCAGCAGATGAGTCTTCGGGGGCATCTGTTGCTGCGCTGACGACGACATTCACATCGGATGCAGCATGGCCTGTCTCAGAAGGATTTTCAATGTTTTCTTGGATCGATATCGATTTCGTCGCTGCAGTCGCGTCCTTCTTCTCGTTTTCCTCATCCGCCGAATCCAATATCTCGCTCAGGATGTAGCACAATTCCAAAAGGGTGTAGTTTGCCGTCAGAAAAGAGCGAATGTGAGACGTAACAGCTTGCCTCTCGCGACCATCTTTACGATTGCCGCAGGCCGCCAACAGCTTTTTGACGTGCGAGGCGTCCATGATTTCATGTGTCGGTCCCAAAGACAGTATCAATACCAGTAGAGAATGAGACAGAATAAGAAAAACTACATACATGCAAAAACGGAAAGTAAAAGTATGGAACTAAGTAGCATACTGTAACATGTGATTATGGCCATGTGCTATGTGAATGTAACTACGCTTTTTACGATGATGTCAAAGACAATGACAAACTAACAAGATGTGTGAGGATAGATCAGCGTTCAACCGGGATCAGGTTACGGAACTTAACTCAAGAACGAGGGCTAGGGATATTGAAAATTAGGGCAACAATTCGCTGGACGCGGTTCTCATTAAAGACAAAGTCAAAATTGTTACTAGTAACAAATGAGCCAATCATCTTCTTCACCAAATGATTCTTGAAGTGGGTGCAACTGCAACATGGAAAATGAAGGGTGCATAAAAAAAAACTTCAACTTATCGTCTTCAGAAGCTTGCTCGTGGTGCAGGACCTACTTCAGGATCTTGTTTGCAGAAGATCAGTTGTGCGTGGACCATCTTGTTACTCTATGATCAGATGTGCATCTTTTTCTACTGAGTTGGATCTTGATGCGCTCGCATATCTCTCCTACATCGTGGCCAGGTGGATCTGGCAATAGCACTAGCAATCGCAACAGTTTAGAGTGAAACCAGAGACACTTCTCCCAATGAAGAAGTGTATCGCGTCGACCGCTCCTTTTGAGGCGTTCACATCTTCGTGTCGTCATTCTGCGGTCACAGGAAAAAGTAGATCTCTGAGAAATCACTTATACGGCTGTTCCGAAACTGCGATAGCTGGGGGGCCAAGGTCAGGGATCGATAAGTGGGAGTGGTAGGAAATCACTATTAGAATATGTTGTACAGCTCACTGAGCTGAGGTCAAGCTCATTGCGGGAGAACAAACTTCTACTGCCTTTCAACGAAACATCGATCATCTTCTTCCTCTTCATCGTCAGAGGAAAGGCCGTCATCCATATCTCCATTGAACTTTATTTGCAATGAGCTTTCCACTTCACGTAGAATCTTCTTTTTCGGCAATGGCAGCCACAACACGAAATCCTCATCTTTTGCGTTCTTCGAGGCCTTACGAAGGTGCGAGAAACTGAAGCCTGCCACGTCCTCGACGTCCTTGGCCTGTAAGTGCAAGGTTGTACTAGAAGTTGTGCTGGATTCCCCAAGTCTACTAGCAAAGGGTCTACTAGCAAGAAGCGCTGTAATATTCCTTTCGTCTGGGTTCTTCTTGGCAACGAGATCTAAAGGCGGGCTTGAGGCTGCTGCCTTCGTCCCTACAACTGAGGTAATGGCTCCCTCATTTGCGCTTCTCGAGGAGACCTCTTTCTTGACTTCTTGCCTATGAAGATGCTGAAACTGCGCGAAAGTCGGTATATTTTGAGGTGGCAGACAATTTAGCCACAGGTTCGCTAAGAAGGTTACACGCGGCTCGTCACTCATCTTTGTCTTTCTGCTTGCTTTCCCATCACGGACAGCGAATTCAACTGGGATTCCGTGCAAGAGGTTGCCTGAAAAGGCAATATGTTTTCCTTTCCGTGGATAAGATACCAAGGCACTAGAAACCTCCCTCTTGTTATCAGACCCTTTCTTCATCTTCTTCTTCGTTCTGCTGGGAGTAGACTCTTCGTGATCAAATGGCGCTTGGTCTAGCACGATCGTGGGCGCAAGAAAATTCTGTCTTTGACTCGTGGTTTTCCTGCCTCTCATGCTGCTAAGGTTCGTTTTCAAACTTGACTTCACGACTGAGAGTTCCGCTTGTGCATCTGGACCTGTTAAGTAAGTCACGGTGGCTAACCACGGGCAACGGGTTTGAGTGAAGACCTCTTTCGACTCTTTCGACGTCCTCTTTGTTCTAGTACAACTATTCTTGGTTGTAGATTCATCCTTTCCACGACCCTTTGCGTCAGAAAAATCTTGCTCCTCATCTCGATCCCAATGGAACTCCTTAGAAGCACTCTCTCCATGAGGATCTGCGACTTGTATCCACCATTCTATACCGCTTCTGGTGCGGTCCACACCTGCAGAGGCTAGTTGTCGTCCAGCTCCAGAAGATGTTGAGGACACTGACTCTGAGGGCTCTGAGTCTGATGTTTTTGTCCAATAATCAAAAACCAAATCAGCCAACTCCTCTAGCGCATTTGCAGGTTCTGCAGCAGCGGTTTTAAAGAACGAGCGGGCTCGTGGGACGTGGGGGGAAGAGTCTTCAGATGAGGTAATATTTCTGGTACTACCGCCTCCGCTCTTTTTAGCTACGACTTGAGCTCCTTCATCTTCCAATATCAGTGCACGGGCTGCGTCGAGAAGCTGCTTGCCTGGTCCGTCTTTTTCGGACGAAAGGAAACGGTCACAGGACGCCCACAAGAAATCAGCGTCCTCGCGGGCATGAGTGAAGACGCCTTTGCCCTTACTTCCACCAAGAGTTTTCTCTTTGATGACGTCAAGAGTTTTTCTCGTCTCATTTCCACCAGTGTTCATCTTCTCACTGACGCAAGGAGTCTTCAATCTAACCTTGTTGACCTTCAGCCTCTTCTCGACTGTTGACGGTTTCTTCGTGCTTTTGACTCCTGTGCCACGACTACTCGCTTTCTTGGAGTGTCCTCCAGATGAAGGAGCCTTCTTCATCACAGTCTTCATTGCTTTCGACATCCTAATCTTGATCTTGTTCTGTTGAAGTTGATTATCTATCTCGTTGTAATACTACCATGTTGTACAGCCTCGTCAACCTATCAATTCCTGAGTCGGAAGTACCAGAAGAAATTAAGTACAACAACTTAAACAACTAGTTGTAGTTGGATTTGCATCCATTTGCCATTGCCTCCATAAAAAATTATCTATGTTTATCATTTTAGTTTTCGGCTTCGTCTTGGCACGACTAGGACTAGTCAATTCGAATCAAAGAATAATCACAATGCGCACGACGTAAATCTAAAAATCTGCAAAGGCTCAGGACGTCGACCTCAGCTATGATCAGATGATCTCTGTTCTTGAAGATCTTTAGAGCGATATTCTGTTCTTGATGGGATCAAGGGATCAAAATGTCTTAGAAGGAACTGTACGAGCTTGTTGCCTATTACTTAGACGGAGTGTTGTATCTTTGCGTGTAGTCCCAACGAACACAGCGATGGCAACTGGCCACCCGGAGGATCGTTTTTTCTCGGTAACATTGATGAAAAATTTTGGATCGTTGATCGTTGTGAGTTTGAAAAAGAAAACAAGTGAGTGCTGGGGGAGCATACAGTGTTGAATATGAATGAGGGCGAATTCGATCTCTGTTCTTGCTAACGAACAGTAGATGCGAAAGTGAGCCGCTTTCTTTTAGGAGGGAGTATTCGGCGGGTAGAGTCATGTTGCAGTCTCTTTCTGTTTCTTTTGATTTGGGATAGTTTTCTGTTTTCATTATGATAAATATAATTGCTTCACCAAGAACAGCGTGTACATACTTACATCGTTTTCGTTTTCATTCTGATGTGCTCGGAAGATTAAGTTCAGGTATTACGTCTTGACAACATTTTTACGTCCTGTTGTCGATGTTCCGACCTTCTGACGCATGTCCTTTTTACGGCTGGCAGCAAGGTTCTCCACACCACTGGCAGGAATCCCAAATTGCTCGACAAAGAGACTACACAGATCCGCATCCCAGAAACCCTGTAGTAAAATCTCTTGCGGCGTTGTAAAATCTCTAGATGATGAGCCAGATGAGGCTCCTCCTGCTCCTGCATTATTTTTACTGGAAGTAGACGATGAATTGTTATTGTCGACGAGGTCAAGTACCTGTCCAGAGGTGTTGCTCACATTCGCCTTCAAGTAGGCTAGTGTTTTGCTCAGGTCAAACCCGTAGCGGTGCAAACCGTAGATCAAAGTGCAGTTGTGGTTCATGCGCTTCTCGGTTCTTACTTGCACTTTAGGCGGAGGCGCGTCCTTAAACTGGACCTTGACATCGCCGACAAGGGTAATTTTCGACGTGCGATGTTGACGGCGTAGACAGTGCTGTGCCGCTGGTAGGCTTTGAGCTGTGTCGAAGAGAGTCCTTACTAGGCTGTCGAATGTCACACTCGTGTTGTAGTTTCCGGTCGTAGGACGCATTGCAGGTGGCTGGAACCTTGTTGTGCTGGGTGGAGTTTTTTTAGACGGGGAGTTCTGCTCATCCTGAAAAGGGACATCCTCATCATCGCTATCGTCCCCTGTCTCACCACCTTCTGCAGCTACGGCCTTTTGCTGTTCGCGAACCAGCTTCGCTGCGAGCGCTGCCTGCTGCGCTCCCTGAACTTCGTGGAAGAGACCCGCAAGAGGTGCGACACTCTGGAGATTCAGTAGCTTCTTGGACGCCCATAAATCGTTCTTGTCGCAAAAGGCACGCAGAAGTTTGGCAAAATCATCACGAGACCTCACAAACACCTCTGGCAACTGCAACGTTGCGTTAATCGTCTGCAAGCGTTCACTCCACAGCACAGCATCTCCCAAAAATTTCCCCTCATAGGCTTCCTTCAAGAAGTCCGCTAAAAACGGCAATTTTTCCACAATCTTTAAGCGCCAGACTTCTTCCATCTGCACGGACTGAATCCCAGCACTCATCAACGGACGAATCACTGCCAGTTGTTTCGCGGTCGCCGCCGAGGGTGCTGCGCTTGCTAGTACAGGAGCACCGATCACTCCCATCAAGGAGACAGAACCACTGCCATCCTCTGTTTGATGACGCTTGAAGTCGAGGATGACGCGTTTTCGAAAGTCAATCTTTGTGATTTTGGTCTTGTCCTTGTTCAGTTCAAGCACGCCGTTGTACTCGGAGCTAGCGAGAAGTTCAAAGAACGTTTTCAGTTTCTTGTGCGTCGAGCGCTTGATGTCGACGCTGGTGCAAGCAGGACGGTTCGGACGCAACTGGGATGCGTAGAAGACATTCAGATCCATCGGCAATTTGATATCCGCTTTGGCGTTGGGATTGGAGCATGCCTGAAGAAAAGAATCCAACAACAGTCGGTCCATCTCTTGGGGTGACACGGAATTGGAGTTGTCTTGTTCAGATGTCGCACCAGAAGAGGCACCCGCGCCTTCGCCACGAGGACTGGCCTGTGCGTGTGCAACACCCTTCTTGTTTGAATTCAAATTTCTCTGATCTTTTGCTTGTTGCAGTTGCATCTTTCGCTGTGCTCTCTTCGACAACGCCTGCTCTCCCTCGCTGTCTGATGATGCAGCGTCTCCACCTCCTTCTAGTTGTTGTTGTTCATCTTTTTGCTTTTCACCTCTTTCTCCTTCTCCATTCGTGTTCTGATCCTCCTTAGGTCCGTCTTCTTCATCGCCAATATTAGCGTTCGCGTCCTTTTTGGTACCATCATGATTTGCACCACTGTGACCCTGATTCTCGACAGCGTTCTTCTGAAGGACGTGACCGTAGAGACCCGTGAATAGAAAGCCGTCTACACGCTTAGGGAGGAAGCCAGGTGGTGAGAGCCACTGCCGTGGAAAGGTTTCCCATAAGGAGTCTCCCCATCGATGCAAGATCTTCACAGCCGTCCCTTCAAAACGAAGACCTTCCAATTGCCATTGCCCCAACGCAATCGCGAAAGGGTTGCCTTCGACATGCACAGCTACCAAGTCGCCAGGTCATATTAGAAACAGGCTTTATTAGATCTTCAACCGCGTCTTTCGTCCCCTTTCCCTTGGAAACAAAACGGGACTAAGATGCCTGTGAAGATGCATTTCCTTGAGCCATAACTTTAGGGAATTTTCGATGTACTCAGCCTGCAAGCCGCCTCCTGCTCGGCGCATCAAAAGAGTCGAAGCCGGGAGTTCGTCTGCGAGGAGTTGTGTTTTGTTTGCAGTAGTTGTTGTTGCAGTAGTTGTTGAAGAAGATGAGGAACCAGAAGTGGCGGTATCTTGACCGGTCTCTTCGGCAGCCTTTTGTTGATCCTTCTTCGACAAAGACAATGCTGAGAATTCGGCTCGTGAGTTGAGGATGTTGAGCAATTGCCGAGTGCGTGTGCGCGCTTGCATATTTACGCACAACCCTGGCGCGAAGACGTCAGACCCATTCAGGATAAACTGCGATACGTCTTCCAGAACGAAAACCCTAGGAATCGCCAATACAGGCTCTTCTTCATCGCTTTGAGAAAAAAATGTCTTGGACAAGCCTTCATAGACCAAGGGAATGGTGAGCTGCTTGTCATTTTTAGCTGACCCAGCACTTGTTCCCGTTCCGGTCAGAGGATCCGTACTCCCACAACTACTTCTTGCTGCACTACAACCTGTTTTTACCATTTTCATCATGGGAGCAGTTGTAAGTTCTTGTGTCGCGGCCAATGTAGTACTGTCACTGCCGCAAAAATCCAGCCTTTGCCACGTGTGTTTCCAAAGTGTGAGCAGAGATGGGAAAATCGTTTGCTCCATCTGGCGAATGTCCGGCACCACATAGAGGCAAACATCCGTGTTTTCACCACTGCAGAGGAAACCAAGAGTCTGCGAGCCCGTTTTGAGCACTAGTTGGGCTTTTTTGGAAGGGAGCGAGGTCTTGTCCCCAAATCGAGACTCGAAGATCTGCATGATGTTCTTAGTCTCCTTGCCATTGTAAGTCTTCTCGCTTTTCGCCTCCACGGAGGCCGGCTTTTTGAACATCTTGTCGTAGTTATACGTGTTGACGTTGATCAAAAAATGTTGAAAAGCAAATCGTACTTGCACTTGATAGTGTCTGTTGTTGTAAATGTAATGAAGTTTTCACTTAAAAATCACTCATGTATATGTGCTTGTGGTTACCGTACAAAAAGAATGAGTATCCCAGTCCCACTTTAAAGCTACTTCTAGCATCAGTATGATATTAGTAGAGTCCTCTAGCTCTAACATTAACATAAGTAGGTTGTTGTCCCCATGCTTGTCGATATTTTCCTTGCATCTCCTTACTTCGACCCAACCTAAAAATGCTGAAGATGAAAAGAGATGAGCTATAGTTGAGGATCTTGATCCTTCAGACTGTACTCTCAGACCTGTACTCAGACCATGCTGACCTCGTGTGACCAGTACATGTGAAGAGACTACTTTTCTACTGTCACTGTGATGTAAGATCTTCTACTCTAGGAGCATCAGCATCCTACCAGAACTTCATTGAGCAGAGCCACATTGATTCGAGTTATGTATCGACGTAGTATGAAAAATTTAAATTTCGACGCTTGTCGCAGAACACGAAGGAAAGCTTGAAGCTTCAGATGCATCCTACAATTTTTTGAAATTTTCGATCTCAATACCTCACAGTCTCCACGCCAGCTTCTACACACTATGATCTTCTGCACCATGTCTTCAAGAACTTCATAGTTCAACTTCAACTTTTTATCGTCCATTCCTTCTCTCTTTTCTCGAGAATGAGGGGCAGCCAAGTATTTGTCCCGGAATTTGCAGTAATAGCATTGGCATAGTCTTGGATTTCCATGCGTTCTATCTTTATCACTATCATCACCTTATCATCTTGTTGCGCATGACACTTCTGAGGATTGGTATGAGGTGTATGTGATGTAGAGTGAGCTCCAGCTACTTCTTCTTTAAGGCCCTTTCTTTTCCTCGCATGACCCAGCTGCAAATTCTTGTCTTTGTTTTCAACGATCGCGGCTACTCCCTGTAAGCTGAGCCACGCCGATTGCCGCTCTGTCCGCCTATCTTGCCAGAATAGGGTCACATTTTTTTTGAACCAGTGTTCCATTTCCGGTGCTGCTTTTTCTGGCTTTGTTCTTGTGCTGACCACGACTAGCGCTATGACAGCCAGCACTAACTACTCGAAAAACGGAAATAAGCGAGTAACAGACGAAAATAACCGAGATAACTGACGAGAAGGACGAGTAGCCTTTATTTTAAGCTACCTCCCTTATTTCAGTCAGTAACTCGGTTATTTTGAGTTTTCGAATACCCTGCTAGTATCTGCTGCTGAGGACGACGTTAGGCTTGTGTTCCTTTTGACGGTCGTCCCACTGTTTTCGTCTTCCTGAAACCACACACTGAGATCGCCTTCGCGTTCACTTTGTTCGTCATACTCCACAGCATGCTCCTCAGCTGCGAGTTGCGCCGCGTCGGATTTCTCCGACAGACAAGACGTCTGTTGGCCGCTCATCTTGGTGGTTGACGACAAAATTGATAGCAGTACAGAGATAGACAATTATTTATGAGAAGAATCTTCAGAAGACAGACTTCTAGTACCTTGTAGTTTTTAGACCAAGGGCCACCAACCAACACGATCTTCATGCGAGCCAAAGTCGACGCTGTCCTACTTACTTAAGAGGAATTGAAAAGGCATGAGCGGGCAGCTGACGGGCTTTTTTTGCGATCAGTCCTTGTTCGCAGATTCCAAAGAGACCGCACGAGACAGGATGGCGCATTCCTTTCCGTAGGTAAATCAAAGTTACCCATGCCGCGGTTGCATTTTTAATCGAGAACTTTGAAAGAATAAATATATTATTGTTCAGGGACATCAACATCAGCAGGTTATAGCATTTTGTTCTGCACCTAGTTCCTTTCATCGATGAGCGTCGATGTTCAGAAAGTCGCCACGTCACAACATGATTCTGTGTCGAGAATAGAAAAAGATAAAGAACCTTAGACAAGGTTGCGCATCATTCAACTTCGCGATTGAACTGCTTCCTTTTAATTCTTATCAGTATATGCAGCGCTGTGAAGCAGGGAGGCGCACACCAGAATTCCTAGTCATTATCATCGCGCGCTACACCTTCCCTGCTGCTTCCGTGACGTAACTTTACAAAACAGAGGTTGCCCAAAAAAATGCGAGTAAGCAAGCATCCAGCGTTTTCACTGTTTTCTTGGCCTCGATATCGTCCACTAGCATCATTCGAGGGCTCACCTTACAGCGCGAATCCGACATGTCCTAACCGGTCTGCTTGGGACACCGGCAGTCTTGCCAGTTTACTGATGCACAGACTCGGGCCACGATAATCTCCACTCCAATATGCAGCTGTATTCGCATATGGACCACGGAACATTCCGGGAATTCATCTAATCGATCTCCACACTCGCTACATTTTGAAGAACTGTAGTATGCGACAGAAATCCTAGATACACTGGGCCGGACGAGGAGATCATATCCAGTAACAAGACCTGCTGAGTCGCTGGAGGTCTGCGGTCGCGCTGTCACAAAGGTTTGACCTTGATCTGGACGTGGGATACGTCTTTAGAACAGGGGGAGAACGGCTCTCCCGCCTTTATTGTTTGCGCGCAGGAGCGGAACCAAATAAACTGCTTCAAATCGAAGTCCAGCACCGCTTCAAGGCCGATGGGGACCACCGCGCAACACCGACCACGCCATCGGGCTAGTCGTGCTATCTTTTCAGATCTACCCATCGTGATGAGAGTGGATCCCCGCATCCGTGCATTCGCTGGCGAGCACTGTGGATCGAATCGTCGGCCATCACTCGTACATCACGTAGAGTGATGGCTTATCAAGCAGTCAGCCGGTTAATATTCTCGCTCATCTTGAGGGGAGTTCCTCCTATGATCATGACGTAGCGCTTCCTCAAATACTTGCTCGTATTGGTCTATCCCTTGTGAGACTCTAAAGTGTATCAGACTTTCAACTGTTAATACGTGTCAAAGGACTTAATCTTGTCGCATTCGCCAAGTCTTGCTTTTTTTACTGGGTGTCGACCAAGAACCCCATCCGTTCTACAGATTCGACAAAACACAGACTCTCACTCGTGCCTCCATGACCGATTAGGAAGAACTGGAAATGGCATTACAAAGACCAGGCCATAGTCAGATCAAGTTTTGTCCACATGCAAAAGTGTCGCGTCTCCCATTCTTCCTCGCGTGACATTTAGCACTCAGAAGTATGAAATTTTTGAGTTTGGCTTTTGACAGCTCCACTTAGTATTGCGTTTGCGAGGCACCAGAATTATAATATCACTCTTGTTTTGGTTTTAATCGTGTGTCTCTGTTCAGGGAGATGTTCGCTCCGAACGGAAAAAACGTGGAAAAAATGTAATCGAAAAAGAAAGGAGAGAAACTTCTATGTCTCAATTCCAAGGAAAGCAAAAACAGCACGATAGTGACTAACTTTTGGTCTCAAGTGGCTCGACCTGGACATGTCTAATTACAACAAGCAACCTATCTCAGGTGAAGCCGAAGTGTAATGACGTCACATATGAAGATCGCCATATGCATAGTATGATGGAACAACTCCATAGTATAATTGCACAACAGACACTGACTTTCTAAGTACATCGCAGCGAATCTCTTCCCCAGTGATCAGTAGAAACCACAATTCACCGCACCGGGGACCACATCAGATTTCAGAAACGGAGCCCGCAATTGTGAAGTTGACGCCTGAAACCGAATTGCCTACACAAGATGCGGAAATCCACGTCATCGGCTCGCCTAGCCACCTCCTGCTTTATCATACGTGGGCACCTGGGGAGTGTGGGGTTGTCTGCAATGACGCATTCACGAGGGTAATTGATGTCGTCGGTTGTAGGGAATGAGCAATATCAAGAATCTACCCACAGCAGCACTCTCCACAATTTTCATGCAGATAGGCTGGACGAGGGCGAGCTACAGTCAACGTATATACCTTTTGTCCCACGTCCACATTTAAGGCCGTGATCCTTAATGACCGAACGTGACTCGGAGGTGTTCCTTGATCCAACCCTTCGCGATCGAGTTCCAATCCTCACGACTGGCAAACTCATTAGCAGAAGACACATCATCAAACTTATTATCAGCGGAGGGAAGAAAGGAAGACATCAGCAGACAAAAAAAATACACGAGCGAACATCGAGCACATGCGATCTAATCTCTCATCCATCGACGAGGATGCTCCATACGTTCTGTTTCTGCTGAGACGAAGTATTTTCGTAGTTTCCTGACCCATCAAGAGAAGAGAGGAACTCTGCGAAAAATGTTCATGATGTAGTACGCGATACAAGTAAGAAAGGGAGCCATAAACGGCATATTCGCCAAACTCAGACACCAATACACTCTGTCCGCATTACCCCTTATCTCTCTGTAACCGGCACCGGCTGGAAGCTTGGGCTCCACGGATTAGAGATGCGGAAAATAAAACGGGTGCCACGCTGCGCGTGGCGCGGGCGCTTCTTTTTCGAGAGAACAAGGAACGAAGCGGAGGGGAGGGACACATCAAGAGAGAACGCAGAAGAGAATGAGACGACAAAGCCAGAACACCCACCACGAAGAACTCAAGATCCCCAAACTCTTGACACGAATTGCGCCACAAATTCCCGCAGAAAACTCCCCAAATTATACGCGACGCGCCGGTGGCCATTGATTTTCTCGGTGGCCATTTTGGCGACGCCAGACAGACACACCCAGAACGAGACACCCGAAAAACAAACGGCGAAGCCCAGGCGGACACACACCCAGCGGCAGCCAACAAGCCCGGCTGGAATTTGCCAGGCGGGCACATCCTGGCGGACACATCCCCAAAGAGCCGACCCGCTTCGAATTGGTTCGAGTTTTCGGGCTTTGAGAAAACCCCGACCGACAGACACCACAACACACCCGCGCCAGCTGATCTGGCTGCCGGGGGACAGCAACCGATCCGACAAAAAAGTCGACGAAAAACCTCACGACCGAGCGAACCCGCGCCACCGCAATGCAATAGAAGGCGCCCGCGAGTCTAGCGCATGCACCTGGGCCGGCCTCCAGCAAGCGGCCCCACACACTTCGAGACAGACCCCTCAAAAAAAAAGCCCGACACAAAGAGCCGACGCCACACCAGCCCGCGAGACTCACCGGCGCGGACGTTGACTGAGGCCACACTTCGCGGAACCAGTGAACTGCGACCCCGGCGCCCACTCCAGAATCACGCGACCTGGCCCCCGTAAGAACCTGACCGGCGTGGACGATACAGCCCCATCCCGGCCAAGCACTGCTCGACGTGGGGCCCCTGCTCAACGCCCACACGCGAACCACCAGCCAACCCCGCGGAGCTTGCACGAGCACCACGCCACGCCCCGAGGCCTGCCAGCGGAATGCGGCGGGTGCGTCAGATGCGACCCAGTCTGCGCCAGGCGGACACATCCCCAGCCAACAAATGCGGCTGGCGTTTGGTTAAAATTTTCGGCTTTTGAGAAAATGCCGACCGACAGAAACCACAACACACCCACGCCAGCTGATCTGGCAGCCGGGGGGCAACAACCGACCCGGCACAAAAGACCCACGAAAGACCCCACCGAGCGAACCCGTGCCACCACAACGCAATAGCAGGCGCCCGCGGGTCTAGCGCATGCACCTGGGCCGACCTCCAGCAAGCGGCCCCAAACACTTCGAGAAAGACACCACAAGAAAAAGCCCGACACAAAGAGCCGACACCACACCAGCCCGCGACCGAGGCTCACCGGCGCAGACGTTAAGGCCACACTTCGAGGCGCCAGCGAACTGTGACCCCGACGCCCACTCCAGAATCACGCGACCCGACCCGCGCAACCTGACTGGAGTGGACGTTACAGCCCCACTCCAGGTAAGCACTGCCCGACGCGGGGCCTCCACGTCCACACGCGCACCACCCAACCAACCCCGCGGAGCTTGCACGAGCACCACGCCACGCTTCGAGGCCTGCCAGCGAAATGCGGCGGGTGCGTCAGATGCGGCCCAGTCTAAGTCACGGCTGCGCAGCCCGAAGGCAGGCGGCCCAAGACCCCGCGGGAACCGGTTCAAAAGCCGGCGAAAGTTGACGGCTAAAAAATTTGCGAAAGTTCACGGCTAAAAAACGGCGAAAGTTCAGGGCCAAAATGGCGCCAATTTTGGGAACGGTTAAAAAAGTCGGCGGCACGTCCTTCCAAAACTCCGCGGGACTGCTCTAAACCGACCCCAAGAGCAAAAGTGGCCGACTTCTAGGCGAAATCGCACGAGAAAAAGACCAAAAATTTTAGCCGTTTTTTTCCAACCCGGGAAAGGTAAGGTGGGAAAATTTTAGACGTTTGCTAGCCATCTTTTAACCGCCGACCGGGACCCGGGACCCGACCCCCCAAGCCCAGACGCGACCCCTACCGAGTCCCCCCGCCCCTTCGAGTGCGAGGCCCAGCACTTCCGCGCGAGCTGTTGCGCCAATCGTCAAACCCCGGGGCCGTGGCTCAGTGTGGGCACCCAATGGCGCAGGCACTCCCCCAAATGCCCCCGGCCCCTCCTCCGCAAGGGGCGGGGCAAGACGACCAAGCACCAGAAGACAAACACAAACAAACCCAACCCACTGAAAAGCAGCACGAAAACACACAAGAGGCCAGACGTATCATACCCGAAGGCCAGCGGCCTATCGTCACCCCGACCAACTTCAATAATGCACCCCCTTCAACCGACACCCCTAAGACATGCACCCCCGAGCCGAGCCACTCAGCCAAAGCATACAGAACCGGAAACGACCGAAAAAAAACGACCGAAAAAGCACGGGGACGCCTTCAGCCGTCTTCTTTGATCCGCTGCCGCAGGTTTCAAGATCCGCGGAACCTCTGTAGAGTACCAGAAAAAAACTAACACACACAAAAAAGCGCCCCCCTTGTCGCTCACAAATATACCAACAAAACAACAAGAGAAAAGCAGAAAAACCCCAGAAACGAAACAGACACACAACAGCCCAAGGCAGGCGCCCCGCGATTCCAAAAAGCCGACTTTTTTCGCCAGTTTTTAACGCAATTCGTGGCCGGGTGCCCGTCCACCTGAGCTGACGGCTTACAAAAAGGCGGCGGCACACCCTTCCAAAACTCAGCGGGAGTGCTCTAAACCGACCCGCCCCCAAAAGCAAAAGCGGGCGACTTCTAGGCGAAAGCACACGAGAAAAAGACCAAAAATCAGCCGTCTTTCTCCGTTTTTCTAGCCGTTTTCTTCCAGCCCTTTTTCCAACCCAAGAAAGGTTAGAAAAATTTTAGCCGTTTTCAGCCGTCGACTTGGAAGCGAAGGTAGGGCCACCAGCCAACGGGACCCCACCCCCCTAGCCCAGAGCCAGACACGACCCCCGCCGAGTCCCTCACCCCTTCGAGTGCGAGGCCCAGCACTTCCGCGCGAGCTGTTGCGCCAATCGTCAAGCCCCGGGGCCGTGGCTCAGTGTGGGCACCCAACGGGAGAGACAGTCCCCCAAATGCCCCCGGCCCGCCCCTCCCCCACCGGGGGCGGGGCAAGACGACCAAGCAACAGAAGACAAACACAAACAAGCCAAACCCACGGAAAAGCCGCACGAAAAAACCCAAGAGACTAAGACCACCACACCCGAAGGCCGGCGGCCCATCGTCACCCTGACCTCCACCTTCAGCAACGCACCCCCTTCAACCGGGATCCCTAAGACATGCACCCCCAAGCCGAGCCACTTAGCCAAAACACACAGAACCAGAACCGATCGAAAAAACCAAACGAAAGACCTCGGGGGCGTTTCCGGTCGTCTTTTTTGATCCGCCGCCGCAGCTTTCAAGATCGGCCAACCCTCTGCAGAGTACAAGAAGCGAGCCACGCTCAGAGCTTCCGGGAAGCGTCTCCCCTTTCGCTCGCAAACATACCAACAAAACAACGAGAGAAACGCAGAAAAACCCCAGAAACGAAACAGACACACAACGGCCCAAGGCAGGCGCCCCGCGATGCCAAAAGGCCGACCTTCTTAGCAAGATTTTAGCCCAAACGCTGGCCGGGCGCGCGTCCGCCCGGGCCCCAAATTAATTTCGCGCCCCAAATTAATTCAGCCCCCCGAATCGATTGCGATTTAATGTCCCAAAATAATTTATAGCGCCCCAAATTAATTTCGCGCGAGACTTCACTCACGGCACGCGCGCTGGCCGGGGCTTATGTCTGGCGCAGCAGTAAGGCACACCAGTGACAGCGAACACAGTGCAAAGAATGCAAGGAACCAGCGCCAAGCCCGAGCAAGACTCCAGCAGAACCAACGCAATTCCAAGCCCAGGCCAGAAGCTTCTAAGGCTCAACGCTTGAGCCTGTCCCAAACAGCCCCAAAGGAATGACTGAAAGGACCAGAAACGCCGCGCGGGTTAAGTTCGTTTGGGCTGAGTGAGGAGAAAAGGCGAGGCAAGCTCTGAGAGGGCGACAGGGCTGACTCCTGGGCGCTACTTGGTCTCCGTTCCTTGGATCCCCACGCCGTCACTGGAGTAGGCTCTTCGCTGGTGTTTCCCGCTAGTCCTAGGGGGGCCCATCGTCGTCAGATCAACTCCGTCACTTTTCTACCTAGGGGGCTGCCGGTCAAGATCATGCTACACCTGGCAAGCATGCTCCCCGCGGAGCCACAGGCCGCCAAGCCGTCTGCGCGAACGGTGTCAAAGCGAACGGCCAACACTCACTGTCCCAAGACCTCCCAAAGGCTTCGAGCAAGCGAAACCCACTCAGCCGCGCCGCGGTCAAAGGGATTCCGACTTGTTCAAGCTGTTCAGGCTCGCATGCCCTATTTGCCATGACAGAAAGACAAAGGAAGCGCGCCGGACATCCTTCGCAAACCCCTACCCACCCCCACACGAGAACACAGCCCCACCAGAGACACCGCCCACCAGACGCCCGGCCCCGAAAATACAAAACGCCGAACAAAGCGCACGCGCAGACACCTCAACGCGAAGGCGAAGGCGCCTGAAGCTCAGCAGACACGCCGCAGGTCTGACGGCAGCGCCGGCCTGCGCCTGAGCCTGACTCACAACGGCGGCCCTCGCTCCAGGGAGTTCAGCTGAAGAAGCATCGGCCGAAGACGAGAAGGGGAGGCGCGGCGCGGGTGGGCTGCAGAAAGGTGGAGGACCTCAAGGGAGGGGGGCTCCCGGAGTGCTTGCACCTTGTGAGGCAGCTGTAGGCGAGTCACGACCATACACCGGGTCCCCTGGCGAGCTGTATGCATTGGCATCGTGCCACCATAAGGCAAGGACTGCGGTTTTGTCAGTTGTGCGGCCTCTTTCCTGAGCTGCTCCCAGTCATACCTCGCACACTGTCTTTGTATCACTTCGGAAACATTTTCGGAGCTGAGTTCTCCCTCTTCAAGCTTAGTATTCAGTTCATTGAAAATATCGATTACCAGCTCCTCGAGGTAAGTGTCCTTGACTTCCAGGAAAGCATTTGACGGACTGCCAGTAGCGACCTCATTCGGAACACCGTACCAGTCGCCGATGATCTGTTCCTCCTTCTGTTGACCAAGTCCCTCCACCCCGAAGAGGGGCGCCGAGAGTAAGGTGAATGCGATGCGGATGTTTAGAGAGGTGGCAGGAGAAAGTTGTTTGAACAAAATGAAGATTCTACATTTCATCAAGAGAACTTGATCTTGACTCGTACTACCTGCAGGAAAAGCGCTAACATTTGATATATGTTGTAGCAGAATGTAGACTCAACACCATAACAGTTTGCTCTGCAGCGAAGGTCGTAGGAGTCCGCTTCGAATGATCAAAGACATTTTGGAGTTGATGTTGTACGTTGGAGATGTGAGATCTAGGACCCTCCCTCCCCTGTCAATCTGTATGATTTTTGACGTCGGATACGGATCAGTCCCAAGCAAAAATCTCTAGCATAATTAAGACTTAATAGACTATCAACGCGTATCATAGAAGAAGACATGAATAAGACGAAAGAAGGCATGACCAAAATCCAAAATATGGCCAAGCAGCGATGTTGCAATAATCTGTCCTGGGGAGAACAAAACAGAAAAAAGGAAATGGTGCTAGAATTCAGTAAAGGAAATGTTGACGCTAGAATTCAGGAGAAGGCAAAGGTGCTAGAATTCAGAAAGCCACAATGTGTCGCGAAAGTCAAAGTAAAATTGTTAAGTCAAGCATACCACTTAGTCCTCCCTACATTGCTGATCCTGCACGCAGTCCCTCACTGTGATCGTCTCTACTCTTCCTCTCTCGGAATGGAAAAAAGCACGTGTAGTCCTTTCCACTTCTTGACTCCCTTAATGTCCTTTACCTATTCTTTCTTACTATAAAAAACCAGTCGCGGACACAAAACAATGCTCCCATTTGGACTTGGATTTGGAGACTTCAGGAAAAAGTTTTCTTTTTTTTTTTTGTATCCTGGGGCTACTGAAAGAGCGGCCTCAGCTTTATCCAGTTCGCAAACCGGCGGCAGGCGGGGCTTAGTGCTCCTCTAGTTTTCTGGCCACCAGTAGCCAATAAACTCAAAAGAACAATCAACGATTCGGAAAGTCAAGTTTTCTAAAAATTCTAAAACTTCTAAAAAAACTGAACCGCGACTTGGTGCGGACGCTACACATTGCGAACACTGTGTTTTCTCGGCAATTGGCCCAGGCGTTTACACCATTCCTGGCAGGCGTTTACACCATTACTGCATGCTTTGCTGGCGAAATATGCTGCTAAACTTCTTCAAGACTCTCAAATTCTTTAGAATGTAGCATAACTAAGAACAATCAAGTATGAGTAGAAGAGTCAGCATATAATAGCAGAAGCAGTAAACAAGAATAAGTAGGAAAATTGTACTTACAAAACAATAACACACTTAGAAGTTCTGGTATGGGTAATGGTATGCTTCTTAGCATGTTGTGCAAGAGCCGAATTACCTATTTGTCTCATGTCCTGAGGCTTGTGGGCTATTGAAGAAGGGCAGCTTTGCGCTGTTGACTGATCTCATAGCACACACGACACAGAAAGATTCACGAATGTAGAGAGTACCTATAAATAAGCAAAAAGTAAAACCCCGATCCACCGCAGTCTCCCACCTTCTTCGCGTGTTATGCCACGGGTAGAAGCTACTGGTCCTTCACATCGATCTAGCTACTGGTCCTTCACATATCTGCTTAGGCAACAAGACAATGCTGTTGGTGTATCTTGAAGTCTTAGGTTCTGAGCCCACGTGCCCACGACATCACCCTCGTCGCGGATCTATCGGAAACAAACTCGTCTATAAACCCCGAGGAAGCCGAAGAAGCTGCGCACCCAGCGACGACGCTCCCAGTCGGTCGACCCGGAGTAAGAACCATGCGAAAACGCAGGGAAATGTGAGACCCGCATCAACTACTGCAATATCATCTCTGCTGTACGAAGCGCGGACTCCGACTGCTATTCTTCGCAGAGGATGAGAACTTTGAAAAAAGTCTTCTTATAGTTGACCATGGACATCACGATCAGCACAGGCTGTAAAGCTTTGTTTTTCAACAGGAGGTGGGTGTGTTTTATCGATCAACGTCATGAGAAGAGTAGTTTCACCACGACCGGAATGGAGGAAAAAAATTACAGAAGGTGCGTGGATTGGGGCTGTCGATGTTGTAACTTCTTCTTACATCTACTTGTAATTCGCATTTTGCTCTTCTGCGAGGTTCATCCCGTGTCCCTTCGTCTTCGCAAGTGCCCCCATTTTCATACCTGCCTGCATGTCGTTGGCCACGTCAGTCTCAAACTGTCTTTTTCGGAGCATGTCTTGCATCTGTTTCCTCGCATCCAAGGCTGAGGTTGCTGTAGCAGACGGCATGCTGGAGCTATCTTGCTTGATTTTCAGATTCGTTACAGTCGGCTGCTAATTCTATTCATCTCGGTGCCCTCGTCTCGACGCCTTTCATCCCATGATTTACAAGGGACGAGCGGGGTATTGAGATGCTGAGAAATAAGATGGATAAAAGCTCCTGACCTTAAATTTGAAAACCAAGAAGTTCCGACATTTTCGGTATTGTAGATGTAGCAAAAACCAAACCCACGACAGCTTTTATCGCGAAAATCAACGCTCTGTTTGGCCGGAGCGTACTTCCCTTTCATTTGACTGTCGACCTGGGTGTTGTGGGCGTTTTTGTAGACGTGAAGTAGACGGTGACTTCACGTTGACAGAGAAACATCAGCTATAAAGTCAAGTTGAAGCTCAAGTTGTTGATTGTACCTGTGGAATAATTTTCTTTTCCTTCCAGTCGATCTGCAGGAGAACTTTGCACCACTTGTCGTTCTTTAGCTTCCCGTCGTTCTGAATGTTCACCAAGTTTCCTCCTTCTGTTAGACCTTATTACAGATATTCATCTTGCAAGTCATCTTTTACAGATGTTCATCTTTCCTTTAAAGAACAAAAGGAATCAATAGCAATACAGGGATGCTTCTCAAGATGAATAGCAGTAGTATTAGTGTACCCAAACGACCCAATCAGGGGGAGGGTATGGGAAGTTCTAATTAGGAGGGGTATGAGTTATAATTAGGAGCATGATTAGCTTCAGCTAATTAGAGTAAGCCTTAATTCTGACAGCATCAGCCCTCCTCGTGTGTAGGCAAACTGTATTGCGACCTTGCAGTCAGGCAATATGCGATCCACAATCTTCTTTTCCGTAAAAACGACTGCGGCATTCAGAAAATCGATCTTCCCGTTTGCTGTGAACTCAAACTCGATTTCGGTCGGGCGAATGAGAGGGTAAAATTCGCGATAGAGTCCAGTACAGTGTGAGTTCGTGGCCCCGCCAACTAGCTGGAGACACTCTCGAGCAATAGCCGGCGTTTGCGGCGGGTACTTCGCGACTTTGAAATTTATCTGGAAGATAGTGATAGTGTTAGAAGTGGGGATATTAAATAACTGTATGAACAAAAGCAACTTCGTATTTGTAACATCTTGTAAAAAAAGACCCAATCATGTTGGAGGAAAACTTCATCTTCAACATCGATGTCCATGTACTTCTGCTTTCCTTTAATGTGCTTCTAGGAAGGATACGTAGGTATACCTTACTGTTACTGTGATGAAACTGAAGTTGTTGGAACTCGTGTTGTAACTCCCTCTCCCACCTACACTGATTTTGAAAGATACCAATCCCTCTTTCAGTGGCTTTCCTTTTTCGTCTTCCTTACTTGGACCACGTTGCCACTCTCGGTTGATGCTTTCGATCGAACTAAAGTCCGCTGCCCATGAGAAGTCGCAGTCTGTATTGCAATCTTCGTCTTCGTCAGGAGGTGTAACGTTAGAACGGCGATTCATCTCGATCCCCTCCTCTCGACCCCTTCATTTCCCAGGAAAAGGATGCAAGAGAACAAAGGGGCATCTACATGCTGAGAAAGATGGACACTATAGATGTTGACCTTAATGATGCTGGACTCACCCGAAGCCGAAGCTCCTCCTCCAGCTACGGCGCTTTTCGTCAGTGAAAGAACAGACTCCTTATGTGCCACTACAAGTGCCATCGTAGGTGCACCACAGAACACGGCGGCTGGTACACTAGAAGTAATGGCTTGCGCTGCTGCTTCCGCGAACAGTAGTTTCCCGCATGGACTGTCCGGTGCAACCGCAAGGCTCGGCTCTAAGAAATGTATTGCCGCGACTTCTCCCCTTTCAGCCAACACGGAAGAGGAACTGCTAAGTGAATCAGCAGAACCAGCAGAAGATGAAGTATCGAGCCTCCTTGAAGACACAAGCGTAAGCAGTGTTCGATTTTTCAGATGTGCTAATCCAGTTAACAGCTCCCTGCCTGTGGCACTGGTCGCGAAACGCGAAATGTCGAGTGAACCGCACAATAATACTACACGAACTTCTTCCACTTGGTCTTCTATGCTTGCCGTTGACGTTGAGGATCTGTTAGCATTTTCCGCAGCCTCTGACACTGCGCATGCAGCTGAAGTTCCGCTTCTCGGGATCTGTTCTTCCAGCTTGCTTTTGACACTCTGCAAAATGCCGCGGACTTTTTTCTGCGCATCTTGGAGATGTTCAGCGGCCTCTAGGACTAGAAGCTCTGCGACATCAACGACCACTGGATTAGAGATTAGAAGAAAAAGTTGTGGGAGTCCACAGTGTGCCTTAGAAGAAAAACCTTGTGCTGCATTAGAGATTACGATTAGAAAAAAAACGTTGTGAACAGCCGTGAATAATAGGTCGCACTGCTGCTCCACCAGCATCATCAGCTCCTCGAAGGAAGAAAGCAACCCTTCGAGGAGGTGATGATGCTGGTGGAAACAGCAAAAGTAGCCTTAGGCGAGCGAAAGGTAATCTTCTCAATCCCGTTTATTTAGTAGCCTTAACGCCAATCGAAGCAAGAGAGCAGACGCTGTCGGATACGTGGCTTTGCTGCACTGGACGAGCGCTGCACCAACGCGACTGCGACTTGCCTGCACCAGACGGGAAGCGAGCTCACCTATGTGAGCACACTTTGGCGCAAACATAGGGAACAAATCGGTGCTCTCGCCATCTCGTCTCCGTGTTTCGACTTGGTGATACAGGAAGCTGGCAAGCGAAAGTGCTTGCTTGTTACACGATCCCGGTTAGCGCTACAACCCTTAGTTCATCCCTGCCATGGGCATCCCTCTTGTATGGTTCTGGTATTTTTGGTATAACCTGAATTTGATCCTAAGGGTTCTCTTCTTGTTTTCCCTTAGGATCAAATTCAGGCTATACCAAAAATACCAGAACCATTCACCTCTCTCTCAGATAATTCGCTTGTATAGGTAGAGGTACACGTAAGAAAGGGGAGTCCCGGTAATAAAGATGAGTTATGATATTACAGATTCAACCTTAACCCGTTGTCGAGCCAGAAGATGCTGCTGCTTGCTTGGTCGGAGGAGGTTCACTGCCACCCCCAGTACCGCTTTTGCTTGCCATACTCGGAAGAGCTTTGGCTTTTGCTGCCAAAGCTGTTTTCGCGGACACCGTGGTAGGCCCAGCACCTCCTGACGAAGCACTTTTCGCGGACGTTGCGGACACCGTGGTGGCCCCAGCACCTCCTGACGAAGCACTTTTCGCGGACGTTGCGGACACCGTGGTGGCCCCAGCACCTCCTGACGAAGCACTTTTCGCGGACGTTGCGGACACCGTGGTGGCCCCAGCACCTCCTGACGAGACACTCGGACCACTAGCTCCATTTGAAGCTCCATCAGCATCTTCTACTTGTCTTCCTTGTCCTCGATGTGATTTTGTCGTCTCAGGAGGAAGCAACCCGCTCGACTTCAGCGCCGCCGCGATGTGCATACACTGCAAAGAATGCAGCGCGAGTGGGTCGAGATCCAGGAGATAGGCGATGGTACAGGCATCTGGTTCCTCAGGATCAGAGGGATCTGGTTCTGCAATAAAGGCTGCGACCGCATCGGTTAGCCATGCTGAAGACGGTGGTTGTTGCGGTGACAACGTTGGTTGTACTGTGCTCTCTCATATTTATTGATTCTGATGCTAATGCGGTCTTATCTACTATGGCTATGCTCCTTCTGGAAAACGTTGAGTTAAATTTGAATTTCATTGAATATAGCTATCGTCCTCTACGGCCTTCGTCCTGCTCCTGGTGCTTCCTTTAGCTTTAACAGGTTCAGATGAAATGTAGCTGATGATGATATACCCAGTAGATTATTGTCTACGGGTGTGATTATTGTCTACGGGTGTGATTATTGTCTACGGGTGTGATCATCTCAGGTACCACCAGTTCAGAGTTTAGAAATACACAGGCTTCCACATTCGGACAAAAGTGCTGTTATCTTCTCACTTCGTTTTTCGTTAAGAAAATTATGCGGATCCGCCAGTGCTCCTTTTGCCTTTGCTGCAGGCGCCTTAGCTTTCGGCGCCATGATGGTCTAAAAATGTCTTTATTTCTAACTCTAAGGTCCCTGATGATGATGATGATGATTGTACCTATTCTAGAGGTGTTTGTGTATGGCTTTTGTTAGCCTTTGCATTTCAACATGTGAGCCAAATCAGTATTGGCACGGCACGTAGGAACTGAGAAGAGAAGATAGGTCGCTACGTGATGATGAAGGAAGTTGAGTCGTTCCTTGGATTATAATAGGAACACTGTAACATAGCCTGCATCACTACTATGGTGGAAAACGACCAAACCATGCAAGATCTTGTAGGTAATTGCGTGGGTTGTGGTCAGGATGAAGTTCTTCGTGCCGTAGATAAAAAAAGTCCTAGTGCTAAACGCCCTATGAGGGCGAGGAATATTTCACTACTTACAGACGGCGCTACCATGAGACAGCTCTCGACATTTTTAGTTACCCACCTCCGGACGACAAGAGGAAACAGAAAAGAAACTATCACGACCACTCAGCAACAGGACAGACCTCAGAATGGCGACAGCATTAGGCTTACAGTTGCAAAGTTAACAGGAACAAGTCAAATACAGACTCTTCTAGCTGGTACACCGACAAAATCCATGTCCTCGCTAAAATGCCAAAGTATTTTTTAGGACAGACACACGTATGTCACCGTAGGTGGTACTTTTGTCAGTTTCATCCTGGAAGTGCCACTCCGACTACATGATTCGGGCCTAATAAAACGACCTCAACAAGACACGATAGAGCGACATCCACTAAGGTCTGCTTAGCCTTAGCACAATAGCCGCTGTCGTTAGTTTTCGTTGCATCAATTTTTTTAGTATGTAATTCATGATTTTGGTGATTCTTCACTATTTTTTGTATGCGAAATGAACGGCGAAATGATTAGGTTTTTTTGCCATCCACAGATAGCGAGGACGCGAAATGCAAGTGCATTGACTTCACGACTCAAGGCAGGATATGCCTTTTCGAGGCAGCTAGAAGTAGTGATAAGCCGCCAACTACATTGTGGATGATTGAACACGTTTATGTTGTTTTTGAATAGTAGCATAAAAATTAGATCATCTAGGAGAAACTTGATAGTCAGCATTTATGTTATGCGCGTGCTGAGTCTCAATGTAGCTGTAATGGTTCACGCTGTAGCTGTTTTCTGGGTGCGCCGGTAGCTTGTCTTACATCATAAGAAATTCTACTAGCTTGTTTGCGCTTTTTCAAGAAATACAACTCACTGGTGGCGACATCATCGATCAAAAAGTCGTATAAGTACTGATCCTCTTCTTCAACTTCTTCATCTTCAAGAAGCTTTTCTTCCAGCACAATATTCGAATGTAAGTCATCCAGAAACCATTCAAAGCTGTGATGTATAAGAGGACGTTGTTCATGAGGAGCCACAAGAGACATCATTGAGATTGACATTTCAAAATGTTAGAAATGTTTTTTTGAGATGCCATGGGGTGGGGTGAACTTACGCACAACAAAATGATATTAATTGCAACAGAATTATTTTTGATGATTACGTTTGCGTTTTTTAGGTTTACTTCCGTGTGCGAAGAGAAAGACTAACTTTGAAATACTTAATACAGTAAGAAATCATCACGACAGTTATTCAACAAGAAGTTGTGACATTGCGTTGACGGTATGAGAAGTAGATGTTGTGAACATGTTAATATGCAGCCACGCATTTTTTACCGCTACAAGTTATCTATTGCGAAGCTCCTTGTTCTTTCCTGCACTTAGGAAAAGGTTAGTTCTTTCGTATTGCAACATAGTAACGATTTTCAAGGCTGGAAAATGGGCTTGAAGTTTATGTATCTATGAAGATATATAATCCATATGGTTACGGATTTTTTAGGAACGGAAGTGGTCCCGCAAAGGGTCACTGATTTTCCTATTAGCACAATGGTTCACGCTTGTTGCATCCCATACTGGTCTTGTTTTCAACTATATCATGCTGATGATACCTGACGCTTGTCATAAATACTTGTAGAGTTCGTCGTTAAATACTCCAAGGAGAGGAGATAACCTGTACCTGCCAGACATAGCTACCTAACAATCGGTCATGTTATAAACTGGTGTTAAAAAAATGTAGTCGTAGTAAAGTAGGTGCCCACTCCTGAAGATGATGCAGCTCGTAGATTGGCTCATCATGCGCAACAAACTTGTTGTGAACAACGAGAGTGAACCAATCGCAATGAACCAAACTTGTTGTGAACCCCACACAAGACACACGTCGCAGAACCAAGGTGGGTAGGAATTCAGGGATTGATTACTTAGCACGCGCGGACGCGACGTGAGGCCTGCGTGCGGACACTACATTTTCATTTTTTTCTTGTTGAAGGTAGAGGATGGAAAAACATTATAACTGTAAAGATGTAGAAAATAACATACCCATACAAGAACTAGCTCATGTAAAAAAAGACTACGCAATATGAGATGAAGTTCGCAATTTTTAACCCCTTTTCAACGACCTTATGTCTACTAGTCTAATTTCGTGTGTTGAGTAGAGATCTTTCTGCTGAAAGACTGTATCATTGGTCAATATTATAGCTCCGTCTGGAACGGTTGCGTTTCTTCCGTTCAAGACCAACCGCCCGGGGCGAAGTTGCCGTTGCTCGGGAATGGCGCCATGTTCTCCTTGATTCCGCCCTTGCCTCCCGGAAACGGAGCCGGTTCTGTATTTTTAGATTAAGAGTTGGGAACGCGAATGCGGACTTTGAACATAGAAACCAACATACACTCAGTTGTTTTACTTAGATGAAACCAACGTACATCACTCAGTTGTGAGTAAATTAAATACTTCACCTTTTTACTACTTTGGTAACGCCAGATGTTTTTGAACACTAGAAGTAGAAGTCAAACTCCTTGTAGTAGTACTGAATGTGTCTCCCTTTCCTCCGAAGTTTGATCCGCCAAACTTTCCTTTGCCGCCGAAGCCGCCGCCACCCTTCTTGCCACCGCCTCCACCACGTCGGTTGCCCTTATCGGCGTCACGCGCATAGCTGATCTGTTCGCGCAACCACGGAGCTTCCAGGTCTGGGTTGAGGCCTTGGTCAGTGAGGGTCTGCAGCAAGTCAGCAGCGATGTTGCAATCCGGTTCTTCAGATCCGTGTGTCGCGAAAAAGCTCACAGCAATGCCTCGGTTTCCGACGCGACCAGTACGACCGATACGATGAATCTGTTCATTTATTTGTACAGTTGGATGAAGAAGAGCCACCTGTACTAGATGATACTTTGTGTAGTTCTTGGGGGAATTATTCCTTTGCAGCAGAGCTAAAAAAACTCATTGTTCTCTGCATTACACTAATTGTATTTGCTTCTGGCAAGAAGAACCTGGCAACTACACCCTAACATGAAAGGGGATGAGTCAATATCTAGAACGACCGTAGTATTCCAGTGTAGCAAGAATAGGCTGGGTCTAGTATCTTCATCTGTACTAAGGGTTTTCACAAGAATATCATTCTCGATGGAGGTACAAATACTTACATAACGGCACTTGAAGGGGACGATCATAAGGTCAACAGTGGCTGTAGCATGAAAATCCTAGAAAGTCAGTAACATCAAATTTCAAGCAAGAGTTGTACGTATCCATCAATCTGTTTTGGCATGTCGTAGTTGATGACCTTGGCGACTTTCGGAATATCGAGACCTCTAGCCGCGACCTCCGTTGCGACCAGGACTGGCTTTCTTCCAGACTTGAAGTTGGCCAACGCATCCTCTCGCTCGTTCTGGTTCAAGTCACCTAGTAGAGAGGGAGTGGGAATTAAAGTAGTTATGATAGTTTCTACTAAAAAGAAGTAGAAAGGAAATGGTTATAATCGATAAACTGAAGTACAAGTAAGCGAGTAACTACTTAGAATGGCCGAGCTATGCTACAACGGCGTCGTGACTCTTTTATTTCCGTTAGCTACTCGCATATTTTCAGTTTTCGAATAGTTTGATGTAGTTGTTATCGGAGTTTGTAAGTGGGTGGATAATGCCGCCTATATTGGGTAGGTCACGAATCGCATTCCACCTGATGCGTTCTTCTGTATAGGAGTCTCATTTAAATTCTACCATGAATGGCTGTCGCACGACATTCGCCTGATTCGTGGAGAGTGTGGACGATGCTGGCCGCTTTCTTCTTTGTGTTTACGAAGACGAGCACTTTGTCGGTTCCGTTTTCGCAGCGAGCGATCTCGTTGTACATCTCCTCTTGCTTCTTCTCTTCGCTTTCGACAGCGATCCTTAGAGCCATTTAGCCTCAGAGTTGTCATTGATCCACTTTCGCGACATGCTAGCTCATCCCGTAATAAAAACTACTTACTACAGTGTACGTGAAAAACGCACAACTGCTTACTTAATCAGGTAGAGATCATAGTGAACAATTATGGTTACTTTAACTTCTACAGGTACAATGTACGTGAAGAACGCACAACTCCTTAATCAAGTAGAGATCATATGAACAATTATGGTTACTTTAACTTCTACAGGTACAGTGTACGTGAAAAACGCACAACTACTTAATCAAGTAGAGATCATATGAACAATTATGGTTACTTTAACTTCTACAGGTACAGTGTACGTGAAAAACGCACAAGAACTGTACTTAGTGATCAAGTATTACTTTAAACGCACAAGAACTACTTAATCAAGTAGAGATCATAGTGGATTATGTTTACTTTAAGTCTTAGGATAAAGTGCTGCTCAACCGTCTCTGCCGCTGCGCCCACACGTCCGATCGTCACGTCGATCTTGTCTGGTTTCATGTATCGAGCCCCCAAGATACGAATTTGAGATTCGAACGTAGCCGAAAAAAGAAGCGTTTGTCTGTCGTGAAGGAAGAGGAAAGTGTGGTTTCTTTTTGAAAGTGTCATTTCTTTTTGAAAGTGTGGTTTCTTTTTGTTGAGGAGATGATGTTCTTGTGGAGATCATGTCATATTAAGGAAGATTATAGTGAACGTCTAAAAACAACAACAAGAGAAGGTGAGCCGTCTAGTTATCATAGATACGAGTGATCCGTCCACTGATCCTCAAATGAGGAGATTATAGGTAGTTGTAGCTCATCTTCTTAGGCGCCATAAGTATTACAAGATGTGTGTACTGAGACTTATATGTACTATGTATTTACTTAGCAGTCTACAATACAGTCGTACCTCATTTCCTTCGGAGGCAAGAATGAGCGAAAATTTAAGGTCAAGTAGTACCTCATCTCTTTCGGAGGCATGCCTCGACCATGCACAATTTCTTTGATCTGCGGCTCAAAACCCATATCGAGCATGCGATCAGCCTCATCCAGCACCAGCTTCATGCACTGGGTCATCTGGATAATGCCACGGTCCACGAAGTCGTTGAGCCGACCTGGAGTCGCGATGCAACCGGGTTAGAAGAGAATATGAGATCATCTTCGTCCATCGTGGTAGTGATTCTACTTGTTGAGATTGATACATATTTCTAATGGAGGTGGTGCGTATTTCTAGTAGTGGCACGAAGTACATTGAAATTTAATATGTTGACGAGTACGAAGTTGTACATTGAAATTAAGTATGTTGAAGTTGAGACAGAGGTACTACCTAGTAATGCACGAAACAAAGCTGATCGTCCTTCTCAAAAAAAGGAAACAAGCCTTAAATATCGCATCCTCTTGCAAAGTCGCGGATCTGCGGTTTCGCATCCACGCCTCCGTAGCACTGATTGACGCGGATGCTCTGCCCAAAGCACAGTTTGCGTGCCTCGTTGAAGGTCTGAGAGCACAATTCGCGAGTCGGCGCCAGAATCAAAGCTCTGGGAGCAGCAGGTCCTTCCCAGCTCTTACCCAGGGCAAAGCACCGAAGGTTTTCGTTTCCGAACATGGCAACGATCGGGATCAAAAACGCGCACGTTTTTCCGCTACCGGTTTGGGCACACGCCATTGCGTCGCGTTCCATCATACCGACTGGAATCATCCACTTCTGCACCGGCGTCGGCGCACGGTACCTGAAATACAAGTCAGAGTATTCATTTGATGTCTCCTGTGGTGGACGCAAGAAAGTGTGCGTGTAAGTAGTCGGTGATCGTGATACGAAAATATTATGTTAAAAATATTAATCTTGCGCAGCAGAACTTGTTGTTCGGCAAGTCTATCAAAGACAAGCTAAGAAAAAATTATTATTGTAAATAATAGAATTGCCAAGTAGAATGTGGAGGTGAATCGATAGTACTTGCATCGTTGGCTGAGGTTGATCGACAGAAAGTCCGGAAATTGATGGATTCTTGCCATATCGTTGAAGGAAACTGCGCCGGCGGCCATGGCTTCGACCTGTTCTCTGCCTACTCCCTGGATGTCGACTTCCAGGTTGTCATAATTGCTGAAGTCTACACCTGTTTCTCCCGTGACGCCGGCAAACTTAGACCTTCTTGCATGATACCTATTTTTACTTTACTCGTCTGGAAAGTCTCATGAACTTTGGCGTGTTTTCCCATTGAAAACTACATGCCAAACCCGAAGATTTGATGTTAGCATCGGCAAATTAGACTAATATTACGGCAAGCCTTAACGAAAACTTCGTTCTCGTCCAAGTAATCAATCGTCGGAGGGGCGCCCGCACTCTGATGCTGCAGCTGCTGGAAGTATTCGACCTCGCGCTGATTTTTGTTCTCTTTCATCTGGGCATGGTCCTTCTTGCCGCTCTTGCCGCCTTTGCCACCCTTGCCGCCGCCGATTATTAGAAGAGGAGGTGCAAAAGAGTAAGGTGAGGTTAGTAGGGCTCCTGTATAATTTACAGGACTTCTACTAGACCAGGTGAGTTTCGGGATCCTTCCGATCGAGTGCCCCCGTGTACATGACTCGACTCCAAGGCTGATGGACGACTTGAGTACTACTAAAGTGAACAAGGCCAGCGAGGCTGTGACTTGAGTAAAGTCACTCGTCTCGTTGCCAAAACGAACGTCTTCTAGGCAAAAGAAATCTATACACGTTCGGAGTTTCATAACTTTCCTTTTCCGCCTTTTCCACCGAATCCGCCTTTTCCTTTGCCTCCACCGAATCCGCCTCCGAAGCCGCCTTTGTTCCCAAAGCCCTTGTCTTGCTCCATGAAGCCACCGGATTGGTCAAAACCACCATTGAACCCGCCGAAGCCCTGCTGATCGAAGCCACCACCAAACATCTTTTAACTTTTCTTGAGTAATAAAACTGAAATATTAACAGGTAGAAACAAAGATGAAATCGTTATGAATTATTCTTCGTCACCTCTTTGATGTTATCTTCTAGAAGATTCTAGCAACAGGAATCAGACGACAACAAGATAGATGTTGTATGTTACAATCACAGAATGATGAACGCAATACTTCAACCCGGCTGACTTTGGAAACAATAGGAATTTGATGTCAAGATGCTACACAGAACGATTCGTGGTTTTGCGGAAACGGAAAGGAGATGATTCGTGGTTTTGCTTTAGTACTACCACGTCAGGGCAGAATAACATTTATTATAGCAAGTAAGAGAGAAGGATAAAGATACCAAAGCAGACTGTAGTGATACTTTTACCAAAGCAAATAGCACCAAAGGCAGCAATCTTATGTCAAGAGGAGATTGATTCTTCTTTAAGAAAGTCTTATCGCTGTCCCCTGTTGCAGAGTTGGCCGTTGTAGACAATATCCCATTGTAGTGGATACCTATTGGGTAAAGTCCATCGTATAATAAGCTTTGAAGCGGAGAGAACTGTGCTTGAAGTGAGTAAGTAGTTGATGGACCATGGCACGAGCGTTTGATTTTTCCAAATTCAGATACTTCTCGGATTCTGTGACATCGACAGCAGAGCATGCACACAAGACGAGACTCATCAACATCACAGAGAGTTGTAGTAGACCAATCACAGGTTCTTGAGTCGCGTTTTACTTTCTTCATCACAAGAACAAGAGGTTGAGGATGCGGCGGGAGATCGTTACTCCATCTTTGTTGGATCGTGCTGTTCTCTACTTCTCAACCAACACGGCAAAATAGTTAGACTCATCCCGTAGTTGTTCCTGATGACGGTTTACGTGATTCCTGAAGATTTGAAATGTGGACAGCATATTTTGGGTAACGAAGTGCGATCATCATCTTTACTTTTGCCTTGAGCTTGGATCTGGATCGGCATTTGCTTCTGCGGTAGAATCATCATTCTTGCTATGCCAAACTTGTTCGAACACACATGATGGAGATTCTTGCACTTCTACTTAAGCACGACCACGACCGAGCCATACTTCAAGAATCGTTCGATCTTCGTCTCTATTTTGACCGCAGGATTATCACTCCCGCGAATTGTCGCTAACAAACTGTCGTCTAAACTGTGAAGAAGATACGTTCATTGTGAGGGTCAAAGCTTCTTCATCTCCTAGATATAAATCTGTAATTTCTCACGTCTTCACGAAATACCACACCCAGTCGCTGTCGGCATTTATTATCTGGCCTGCTTTGCAATTCTGGTGCACGAAATCCAGAACGGCCTTCGTCACCTCTGGATTGTTACCGAAATCGTGACCGCCTACTACCCCACCCTTTCGTACCTTAGGATACCACAATCGTATGTCTTCTAACGTGGAGTCGTATCTATGATCGGCATCGATGAAAACGAGGTCCACAGATTCATCTTCGAATTGATCTACTGCATCTCTACTTTGCTTCTCGATCAGGCGGGCTCGGTTCCCGTAAAAGCCAATCTTCTGCCGTGCGCCGTCGCGTGCTTCCAGCATGCCCTTTGCGAAATCGAACTTCGCCTTCCGAGCAGCAGTAGTATCTTCTGAAGAAGAGGATGAGGACGATGTTGAATCTTCGGCCTGATCATCTTTCGCTTTCCTGTCAACTACATTCTCGCCTGCTCTATTTCTGCTCCTTTCCTCTTCCCGACTAGCACCACTATCGTCTCCTTCAACTTCTAAAGCCTTTTCTTCAAGTTTATCTGTGAAGAGTCCTTGAAATTCGAAGTCGCCTGTTTCGAAGAAGTACGGGTCAACCCCGTGGTATTCGACGAAAGCACACGTGTTTAGCACAGAGTAAGCCAAACGACCTTGAAAGACACCAACCTCCACGAACCGCAAGCTTGTTCCCTGGACTTGGGCACTATTGAGGCCATGCTCTAAACTATCTGGTACGTCGATGCTGATGCCGTTGCTCGGAAACTCTTTTTCGTTGAGGTACTGATACCGACTTGCGTTGAGCGGATGCGTGTTGATTACAGAATCGGAATCTCCACTACTTCCCGTTGCTGCTATCCTGTCGCGCCACATCGAGAGCAAGAGGTCAGTGACGACTTTCACGCGATAGAAGCGACTGACGGTGTCCTCAAACCGGATGCGACTGCACGCGTCCATAAAGGTGTATGAAGAAGTAGATTGTAGAGGAAGATCTAGATGACCTTCTCATCGAAGGTCTAGAGGAGGACTTGTTTTTCTTATAGACACGACAGGATAGACATATGATTGGACAAAGTAGAAATGTGCGAATGTAGACATAGACGTATCTATAAGCTCCTTTTAGTAAAAACAGCCATAGACGTATAAGCTCCTTAGACACAGGATAAAAGCGACTGACGGTTTCCTCAAACCCATAAAGGTGTATGAAAGTGGGATCATAACCCTACAAGCTCCTTAGTAAGTATACTAGAAATAATTCATTGGTAAAAACTACAGCCATAAATCCCAATGACAGCCGACGTTGAGAAAGTTGAACTGCCACTGGAAAAGCCTACGAAAGTGAACTACGCTTTCTACCAGCCGCAGCATTTCTGGTGCCAGTAAGCCGTTCGCGTGATTCTTCACATCTGGTGAGAAGGTCCCGTAAGTGTCGGTAAACGCTCTGATGTTGGGCATAGCGAAATTCTCCACCAACTCGCGCATTCGGGTCGCCACACGGATGGTATTCACCGCACTGAGGCCAGCACCACCACTAGCGGGAGAACCAGCTTGCTCGACTGAAGCTCCAGTTTTGAAACGGGTGTCTTTGTTGTTCTGAATAGCAATAGCTAGTACTACAACATGGAAGTTGGGTTATAGATCCACTAAAACTATGTACATATTAGCGAGTATCTCGATCTAGAAAATTGGAAACACTTATTACTACTATTTTTTAGTGATCTTGTTCTCCATGTCTATAGCTTTCGAATTTGTCTGTACCAGCTCTTCTACTACACTTATCATGACATTACTTGGTACAGTAGTACCATGAATGGTGGAGATACGGAAGTCATAAACGCAATGGTACCATCTTCACTATCACTAGAGATGATCATGACATTACTTAGTACTATCTTCACTAGTAGATGAGAGGTTCCTCGACAGATGCCATACCTTCCCCCAGCACTGGTGAGCATCAGGTGCAAATGGTCGGCGAAGAACCGTGGAAGCTCTAAGAGTACATTTTTCGCAGGATTTTCGCCTGTTGTCCGCTCGTACCCACATAAGAGGTTCACTGCCAAGCAGCTGAGAAGCGTACACGACACTACAGTGTTAGAGCTCACACCAATCGTCCATCTTGAGACGTTTCTTTCCCGTGAAAACGTCTCTCCCAGGATGCCTTCTCCTCTCTTGAGTAGACGTTTTTCCCATTGACGACGACGCTCCTGAGATGACCCTTGAAGACCGTCTTGGGAACATTACGTTCCCAAGTAGATGATGCTTCCAAAGATGTGGACCGCTAGCAGGGGAAGCCTTAACAGTGGCTGCGTCAAACGCAACTTGCAGTTTAGGCCACATGCAGTCCTGGGAGTCGAAGAAAAAGACGTCAACTAGTTCTGCATGCAGATCTGGGCAGAGTTGACAGCCACGATAGAGGTTCAAGGGCGTTGGATCCACCAAGCCAAACGGCACCACATCGTCGCTACCGTTTGGGACTACCATTCCGAACGTCGTTTGCTGGGATTCGTGTGCAAGACGAGGTGTGAAGATTTCGTTTACTTTCGTGTGCAAGACGAGGTGTGAAGATTTCCTTTAGTACTTTCTGAAAGTACCAATACCAAATTAACGTAGATACCACTCGCCACGATGGTGATACTAACCGCTCAAAGGAGCTGAACGTATAGCAACCTCTTTTGTAGACAGGATGTTGAGACAGAGGAGGACATTCTGAGTGAGTGAATGAATGAATGAATGTAAACAGCACTCCAGGGGTACAAAAGACCACTACAACACCACTACTTCCGTCTACAGCGCGCCTCATGAGATCTCATGATCTCAATCCTCCACTTTGCACGAGGAGCCATTAATGACATGCTCTCGCCTAGATGAACTAGAAGATGGTTGTCAGCTCTCGCTCATTTGAAACTACTTCTGATCTATACAAAGTGGACCTAGATTAGCGCTTCTGTGCTCTCTCATTGGTTCCATCTAAAACGAGGACTCGCTTATCGGCTGATCATGCTCTAGCTCCGGCATCCAGGGCCTACGGCGGCTGAGTATGGCACAGGCCACCTCGACTTTCCTCTCCAAGTCCAATCCCGATCCGCTTCTTGGACCTGGAGCTGCAGCTTGACTGTAATGAAGTCATCTTTCGGCCTATGTTGATTTTGTGAATCTGAATGTGCTTTGCTGAAAAATATTTTTTTTTTCAAATTGTTGTGCATCAATAAATTTCGAAGAATGTGTAATGGTATCTAATCTTCTATTAAAGCGAAACATGTTCATGTTGATGTTTGTTGTTGTTCGCTGACATAGGTTTCGGTCGTGTAGTATCCAATAATAAGTGCGTAGTTAGTTGTGGTGTAAGAACAGATGGAGATGTAGATGAATCATATCGAGGATCTTGTAGTAAGCACTTGCACGTGCTACAACATCTAGCCTCCCGACTATAGCTCTTGTGTTGTACTATTATGTGTTTCGATTTGAATTTCGCAGACGTCAGAGTCATCAAATATTATTACAGCGTCACGACATCTGTTCGGTACTCAAACTCTAGGAGATTCAACCTCTTGGAGTCTTCTAAGATTGTGTGATTGGAACTTAATATAATGCGGATCTAGTAATTAATTCTAAGTGCAGGTAATATGACTAAAAGTAGATCATGCACGACTCTTCACGTTCACACTCAGTCGGTGGAGCCGGAAGGTCCTTTACTGCATCTCAGGCTCGTCTTGTTCCTCGATCTCCTCTTCATTTTCTTCACTTGATGTTTTGCATAGAAGTTGCTGTATTAACTTCTCGACATTCGCCGGTACCCGGTGGTGGGAGCACATCGCACGCAATCCGGAAGCTTGTCCGAATGTACAGCCAAGTGGATTGGTTAGAGCCTTTTTGCGTACGCTTCAATAAGGAAGGTGGTCGTGAGTCATTCTATGAGGCGACTGGTCTACTTTATCGTTGATGATGATGTTAGTCGATTCGGGTTGGACCTACGACTTCCCTGAATCTCTTCGCTGAAGGGTTCCGGTATTTGGTAACCTGAATTGGATCATAAGGGAAAACAAGAAGAGAACCCTTATGATCAAATTCAGGTTACCAAATGCCAGAACCATACATTCTCTGCTTTATCTTTATCATCCATCTCCATGTATCTATGTATAAGCAACGATGAGCGACTTATTCTTATCATCGAGCACTTTATAGGGGTGCCAGATCCGGGATGGGATGGATCGGATGGACTTTCACCATTTCAAGTAGGATCGGAAGAATCAGGGGGGTCCATCCGATCCATCCAAGGCCATCCTACACCCGTTCTATAAACTACTCTATTATCATTTTTTGCAACATAAATCCAACACCTCCCAGTCGAGCAATTCGCTCCGAAACTCCAGGAGTGTCTTTTCTGTCAAAGCGGCTTCGTGTCGTAGTCTCCGGAATTCTTGTCTGCGGAAACTAATGGCCGTTTGCATCATCTGTGGCACTCTCATCTTTGAGTCGTCCAGCGAAGGACGGCACATGCTATGCACCAAATCTTTCAAGCGTCAATATGAAGGTGAAGGAAAGATGAAGATACTGGATTGCGATTCTTGGGGCGATTTTCGGGTTCTTCCTAATATTCTATGCTGCTGAAGAAGGGAGCAGCTAGTAGTAATGTGTGTATGTTGGACTAGACGGTGATTAATCAAAGATTTACACTAGCTGTAGCTCCGTACTAGAGCAAAGATAATGATGGGATCGTTTGCTGTATTCTATGCCGAAGAGAGCTAGTTTTTTTTCGAAAAAAGAACTACCCAACAACCGCCAAATAATGAAATAACGATCCGCCAACCAGAGGCCATAAAGAGCGCGCGACCGTGACCATCTTTGTAGCTTTATGGTGATTTTCGTTCAACCCTGCAAACGATTCAGATGCGCGACGCAGGTTCCTTCTAACTTCTACTTGTCGAAGTTGTGGCAGAATGTTCTTCTTCTTTTTGACGTGCGATGGACAGCACTCATTTCTTGTTGATGAAGTCGGCCGATGCTCCTGTCCCTGTTGCTCTCGTCTGCTGTTGCTCTCTTCTCCGCTGTTGCTCATCAACAACAAGTTCTTCTTACTCTTAGATGATAGTAGATTCTTCAATAGAAACCGAGTCTTTTCCTCTGCTTCGTTCGGACGTGGAGCCAGCGAATGCGGAGGCGTATAAAACTCTGGTATCCGTAGTGCTGCCACGCCAGCGAATACGCTAGTCCGCTGGACTGGTACCACGCCATCGTCATGCTCGACGAATGTATTATATGTAACGTTAGAGACCACTACTCCAAGTCTTCTTGTTCTACAGAAGGAAAAATCCTTTGTAACAGATGGAAGCGGAAGCGGATTACTACGTACTTATAATTCCCAAATAAAGGAATGCGAATGTTTAATGTGCTTCTGCAAATAGATAGAAGCAATAAATTGACTTTTTGAGTTTGAGACTGAGAGTATCATTGTGTGCCTGCTCATAAGAAAGCGTTCTTGTTGGTCGCTCTCCTCTTTCACAGAACTTGGATTTGGATACATGGAAGTGATGCGATCGACGACTGCATTGTGTTTTCCGAGGAAGGTGCGCTCCATATTCCGTAGAAAATCGGTCTCATCCTGAAATTGTTCCTGTCGCGGTTCAACATTGCTAGTATTCTCATGGAGGCTACAAAGCCGTGTTGTTGGATGCTGAAATTGTTCCTGTCTCTGCTGGACGATTTGAGGACTTCCCAGAAGAGGTGACGTCAGCTTTACCGCTGTAGACTTACGAAAAAATAGACTGAAAACGATATGGAGAAATAAAACGGAACTGGAACCGAGGAAGGGTTTCGAAATATGCGTTCTGGAAGATCTGGCTGGAGACAAAGGACGGCGCCTTATGCAGCTCATCTTCATCTTCTTCTTCACTGGACGAGGTGGTACATGATTAGCAGAAGCGGTGCCGAGTAGCCAAGGGTAAAACAGCAAGACAAGAGTGAGGACGGTGGAAAGACATGTAGTAAGTGGCTATCACGTGGAGGAGATTTTCAGGCGTTGTGGAGGCACTCTGGATGAGAGCGGTGGAAAAACGAGGAGGTACTGAACTAGGCAAGTAGTGCGACATCGATTCTCCTTGGATGATCTGTTAACTCCAAACTTTTAGCAACTCCCTTTTGTCTGTGTCTGTCAGTCGCTCCAATGAATTCACATCACCAAATCTCTACTGTGTCGATCTTGTGCAAGATGAACGGATGTTACTCGGAATTTTTCGGAATGATCCTCTTGGACTACATTTTTAAAATTGCAGGTTTCACTAAATCCATATCCAAAATTATAGACCGAATGGATGTTGGTAACAAGGTTGGTAACGACTACGACAGAAGTAAAAAGCTTCCTTAAAATTCAAAAAGTCAAGATTCGCGTCTCAATTGAAATGTGTACATTGATTGACGTGTGGGTGTGCGACTGAAAAATACCATACTTGTAAACATGTCGATCGATGCGACTGACACAGACCGTGTTTCTGTTAGATGATACGGTCAACGGACACGTATCGCACATAGACGGCTGCGGCAAAAATTTTGTACAGTGCGCATACTAGAACGCCAACGGCCATGTTTTTGCCCAGGCGGACACCGAGAATGCCTGGGATAGCTGCAACCGCGTTTGAGCAAGCGAAGAGCGCCCCCGCATGTTCTCGTCCGGCCAGATCTAGCGGCGCCGCTGTTACACTAGATCCGGCTGCCGCGCCCGAAGCGATCGTCAACGTGAAACAGAGTGTCTTCAAAATCGGTAGGTCGTCGCCACATGCCAAAGCGAGGAGTAAGCCGATGGCCGGCGTAAAAATGCCAACAAACCCTACTTGTTTGCGAACGCCGAGCAGCGGTTTCTTCGCTTCGATTAGAGGTAGGTTTTTGGTGCTCGCTTACCCCGCTTGTTATGCCTTTCTCCCTTAGGAGAGGCATAAAAAGCGGTAAGAAAAGCACCTTTAGCCTACCCTTAATTCGAGTTGCCTTCTTGCGTACTCGGGCCACAGCGGCGATGCGATCATGGATATGAGGAACGGAAAACCAGTGTAAAAAGCATTGTCCTTCCCGAAAAACGTCGGCAACCAGGCCATCAGCATGAAGGCCATGAATGTATGCGAAAAGTGACCGCTCATCACAGCTAAGTAGGTCTTCGTGAAAATGACGCGCAGGATCACGAGTCTCGGATCTACGTTGGCCAGTGCCGTGACAGTGCGGGGCAGATTCTCGACAATACTGCCTTCTTGCCACGCATTGCGCAAAATCGTCAATATTCGCTCAAACTTTGACGATGTAGTCGACGAAGAGGTGCTGGAGTATAGACTTAGGTTGTCGCTAGAGGGAGAAGTGGTGGTGAACGGGCGTCCTCCAAGAACGGTCTTACTTGTGAAGATCTTGCCACTGCTGCCTTTCTTTGTTGTAGTGCTAGCAGCATTCGTGTGCATTACTAGTGTGGTGGAATCGTTAATATTGGAAGAAAACGTTCCGTCATCGTCTTCCCCATCTGCTCCGTCGACGTCGGTATGCTTGCCGAGTTGTTGTACCAATTGTAAAGTTGGTTCTCTACGTGTAAAGTCGTCGTCTGTAAAATCGTCGTCTTCCTGCTCTTTAATATTGCTTTGATTTCGAGATGATTTTCGACCTAAATGAAGAACCGCACCCAACGGCTGCTGCTCCTCACAAAGATTGCCCACGACCAAGGGACCCGACGACGTTGATGTTGAGAGCTGTGACACTAGAGGAGGTCCACTAAGGGTCCCCGAATCCTGCTTCTCTTGCTCATCCTCCAGGCCAAATTCAACTTCTTCATGCTGAGTTGGAGAAGGATCTGCATCGACGCTGTCAAGCATGCGCGAGTATGCGATAACACTGTATGACACAAAAAAAAGTACTAGCTCTAGAAATTTGTAAATTCGATAGATGCCACAACTAGGCGAGTGCCCTGAGTTGCGGCAAGCTAATGGCGCCTTTCAAGGGGCCGCAGCTCTTTGGAATGCCTCGCGCGTTTTTGGCGCCTGATAGGACTAGTACTTTCTTTTATTTCATACACTGTGATGTTTTGCTAGTCCGCACGCGACCAGAATAGAGCCAAAAGACTCGATCACTTCAGCAAGTCTACCCAGTGGCTCTCCTGCGCATCCTCCTTCAGAGGTTGAGACCACATTAACATCCGCCATGTCGTTATCAGAAGTCTTGCCCTTTGCTGCGTGAATATCCTGGCTACAGCCATTCGTTGTACTCTCATCTTCCTGGTCGCTGCTATTTCCTATTGGTGCTGCGGCTACCTTTGATGTTCTTAGAGTCTACCAACAACAACGTTTTTCAGGGCCGAAGGAAAAAACTGTGGAAGCAGGGGCAAAGAAGGTGGTCAACAATCTGCTTCAATGTATCAAAATCAACATCAGGAGATAATAATATATCACCTTCGCCCTCCCACTGTCTCTCATATAAACTATTCTGATATGATCTGAATCTGTACTTCTACTACTTCTACTTACTAGTACTAGTATCTCCAACATTGTGCATAATGATAGCGCTGCTTCCTCGTAAGTTCGTTTTCGATACTCTCCTCGATAGAGATACCACCCTCTGCCAAAAATAACCAGCCAAGGGACCGCCGTGAGAGCAGCCAACCAGGTTGTGGTGCGCCACTGCTCAACTACTTAGAGGAGCCGAAGGACAAACACTAATGATCAAAGAGACGAGTTTGAAGAAGATGAAGTGAGATCGCATTTTCCAAGGAGTACATCTACATGACACTACTCCTACTGAAGAATGATGCTTCAACCAGCGTTGCTTACTAGCATTCCCATACTACTAGTAATGAAGAATGACGCTTCAAAAAGCGTTGCTTACTAGCATTCTTACACTACTCCTGCTGAAGAATGACGCTTCAACAAGCGTTGCTTACCAGCATTTCCACCTCACACACGACACCCTGGGTCAGAGCATGATTATTGATAACGAACCTGTCTTAGTAATTTCTCCTTCGTAAAGTTGGCTTCCAACAAAGTTTACGGATGCAAGTGCGCCGTTCGCGGCACTCGCTAGTCTCCCAAGTCCTTCGGTTTTTCGCTTCGAGCTGCGACATTCCTGAGCGTAGAACGCGTAGCTAGCCGGAAGATAAAAGGCTTGCACCAGACCAGATAGTAGTCTCAGAGTATTAGAATGGGTCGCGTTTTCTCCTAGAAGCAAGCCCTGCCTTGTAGTTGTAAATGATTGCAGAATCTTCATGAAAATAGAGATACAACTGAAAAATGTTGATGATCACTTCGCTCGTTCCTCATCCTCGCTCTCGCATATTCCCATCATAAGATAATAAAGCAAAAGCTTTGGGTTATCTGCACCAAAAAAAACATTCGACGATGACAGTTGTGAAGACGTTCTTTTCGCACCCGCTTGGTCCCGTTCCACCTCCAGCAAAATATCCGTATCTCCACCATTCATCATTACTGGAGGTATCATTGCCATCAAGCATGTGCAAAAAGTGGACACTGCGATGGCAAGGAGGCACAACTTCGCGGCAAAATCGTGTCCCATATTTAAAGGTTGCCGAGTTTTTGCATTCTTCAGAAAATGATCCTTGAGTTACTTAGTTCTCCCCTTGAAAAGGAGCTAAGGATGGCAGTGAAGGACGCAATGTGGAAACCCTTAACATATTCGGTCGGTTCATCACGTACAAGGCCAGAGCGCCGGAGATCATGTAGCCGATGAAGAAACTGCTCAAAATTTGCGACTGGTCATCCTTTGAGAGCTGGAATTCCGTTGCGAGGCCCTTTACCATCAGCATTCCGATGACTGCCCGCTGCCAGTACAACGCTACGGCCCCCAAGCAAACGAAGAGCAGCGGGCAGTCGCTGGGGTGGAGAGCGATGAAACCGGAGGAGGGCCACATTTTTGTATATAATTTTTGTGTTTTCAGGAGTTTTCTGGTAATGAAGAATAAAGTTGAAGTAGCTACGAATTTTTGAAGATGGTGAGTGTGAGTGATATCTAAGTACTATCTAGGCGTGAGGAAGGCACCAGGCTACATCAGGTAGACAGTACTTCAACGGGTTGTGTCTCCATGGAAACAGTCTGATTTGAAGCAGACCACGAGCATCCGCTATTCTTTTTTTGCCACGTTCACGTAGTAGTACTGTATTTAAGATTTACCATGACTTGGGGCATGCTGTCCCAATTGAGCGGAAAGCCTCCAGTCGGTCTCACTGGAGGAAGTTTCCCCTCTTCCGACGCCTCCATTCACTCTTCCCCGCCCCCGACGGTCATACAATTGCGCTAGCGAAATGATTGACTCGGCGCGTTTTTACTAGGACTGAGTAGGGCCTGGTAGACCTAGACTGACAGTCTTCCGGTACAGCTACTTTCAACGGGGGCTTTTCCTTGATTACTAGGCTTGCATGATCACTATATATAACTACAAGGCCATGCTTTTTTCAACTTCGCGTACGGAAAAGACCGATTGTAGAGAGCTTCTCTCCATCGCTCTGACTCTCTTTTCCCTACCGTGACTCGTCCTCAGTTGATCATGATCTAGATCTCACTCTGAGTAACGCCTGCAGGATCACAGATGTTGAAGGCATCGCCAGTTTAGTTGGTTTTTCTCGGCTCATCCTAAACATTCTGACAATCACGTTACACGACCGATGCACACAACACACGCGTACCCAGGGTTTAAATTGCTAGAAGTGGTTTTCGTTGTAAGTAGTTGCTGTGCCAGGTGATGAAGATTGCTGTCGATCGAGGCTCTAAAACCTATAATCCATGTTCTTGTTCCGTGCGCCAATTATCGTGTTTGAGTTTGAAAGTAAGTAGCTGCATGAGCGAGTAGTTGTACTACTTACACATAGTAGGGTTAGAACGACTTTTTATTGGTGTTGTCAAGTCTTAGCCAATTTCTTCGCTACCTGCTGGTAGGATCGGCACACGCATCCAAGCTGGTCTATCGACCTGCTTCGCAGTCTCTTTATTCGGTGGACCACGTGGAGGCAACGGCGAGATCAAGAGTAAATTGCGTCGGTCGGCCGGCTGGTGTGCGGGAAGTTGATAGTGATTCTGATGTGGTGGGACATGAACAACTCCTTGCTGGACTTGCTGGTAAGGATGTTGTACTTCTACTTGCGCACAACTAGTACTATAATTCGTAGTTTGCTTCATACTATTCAGAAGATTTGGCGAGGATAGATTCATATTAAGCTTCTTTAGATTTGGCGTATAATTCAAGAGGCCTCCTTGGTTTGCAGGAGCATCAGCCAAATTACTGCTCGCTGAAGATGAAGATGATGTAGTTGTCGCCGCATTGGCAAATACTCCTCCACTTTCTCCTACGGCTGTTCCTTGTCCTTGCGTGACGACGGCTCGGCCGCTATTCGGCAGGGGACAGACAAGATTTTTGTGACCCGACGACGTAGGTATAATGCTTTGGCGAGATGTTGATGTACTTGTATTCAGTCCTGAAGCTGGATAACCAGAAATGGTAGGAGCAGCAGTCGTCCTTGCAGAAGATGCAGACGATGCTGGTACGAAGTACATCATTTCCCCTCCACCGGAAGCCTGCACAAAATCATGCTTTTTGTTCGATCGAAAGAGAGCTTCTGTGGCGCCAGCCGGCGATTGTGCATATGGGATTGGCGGGCGACGAGATTCATTTCCTTTTCCCCCGTTAGTGGTCCTAGCTGAAGCTGAAATCGCTGTACTATGGCTCGTCTCTCCTTCCTCCCGAAGATGGCAGTTTGTGGCCTCGTTTGACGTGATGAGATCGATACACTGCATTGATTCCTGCCGTTGATCGATGAGGCGGGGCTCCGGTGTTGCGAGGGATTGTTCCGTCTTCACAGAAAGATCACCTTCACCTCGTCTTACCATATTCGTCGACTGTTGTCCTCTGTCGCCCCCAAGCATGTCGGACCATTTGGGAGGTGTACTAACAGTAGCAGTTTCATCGAATCTGACCTTGGAATTGGAATTTTTAACTCCATTTTTACCATGATCTGGAAAAATCTCTTGCCGTCCAACATGTTCGTTTCTCCTTTCGACACTTTTTTCTGGAAAAAAGCCCATGTCAACCGGCTGCCTCGGCGGTGGCGGAATTCTGCTCTCCGAGGCACGATGACGTTCATGTACAACAATTCCGCGTCCGCCATCATGTTCATCGTTTTCGTCCCTTTCGTAAGGCGGTCGTCGCCGCGGAGGTGTTCCAGAGTCTGCTCGTCCCCGACTACCGACTCCATCCGACCATGCCATTTTTACTTTGCCATTGCATGTCGCTTGTACAGGAGTCAGATCTTCTTCTACTTGTCTTCTGCGTGCTGTCGTAGAAGTTGCCTTATTCGACGACGGGCGTGTGCCTGAACAGCTGATACTCCGTCTTTGATGCTCTCCTCTCTGGGAAGATGCGGGTAATGGCGTCCCAAGTGTGTCCCTCTGTTTCTGACCGTGACCTCCACCTCCTGATGAAGCAAATAACGTCCCGGAGGAAGAGCTCGATGATGAAGTTGTGGAGCCTAGAATCTTTGATGTTGTTGTATCATGTTGTAGTTGTTGACTACCGGACATGAATTTTCTCGTTTGCGTTCGCTCCTCAAGTTGATGTTTCCCTTCCATCAATGTCCTGTTGTCGGTCTCAAGCACGCTGATGCGATTTTTCAGCATTTCAATCTCGCGATCGCGGCGTCGTGCTTCATCTTTGTACTTTTTCGACGCATACGCATGCAACTCTGCTTCCCGTTTCCTCTTTGCTTCGACACCTTCTACATCGGCGGTCATGAAAATTTCATACAGGAGGAGGGTGAAGATGACGCGTCGAGGCGGGTTTTCTAGGAAAGTCCAGCATCATGACTAAAGCACTAGTACAAAGATAAGCACCAGCCACCAGTTGTACTGTTAGTGTTAGTATACTATAAATATAAGTAATTGTCGTGCCTTTATTATCGGATGAATTACTCAAGTGATGGTGATGGAGTACTCTAGTTTGTAGTGATCCTGATATCAACATCTTCTATTTTACACTGACATCCTCTTAGAGGATTCCTCTAATGATCATGATCCTACGTCTACTTTTTCCTGAAGGACGCATAACTTTGAGTTTGTCATTGGCGGCCCTTAGGTCTTTGGTGGTTCGCTCTGCTGCGTATTTAAGCTTGCGGGCATCGATGTTGCTTTTTGTCAGCAGATTGACCTCAGATCGCAACCGTATGATCTCCTCTTCAAAAAATGATGTACTTTTGCTTTCATCAAAAAACGGATTTTGATTGCGTCCGAGTTCATCTTGCCCCTCAGCACTTGTAAGGCTATGCATCATGTTGCCATGGTGCTCTGCCATCTCCTTGCTGGATATTTCGTTGCCATCTTGATCCTCTACTGCTCCAGTCTGGCTGCGAAGATGGACCTGAATATTCTTGGAGGGAGATGAAGAACCGTTCTCTCCTCCTGGTGGGGCATCATAGTACAGCAAATTGTGGTGATCGAGATGCTCATCATGGCCTCCACCCTCTAATTCGGAGAAGCGATCCGGTGTCTCGCCGTGCAGATTCTGGCACCTACGTTGCTGCTCTATCCGCTCTTGACAGTGTTCTTGGAAATACAAGACTTAGATCATTTTAAACATACGATAGTAGAGATTGAGATGTTGATCATGAGTATGGAAGGGCATTCACCTACAGAAACGCTTTCTACTTATGGAGGCAAAGCAAGAAAGTTGCTCAATTAGATAGTTGCCTAGCTTTTTACATCGTGCGATGGATGGACTCTGCAGATGCGCGCCACGTTGCCGCCCGTGGTTGTGCCGGCTGGGTGACTTGAAGAGCAGCCGCGAGGCCGCTGCGCGGGATTTGATCCACGGCACCCAGCTCCGCCCGCTGGGTGATTAGTGCCGCGGTGTAACCTTGGCACTACCTTACTCGAGGTAGGCCGCTGATGCTCTGGCGATGGCTTGGACAAGTTCGGGGCCTTTTGGCCCTCTGGATGGGGCTCAGATGTGGAGTTGTAGATCGTTGACAGTTCCGACTGAGTGAGGCCGATGGAGCTGGCTCATTTTGGTCACATTTCTTGCCGGGTCCATGCGTGGCGATGATTTTGCCGAAGCTTTCAAGGGGTTCGACGGGGAACATTTCGACCATTTTGAAGGGAATTTGTAGACACTTGCCAACGCCTATCACTCCCTCGATTTGGGTGTGAAAAATCAGCCACGCGAAGGCGGGCAATTTTCGGGATTTCTTCGGGAGGGCTCAGGGGGTCCGGCGCCGTATCTAACCATGCCAGAAAGGGGGCAGCATTTGAGAACCCCCACCGCCCGAGTTCTCCACGTTTTTGCAACATGGTTGGCCTCCTTCTTCTCGGTTCTCGCTGTGTCTGCGCTCGCGTCGTTTCTAGATGGGTCGGCCGGTTCTGCTTTTCATCTGCCGAAGGCGCATGACCGTGGACACATTGCGATGCACTGGGACCCCCAACGCATTCGGCGCGCCGCAAGGGCAACCAGGCAAACCATGCGCGGCACCCTTGCGGCGGCTCTTCAACTCGCCCAGCCGATGCAACCACGAGCGGCAGGGTGTCGCGCTTCTGCAGAGTCCACCCATAGCGCTACTGAAGTAGCTAGTTGACTATCTGACTAAGCTATTTTTTTTTTTTGCCTCCATAAGTAAAGGCGTTTTTGTAGGCGAATTTCCCTCCATAATGAGGAGAGGACTTGTTAATAATTAAAGGACACCATCATGAGTCTGTTGTATGTACGGACCGCGACCGCGCAGCTTCTTGTTTGCCTCTAAAATTTGGTCATGAACAAGATGATCAGATACAGGTCCGCACCGGCATCAACAGCACCATGCAATATTATAAATCCAGGACCCCATAAGTTCGCATATTGGCTATTCTGTCTTCGAGAAGGCGGACTTTCCGCTCCAGCCCTCGACTTTTGAGGCGTTCTTTTTCTGCGATCTGCTGGGCCACTCTCAGTTGATGTTCGAGTCGCGTCAGGTGGATCAAATCGTCGGTATTTGCCGTACACTGACCTTCTTGGAAGCCGGGGAGCCTAGAGGCAGATGAGCCTCGGCGTAAGCGTAATTGATGTGGACTGCGTGTATTCGCGCTCGTTGTCGGGCTCAATGTCGTCGTGGCTGCATGATGATGTTGTTCATCGTCATTAAGAATCAGATGATTACTTTGTTGTCCTTGGACGTGTTTCGTCGACGTCGTGCGAGACTTGTTACGAAACTCCTCATCGGCCTGATTATTCGTTCTGGTGTTTTTCCGTTCTCGCTGGTGCAATACAATCTCACAATTCGCATAGAGACTGTAAAGCGCTAGATCGTATTTGTCGACGACAGAAAAAAGTTTTCGGCTCACGGAAGTTGGTCGCCTATCGAAAACCTTGACGCTAACACACATCTTCGCCTTGGTCAATTTCAGGGCGCTTTGGATCGAGCTAAGAAATAGCCGCTCGACCTGTAGAATGTATGAAGAAGATCAAGACCATTTCAATCACGAACGGCAGTCGCTCAACACCAGCGCCGACGCCGTCCCCAATAGATACCAAGAAGGCCAATAGTAATACCAATAGTTTCGAATTAATAGGAAATTGCCAAAAAGCTACTGATACAAGGAAGCGCGCGCCTACTGGTAAGAATAACAACACAGGCTGTCGCGGGAGATGCCTGCGCTACTTTCTCCCAGCTCGTTGAGCTCCGCGCGCTGGACGACGACGCAAGCAACCAGTTGGCGCTTAACAATCAATGAACCCCAACTGCGCACCCTCCCGCAGGATCTTTTTTCGGGCCCCCTTGCTGGTGTTCGACAATCTTCATGCAAGCTCGCCCGCTCTAACTTCTCCCAGCACCGAAGCTGGCAACCACTAGAAATAAGAATAACATAATTGAATTCTAAACAAAAAAGAAACCGAAAGAAGAGAGCAGCTCCTAGCCACCTCATGCATCAATCTACGCCCCATGGCATGACTGACTCCACTCACAGACTCAAACGAATCACCCCAGTTGTGCACTCCGCCCATCTTGGGAAGGCGGGCTAGGTAGCGGAAGCGCGGGGCGGTGCGGTGTCGGTGCTACTAAGTTCCCGCGGGTGTTTCCAAACACATCACGACCAACGCAGCCCCAGAACCACTCAGCGAGAACAGCTGAGAGACACCATCTGCCCCCACTCCATCCGCAGACGCTATACTCAGGCAGCCGCCCACGCCTCTCAGCCCGGCAGCTGCTGTCGCGCCGCGGGTTGATGGGCTAAAAAAAGGAACCACCGCAACACCACGACACACCCCACGCCCTACCGCGCGCATGGGGGGTACGTAAGTAGATGACCGGCTACCCAACTACACGCGGGCACGGTGCTCCCCTCTTGCTCTTGCACGCCATTCCCATGAAGATTGGTACATAGATGGCAGGCGCAGAAAGAAAGGGAGGCCGCGAGCCTCCCAGTCAAAGCTTGGCCGCCCGTCGCTCAGGATCGCTCAGCCGACAAGCAACACATAACGGCAAGGGACGTGATGCTTGTTTGATGGCTCTCAACGAGTGCCAGCGGGAAAGGCCTCCTACCTTCGCTGATGGGGGAGGATCCCTCCGGCACCGGCTTGCAGTCCTTGGGAAGGGTGTTGCCACCCGTCACGCTAAAGCCCCGCGACATGAGAGCCAACAAAGGCGCTGCCGACTCCAAGAAGGCTCAGATGAGCATCAGGCGGCATTTGCATGGGCTCGCTGAAAGTGAGATCAAACATTGGGGACGTTCTGCTATCTGAAAGCCAGCGCCCACTAAGAGCGCGCCGGGCTCTGCAGTCGAAAGCCTGTCACCTTCAACGCTGACGCCATCACCCAAAACCAACCCAGAACCCTGCCTGTCACCATACCCGACCCCTATGGGCTCCCCCCTTGTCTTCAGCTCGTCGCCAGTCAGTGGCCTGACTTTCTCAGCAGTGTTCTCCCCCGCACCCTCGCCAGCGTTTCCCTGTCATTGTTGGACCCCATTGCGGTGCCTACATACCTGGAGCCCCGCACGTAAAAATGGCCCACAAGCATGCCCAAAAGCTCCCCACTGGGAGAGCCTCAAGCGATGAGGCTTCTGAATTAGTGGTCGGGGACAGCCCTCCGCTTGTAGTTTACATAGTGTCAAAGTTTGTCATAGTTCCAAATGGGTAGGGATAAATGGACGCACTGACTCTCAACCACTAAGATGTCTCGTCGTCATTCATTGAGTATCGGGCTATTGGACATAGGGGCGAATGGATCTAGAATACGGCGCACGTGCGTGCTCAGCTAGGAAGAGTCACAGTCATCGGCTAAAGCTGACGTGGAACGCCTCAAAGCCAATAGGCACGCTGAAGGGAGGCGCTCGCAATTCGGCAAAGTTATAGGCTGAGCTATGGCGAACCTTATTAACCACCTCAGAGGCCTGGCCTGTACTCAGGTGGTCCCTTATAAATTCCTTTCGTTTGATGGGAAGCCAAGTAGTATTGGACCAAGACTTATTTGCTTTGGCAACACGAGCACACCAATCACCAAAGACCGTCCTCCCCAATGGCGCTGCAACCGTGGCGCCCTCCACAGCCTTCTTCCCCTCCTGAGGGAAGTGCCTGGCTACGACCGCACCGGCGGCACCACACCGGCGACGAAATTGGAAAAGATGGCGACGAAGAAAATGCGCTCTGTGTCCGTAACAGTGACCCACGCCGATTGCTTTGCCAGTGAGGCCATGGCTTACTCTGCTCTTCGTGATTCGTGAGCCCTTAGCTGACTCTCCCTTAACGCCATGCATCAGCAAGGGCCAGGGCGTCTCCCCTTCCCGTTTATCCAGCAATCCCAGACTTGACGGCCTCCAGTTTCCTCCTTATCCGCAAGAGGCATATTGGATAGAACGGCCTGCTACAGATACCGCTGGCGGACATTCGCAGGATTTTCAAAGAAATTTTTTCGTTTCTCACCCTTACTCTCTCAGGAAAGAAACCAAACCACCGACACACTCGCCCCATCCCTCGACCGATCCACCGAAGCGGCTGGAACACTGCCTCCATACGATTCTCGCGACGGAGTTCGCGGCTATCATTTGCACGACGACGAACGCCACCCGGGCACGCTGCAGCAACATGATCGCAACAAGCAACAGAGGCAGTAGATGCTGCCCGTGTGGAGTTGCGCCTTCTCGACGCCGCACGAGTGCTCTGCTGCAAGAAGAGGAACGAGACCCCTTTCGAGGCGGGATGGCGGCCACCGCTGTCAGCACTGGAACCGCAGCGCACAAGATGCCACCGCTCTCCTGCGGAAATCGGCGCGACATGTTTCTTTTATTTTTTCCTTTTATCATTAAACAATTACCACCAAGGTACGACATGCCTAAAGTCCTGACATAGTGAGATACTTTCTACAGCTCGGAAAGAACATTATCAGAAGACAGAGCAGAGGAGCCCCATCTACGTCAAGGGCTTCGCTTTTCCTTTCCGCTGGAGTGCCTTTTTTTCTCTCGTTTGCTTCATCATTAGATTCACAACGAGAACGAACTGCGAAGCGACAGCAAGATCCAAAGACAAACATCCAGCGACACCCTTGGGCGTTCCCTCATGCCTTCATCCCCTCGCTCACATCCAACGAGCAACAACGCGATGCCGAGGAAGATCGAATGTCTGAGGCAAGCCATGCCTGCTTTGATGATCTCAGAGAGTCCTATCCTCTTCCATCACATAGAGGAGAGTATTTCTATTCAGGGTATTTTTTTCATTTCATTCGCAAGGTTTCTGCGTGGCTTCAGATGTTGAAGAAAACGACAACAAGCACCCCAAGGTTTCTAGTGCGGCCACAGATTTCTGGATGGAATTCATCACCTGTCTTCATCAGGCTGCAACAATCGCAGGACTTGAGGGGATTGGTTGAAGTGTCTCAGTCTATCATCGTCATTTTTACTAGAGCCGAAGATAAGCGCGCATAAGATAGACCAGGTAGTTCAACAGCTCAAAAGATTCTGATTCTCTGATAACTTCACGAAAGAAGAGGGAAGAGAGGGAGGTCGATCAGATAAGTCCGCTAGTTCATTTTCGAAGCCCGAGGCGATATCACTCAGGTAGTGCTATACGATTAGACAACTCATATTCTCTATCAAGAAGGAGAAGACCACTGCATTCGAGATAGCAGCGCCATTTTTTATAAATGAAGAATATTCATGTAGAAACATTAGACACAAGAATCGCGCGAAATCTAATAGAATTCGAAGAGAACAAGCGCCCAAAGATCCGGGGAATCAGGTCCGTTTCATAATCAACCAGGGTAGTTCTGTCATCTGTTAGCAGTTCGTTATTATGTAGAAAATTCATGACCCTTCTGCTATATCTATCCACCTTTCAAACATGACGATGAGCGTAAACGGTGCGACCATGTTATCAGACTGTACATTAGCGGACTCTCGAAGATGCACCGAAACGATAACAACAGCAGAAACAAGGATAGGGAATCACTCAAAACAATACTGAAGGTGTAGAAATTTAACATATAGGGCTTGGATTTATTTCTTCAATTCAGGTCGTTCTTTCGCTGCTTTTTCCTCATATAGACTAAAAGTCATTCCTTCAAGTGTGGCGGATCTTAGGCTCATACTTCTCGCATTAGTTTGCTTTGATGGTGAAGCTCTACCTGTACCGCTACGAAATTAAGCGACTGAAATTATAACTCACGTACTCATAGATATAAAACTTGCTCGGTCCTCAGTGCATGAATTTTCACGTTGAAAATAGTTGCTCGTTCATTGATCAAGACCAGACAAGTGAAATCCCAACTACAACAGATCGCGATGACTATTGAAAGCGAGGACTCAAATCAGTAATTTCATAAGCATGAAGTCGACTCTGAATGGGATAACAAACGCTGCCCCATCCTGCAGCAACGAGAAGTCAAGCATTTGTGTGAATTGTTGATACTTACGAGAAAGAGCAGCTTGAAGCTCTATCTACTTGTAAGCAACCACCCCGAAAAGTGAACGCTTCGCTACTTGTTGCGCGAAGACTCAGTCTCATTTTGTTTCACTCTTCTGCTACCACCTCGACGGCCAACCTTCACCGTTAGAAGCTGTTGTCTGCTGCAGCGACCTGCGGGGGACCTTGTTGGGCTTGCGCAGCTCCCATCTTGGCGATTCGAGTTGCAAAATCGTTTTGGACTTGAGGGGCAAGGTCATGCCAAGTATCCGAGAGGGCAGCGAATCCGATTTCGGCGTCAGCTTTGGTACCTGGAAAAGAATGGTCGACCAGAGGTTAATAAGCAAGCCCAGTAGTAGACACGAAGATACTTGCTTGGTCATGACAGGAACTCTAGTACCCGGAGACTTATGACTACATCGATTAGACTAAGTATCTTCATACCAGTAGCGATAGCGTTCTCGCAGACGTTGACAGCAACTCTGTCGCGGCTCGTGACCCACGCTTTGAGAAAGGCTCTCAAAGGTCCGTCCAACAAAGAGTGCTCCCTGAGGAGTGGCTCGATGTCATCGCGGTATCCGCAGGCTTTCGCTGGATCTTGATCACCGATGGGGGCGCCGCCTGTGAACTTCTCCAAGAAGTGCACCAGAGTGTTGATGCGTTCGACGCAGGTCTTCGGCTGAGTGACCTTGATTTTGGCCTTCCAATGGGTCTCCGCGGGAGCGTTGAAGGGATTCGCATGCTCCTCATTGAGGTATTCGGCCAAGATGGCAAGCGCGTCAACCGTCTCGTTGTGCTCGCGTACTGCCTCCGACTGCATCTGCGCCTTCACTAGCGCGATAAACGGCTGAGAAGCGTGGTCCTTCAAGAAGGACGTGCCCTTCTTGCTCGTGTGACCTCCCTGCTGATAGGCGACACGAACGTTCTCCATGGTAGTACGCACGACACGAATCTGCACCGGGATTGCCACGCTTTCATCGGTAAAATACTCGCAAACACGACAGAGACCGTTGCGCATGCCGTCGTCCACCTGGAGAAAGGGTAGGAGAAGACTACAACACAGCAATGTGCAAAGAAGTGAGGAAATGACTGAAGGTGTATCTCTCTCATCTCCATGGCGAAAACTACCAAGATTCTTGTGACAAACAGCATCAATTTTTGAAGTTCTGTTGCTAAAATTGCAAGAAAATCTTCAAACCTCGAAACCCTCTAGACGAACATTACCGAAACAGGTGTAAGCTCTAGAAAGTACCCAGGTAGCCAAGTCGGTGATGTTGCGATTCAGCGCCTCGAAGCAGTCGCACATCAGCTGCTTGTCGTAGACCGGTTTCAGCTTAGCGGCATAGGTTGACAGAGTGGCCGGGTGAAGGCCCGGGTCGTTCGTGGTGTTGAACAAGCACAAGATCGCGCGTTTGAAAGCCTGCGCCACAACTTCAAGCTGCGCATCCTCCAGCATCTGTGATAATCGAGTAGAACATGAGGCGAAGAAAGAAGCAACGACTTGAATTTTCAAGATCATCCGAAAAAATAGATAGAAAAGCTAGTACCTTCACGGTTTTCGACCAGATGTACCACGCGGAGTTGTTTTCTGGCGCATTGTCGCGAATTGGGCCGTTGCCTTGCTGGCGCAAGCGCCCAATCAAGTCGTCGTACGTAATGGACATGGTCACACAGTTGTTGATCTCGTCTCTGAATTTCAGAAGAGTCGGAAAGGTTCCCCCGAAGATCGATTGGTGCTTCTCGTTCCTGTGTTGACAATTCAGAGAAACGTGAAGAACTCTGCCCGATGATAGGTGTTTGCAATCGATTGCGTTGATTTAAGCTGATCAATCTCTAAGCATTTTGAACTCCTAGAGAAAAGCCTACAACGAACTTTGACCGACTTAGTTGTGCAAAAAGATAGCCCGAGGTCTCCAGCACGCAAGTACTATCATAAGCAATTGCATGAGAAATCTGAACCAGTCTGCGATCATCACTGGCGTTTTGTTCCTCAACTCCACAGACTCGCTCTTTCGGTCACGATCCACCCCTTTGCAGTATGCCACCACTGCATGATATTCACACTCGTTCAGCTGGTCGGGGTGGTTCTTAGCCACCTTTTGCAGTTCCTCAATCGTCGCAAAAGCCTGCTGCGCGGACGTCAGGAGGTCGCATTTACGGCGAAGCAAAGTCTGTCGTGACGAGTGTGCGCAGGGTAAATGATGAAAGAAGAAATGAAAACGATTTCCATGGTGACTATGTTTTGCGATATGACGAAAATAATCTCTGGCCTTTGTTTAGGATATACGATCGCGAGACTGTTGCACAATGTTGAAGAACACTACAACCAGGAGTCCACTCGTCCTAATAAAACCACTACGAGAGTCAAGAAATGAGAGAAAAGTACGTGAATGCGTTGCCAGGTAGAAGCCGCAATCGTATCCTTCCAGCGAACCACGCAGGTCACCATCTTGCGGGTCTCGCTCTCACCGAGCATCATCAACATCAATGCTCCGAGCTTGAGAAAAGCGGACCTAATGGTCTTCTCGTCCTCGCTCATATCGTCCATGTGGATGCTGCCATTCGCGATTCCCTCGATCGAGGCTACAATAGTCGTCTGACGGTACTTGTGGACCTTCACCACACGCTTCAGAGCGTTCGTCACGTTGAGGTGCTCCTGTGAAAAGAGAAGCGATTCGTCGAGAAGACAGACAGCAACTGGCTTGGATAAATACCAAGTACCCAAGAAGAAAGCTCTACTGATTTTATGACGGAAAGGATTCAGGAAAGAAAGAAATCAATGCAACTACAACGCTATTTGAACTCTACAGCAAAAAAGTATAAGCTTCGCCCCAGGTCTCTACTGATTTAGAAAAAATATGAATACCGCCTTCTCTGGCACGATCCAGGATAAGACTGGGTTGCGCAAGATCTTGTCGGTGACGTCTTCGGTCAAAGACTTTTGGAGCTTCCGGCGCTTGGCCGCTTGCTCCTCCGTCAAATGGTGCGCAGCGTTCATTTTGAAAGCAAACGAGCCTGCGGCGAGAACCACTCGGAACGACTGAAGACGAATATCTTCTGCACGAAATCTCTCTCAAAGCTACAGAGAGATTTTAACGGAAGGCTTTGACGAAGCAGTTGGCTCGATGGAAACTCGAATTAGAAAAAATGAGAACTAGACTTATTCACTTTCAACGAAAATTAATTAATTGAAAATGTGACCAGATGATCCCGCTCTTGTCCCCTGTTTAGGCTGGCTGATCTCATTTGGATTTTGGACCAAGATCCAGAATAGACACAGGAAGATCCTCAGGATTCCATTTGGATTCTGCCTGGATTTTGCCCGGATTATTGAGCTAAAAATCACTTCTAAAGGAATTGTACAGGATTTTGCACTACCGCGAAAATCCACTTTCAATCCATCCCGAACACAAAGGAATATGGTAAAAAATCCACGAAGAATCCAGCCAGAATCCACATGGAAAGTCTGGCTCTTCAGAAGTAAATACCCAGGTCTTCGAAATCAGCTCAGCACGATTTTCTTCTAGGCTTGCGGAACCACATCATCATAGCCATTCACGTCCTTCAACTTTAAATGCTTCATGCAGCTGTCCTTAATTAATTCCATCTCCTTCACGCGGTCTAATAATCTCGAGTCACCATATGCTTTCTGTTTGGCATACGCCACAAATGGCGCAGAAACGTTTTTCCATGCTTGTCTCAGTGATGTAGTGTCAGTATTCTTAAACTTGATATCTTTTACATACTTCTTACAGTTCTGCAACAGAAATCGCGTGCGGCACGCCCACAATCCTCCCAGCGCCTCACCAAAATCTTGCTCCTCCTCCCTATAGCCCACAATACGCTTACAGTTCTCCGTCGATTTCGCAAGAAAGTCCACATTACTATTCTGCCGCATTTTCTTGAAATCTCTCTTCATTTCTGGGTCCGTGCACTTGACTTCGAAACGATCATGCGCACGCCCGTAGTACGACTGGGTTGTGACACTCCCGTTGAGTTTCACTGTAAAACCCTCTACCCGCATGCAGCGCTTGAGTTGCTTCGTCGCTTCTGCACGCTCCCGGTCGTGTTTCTTCCTTTGGTCCTCCGTCAGTTTCTCAGACTGCTTTCCCATTTTCGGACTATTAGGCTTCTGACGTTTTTCGTCCGGAATCTTCTGCTCCTGCTCCTCGTGCTGCTGGGGTGGTCGTTTCTGCTTGCGAGTAACAATTGCTTCAGGAAGATCAACAACAGGCGCAAAAGGATCTACATACTGATTATTTGCTACTTCAAGAAGGCGCTTCTCCAGTTTGCTCACTGGCTGCCGCTCTGCTTTCACTGTGTTCGCATGCGTTGACTCTGCTCGCTGTCCTTGCACCTGCAGCGGCTGAGGGTTCACCGCAATCCTGACCCCCCGCGACATGTTCGTGCAAAAGCTGCAGAGATGAACTCCCACGTCCGATAAATCGAAAGCCTTTGCATGCGACGGGATTTGCGTGGTAAGAACTAGACGGCCGAACTTGTATAGCGTCCGCTGCCGAATGCCTGCGTCTCTAATCAGTTCTACTGCTTTGAGATGATAGTTACTCATGTCCTGATGCGTGACCAGAAAGCACACCTGCTTCCCTGATTTCAGATGTGTTACGAAAACAGCTGCTCCTATCCCCAAAATTGTCTGCGCGGAGCTTGCTATGTCCTCCGGGACACTCACCTTCATGCTGCCCGCAGCAACGTCATCGTCTGGAACTACTTCCTCACCAACATCATTATTTACTTCCGGCGTCGGCAACTGTAAGCCGCCCAGTTGTTCTACTACTTCCTGGCGCGAATCTCCCTCCTTCAGTTGTTTCTTCACTGCATACATCACCCGGCCAACCTGGTAACACGCATTAGGTTTTCGAACCAACAGCGTTACCTCCTCTGAGCTTTGACGGACAACCTGCTGCGACCGGTCTGTTCTTGCACAAAGGGTTTTACTGCCCCATTCGAAATTATTTCGCATGTCGATCACCATCTGCATCGCCTGATCTTCAATCTCGTCGTAGAACTTCTTTGCAATCAGAAGAGACTTCTGCGAAGCAGCAGGACGCTCCGCCTCATCGTCTGATGTGTCGCTATCGTCCGCGGCCGCCGCGAATCGTGCGTCGTACTTCTCTTGATACACGCGCCTGTCGTCATCCGTAACTTCAACCCTCACACCCACTTTAATTTTACCACGCACGCTTCGCAGCCGCGACTTAGGCGTCAACTCCTTTAGTTCCGGATTCTTCAGCATTTTTGCTGTCATGATGTCGTAGTCTCGTGGTTGCATATACCGGGCAGCTCTAGCGGGTAGCTGAAGTGCAGACTCTTGATCAGAGTCCATATTTTCTCGTGCATCACGTGCAGCATAGTACTCAACGCCTTCTTCTACACTAGCACGAAAATCTACTAGGTCTTTCCGGTTTGTAAGGCAATCCACAGTCGGAAGCCCCACAGCGCCGCTCAGGAAGCGGCGTTTGGCATTCGTTTTAGCCCTACCAATTCGCCGCTCCACCGCCGCAGTAGTCCTCCTATATCCATTGAGCAACCGTTTTAAAGACCTGATCCACCGCAGCTGCACACTCCTGCTCGGTAAAGATCTTAGCCTCCGAGAAACGTGTCGCATGTTGATATCTGCAAGTCCGCCCATCTCCAGGTTGTTCACCTCCCACTCCAAAGCCCAATCAAGAGCAGCATCATCAGACGACTGCCGAAGCTTTTCTCGAAATTGGTCCTGCGCGTTGACGACCAAAAAAGCAACCTCAGAAACAGCTGCTCTAATACCCCACAAGGCTGTCACCGCCGCGCGCCGTGCTCGGGATATCTAAGAAAGTCGTTTGTTGCATGTTCGTGAAAACAGAAACTCAAGGACGAAGAAAACGTCACGCCTGAATGAACTAAGCAGATCAGGAAGCGCATGAATTGACTTGGGTGTTTATTATTTCCTTGGACGAAATCAGAAGAGTTCAACTGAGCAGGAAGTCCTAAACACTTATGCAGCAAACAAATGAAACTAAGCAACACCTTATCACTTTCTTCTGCTGTAAACGGTTCCACGCGCCCCGGCATCATCATCATCAGGTCTTTTTTCAATTGCTCGCCTCGTTCAAAGTACTCCACAGCAGCATCGTGGCTTACTGTGTACTTTTCCTTCATTTCCGGCAGCGTGAAGAAGTGCTGCTCGTCCAAGAACCGCGCATTTGCTTTTTCACCCGCCTCAGTAAACTTCGCTATACACAGCAGATACAGCAGAAGGTCAAAAATTTCACCTGAACGAAAAGCAGTTGAAAAATTGGACAAGCAGCAACAAGTTGAGTAGGAAGATTTGTATGTACTGACGCAGCAGTCTAGTTTAAATAAGTAATACCCTTTGACTTCTGTTTGTTGAAATATGGAGCCGGCAGCTGAAGCCGGTCATATTTTCCCCGTGTCTCATGCACCGCATGCAAAACCCATCCTAATCCAACTGAAAGAAGCATGCATAAATCGCCAACGCAATTCGAAAAGCTAAACCACCTGGTCCAAGTCGGTAGCTGCAACTTCGTGAACAAGGCGTGAAGCTTCCGCCGCACCGCTGGAGGATCGTGGTCCGGCATGTTGATTACTACTTTGTTGTTGTGAATTGCTATCATCCCCTTCAACTCCTCTACTGCTCCTCGCTTGTTCATGGCGATGTTCATGAACTTCCAAAGTTCAGAATCGGAATCAAAGCCATCGCCGGGCCCCCACTCGGGAAAGAGATGCCCCCTGTGCTTGCTCACCGCGTTGTGAATGCTGATGCTCTTTTCATTAATTCCCCATGCCTGAAAAGTAAAATTTTCCAACTCATACTGCCAGCCATGACGATGCTTGAGAGGAGAAACTATTCCTGACAAATATGGACCTGATAACGTTAGTTTCTGAATTTAGCTTGCCATAGACACGAATAATTTTAAGAGGAAAGTAATTTAAATCTGATGTTTCTCGCAATCATCAATATCAAGAAATTAATCATAACAAAGCTGAAACGTCAGAAGCTTAATATGAGAAGAAGAACCCCTCAACAAGTAGTACAATGCAGTAGACTTCCTTCTCGAATGCCCTTGGGTCAAAGCCCACGATATGGGCAAACTTCTCATATCCAGCCTTGCTGCATATGGCGATCAAGTGTACTCTGCACTGGTCTGCCCATAGAATTGCGTTCCCAGGGCTTTTGTCCGCAAGTAGCACCATGTGAAGCTGCTGCAGCTGTGTCGACCCTCCGCTATCTGTCGGCGCTACTACTACTACTGGTTTTTTCCATAGCTTCGCCATGCATTCATCTAGTTGCCGCATCGCTAGGTCCGCATTGTCGTAGCTCTCGCTCACTCGGAGAGTACTATCGATCGGCAACTTGCTCCGCTGGAGATCACTCTTCGGTCGCGGAGCAGTTCCGGCTAGATGAGTAGGTAGCCACAGGTCTACAGCGTGCTCCTCTTCCCCCAGAACCAACTTGACCGAAGCGTTGGACACCATCCATTTTAGCGTGCCAGCAGCTCTAAACCCTGGCTCGCAGGCCAGAGTTTTCTTCGTCGTTCCATCCGTTTGAAGTATAACCAAAACTTCTGACACGTCTCCCTGGTCTATCCTCTTCAAGATTCTTTCCCATGCTAGATCATGCACATAAATGCCTACTTTTTTGAGTACTCTTGTGTCTGCCTCTGTTCGTCCTGATTCAAAATATTCTGCCGCCGCTTCGACTACTGAGTCAGATGCTCTTCGTGTTGTGCTCTCCAAACTACTACTAGATGTCGTCTCTTCTGCTACTATTGTTTTCCCCGCCGCTTCCAGTAAGCGGCGCTGCAATTTCGAAAGGCCGACCGGATTCACGCTCATCGTGAGAGCGTGGAAGAATATGACAAGATATAATTATGCACATGTGAAAAATATGACATACTACGCCCCCTAAATGTAGCCCTACTAAGAATTTTCCAATCAGACGCTCTTCATATAGAGACGCACCATAAAAGCCGACTATACCGACTGAAAATCTAAACGATATCCATCCTCGCCTGCAGTAAATGCCCAATCAGCTGAGCAATCCCTACGAAGTTCGGAATCACGAATCGACGCAACCATTTGCCGAAGCGTGCGCCTCCAGATGAGTAACTCTGCCTCCGTCTTCGAAAACTACTCCAAGGTCGGCTCGCTTCTCATGACACGACGCGCGATTCGATCGATTGTTGTTGGAGTTTTTCTATTACGATCTTACAAACGAACTACGACAATTTAGTTCATAGCGAAGAGCTCGAAGCAATAAAGAACTCCACCTGATCCCCATCTTCGAGTCATTCGAAACTCCTCTCAGTTACTCTAAATCACAACCGTGACCATAACACTTTTCCGCAAGTTCCGATACTTCGACGCAGCTGCCCTTCTTATCAAATTCATACTCACGCCCAACTAGACGCTTAATTAGATCCTTACTCAAAATCAAAGCAGACCCAGAAGCTCCCAAAAGGCTAACTAGAACCTTTTGGGCTCGGCCTACCTGTAGCCCAGAATGAGCTACCCCACCCGCCCAAGTTTGTACTTTCAGGGCCTCGAATTAGGTCACGAGTGGGAACGGCAGGCCTCGCTCCGATAGCTTTGGCCAAAGCATGCAAATAATTGCGACAGCAACGTCTGCAAAAAATCCCCCGGCAAACCTGGTGCTTCCCCTAAAAATTTAAAACAAAAAACGAAAAATTTTTTTTGAAAATCCTACCGATATCCAACCGAAATCCCTCATAGAGTACGTTGAGCCGAAGGCATAGGCGCCGGCTTCCGTACTTGGTCGCTGCGGTGCATATCGTTCAGCACCAAACTGCTGCTGGGCGCAGGCCTCTTCATCGCCGAAGCCTTTGACGTAGCACCACTAATTTTGCTAGGCAAGACTACGCCAGTGCGAATCTCCTGAAGTTCGCGCTTGCTTGAATAGTTTGGCCCGACAAGCACCGCGCGCGGATAATTGGGGCCGCTGTTAGCGCCAAGCTGCGTTACGATTTTGGAGATGCCCTTGCTCTTTTTGCCCTCCGCTTGTCCTTGCCGCGTTCGCGTTCGGGCTTTCCGCTGCTTTTTTGTTGAAGGGCTGCAGCGAGCACCAGCTCAGACGTCGGGCACATCACAAGAAACACCCAACGAGCGCCCACATTGCAGCAATTCAAAGAAAAGCAGCACCCCCCAGCCGCTCCCATACGCTGGCAGCCTTCTGCTTCCTTGCCCAAGATCGTCACAGGTTGCCAGGTGTCGGCTTGGAGGGCGCCACGGCCACCGGTTTGCGCCGACAGAAGGCCTCGCGGCTTCCGCTGCGCTTTTTCACCATTCCACAAAGCAAGAGAAGCCAGGAATACGCTCCCAGAATTCTAATGGAAGAGAGGTCGCCTTCGCCTCACTCCAAGCAAAGCCACCAACTGCGAGAAATTGCGGAAGGAAATTACGGAAGAAAACCACGGAAGGAAACTGCTGAGAGACTTCGGCGAAGTACCTTACTGAGCGAAATCACTGGGCGGCTTACTGGCTCGAAGAGCCACGTTGTGCCCAGCGGGCGCAGCGTGGTCCCTTGAGCCAAAGCCAGCCCCTGCGGCATCCGTAGCGATTTTGGCTCCATAAAAGAAAGCGGGAAAGGCTTCGCACATCTTGCCCCAGGAATCCCGTGGCGCCGTTCTGTCGAGAGTCCCGACTTCGAACGCGAACACGACAGCACACCGCGGCGGGGTCGCTGCGGGTTGGCAGGCACCCGGTGGCGCCCTGGGGTTCAGGCATGTCGCGAGGGTATTCCGCTGGCATTTGCGTGCCTCTGCAGCCGCGAGAACTATGCGCAACGCCTTGCCACACTCTGCCCACTTCCGTTCCTCCCGGGGCCGCTGCTCAGAGAAATCGGAGAAACTTCAAAGCGGACGCGCTGCCTGTAAGTCGCCGCCCCATTTTTCACAGCCGCCGCCGCGCGCAGTTCCTCGAGCCTAGCCTGCTAGCCGGTCTGTCAATGCCTCAACGCCAATGCGGCGCCGCCCCCACTGCGGGCCGCCCCATGGTCCCCGCGTCGGCAAGGTCCAGCCCCAGCGACTCCCGGCCTCGAGCCTACTCACGCCCCCGCCCGTCGTCCTTTCCGTCGGAGTGTATGAGCGAAGGTCGCAGAGGGCGACCACAGTTGTACCCGTGTGGGTATGCACGGTCTTCTCAGTTATGTAGTTCATTCATACTCATACTAGAGGATGCTACCTCTTCTCGTCTCGGAGTGTGTTCGCCCATCGTCTCTTGATTATCGATACCCATCCACAAAGTCAAAAAGCTTTGGCCGCTTGCCTCAACATTCTGCAAAATTTTCCACACCGGGAGAAACAGCTGTGGTGAATTAGAAGAGAGTAGGTACTTACGTAGATAAGATAGTATCGTAGCAATGCTGGAGATTATTATGACAAATGAGAACGACAACGACGTCGAGTCAGATGATCAATAGCAATAGTGGACATCACTATGATCATTTGATCGTAGAAATCATCCTAACTCTTCTAGGTAGACAGCCATCATTTGTCTTTCACAGTCTTCTTGTTGCCTGAATATATGAACAGCCGTAAAAAAGAGAACGACTCTGCCATCAGCGACGTCACGGGCCTGTAGTTCGATCTTGATTACGCCACTTTCTGTATCCCAACGATGCCTGAACTCTATGGGCGCCGTAGACGCAGTGCCGGTGGAAGATCCTCCGTTTTTGCTGTAGTCCTCGTGCTGTGATGTAGTTGCTGCCGAAATGAAGTCAAATTTTTTCACAAGCTCTTGGCCCTCATCGAAGACGGAACCCAACAAGTCCACATCCTTAGCACCAGCTGCAGAGGCCAGAAAAACCGGAGGAAATAGCTTTATGGCAAAATCTGCCGATGAACTGGTACTTGCACTAGGGACAGAGCAATAGCCACTATATCCATCTTGAAGTAGGTGTTCTTCGCTCTTTCGCTCCGCACTAGTGTCGAAACCGCAAGTCACTACATCAATATCACGATCCCCCGGGCCGCTGCTAAGTGGGGAGTACAAAGCTCGCGGCCGCGACACCAACGCACTAGACGAGGCTGAATCGCCAGGAAAGCCCCAGGACTGCTGTAAGCGCGATGATGGCGTTGATGCTGATGCAGGATGATAGAAGCTATGACCCTGAAAAGTTGCCTTTTGTCGGGGTTCGTGATTTCCATCGAAAGCCATTGGAACCAGTCTTAGAGATGCCGGAATGTCCTGAGGACCACCATGACTAGAGGACACGCGCAGGTCCGCTTGTGACGTCTCAGGCTCAACACCAGAAATCGCGTCGTCTTTTGTAGTTGCCTTTCGATGCTGTAGTACTCCATAGTACTCTGGGTCTGCTGCTCTCTCCCGGGGGACAAGATCTTCATCACAGTTGTGACCTTCAACCTCCATGTCTGCAGCGACATCACATCCACCAACATGGTCTGCGGAACCAATTTTCATCATTCTGATTTTTGTGAACGTGAAGCTGAAAGGTATCTCATCTATGCTGTAGTCTGTAGGGCTAGGCGCGTAATGAGTTTTTACTTAAATGTATTAATGTTCGCGTTAAGTTAATCTACTTATAATTCAAAGATCATGCTGATGCACCAAAAGTACTGGGAGAAGCTCGATCAATTCGTCGTAGCCCTATCTCATCATAAGTTGCTGTTGTAGAAGGTCCACTTCTAGTACCTCCACATTTTCTTGTCCTAAGCAGGGTGCTTCTCTCGTTTTCTTTTTATACTATGAGACTAGACCACCTAGAGCCATTGGAGCTTTGTCAGCTCACACCCGCCTCTCGTTCACAGATCGAAGATCTCTAAAATCAGATGCAGACGAGGTGGAGGCTAAACTTGTTATAATGTACAACCAGTAGACTACGTTTGTGGCTTTCTTACAGACAGTCGTGACAGCGAGCCGGCCAGGTCCTTCGAACACAAGTTTTTTTCACAAGCGACTCAGTTGGCATAAACTTGATGTATTAGAGCCAGGAAAATGTAGCATGCTCCGAGACGAGCTGAAGATACTTCGGAATCGTAACTTCGCAATTCTGTTATTTGGTTTGGTGCTTGTTTATACGGAAAACTATCAAATTCAAAATCAATTTTTGTGTTTGTTTCTCTAAGAACATAGTAAGTCGAAATCAACTCCAACTCCCTGTTTTGAATTTTGTCAACTTCCAGTCTTGAATCTGTTGTTCAAATATCCAACCTCATAGACAGCTGGCGAATGCCCATTCTTATTGATCCAGAATGGATCCATCCATCTCCCGACGCTGTCCACCAAGGGGTTGTTAGAAGAAGAGGCTAGTGTCACTTGTTAGGAAAAATCCTAACAGATTTCGACTGGACACTACTACGAAGCTTTTTGGTAAACTAATATGCAGAGACTAGCGCTCCTCGGTTGTTTCTAATGGATATGCTTACAGTCTCTTGTTACACTTATCGTCTATGGCGACGTACTATAGTACTAACTTGCACCATTTCAAGTCCAGTAAGTTGCCCTTAACTCTATGAATAGCTGGGAAATCGGTCCCTGGACTCTTTCGGAAAACGTGCACCTCCATCAGAAGCTGGTCTATGCGCGAGAAGATACTCGTTCCGTCAGAAGGCATCAACTCCTGAGCCCAGGACCGTAGTATCGGAGCCTAGAAGAGGGGTGGATAGATTCTTGTTGAGTAATGAAGAAGAACAAGTGTAAATCATTGTAGTAGTATCAAGCTAGTGCTCCGTCTAGCTGGGCACAATTACAGATACAGGGCAGGATGTCAAAATGAGAATACTTACTCAGATCATGTATAATGAGTGGGGGATCTACTTTGCGATGGTATACATAGGTCCAACATCAAGGTAGACACGCACAAAGTGGGTCTTAGTTCTTTCCGAACTTCAAATACCTCAGCCCCCTCAACGTCCATTCGGAGTACGTGTATTCTGTCGATTTTTGCGATTTTTTCGATTATATGTCTCAGAGTAACGCTTTGATAGCGAAGCCCTCCTCTCACATTAGAAGACCTATCGCGTTCGCATCCCCGAAAACGTCCTTGGCTCAAGCTCTTTGTCTTTGTTTCAAGAAGAATAAAATAAAGAAATGTAGAGACGACCAAGGACGGTGCTGTCTGCGGATCATGCTTTTCCGATAGAAGAAGCCTTAATAGCATAGACAGCCGTGCTCTCATACGAGTCAACGCCTCCATTATTCGTTGCTCCCTGGATAGACCCAATCGCAGTCGAATAGAATTGATGCCTTGTCGGGTGTCGCTTCGTGTGCCGACTCAAGATCTTCGGCAGAGAAAATGAAGAACACAAGAGGAATAGAGTCCTATGAATGCATGGAGTGTGATATGATTCGTAGACCAAGCATATCAATCTTCTTCATGTTGAAATAGTAGAGGAAACTTTTTCATTATTAAAAAGAAGATGTCAATGATCACGTCTGCGTCTGGTAAAAATGTTGAAGAACAAACTTAGAGGAGCATTCACTCAGACCATAAATTTCGGTAAGCTTGGAGGTTATCCGCTGGTATGTTGCCGTCTCGCACTGGCATCGTTGGATCAAAACTCCACACGCGACAGCCCTTTTCTAGCATACTGTGTTCGAAAATCCAGTTCTGCGCGATGCCTATGCTGACTACATTGCACTGAACCTTCTCTAGAGGCGTCGAAAAGTCGCCGAAAACTTCGCCTGTTTCGCCTTTGATTTTGGGAATGGTGTCCAGACACACGTGCACATCCGGTTCGTTGGCATTCTCGCCCACTAGGTTGATGGAGCCACGACAACGCGCCAATTGTGTTTGTGCCGCCTGCATCTGCGTTGGCGCAAAGTAACTGCGCACGATCGGAGCGAGCTGGGCTGTATTGGAGCTAGTTAAAAGACATGGGACAGATCGAGATCATGTAGATGATGCCTAAATGTCGAAATCTTTTAGAATCGAATGATTGCAGTCTTTGCCTTTGACGCTTCGTTCTTGACAAGAAAAGTCCATGTAGCATCTTTCTTCTTCACGAAAATGCAGGAGAATAATTCTGACATGATTGATCATGCGGATGCTCTTTAACTTCTGAACAATTCACGACATTTGTACTAGTGGCGTAATTCTAGTGTCCTCTTTTGCTTCCCCGAAATAGTCCGATGGGAAATTGCGACCTCCGAGAAAGACCAGGCAGTAAAACTTCTCACGTCCCCATGCGATGTTGGCTCCTTCCAGCTGTCTCGGCGAAGCCATCGCGCTGCTCGACTCCGCTAGCCATCGTAACGCCGCATGGGGTCCTGGAAAGTTCTCATTCAAGAAATCTGCAACGCCAGGTTCATCGATCGTCCCAAACGTCTCGGTATTGGTCCTCGTGGTCGGTTCATCCTCCAGTTGCGCCTGGGAAGTTTCCTTCCTTACGTGCGCATTTGCTGGTCCAAAGTCCAAGTCGTCAAGCCTTCGTGGCGAAGTGGCATATGGAGACGTCGAGGACGACCTCGCCAGTCCACCTCCACTCGACGTGGTTGTAGTTCCCCTCGCACCATAAGGTCGTATATTACCGGCATATCTAGCACCCGTCTCTAAGGACGAGGATCGACCATAGGAGCGACCGCTACGTGATGATGACCGCGTACGTGGAAAAAGACGATTCTCACTGAGCGTATTTCCAGAGCCACGTGCCTCCGCTAATATCGCACTGGTGCTGCTACTTCGAGTTACTGGAGTTCTCCCTCCGAAACGGCCATGCCAATATAGCAAATTTTGATTAGAAGGCATCAGTAAGGATCACGACCAGAGCGCTAATCGATGAAGCTAATGAGTCCATCATCATCATCATCATCATCATCAAAGTCAAACCTTCATATTTATCTACTTATTCGATAAACTGAAATAAGCGAGCAACTACTGAAAATAAGGGAGATACTGAAAGAAGAGGATGAGGAATGTAGTCAAGACCCTCCTATTTCAGTCAGTAACTTGGATATTTTGAGTTTTCGAAGTATAAGCACCTGAGGCTCGTGAGCAATATCAAATGATCCATAACATTACACTTGGATTTAGAAGCACCGCGGATGTTGCAGTTTTCTTCGCTGTAAGCCGAGTCTGGGTTGCTGATCTTGCAACAAATACGGCGTGCTTCTGAACCTGGAGTAGCGCTCGAGCATAGTGTGCAAAAGCTTATCAGTTGCTGGTAACAATCCTCATTATCTCCTGTCCACCACGTACTGGCGAAATTTACTGGCGTTGAGACGGCAACTTTCGCAGGAGGGTTTTCTGATGTAGTTGGAGCCTTGTCTACTACTCTCTCTGATAATTGAGAGTTGCTGGGGTCATTTTTTGACAACGCAGACGTTGCAGCTGGCTCATCCTTGTTTATTCCCTTCGTAGAAGTAAGGGCCGGGAGAGTGTCTGGGGTCTTTTGGTCTAACGTCTTGCTAGCTGATGTAGTGCCGTCAGCATATGTTCTGGACGAACCAGCGAGCGCAGTGTTCCCGCCTGTGGGCTCTTCAGGGCGATCACCTTTATATATCCCAGCAGTACTACTACTACTACTACTACTACCACGAGCACGACTACTTGAACCTGTAGTACCTGCCAGGACCTCCTGTGGTCTATCGCCTCCTCCCCTACTGCTTGCGAATCCCGATCTGGTGTCGCTCCCAGCACCTCCTTCTCGTGCATTGGTGATTGCAGGGGACGGCAACTGCGTTTGGTGCGTCAGCAATTGCTCTAAGGCGTGCGCAGCTCCCAATGTACCCAAGAGAGCTGGAACAAGTAGTCTGGTCAGGCGGCCGCAAGAGTAGAAATCATCCGGTTCATCTGGAGGCTCCTCACAAGAATAGACCACTTCATCCTTCATCCCCAACATCTTGTTGATCTTCCTTCAATTCAGTCTAAGTCTAAGTGCATCTTGTTGGAAGACATGAATCCCTTTAGAGTTCTTGTGCAACACCTCGTCTACGCCTGGAGTAACTCCTCTAACCCTGGAGTTGTTCTTGCACTCCTCGCTAGTAGTGGCACTGCTCTCATTTCGACTCAAGACAAGGGGCTTATTTTCCTTCGGCCAAAGGGCCAGCGCACCAGCTGGGGTGGGCGCAGAGAAGTCGTACATTTCACGGACGATGCGCCGAAGGGGCTTTTCATCCGTCATCAGTACAAGGCTCCTGCTCAAAACAAGAAGGACCCATACAGAAGGGACTACAGAAGACAGCACAAGTGCAAGCGACACATGAGAACTGCTCGTGTGGTCGACACGTTGTTCTCGGTCCTTCTGCTTGGTTGCAATAATCCTGAGTTTGCTGTTTCATTGTGGTGTGAACGAAACAATGATTTAAGTTGTATATTCGAAGAATTTCTTCCGGGTCGTGAAAGAAAAAAATACAGAAATAGAAATCAATCATCGTCGTCGACGTCGTGGTCGTTGTAATCTAACGATCGAAGCAGCTGTGCAAAACTAATCAATAACGGACGGCAAAATTTGCTTCTAGACGTGCGAAACATTATTTCTGATGACAACGGAGGAGCTAGTGTAGTAGCCTTACTCGTCTAGCAAAATATAAAACGTTGTTCTCTTAGTACTCGATGGTATAATTGGTAATAGTTGTTGTATCTTCCTAATTTTCCCGCATACCCATCGCTTAGCAAAAAAATATATAGATGTGACAGTATTTTTTCCAAATTCAACTTCAAGCTTACTTCATTGCTTGGCAAAGCTAGGTTATTCAAGTATTCATTCTACTGAGTTCTTTCTGTTGTTCTGATAGTCCTCGCGGCGCACGCGCAGTAGCACAGATGATGATACTAGAGTACTTTTTCAAGCAGCGCGTGCACCCTCAGGAGCGTCTCCATCTTCGACAGTGCCCTCTTGCTGACCATCCGCGGCAGTCGCCTCGTGCAGCGCAGCTGTGGCATTCTCGTTGTCACCACCTTTTCCCTTAGAGAATGTTACTAGTACGCTCAACTTGAAATAACGGACGGCGAATAAGTATATGAAAGAGACATCAAGTTGTAGTCGAACTTACAAGAGGCGTCCTCGGGTATCCAGTGGTCGAAGTTTACCTGCTAGTTGAAAGAGTATAAACTTAAAAGTAAAACTTAGAACTACTAGCACTAGAAACTAGAAGTACTTAAATGTCATAACATTTCCCGCCGCAGGTATTGGATTGCCGTCGTCGTCAACAGTGCCTTGCAGACGTAGAAAGTCAGGAATTTCTACCCGCTCTCCGTTTTCGACCTTGCGTGACCAGTCTTCGGTCTCGTTTAGCTCTTTTTCCTCTCGCTCGTTGTGCTCGCGAATTTCATCCCGGGTGCGCCGCATTCGTTGCAAATATGCTTGCCTTACACGCGCGTAGTGCTCGCGACGCTGCTGACGTCAGTTATTAGAACCATTCAGTTTTGTGCGTGATTACTTGTTTGTTACCTTTACAACTTCTTGCGCTCGCGCTTACAAATTTTACTAGGTGGAGGCACTATAATGAATATCAATATGATGTTACAAACTACTTACAGTAATTTTGTTACTCAAAGAACTTACGCTTACGTGTACAAAAAATAGTTCTCATAATTTCCAATCTTGCACGCCTTTTTTCCACTCTCTCCTGTGCCATGTTCTGCATATACCACTCCGCCATCGCTCGTTCTGCCTCGCGGAACGCGCGCTCCTCTGAGGTCAGGCGCCGCTCTAGCATCTGCCCAAATGCCATCTCAGATTCATAGAATTCCTTCCACAACCGCACGTCGCGCACTGAGTCGCGTATCAGGAGTCCAGTGCAGGGATCTCGTCGTACATCTCGTGTGTATGACAGGAAAAAGTGTACTCATACTCAAGAAAAGAGGTTTTTCCCTACTTAGAAAGTGCCTACTTTCTTGAGGATGAGTACACTTTTTCGCTTCATAGTGTGCAGCGGACTTTCACGTCACGGGGAAGCATGTCCCTTGGGAACTTGCCACTGTAATTAGAAGTAGAGCTTACAAGTCTTATCTTCATTTGATAGAGTTAGATTTATTAAAGTCCCAGTCGTGAGCAGCCTTCATAATCTCCTCCTGAACAAGTATTTTTATCTTCATTTGATAAAGTTAGATTTAAATAAGTAAGTCCAGCCAGTGAGCAGCCTTCATAATCTCTCTCGCTTCTCGCAGCACGAAGAGTCCTAACTCGTGTTTCTGTACTCGTGTCATGTCATTCGCGACAACGAGGTAGCATTGTATCACTTCAGCGTTGTCGTCTGATGGCGCACCTTTGATCACGCAATCTTCCACGTATTCGTCAACGAGAGTAAGTTAGAGGGTGAGTGACCCGCTAGTCTTATGTTATCTTAAGGGTTGAAACATTTCTATTTCATTTTTACAAGCCTTCTCTACTTGAGATTGCTACTAAAAAATGAAATGTTTCAACCTTTAATTATCCATCCTAAGATGAATGAGACGCATCTTGGTGTGTCTTTCTCATTTTCGTCAGTTCGAGCACTATGTGATATTCATAGTCAAGGAAGCATCTTCAAATTGACGTACTATATGAAGATAGCTTATAGAATAGTGGTAAAAACAAGCCATAATTGAGTCCATGTTGTGATTTGCGCCATCGTTCGCGTTCGGCTTTTTTCATGCGCTGTTTGTCTCCTTTTGTTTGAAGGTTCATCATCAGTCGCAGCTTGTCTTTCCACGGTTGCTTGCCAGCGATTCTTTTGCGATTCCTGTACTTCGGTGCTGCCTTAACGGGCGACTTCTTACCACCTCCCAAACCAAACATTCCTCCGAGAAGCGAAGTCTTCTTGGGAGCAGCTGTGCCAGAGCCTTCCTGCTGCTCTTGGTTGCCTCCCGAAGCGGCACCTGCTGCAGCACCTCCTCCACCGGCAGCTAGTACTACTGCTGACGCTGAATGCTCCGTTACGGCCGCAGCTGCTCCTCCGTTACCGTTGCTAGTGCCATTACCATTGGCCGATCCATCTTGAGGTGGCGCGTCTTCGTCCTCGATCAGCTCCTCTTCCAAGAGATTTTCAGGCTTCGGAATTCGCTTATTCGCTAGAGACATGATGAAGTTTTCGAGTTCACCTGGGTAAAAAACGTACTTCGTTCCAGGTACATAGATTTTGCGGTCCATTTCGCCAATCAATTGGAGTGTCAGAGGTGCTGACGAAAGGTGCTGGAGCTGAAGCGGCTCCGCGTTCTCTGCTGCATTTTGCTCTGATGTAGTAGCAGTGGCTGCACTATCCGCCTTAGAAGTCTTCGCGGACTGCGTTGGAGACGACGAACCGCCTCCAACAGACGCGCCAGCCTTCTGATTGTCTAGCGCTTTTTGAGCAGGAGAGGTGGAAGCAGATGTGTGTGGTTTTGTTGGGTTAGCAGGTGGAAAGAGGGTTTCGCCAAGTTTCAGAAAGTGTTCAGGTAAATGCTTCGTCTTTGCCACGCCATGCTGCGCTAGAAAGAGCTTTAAACGGCGATATTGCATCTGCATTGGGGTCAGCGCGTTGAGATAGACTGGCTGTACTGGGTATTTCACTATCGCTTGCATGATCTTAGCATTGGGGACTGCACGTAGATTATCGTTGCGAGATAGATTCACCGCGGTCTCCCGCGCGATCGTGTCCGCCAGTGCTGCAACAACTTGGTTGCAACTTCTTGTTCGCGGAGAAGTAGAACAAGAGGACCTAGCACCTCCTTTGCTGGAACTGGACGTCGCACTGGCACTCGGAGGACCCTCACTTTCCACTTTTGAATTCGAGTCATCCTGCTTCTTTGGATTTGCTTCTGGTGGACCCTGTTTCTCCAGAGCTTCTAAGCCAGGCCACTCAGCGGCACTTGCCACGTCCTGCGCAAGCGACACGTGAGGTTTCTGCGGAGAGGAGTATGCAAGATATGATGTTGTTGCGAAGTTGTTTCTTTCCACTTTTGCACGGCCATCTTCATCTACTTCTTGATTGTGCTGTCCTGCAGATGACCTGCGCGAAGGACGATCCTCGCCATTCTTGAGCATATTTGCTGGGCCTCGCGAAAATTGCACATGCTTTCTTTTTCTAGAGGTACTGCTTCTCCGAGATGTGGGAGATAGCTTGTTCCTTAGTATTTTAGAAGCGCCACCAGTACCAGCCATCGCTGTAGTATCGACTACCTGTTCTAGAAGGTCTTCTTGGTTTACTGCACCCTGACGCATTCCTTGGTAGACCTGACGACGCGGACTCGATGTCGGTCGTGCGCGAACTAGATCACGAAACGATGCCGTGCGCATAGCTGTTCGCTTTCCGCTAGTGGAGTCCAACTCCGCAAGGTTCAAATCTACAGACGCAAGCACCATTCGCGCACTACCAGCCGGGACAAAGACTTCACGGCGGGGACCTAGGACAATAGACTTCTCCAACTCGCGCCGATCGCGGCTTAGCATCCCGCAGTCTGCAGGAAAAAACTGTTCGATCCCGGCACTCCCAGTAAGCAGGACGTGTTTTGGCCCAGCGAATGTCATCGCTGGCACGGCTGTTTGACCAGAAGATCCACTAGTAGTATTACAACCCGCCTTGTTGATGTTCGCGCGACCGGCTCCTGCTTTCGGTTGTTAACGCTCTCCATAATTCATCTTTCAGCTGCATCCTTGAAAAGTATGCCAGAGTAATATCGCACTGGCATACTCCCGCCCCATACGTTTCAAGGATGCGTCAAAGATGCGTTAGCTACAGCCTTAAGGTTGCGGCTCTGCGACGGAAGAGGTCAAGAGACCTTGTTTGTTAATGTACATGCACTTGACGTTGATCTCGTTCCGTCTTCGATTCTTCCAGCTCTGGGGAGATGACGACCACCGTTTTGGCGATCGTCCTGGTTGTGTTACTCCGGGTTCTTCATCTTGTGCGCCTTCTTGGTGGCCTCCACCGGAAAGACTTTGTACAAGCATGGCACTTATCAAGTCCTCGTGTTGTTTCTTTCGTTCTTCCGGATTGACCCTAGTTTAGAGGAGCTCAAACTATTTATATTTCATTTCGTGCGTACATTTCTCCCAAGATGAATCCTGAGAAGGAAATTGTAGGGAGAACGAGAAATGGCTGGTAGAAATAAATTTCATGATTGAAGAAGAGCCTTAACTAGTTTTCCAACTGCGTTCCTCAGCCATCATTCTGAGATAGCAGCCTGTGATCTCTACGGCGCCAGCTGTGTGCTCAGCCGCGAAGGCCTCCACGTCTTCCCCGTGGTCCTCTAGACGGCCCAAGGACTGCAACAGCGTGGCTTGCTCTCCGTCGAGCCGCACCGCGCGATCCTCAGCCGCCGTGTGGTCCTGACCCAGCACCAGAAGCTGATTCGCTTTTTGCGCGTCGGTGTCAAGAGGACTGGCGCTAGCCGCGCGGCTCCCGTTTTCTCTCTTGTCTTAGACTTAGAGCTCAAGATATACAACTTCATCATCATCTTCTCCACCCATAGCCTCAGACTCAGACTCCAAGATAGACGGATGAGCTGAAGCACCAACTTAATCTGTTGAGATGGATCAATGTGAGCCATAATCATTATCATCACCAGCATCGGCATAATTCTGCCCCTTGCTTTTCGCTGCAAGTGCCTCTAGTGCCGCTGCAGCTGCTGCAGCGACAGCGGTCTTGTGATCCGTCTCGGCCATTAGCACCGTTCGTGCTGTGGCGCTGTCCGAACCGAAATACCTTCCTGCAAGCTCTTTATCCAACAAAGAACGAGCATGTGCGAGTTTTGGTGCTCGATCATAGATGCCGTGCTCGCCGGTGGAAAATCCGTCTCGCGATAGCTTTGCCCTCTCTGTGTAAACGCCAAGTGTGGGCTGCAAGTCCCGTGGCAGTGGCAGACTTATGTGGGCATCGTCAAGTACGTCATGGACCCTAGATGTGCCGTTCTTCGTGACGAAATCCAATATGGCGTTGTTTTCGCGTGTTCGCGTCAGTAGTTTGTCGCTGACTCGCCTCAACGCCAAAGCCTGCACATGGTCTATTTCTCGGTCAGCGACGCTGGCGCGATCTGGATCTCTGATGTGTGCAGAAGCTTGCTCTTCACGGTCGACCAAAATTCTGCGTTGCCTTTGCTGATTAGCTTCGTCTTGGTGGTATTTTTTTCGTCTCTGATCCCGTTCGAGCTCTTCAGGACTTCCGCCACTGCTTCGTCGACTATTAGTATGCCCGCCCACCTCAGCTGCACCTCCGAATGTGACACGAGGGCCGACTTTTCTCGACTTGCCACGACGTGGCGACTGTTCCAGAGTCTCAAGCTGGCCGAACAACGAGTCGTCTGCATTACGTGCCCCATTGTAGTTTGTCCCTGCTCCTGCGCCTTCGTTGTTTTCATCGTCGTCGTCGTCGTCGTCGTCGTCACTTGGTGGTACAGCTTTCACGAATTCAGGGTCCGATAGCCAGCGCCGTTCGATGATCAAGTCTTGTTTTGTGAAAGGGACCAATGGCTCAGGCGGCCTCGTGGTCTTGTCTGCGTCGCCATCGGGCCCCGAGGACGAGGGCGCTGTGGGTCGGAGCGATCCATCGCTGACAATGAGTGTGTCGTGATCTTCGTACTTGTGTCGTTGCTTTGGTTTTCTAGGAGAGCGAGAACTCGTCGAGTCAGAAACAAGAGCATCAGATGTTCGGATGTTATGTTGGAGCATTGTAGAAGATCGTTCCCCGAGCAGAGGTCTTGTTGTAGTTACAGTGTGTCCTTTTGTCTGGGTCCTCTGCTGGGATTGTACGACACCTGAAGAAACGGCACCAAGACGAGTGCTCGCGCCGTCATGTCCGTGAGGACCTTGGTCTCCTTGAATCAAGCTGCTTGCATCTTTTTCCAGTTCATCTGTTTCGTCCAACTCGTCCAAGTCCAACGTTGTTCTGCGTTGAGTTACTAAGGGTAATTGCAAGCTTGCAGGCCTTTCAGTGTGGTCTCCTCCGGTCGGTACCAGTGTCGTGACTAGGCGGTCACCGTAGAGCGTCACGTTACCATCGAGTCGGTCTTGAGGAATGTGCTTTCGGAAGAAACTTTTGGATCTCTCTGCGTCGCCTTCCAACATGTAGTTGTCGGCTGCCTGATGTCTCAGAGGCTCATGTGCAGGCGAATTCGGTGGGGCGTTTGGTACGAAGGACAAAAGTTCAAGTTCCTCTGTTGGATCGACGCCGGGAAGCACGTCCCAAGGGTATTGATTTCTATTAGTTAGAGCTCACCCAAAATGATCAAATCCATCTAAGTTTTCAAATTCATCTCGGAGCTGCAGCTTTTCCTTTAGGCATGGGACAGCTCCACGTTGGATTCGTTTCCCCCTTGCGGGACACCAGGGACGATAGCTCCAACAACTCCAAGATGCTCCAGAACAAGATGGGTCATAATTAGGTTACTTACTATGCCTTAAGATAGCTTGCATTTTTCGACGTACTACACGTTCTGCGAGCATCGAGACCCAAAGCGCCGCGTGTTCGCGTGCGGCGAAGGCTGGGCCAAGACTCATGAGGCTTGGTGCGGATCTTCTTTTGCGATAATAAGGTGGACGCATAAACGCTGCGCCGGTTGGGATCGGCTTTTGTTAGAGCAGTCACTGCAAGCATCCTTGGCGTCTTTTTATTCCCATACAAAGAAAATTATGGCCAAGGATGACGTCATTCGAGGACATTTGGATGCTCTACTTCATCTACTCTTGGGACGAGGGTGCCTTAATTTTGCGCGTTTTTGTCGAGGGCGCTTTTGCTCTTGCTCTTCTTTTTCTTCATAGAACCCTTTCGCCGACCGCTATCTGCAAGCAAACTGTCCGCGAGGTCCTCCTCGGTTTTCTTCTTCTCGACAACCGGTTTCGGCGCAGCAGCAGCCTTAGGCCTAATAAAAGGCGCACCTCTGCGGATTTTTTTCTTATCGAATACACTCGGCGGTAGCTTGGAATCGAAGCCAGCACACTCTTCAAGTGTAATCTCTTCATCCGCCGTTTTTGTCTTCCTAGAAGCGGCTCTTGCTGCTGCCAAAGAAGTATGTGCGACTCCGACGTTCGCGCGCCCACCGCCCGCCTCTTCAAATCCCTTCATCGTTTCCACAAACGCACTACCGCGAGCGCGCTTTCGTGTTTGGATCGAAGAGAGTTGCTCGAAGTAATCGGGTGGAAGCAGCGGCAAAATAGGTAGGGTCTCCTCTGGTTGCGAGTCTAGAGATCCTCCAGATCGCCCTTTTTTGCGAGAAGGTGTCGCAGAGGACGGACCCTTTGGAGTTTTTTTGATAGCCCGAACAGGCGACTCCCCGCCTTCTATCAAATCGTCGCTCAACAGCGCGTTTTCCCGCCGCCCCTTCAGGAGTTCCTTGAGATTCAAGTGCGCACTCCTGGAATCTGGATCCACATCACGCTCATAATCGCGCACTTGGGCTTCCTCGTCTAAGATTGTGGCAACTTTTTTCGACCCCCCACCTGAGGACTTGTGCCCTCGTGACTTACCTCCTCTTCTCGAGGAACTAGGAGAGGCTGGACTCGAGAGCTGAAGCGAACTACCACCAAAGGGGTCCAGGGACTCCTCGCCTTCGTCCTCGCCTTCATCGTCGCGCCGTCCATGTGCTGCTGGCGTGTACCGCAACCGCCCTGGGCAGAGCTTAGCAAACCGCAATGATTCTACTGGGACTTGGCGCGACTTGATGATGGAATTGGATGATCGAAGTCGGTTTTTACTTGATGAAGATGAAGACTCTGATATTCCCAATACATCCTGCCTAAACGCCATTTCGTCGACGAAGAAGTCTCGTTTTTTTACCCGCTCAGCAAATTCCGCGCACCGTTGCTCGCACAACTTGCGGAGTCGCATTCGGTTTTCGAAATCGTTGAGAATCGGAGCTCCGTGGCCAGGGTAGTGCGAACGCAGGTCTTCCAAGTTGCGCACTCGGATGTCCTCTGTTTAGAACTACCAGAAATGTCCATCCTGAACAAGCGCATCTTGGTTCCCGTTTCCCCCTGATAAAGGGACCCAACATGCTGGCTAAGATGGATTCCTTGAATCCGTAATCTAAGTGTGCTCTGGTTTCTATTGCACGCTTTGAGTCATCACGAGATCCGTCTTTCGACCAAAGACTAGCTCGAAACGCAAGAAAACCACAGCCGAGAAGACGAACACTGTATTTGCGCCGAAGCTTGCGCACAAGGCGACGTCGTTCGTGCACACTCAGAAGTCGCAAATTTATCACAGAACTTCTAGTGTTCTTTTTCTCATCGGTAACGGAATCGCCGATTTTTTGTAGTGCACTACTCGTGCCTGCACTCCTTTGTCGTTGCTGACCGTACGGGATCATGATATGGTGGTCCATTTCTTCTTCTTCATCGTTGTTTTGCTCCTTCCCTCCCGCTTGGCGCCTCCATTTGGCACGCAGAAAGCGTCTTTCGCCGACGTCAACGTCGATGTCTTCTGCCCCTGATGCATGCGCTGTTAGCTTAGCACGTTCAGCGCCGTGAATCACGACTTGTTTGGGTTCGTGCTTCATTGCTTTGCTCTCCGCTTTCCATTTTTTGAACATCCGCGCACGCTTTACGCCGCCTCGCTCTAGGTAGCGCAGCCTATCGTCCCAGGTCGGGCGAGGGGAGAGTGCGCGTGTGCCGCTGAGCGAGTGATACAGCAGAGCGTCGGATACGGCGTGAAGGTCGCGACGCAGACCGTCTCGACGCTTGTTTGCGGCGAAGACAAGGCGTAACATGCGAGCATCGAAGTAGTACCCACAAAAATTGCCTTCTGCGCGTACAAACAATTCCCGGGTCTCGGGATCGATCTTCACTACTGCAACGCAGACCAAGGTGCCGTTGGCAGAATCGCGGCAGTCGCTAGCAGCAAGGCACCTAGCTTCGTGCCGTAAATCTAAGAGCGCGCGATAGTCCTTTTTGCGCCGCTGCCACCGCAGTTGGTCCATACTGAGCTCTGCAGGTGGAAATTCGCGCCCAGACTTGGT